CTGTTTTGATCTGACTTTGAAGAGTTGACTATGGGCAATCGTTTGGTTTTAGTTGACATATTGTCTCTGACAAATCAAATTCTTTTGTGTTTTTGAATTAATCTGCTCGTGTGTGGCTTTCTGTATTAAAGATTATATTAACATTTTGATGAGACTCTTGACCAAAATAACAGACATTAATTAATTTCTCCCTAGATACGGATCGGTAAAAAAATAAACAACCACCGGTAATGGACTATTTAGAATGAAACGACAAGGCACATCACTGAGTAATTTCATCAACTTATTTCTTATTACCTGAAATACATGCCTATCTTTCCTTTAAACCTGACAAAAGAGGCAATTTTACATCACATAAGAGGATAAAATTGTTGACCCAAAGCGTCATGTCCTTTGTAATCCGGCTGTTTTTTACTAAGTGCAATACCGCACGTTGCTCGAATGTTCTTCTTTTTTATCGTGATTGGCCATGCATGCATGAGAATTCATACATGCATGAGAATTCATGGCATTTTTGTGGCTAAAATTTGCCCATAGACTATACAATTTTGACAGTATTAACTCTTTTAACTTACTTTTAAGAAATATTTTCACACTTCATTTATCAAGTGGAACATTAGCTACTTAGGAGACGTTAAAAGGAGCACTGGAGCTACAGGCCCAAACAGGAAATGGTACTGATCTTGCACATTCCATCCGAAACTGATTCGAGTGATTTGTAACTCTGTCAGGTATTTGTGTCTGATATACCAGTCTCTTCACCTAAAGAACATATCTATAATAGGTATAAGAAATAGATAAACGATACGTATTTCCCCGGAAAAGACGCACAGTAATAGAAATTCTAGTTATTCATATGCTGATATAATTTGATTGAGCACGCTTCCATTTACCATAGACAAACAAACTACTTTAAAACGTACCGCTGAGAAATTCTTTACTTAAATTTTTCATCAATTGCTGTTTATATCTGATTAAGTACAGTTAGATTTTTATCTTTTAAGCTGACAAGCAAGATTTCTTCAAAGAGTCATGAATGAGTCTTGTGAATGACATTCTGGAAACATGGTAGATTTCAGCAAACGGTTTGCGACAAAGTATTTGGTTACGGCATTCTGTCTTCAAGTCATGTTCAGAGGTACGATAATTGGTACACATGACAACTCTACCATTTAAGTCCTAGTTAGTTACTTATTTGTTTATTTCTTTTAGTTTGCATTTGTTTATTTGTTTTTTGCTTGTCTCTTTCTCCGGTTTTTGTTTTTAATTCATTGTCAACCGTAGTATTTGCTATCAATTGACTTAGTTTCATTTAGTTTTCAGTAGTCTTGGTTCTTACCTACGTTACGACTTTATTCACTAACCATGCTGAGTTGCTTAACTATATTTACATAGACAGACACGGACTACGGACAGTCCTTTTTGTGCTTATAAAGCGCTTTCATATGACGTCACGGCGGCCATATTGGTGCCCCTGACAATAAAACGCCGGCCATGTTGGTCCTCCAAACCAATTCTGTAGAAGGCGAACCTTTTTCTTATGTCAACACTTTCGTTTGTTCCAACAAATTTGCCTACTTGCTGGCCACGTGACTGAAAACGCTCTATTGCCAAATACCTAATTACCAATGAAATTTTATTGTTCTTTTTTGCTTATGACCAAAATGAATAAACTTACAGACAGTGGTAAAGGCCACTCTCCAAATAACGTAGCTAGTTACCGTTGATGGCAGCCGAAAAGAATTTCGAACTGTCCATCTTTGATGGAATTACATAAAGTGACTCTTCAATTGTGAGTTCATGTTATATGTACTCGTGCTCGTGTTTGGTCGGGCTAAAATTTCTAGCCAGGTTTGTCTCAAATCTGGGTGAAATTTTCGCTGCGAGAAGAATTTTAGTCTTTAATTTGCGGAAACTATTAACACGTAACCAAAATTTCTTTAGTTTAGGCGAACTGAAGACTCCACCTGGTTTGTTTTTAGTATACGAACGGCGAGCAAAGGTTCGGCACAATGCCTGAGAAGCCAGTGTGTCAGCCGCGTACATTGTTATTTTTACCTCCCGCACTATTTGTTCCGCGTCCATGAAAAAGGAGGCTGTTCGAGGACTTAATCAAGCACAGGCGCACTTCACTGAGCCAAAGTCACCAGTGTGACGCACATAGAGCAAAGCCCATAGTCAACAACTATCCAATCCGGACCATTGTCTACAAAGAAAAGTGACATTGATTCAATACACAAGTTACATTGCAGTGACTTCGGTACGAAAAAGTCTTTGCTCCAGAGAAATAAGTCTCAGGCTGATTTACAATGTATTTGGGGTTATGTTTGCAAATTTCCATGCAGATTGATTTTTAAGTGGGGCTAAATGCATAAAAATGATTGACCACCGATATAATTTCTAGTACCGTTAACATTATAAATCTTTCTTGATGCCGTTTAGCCTCATAGAAGGAAACAGCAAATTAACTTATCTATTTACGGATATGCACTGCTAATTGCTATATGTGGGAACACTCTTCGAACTGTCGAGAACATTTCAGCGCATGATAATTTTTGCACCAAATTTAAAAGACGCGAGACGTTTCTTGTTTAAATGGTTGATTTATATTTCTAGTATCCTACCTACTCTTATTACTTATTTGATGCTAACAACCCTTTGTTCTTTTATTTTATAACCGCAGACATTGTTAACTGAAAGAAATAAGAGCAGAAAAGAAGAAAACAACGTTTTTAAACACGAATTCTATAGAATTTCTTAAAACATGGCTCGCAAGATGTATCTTTATAGTTTTTTAACCGTTGCAAGTATCGTTCGTTTTTCAACAAGTAAGTATATGCAGTTTAATTGTACACTATATGTCTATTACTTGTTAGAAGACCAACAAAAAAACAGGCACAAAGTTTCTGAAGACCTGACGGATAAAAGAGTGGTCAAAATCGACCCGGATTTTGAGCCGCTTAAAGCGGTTTAAACAGCTTATCGAGCAAAGCTCAAAGGTTGTTAGTTTACCTAGTTTTGTCCATAGATCGTCCTGAAATGTCTTTAACCCTGGAACACCTTAAATAAGCAACACAGGTGTAGTCAACTCAGATCATCATCCCCTTGAAAAAAATTAAGCATGTCTAAAGTAAATAGAAAGTGTTTACGTTAAAGGAAAGACGGCAACTAAAAAATGATTCCGATATCATGTTGGCACCAATTTTTATAAACCTTTCATTAGCTTCTAGTTAAAAGTGAAACAACCAGAGCAGTCACTTCGTGACAATAACGCATTCACATTTATGCCAAAAAGGCGCAGGAAGGCTACTTGCGAAAGCTTTATTTTAGATCTTCCCGTACCTGAAAGGCAATGTCACAGACGTTTCGTCATTAAAACGTTGCTTGAGTACCTATAAAAAAAAAATTACTGTTTAAATTCTTTAATAATAAATATGACAAGAAAGACTAACGTAATGGCCTTGGCACGGACCTTTTGTTCAACAGCGCCCTCGGGATAGTACGTTATCCAACTTGCTTCTTCTTAATAATTAAAGGCTTTACTTTATTTTTATGGCTGGGAGGACTATTATAAAAGACCACGTCCTGTAATGACTTCCTTCAATTTTATTCTACTGTACTCCTACTTAACTGTTACAATAGTTAAGCAAATCGTGTGTTATAAAAACGAGATACATGGTGTCACATTCACAAAAGTAAAGTATCCATATATTTAATTTAAAACGAAAAACGGAAAACTAGACATACAGTAAAACAATGTGTTAAACTTGGATATTTCCATGGAGTAGACTCTGCATGATAAAATTAAGCTTAAGATAACACTTAGGCTTGAAGGAAAAAAACATTCATCGCAAGAAGATGTTAATTCAGAAATGACAACTAGTTCAAAAATTTTAAACAACGATTCCTAACGAGGAGAGATTCTTAGAAAACTCGACACTAAAATGAACATTGTATTCACTTTAAACTTCATTTAATAAATTTCAATTAAAGGCTCCATGTCAGCCAGCGTGTCCTCAAGTGCCTCAGCATCCACCTCGGCCAGTGTGTCTCAAAGTGTCTCGGCCTCCACCTCTGCTAGCCTGTCGCTAAGTGTCTCGGCCTCCACCTCGGCCAGTGTGTCGCCAAGTGTCTCGGCCTCCACCTCTGCTAGCGTGTCAGCCAACGTATTGCCAAGTGCCCCGGCCTCCACCTCGGCCAGAGTGTCGCCAAGTGTCTCGCCCTCCACCTCTACTAGCGTGTCAGCAAGTGTCTCGACGAGTGCCTCGGCCCCCCCCTCGGCCAGTGTGTCGACCAGTGTCTCGTCCTCCTCCTCTACTAGCGTGTCAGCCAGTGCCTTGGCCTCCACATCGGCCAGTGTGGCACCAAGTGTCTCGGGATCCACCTCTGCTGGTGTGTTAGCCAGCGTATCGACTAGTGCCCTGGCCTCCACCTCGGCCAGTGTGTCGCCAAGTGTCTCGGCCTCCACCTCTACTAGCGTGTCAGCCAGCGTGTCGATGAGTGCTTCGGCCTTCCCCTCGGCCAGTGTGTCGACCAGTGTCTCGGCCTCCACCTCGGCTAGTGTGTCGCCAAGTGTCTCAGAATCCACCTCTGCTAGTGTGTCAGCCAGTGTATCGACCAGTATCCCGGCCTCCACATCGGTCAGTGTCTCGCAAAGTGTCTTGTCCTCCACCTCTGCTAGCGTGTCAGCCAGTGCCTCGGCCTCCACATCGGCCAGTGTGGCACCAAGTGTCTCGGGATCCACCTCTGCTAGTGTGTTAGCCAGCGTATCGACTAGTGCCCTGGCCTCCACCTCGGCCAGTGTGTCGCCAAGTGTCTCGGCCTCCACCTCTACTAGCGTGTCAGCCAGCGTGTCGATGAGTGCTTCGGCCTTCCCCTCGGCCAGTGTGTCGACCAGTGTCTCGGCCTCCACCTCGGCTAGTGTGTCGCCAAGTGTCTCAGAATCCACCTCTGCTAGTGTGTCAGCCAGCGTATCGACCAGTATCCCGGCCTCCACATCGGCCAGTGTCTCGCAAAGTGTCTCGTCCTCCACCTCTGCTAGCGTGTCAGCCAGTGCCTCGGCCTCCACATCGGCCAGTGTGGCACCAGGTGTCTCGGAATCCACCTCTGCTAGTGTGTTAGCCAGCGTATCGACCAGTGCCCTGGCCTCCACCTCGGCCAGTGTGTCGCCAAGTGTCTCGGCCTCCACCTCTGCTAGCGTGTCAGCCAGCGTGTCGACGAGTGCCTCGGCGTCCTCCTCGGCCAGTGTGTCGCCAAGTGTCTCAGCCTCCACCTCTGCTAGCGTGTCAGCCAGTGTGTCGACCCGTGCTTTGGTCTCCATATTGGTTACTGTGTCGACCAGTGCCTCGCCGTCCATATCACCCAGTATTTCGCCAAATGTTTCGACGAGTGTATTAACCAGTGTGTCAGCCTCTATTAGTAAGTTTTGGTATTTGCTCAAAATTTTTTTCTTGTTGTTGCCTGTGTTGACGTATTTTTTTTGTTTTTAGATATCAATGATTTAAACAAATGAGGAATAGTGCTTGGTCATTCTTTTCTATGTTGTTCTTTGTTTGTAATAGGGTATGTGTCATTTATTTGAGCCAAAAGGTGTCCAGTGAGAGTGACACAGACAACTTGACCATCTTCACATTTCATTTTCGGTATTCGTAACGTTCATTTAATAGAGTATGACACATTGCATCACATAGCGGAGTTCTCGGAAAGGAGAATATATTAGGTCCCGTTGTTCAAAGACTGGTTAAGATAACTTGGGGTTAGTGCGAAATTGGAATTCAGTTATAAAAGTTTAACCATCAAATTCAGTTTAATTCTTTCTGTCTAAAATTTAATAATGCATGCTCCACGAAGAATGAGAAAATTATCCGTGAAATTGTTATTGAACTATAAAAGAAGAAACCCGGGTTAAAATTCAATCCTGGGTTAGTGCTACTCAGACTTTGAACAACTCGGCCCAGGGGGGTCGGGGAAGTAGACGGGTCTCTAAGCAGGTTGGTTTATACACATATCTATGAGGGCTTATAACCGGAATTTTGCATTATACGAGGAATATCAGTTCTACCTGGGTAAAAAATTTCCAGCCCCTATCATTCTATGATGTTTTAATTACTGGTAAGAAATAATGAGACATTGTCTACTGGTGGCTTCTCCTTAGAACACAATAAAAAAAAGCACCGAGCTGGCTTTAACCAGTCTCGTATCTAACAAGAGCGAAAAAAATACTGTTTCATTAAATTCTTAACTTCACTCGCGACCAATTTAATTGTACAGAATTTCCTCAGTAATTTTTCAGTATTCAGGCAGTTGGCTGTTCTGAGTTTACCACCGTCGCAGGTATTTTTCATACTATTATTATGGTCAAATGAAGGTATATTGGCTATTAACAGGGATCCTCGAGACCAATTAAAAAGCTATAAATGCATTTTCCGACTTTTCAATTTAAATAATACGGTTTATTTCTCTCGATTTATAAGAAAAAAGGATAAGAGTTGATATCTTTTTCGTATTTCTTATTTCAGGTGATCGGTGTCGTGCAAATCCATGTGTAAACAATGGAATCTGTAGCTCTGTAAACAATACGTTCTCATGCACCTGCTTACCAGACTATGAAGGAGTCATCTGCCAAATAAGTAAATGTTTCAATCTTTTATGTTTTACTTTCAGAATCTTAAGTGGAAGTACTGATGTAAGAAATTTCGATTAAAGATAGTAAGCAGAAGGGCGTAGCTAGAAATTTTCCTTAGGAACGCACAGTTTTCAAAATCAACCCTAACCCGTCTCCAAAGTCCTTTTCACGAGGGTGACTTGTTCACATATCCCCTCTTATCAGGCAGCATAATAAAAAAATAGAGAAAACAGCCCATTTTGTTTGAAAAAACTTATGTGAAAGAGGATAAAAGGGAATTATATAGGGTATTAAATTGCGCCTTTTTAAACTTATTTCTTTTCCTTGCCTTGGTTTTCTATTTTGTTTTTGTACGAACGTGTCACGCACGTGCTTACTGAGCGCACAAGTAGCTACCTCCCTTTATATTTTGGAAAAGAGGGTAAAGCTTTTGGGGTTTCAGGAGGGGCATTTATACGTTGCTGTCATAGTTATGAGAGTTGTATGTTAAATAAGGAAAAAATATGGAATGAAAAGCTCGTGTGCAACAATTAAACTGGATAGCATTCAACTCTCATAAATGATGGCTTTAAAAGAGGAAAGTCGAAAATGAGGGTCGAAACCCAATTTTGCCAGATGTATCGTTCGTGTAAATCTAAGCATAAATTTCCGTGCTCTGTGAGAAATAAGCACTTTGCAGATAATGAGACTCTGCAATGGAAGTCAGGTTGTGTAAAGAAAAAAGCAAGGAAAGGAAAAATAATTGTGCTTTGGTTGTTTAATCTGATCCAGTACTAAAATACCTATAGCAATGAATGTTTTTTTTATAAGCCACTCCTCTTATCTGTTGAAGGCGGGAGCGGGTAGAAAGTGGACATTGACATCTCAAAACATCTGATTATCACATACAATAATAAGTAATTCTGTTTTGATTTACATTTTCTTTTAGAGAAACCTGCGAGGATCATTGCCGTGAAAATAACTGTCCGAAACAGGGACTTTATAGAAGATTACAGGGACCCACAGTTACCAACGACAAGAGCTCTGATTCAAGAATTAACTGGGGAATTAGTTCGTTTCTTTAAAGGACAATATGGCGACTCTTTTGAGGGAATAGAAATTATTAGTCTTTTCGAAGGAAGTGTTGGGGTTAACTTTGAATTATCACTTAAGCCATCGTCGAACGTGACCAATACCACTGTTGTAGAAGAACTCAAAAGGGTCAATGGAACTGAAGCCTTGGGTTTACTAGAGTTGGGCGAAATATCCGCAGTAGAACAAATCCCGGAGCCGACTACACAAACTACGGTAATGACATTACCCACTGCATCAGGTATGTGTTTAGTAACAGGTCGTAACAGGTTTTTTTTTAATTTTACGTCATTATTTTCAAATAGGCATCAATTGACTAACAAACCTGACGCCTACGGTGCTCTCATTGGATCATTTTCAGCAGCTGGGCACAGACCCCTGTATAAAAACAGTAACAGAATATAATATACAGCACCTTATATATTCCACTGCACCAAAATTACCCTATTTTAGTTGTTGTGTCACTAAATAACGCAATTAAATTAAAATAGCTCATAACTAAGAGTCCCCCTTATGAACGCCTTCTTTAACACTTAAAAAGATCACGTAAAAAGCTTTGTCGGTTGTCGTTGTCTTTGCGTATGACTTACAGAAGGCTTTTGTAAGATACTCACAGAACGCGTAATAAGGCTTACAGAGGGTTGTGTAAGAGTCTTTGCTTGAGTAATAGCCCTCAGTACAGAAGGCTTGTGTAAGAAAGGCTTGTGTATCGCTTAGGGTCTTTTCTAAAGGCTTTTGTAAGTCGGAGTCGTTATACTATGTACAAAAGCCTTTGGTATCCATCTTTTAAACCGTTTTTCTACGACATTAGAGTCATTGATTGTTTTTTTTTTTGGCGATTGTGGTGATAAATGCCACTTGCAGCGTAAGGAGTTGTTGGCGATGATTTGTAAACGATGATTGTTCGCTCCGTTTGAAAGAGTCCTTCTTTTCTTCCTTTTCGTTTTTGAGAACCTCTCAAGATATTGATGATTTAGTCGTTTATAATCCTCCCATGTTACCCACAACATTGATGATACGTTTATCTGAGTTCGTATATCAGACTTCTACAAACAACAAATAACTGTACATGTAAAACTCTCTCTCCATTAGTGTTCCTTTCTTGAATATTAAAGCTACTTAATCTACAGGGAAAGAAAAGATGTCGAAACAAGAATTTGAGGTCACAGATACGAATCGAACTTGCGACCTCATTAACAAACTATGCCAATCCTTGAAAAAAGAAAGGACTCGTTTCCTGATTATAGAGTATTTTTCAAAAAGGTTTATAACTTTAAGTGAAACAGAAGATTCTTTCGAATATCCAGTTTATGACTGCTAAATTCCCCAGTTACATTGCCCATTTCCTTAGGGGACCATGAAATGAACTCGTTGCTAGGTTGTCCGGTCAACACGCAAGTGATTTCGGTTTTCGTATGAGGCGCGTTTTTGGACTGTTGGCTCTGTTGGCCGCGAGATAAATTTTTTAGGCAACGCGTATCGTTTTCTTTCTCCACGGTAAACGTTGCAGGTGTTTGACTTAAACCCTTCCAGCTGTATTGTCCTACCATGTGCCACAATATAGGGAGAACCAACAACTTAATATTTATTTTGGCCGGCATTGTATGTTCCTTAATAAAAGGTCATCAAGAGAGAGAAAAGCCCTGCGGTAGTGATACGTACAATCTATTTTAGCACGTTAAGAGCCGTTCATGAATACGACATTTGACTGAAGTCTGGACAGAGTAGTATATATTTCTAAAGTGGGTCATACTTGATTCAATCACTTAAATAAAGACCTATGAAAATATTAGTTTTCATTTTATTGTACCAAGTACAAAATCGAGTACATATAAAACCAATTTATTAGCAAACAATCACATCAGTAGACTCGGTAAATGGAATGTCATAAGGAGATCGCTTTTAAATGACTTATTATTGTAAGTTAAAGTTTCTAAATATAAGTATTTTACCTATATTTTTGTTCGGTTATTCATGGTTTTATGGTTTTGTTTTTGCTTTTTTGTTCAGCGCTAGACTCTCCGTTACTTGAGACATGGGAAATCGTGTTGATTGTGGCTGCTATCATCGTTTTCCTGCTTCTTATCATCATCGTAATTTTAGTAGTAAGTTGACATCATAGTTTTTTTCTAATCAGGTTTACTTAAGTGAACTCAAATGTTAATTAATATTCTACTTATCTTCTTACTTCTAGGCCCTTTTCGTCTCTTTCGGTCAACTTTCGTAAAATTCCAAGAAAATAAGAACATAATGATAAGATGCTCAAGTCAGTAAATTTTTATAACTCACAATGCAAAAGGAATTACATTGTTTGAAGAATAAAGAATTGATTTCCCGCTCAAGTGGATAAATGCTAATCACAACTTGGAGTAGGCATCGGCGGCCACTCAGTGTAAAAACAGCTACATCTTACCAGACATTGTTGCCTCTATAAACTCAATTTATTTTCATCTGTTGTTGAATATTTTACACACAGAACTATCCATAGCCAATTTCAACATACCTTTCGTAATTTTTTGTGATTTTTAATTTACAGGTTAAATACAGACGCATCAGTAAGAGCGGAAAGGAAATGATAGCCTTTGACGGTTACTGGGAGCTAAGAGCGGATGCAAAGTATAACAACAACCAACCTCCTATGAGAGCAAATCCACCAAGCTACACAAACGAAGTATATTCAGATGGGACTCCGGTAAGCTAGAGTAACACGGTGTATTTAAAAGTTTTATACGGCATGATACTCCCTTATTTCCCTTTAAAATAGTAGATTGCGTGTAGACGTCTTCTACATCCTTTGTTGTATTCGCGCAAAATACCCAAGCGCCTGTAAAGTTTGCCACTCACAAGCAATGAACGACGGGCAGACGGAAGGGGTAAAATAATCCTGTGCTTCCTTGTGGGAGACATCAGTATTGTATATACTACCTCTTAGGAAAACAAGGGGATGTAGGTAGTAAGTAATCTAAGCGATCTATTACTTCATAGTTCTGTGCTATTGCTTTTTTGATTAATTTCCTGCTATACTGTAATTGCTTACTTTGTATTCTGCGGAGTATATACGGTTTATTGATCAAGCTTGTTCGGCCAAGATGGCTGGTTAAAAGACACGTTACTTAATTGCGCTTTTATGGACGGAGAGGACGTAAATGTCACTAGAAAGTACTCCAAAAGAGATGTCATTTAATTATACACAGCATGGTTTTTTTATAGCTGACTTTGGCAGTGAAAGTTCTGCTGTCCGTGGCTGTTACGTGTTGTCGCCTCAGCTATTACGTAAATTGAATCTTAATTCGTCAAAAAACAAGGATAAGGCTGTTTCCATACCACTGTCCCTTAAGCATACAACTTATTAGAGCCGTGCGGAAATCAGGCATTAATCTTATTATATGACTCGGCATTGGAGATCCTTCTGGTAAATTATCTAGTGCACATCAAACTTTTGAAAGCTGAGTGTACTCGTGCGAAGTTCATGGTCACTGTTGAATGTCGTGACATTATGACGTTATTTTTATGGTCTATAAGAGTATGGAAAATAGAAGCTTGTCCCCTTTATCTTAAACAGACAACCAAAGCTTGCTGGATTTTTCAAATGTCACCAGCTTATGAGCTGGAAGAACCCCTTGTTACCTCATAGGGTGATAGCTTAGGTTCTCATGTTCCTTTTTGCTCTTTACAGACTTCTTTGCCTGCGAGAAACGGACGAGTCGAGGATTCCTCTACCAACGAAGCGTACATATAACACAGCGGATGAGATCAATCTCTGTACTGCATGGCTTCCTCTTAGTGTCCCATCTATTGTAAAGTTCAAGACTGCAGTCATTCTTCTCTAAGCCATGTGTGCCTGGTGCTTGGAAAACTTTCTCCATTCTGCTCTGGCTTTGCTCTACATCTGAGATGATAACTTCCTTCCTTCTATCTGTTGTTAGCCTTATTCCACCGTAAAAATTGGCAATTTACCAAGTTCGTTTTCATATTTACAGACTGCTATGTGAAAGACGAACGAAGCAATCACCGAGGCACAGTTTGCTGAAGATACCCCACTGTGAACTGGCCCATTCACACTGAGATGAAGGCTGCCATGATAAGCTCTTCATTAACCATCCTTTCCCGTCTAGACGCGTTCATCCTGGAAGCTGGTTGATTAACACTGCGTATAGTTTCCATTTGACTAAGGCAAAAAAAGCAACAAACAATCCCTTTAACGGATAACGGTTTACTGACTCGGTTTAAGTTGATGTGAAACATGAATGAATTAATCGCCAGAAATAAACTGGAACGATGGATGTTACTACAAAGGGAACGGGAACGGGAACTACTTCTATCTGTTATGGGAAAATGAAAAAATGGGAACAAATCTAAACTTTATCCCTAGCCCTATCAGTAACCCCGTTTCCTATTCTCTATTTTGTTACCATTTTCCATTTTCCCATAATAGATAGAAGTAGAATTTTTTCGCTATATACACTGAGTTATATACTCTACAGTTCCGAGTTTGAACAATATTGGAAACTGCTTATAAAATTTTTCGACCTCTCTAGTAATTTGAATCTAGAAGATCATAGGAATCGTATTACCTAGACTTAGGAAATAATATGAGTGATTATTCTTTAATTTCTTGCTATCAGGAATATTAATCTTATGAATTGTAGCATTATTTTGCGAGTAACAAAAGGCAAAAAATTATCTTTGTAAAAACGGTAGCGTTATAGTCTTTTTATAACTGTAATTTGTAAAATGCTTTTTAAATAAATATAGGATACAGACATATTGATGTGGCCTAACAATGAAATTGACAGAGAGATTCAAGCATCTTGACGACCACCCCAGTATTTTGTCCCTTATTATCCATAGGGATAGTTGAGAAAGCCAAATGATGGAGAGCGCGTAAAAATTTCCACGCGTGGGGTGAAGCGAGACACCGGGGAAGGGAAGAAATATTCCCATTCCTCGCTGGTGGTATTTTCACGAATGCTCGTGCATTTCGCTCGCTTGGGCCAAACCTGAGAAAAATGTGGGTCTACTCATCGCTCTTAGCAATCTTCAACTTTAGGTTTAATAATCTCTTAAATGTGGTAAAATGACTTTATCAATTCAGTTAATAAACCCTTTTTTCACTCCCCTACCCCAGTTCCTTGAGGAACTTTTCATTAACCTTCAAACTTCAATACACTCGATATAGGAGACATTTCTGTTTGTTTGCCAATACATCGTAATCTTGAAGCAAAAACAAGTGTAGTCAGAAATTGTGCTAGCACACTATTACGCAAAATATCGAGGAAATTCACTTAACTAATTATCTTGTTTTTCCTAATGCAACTGATGAAAATTACCGCAATGAAGGAAGATATAATCAAGACATATTGAAAAAAGTCGTTTGCTGCTAAATTATAAATATTTAAATCTTTATATTTATCATTTAAAACCCGCCAAGTTCACGCTTTACATAATTAATATCCCTTTGAACGCCTAACCATAAGAAAGGCTTTGTTAAGTAAGGCTTTGTTTTGAGACAATTCAGATCTCTAAGCAGATCACTGAGCTAAAGAATAAACTAGAATATAATGATATGCTGTTTGCACATAATCAAAATATCTTTGCTCTAAATATCTGTTATTGAATCAGATAGTAACCCTAACATGTCTACGAACAGGAGTAAAGCAGTGGGTCATTTGACAGTCACAGATTGATAAATATGGAACTGATGAAGTTTTTTGCGTGAGATCTCATAGTCAGTTTTAATGAAATTTAAATAATTTATATCTAGTTGAAGAATATCAAATGTAAACAGCCCTGGCCTTAGAGCATTCGGTTCTGGAGGGTTGTCTTCACTAAATAAGAGTTTAAGCTGATCAATCACTGTTTTGATCTGACTTTGAAAAGTTGACTATGGGCAATCGTTTGGTTTTAGTTGACATATTGTCTCTGACAAATCAAATTCTTTTGTGTTTTTGAATTAATCTGCTCGTGTGTGGCATTCTGTATTAAAGATTATATTAACATTTTGATGAGACTCTTTACCAAAAATAACAGACATTAATTAATTTCTCCCTAGATACGGATCGGTAAAAAAATAAACAACCACCGGTAATGGACTATTTAGAATGAAACGACAAGGCACATCACTGAGTAATTTCATCAACTTATTTCTTATTACCTGGAATACAGGCTTATCTTTCCTTTCAACCTGACAAAAGAGGCAATTTTACATCACATAAGGATAAAATTGTTGACCCAAAGTACATGTCCTTTGTAATCCGGCTGTTTTTTACTAAGTGCAATACACACGTTGTTCGAATGTTCTTCTTTTTTATCGTGATTGGCCATGCATGCATGAGAAGTCAGTACTCACCGTACTTTTTTCCCCCATCTCATGGCATTTTCGTGGCTAAAATTTGCTTATAGACTCTACAATTTTGACAGTATTAACTCTTTTAACTTACTTTTAAGAAATATTTTCACACTTCATTTATCAAGTGGAACGTTAGCTACTTAGGAGACGTTCGAGAAGCTCGCGTACTAAAATAACTGAAATTCTTCGTTGCAAATACTGAATGAAAGTGAGCGACTTCTCTCTAGAGAAAAAGAAACACTGGAGCTACAGGGCCAAACAGGAAATGGTACCGATCTTGCACATTTCATCCGAAACTGATTCAAGTGATTTGTAACTCTGTCAGGTATTTGTGTCTGATCTACCAGTCTCTTCACCTAAAGAACATATCTATAATAGATATAAGAAATAGATAAACGATACGTATTTCCCCGGAAAAGACGCACAGTAATAGAAATTCTAGTTATTCATATGCTGATATAATTTGATTGAGCACGCTTCCACTTACCATAGACAAACAAACTACTAAACTAAAACGTACCACTGAGAAATTCTTTACTTAAATTTTTCATCAAGTGCTGTTTATGTCTGATTAAGTACAGTTAGATTTTTATCTTTTAAGCTGACAAGCAAGATTTCTTCAAAGAGTCATGAATGAATCTTGTGAATGACATTCTGGAAACATGGTAGATTTCAACAAACGGTTTGCGACAAAGTATTTGATTACGGCATTCTGTCTTCAAGCTATGTTCAGAGGTACGATATTTGGTACACGAGACAACTCTACCCCTTACGTCCTAGTTAGTTACTTATTTGTTTATTTCTTTTAGTTTGCATTTGTTTATATGTTTATGTGCTATTAAGTTTTTTGCATATCTCTTTCTCCGGTTTTTGTTTTTAATTCAGTGTTAACCGTAGTATTTGCCATCAATTCACTTAGTTTCATTTAGTTTTTAGTAGTCTTGGTTCTTAACTACGTTACGACTTTATTCACTAACCATGCTGAGTTGCTTAACTATATTTACATAGACAGACACGAACTACGGACAGTCCTTTTTGGGCTTATAAAGCGCTTTCATATGACGTCACGGCGGCCATATTGGTGTCCCTGACAATAAAACGCCAGCCATGTTCGTACTCCAAACCAATTCTGTAGAAGTCGAACCTTTTTCTTATGTCAACACTTTCGTTTGTTCCAATAAATTTGCCTACTTGCTGGCCACGTGACTGAAAACGCTCTATTGCCAAATACATAATTACCAATGAAATTTTATTGTTCTTTTTTGCTTATGACCAAAATGAATAAACTTACAGACAGTGGTAAAGGCCACTCTCCAAATAACGTAGCTAGTTACCGTTGACGGCAGCCGAAAAGAATTTCGAACTGTCCATCTTTGATGGAATTACATAAAGTGACTTTTCATTTGTGTGTTGCTGTCAGAGACAGCGTCACTGACTGGTACGAGGTTTTTCAATCACATCAGTGCTGTTTATAGTTTCAGAGGCAAACCAATCGTGCCCAGCAGGATTTACCGGAAGTAATTGCTCTACCGGTACGTATTTCATAGATTTTCTTATTTCCAGGGGTTTCTGACGCTTTTAACGGGGTGGTAGCTTTGACGATTGACGGTTATTTTTTTTTTCCAATTGTGACGTTTGACGGTTAAATTTTAGACCTTTTGACGGTTGACTGTTATTAAGTAGAAATTTAATCCAAGAGTTTAAGTGAGCGTTAATTTCTGTTTTAATTAATATTAACTGTTGTGTTTTAGAAGTTGACTTGGCCTTTCACTTTTAAAATTTAGAAATATTTTCAGATGTAAGCAAGTTGTAAGGTCATGTAATGTCTTGAGAGAGAGTTTTTGAGAACATGGAAACTGGTTTTTCCAGCTAAAAAGCTCTTCAGGGGCCAGACGTTCGTGAAGATCAGCTGAAATAGTGGGATTTGGGATACCTTGAAATTCTTGGACGGTTAATATTAATGTACATTTTAAACGGTTGACGGTAAAAAAATTATCTTTTCGACGACTGACGATTACATTGAGACCCTCGTTTGTTAATTAATTATTGACCTTTCCAAAAATCGCTTTCAAATGCCATGTGGCAGTTTGGTTTGGCCACCGACTGACCACACCTCCTTGAAGGAGTCGACGACTCTCCTATTGTCTGGACAAGAGGAATGGGCGAACTTAAACGAGAACGTAAATTACCACCACTGATGGTGGCATAACATAACCCCCCAAACTAAGATCATGAGATCATGAATGCATTAGGGGGTGGGGGGGGGGAGGTATGAGAGGAGAATTGTTGATTGTGATATTTCAGTATCATATTAGTAGTTATGTCCAGGAAGCTTGTACATCATTCGACATATTTCAGTCTGTTCTATTGTTTTACAGACATTAACGACTGTATTGGTGTTAGTTGTTCAGGCAATGGAAACTGTAGTGACCGTGTAGATGGCTACATTTGTTTCTGTAACAGTGGCTTTTTCGGAATCAACTGTGAAGTGGGTAAGGCGAGTCACCTCATCCAATAGTCTCATTAGGTTATCTTAGAAAACCTTTTAATCTTAAACTATTTTCATAACATTAACCTATTCCTAGACATACATAATAGTGATACAATCTTACTTGGGCCATCCACAAACAATGCCTATATGTACTACCCCCTCCCTTTTCTCCTTTCTCCCCCACTCCATTCGACCCCTGTGACACAGGCTACTCAGTCCGTGGGCATGTATAAGATTGCCACAGCGAATACGCAGGGTTCTAGGTTTTTAGGCCCTATTATTGCGGAGTACCCAAAGAGAATATAAAGTATGTTTTTTATTACAGATGCAAGGCTTGTAAAGACGAGATGTTCATACAAGCACTGAGACACAAGACTGGTACTATGTTTCAGTTAAAAACAGCCTGCATCATTTTACTTTTGCAGAGTGCTGTCTGTACCCGACACCGCTAATTAATTGTAGAAACGATCCCTGCTCACCCCCCACCTCCACCCCGAAAAGTACTCTCCCTGGTTTCAACAGTAAACAAACTGTCCTTAAAGCTCTAACAATAAGTACTAGATAAATTTGACATTGTTAGCTATTAAGCCTTAACAAGCTAACCTTTTTCTGTACAGGTGCTGATACGTGTTCACCTAATCCTTGTAAAAATAATGGGACTTGTATCAAACAAGGAATTTCCTTTACATGCAACTGCGTCTCAGCCTACGAAGGAACAAGATGTGAATCAAGTAAGCCCAGTTAAAGCAACAATTCCAGCTAATGTCATTTAATATGAATCTTACTCACGCTACCTTCATATATCAACTCGAAATTAAGTAAGTCTTTACAAATTGATTACTTAATGACAACGAATTGCCTTGCCTATAAAATTGCCTTGATTCTCGGTAACATTTTCAGTATAGGAGCTCTCGTTGCCTTTGATTCTTTATTCAAAATAATAACTAAAAAATAATTTGCTCAGTTTCGCGTCATACAGTTCCTCACATCAGGGCCAAAAAAGTACCAAATAAGTTTAATGCAGTACCTTCAGCTTGTCAGTAATATGTTCTCTGTTTTCTGAAGTTCATCGCCAAGGCATTTATTGGAGCAAGCTAATTGTCTTGTTGTGTTTCCCATTTTCAGAGAAGCCACCAATCACGTTTTCAGTAACAACCAAGCTGAGAAACAGACAGTATATCTCCGACCTTGCCGATTTAACCAAACCTAACACGCGTGCTCTCATCTTAGAGCTCACCAATATATTCCAGCCTTTCTTCATGAAGATGTTCCCTGACTTTCTTGCAATCAGTTTCCTTGGATTTTCCTCAGGAAGTTTAGTGACAAACTTTGACGTAACATTTGAGGCAACATCGAATGTTTCAAGCAGCAATATTATTCAGGCACTCACAACGGCCAACAACTCTAGAGACCTGCAGTTTCTAATTTTCGAGGAGATTACAGTTATGTCTGTAGGAAACATGAATACGCCCTCAGAAACCCCGACAGGTTTGTTCTGACTCTTCGTCGCTGTTGAGCTGTACTCGACACTTAATAAACAACTGTCACTTGCTGATACTAAATCGCTTGCACTATCATTTCAGTTGAGACTGGTGCAAGTGAATTTTAAAAGGGATAATTGATTCCTCAACAAACAGTTGGACCCAACACAGATACAAGGGGAGTCGTTTTAGCTGGAACAGGGCCAAAAGACAGCATTAAAGCATTCTTTTTTAAAATTTGAGGGCTTGTCTGTATGGCCTTGCCTCCTGTGATAAAAATATCCTAAAAATCTTTAATTTAGTTTTATCGTACATTGTATGATTTTTTTACTTAATTAACGTTTAAGAACTTTCGCTCACAATCATTAAAACACGGGCAGCGTTTGTCGGGTCATGAAAAGCCGAAGTAAATAAGAAATACCATAAGTGGATGTGAAGAGAGGAAGACAGGGAAAAAATTATAAATTGCAAAATATATTCATCGATGATTGCGACAAAGTATCGTTATGACATGGTTGCTATAGGAGAACTGTGGTCATCTCTCCCGGGAATCGACCTGCTAGTGACGTGGAACGATGAGAGACCGCTGTATTCTTAGGCCAGACTGATAACTGTTGTATTGAAGGAGTTTTTTCTTTTTTAACAGATTCATCTTCACAGCTGGCGACGTGGGAAATCATTTTGATTATTACTGGAGTGGTTCTCTTTATCATTCTTGTGATTCTTGTTATTTTCCTTGTGAGTATACATAAAAGTATTACTGAGCAATATTTCGTTATTAACCACCTTTTGGCATTACACTCTCAAGGTTTTCTACCAGTTACCAGAGGAAAATTATGGTGTGCCTGTGCAGAAGAAGTGATACCCCCACCTTGAGGCGTGTAACACCTGCGAGACCCTTCTTGTCCAAATGCTGTGAGACCAGATTCCCTTCTCCCATTCTTAGCGGCTATCCACATGATACCGGAATGACTTCAATTCGGAACGAGCTCATTCCATCTCCATATATTTATCTGTTTGTTACATGATACCGAAACAACATTTCGTTCCCGTACAAGTCATTTCGGAATAGGTTCATTCCGGCTTTCAAAAGGTTCGCTTCGGATTGAAAATCACAATTGTGTCTGGGGCCAGTGGCGCATGAGTATCTGATCTGAAGCGAAAACCACGCGGGCGAGAACGCTTTAAGCTAGCCCCACGATTTTATCATGTGAATGCAATACGAACTTCATCAAGCAACGAAACTCATTCCGAAATGAAAGTCAGAAATCACGTAAACAGGATTCACTGTCGTAAAAAAGTTAATGAGTCCAGTGTTGTTTAGATCCAGCTGCATAATTTTCAATTTTACCCAATTTTCCTCTTGCAGGTGTTATACAGAAGAAAAGTTTACACCCACAAGGAGACGGTACCTGGTCATAGTGACTGGGAAAAAAATTCAAGCATTAAAAAACGTGAAGTGTAATTGCCATCGAGCTGCGATATATATTAATTAATCAAAGCATGTTACTTGCTTTTACCGATCACTTGGATTTTTTTCACGTTAATCTTTATCGTTTTCTATTAAAGGCGACGTAAAATTTGTGTTACTATAGAGAATTACGAGTGGTGAAAAGGACCATTGAAATGACTACTACTCAAAAAGTGATCTAAAATTGTAAAAAACACGAAACCATGAAAACGATATTCTTTTAAAAAACAAAATTCAAAATGGAATAACACGAACTCGATAATACATGTATGATACCAGAGTAATAAAAGAGATTTCAGATTCACAAGCTGGGGAATTAAAAGCAGGTTTCAACGGTATCGTGTAAACACCTCCTGTCCAACAGGAATCAGTCGAAAGGCGCTCTTCGTTCGGTATTGTTTTAACCTGAAAGTGTTTACCCGGTGTTTTACCAGTTAAAACTGTTGCGTGGTTTTGGTAAGTGCGCATGAAACTAAACCAACATATTAAACATCTAAGTAAAGTTGGTAAACTTACATGGACTTTGATAATAAAGTTCTTGTCTAGTAATTGTTGTTTCTTTCAAAAACAAGTTAACGAACCCCCTTCAGAACCTGGCTACAATGTGTAAAAAATGTTTTTTAAGACCCCACACATTTCACTAACCCTTTCACCCCAGATGCTTTGGATCGCCAAGTAATGGGATCAATTGAAGTTTCTGGGTAACTGACCACCTACCCCTCCCTTAAGTTACAATTTTTCAATAACTGAGAAGTGAGTTTTAATGTTGACTTAGGTGAGGGGTAAGTGGTCAATTAGAGAAAAACTTCAATTGCACAATTTCTATCAGCGAAAACTCAGCATTTCAAAGAGCTAACCGATAATTTTACAATGTACAGTGAACCTCCTTAAACAAAGGCAGACGGTCATTTTAGATTAGGATGAACCTTAAAGAAATAAAATGTAATCAGTAGAAAATGATCTCATATACAAATTCCTTGGCTTGTAAGTGCAACGCCCCTCAGAAGGATACATAGTAGACTTTTTAGTTTCTCACACAGTGATGCACTTTTGTGTTAATTGCTGCGGTCATTGGTTAATTTGAAGCCTACTGCTAGAATTCTCTGAGTTGGACACATAATTGGCGAAAAAGAACAAACAACCTAATGCAGTTTTAAACATGAGGCTTAGCCAAAGAAGGGTCGAATCCTTACATTTTTACAAAAACTGCTGTGTTAGCTGATAGAACATCTCTTCACAGTGATTTCTTACAGCAGTAGATTCGTAGTCATTTTGTCCGCCCTGTTATCTCGCACACTTAATTGGAAAAAAGGCACCCCGTGACCTCTTAGGAGACTAAGTCTCTAAGCAAGACACACCATGGTCATTATATGAAACACCAGCAGGGGACCATTTTCATTACTGTTGAGCTTTTTCCAAGCTTAAATCACAAACATATCTGCTCCCGGCTATTTCTCTTTACCTCAGAGTAACGTATGAAATATAACGCCGAGAAAAGTAATTTTTCGAAACTAAGGACTCGGCTAATGTGAAATTGTTTACACTTCATGTAAATACCTTTGTTAACATTAACCCATCAGAGCTGTATGTGCACAGTTTGAAGGATACTGTAATATTATAATAATAAATACAGAATACTTGACCGTTGGATTCCTTGATCTGCTTTCTCAAGCTAAGTGGACATGATCTTTCGCGTGGACAAACCTTTAGACACTGACTATGCTGAAATTTTTATTTAATTTGCATAACCAGTCACTGGTTAGTGAAAAAGAGGACTATGTTACTTGAACATACCCTCTAACATTGTGAGAATTATGTGTAATTTTAATTTTGTCTTATTTTATTATCTGATTATCGAGTACACCAATTGCGTGCTTATTTCCACTTTTCATGCACTTGCTCACTGCACTTTAATTTATAGCCATACCACGACATTATTTACTGTTTGTTTCAAATAGGCAAGACAAAAGAACAGTAAGACTGGCAGGTGTGGCTTATCTGTCTCTTGGCCACAAATGACGCAAACGAACATTTCCATGAAATAATAGTGGAAAAAAAAAACCTACAGTGAGAGCGAAAGTAACCTTTGGCCTTAGACATTACACAGTTTTCCCAGACCCAAAAATTCCAGGGAACGTATTACTAAGCTTTTTATTTAATATTTTATCTAGAATGTTTTGTATTGTTTGTTGATCGTGAGAATGTCTTTGTACCTTTGACACATTAACACAATGCTGTTATTAAGCTATCAAATCGTTCAACCAAGAAGAAAAATAAAACATAAGCCCTTTCGCAAAAACAACTTAACTATATCATCTGATGAAACGTAATAAATTCGTTAGAAGAATCCAAAAGCTACTGAAAAGGTGAGTCTAGTTTTATTTTTCATAGACATTTTTTTATCCCCATAAAGAATGTATAGGTCTATGCTTTTTAAATTAAACAATTGCAGTACCTAAAGACACTAGTTAAGTAAAATTTAAAACGAAATTAGCTACTTTCTGCTTGAAATTGTCATAGCATTACCACAAGAGTGTGTTCCACAAAGAAAAGATGCTTTTGTGATTCCAGTATCCCTGATAAGATGTAGGCTCTCAGTGTTCTTTTTGTCCTATAGTTGTTACCAACTCAAGATTGTTTCTCTTGAGAAAAGTATGATATTGAAAAAAAATACAATAAAAGAAAAAAGGTAAGAAGAGTACATCAATTAAAAACAAATTGTGTGCGCAAAGCCTTTTGTCCAAAAGTTTTGAGTTCAGTTTAGTCTTGAGCTGCCTTGCTTTGCGAGATGTTTTTCAAGTCTGTGACCGAATCTGCTAAAATGATACTTGATGCAGTTTGATAATTCATTGACAACTGGGGTTGCGTATTTTTCTCGGGTTTTCTAAGCTCTTCGTAATTCTCAAAAATACTCCTTCTAGAATTGTTATATGTCATAGCATTGATGCCTCACCTGCGTAGCCAACAAATGAGCAAAAACAACAAAAAACTATTTGATTATTATTAAGCCTTTTTTATAATGCGTTTGTCAATTTTTTTTTTGCTCTGTTTTTCTAAGAGGAAAATTACCCGCGCAAACTGAATAGTTGAATAAACGTCTTGAAGGGATTTAAAACGCGTTTATAATTAGGAATTAAGTTGTCATTGGTGATGGCCCTTTGTTCACATTGTTTCTAAAAACAGATGTTTCTCGAAACTTCGTCGGACTCATTAACTTTAAAATTGTAATTTTTAAGTTTACAATGCAAACACTATATAATTAACCCCTATACGTCAAAAAAAGCAGAAAAATACCTTGACGTAAACGTAAATACGTAATTCATAGAAAATGATTTTTTAATAATTAAACACTCTATATTTTAGTATTAGCAGTCATTTTACCTTTCTACATCATTCAATTTGCCAAGTAAAACACTGATAAGTAAGTTTATACATTGCTAGGTCAATCCGGTTACCTCCGTTGTTAAATGACCATTCTTACCTTAATAACATACACTTTACTATGTTTTCACTTAAAGGGTTCCAGTGCAACAAACCTACAAAGGCAATTTCCTAAACAAATATCACTGATAGACATCCAGGGGACATGGACTTGAAAATACCCTATCTGGTTCATTTTTTGGGGTTAGTTCTTCTGCTGGTCATGTTGAAAGGTAAAAACACTCAATCCATTCAAGTATCACGAACCACCTACTTCAAGTTTGATCCTAAACTTTTAAGGTTGGAAAAAGGGGTGGTATGTCATGTAAGTTCAAAAACAGAGCCAACCTAACACAAAGCAGTGCTTTTGTGAAGTGCCCCTAACAATTAGGCAGAGGGAGATAATGCCTGGAATCAAACAACATAGTAGAACTGAAAAATGAATAGTCTTTGAGAGAAAGAGGCTCTTATGAATTTCTGAAGGAAAGAGATGGAATAAGCACAAAAAATTGGAGAGTACCGATAAGGAAAGACCATACATGAAGTCGTTAATAACCGTTTTCTTTTTTACAGTGTCTACGGGTGATCAGCCTTGTTCGACTGGGTTTACAGGAAAAAACTGCTCTGTTAGTAAGTATTTTGATATCTAAGTTTGCAAAGAAAAGAAAACAAAAAAAGGTGAATATAGCAAAAAAGGGTCTCGATTTGGAGCTTGCCCGACTTTCTGCATTTGCAAATAAGGATTGTTATTAGCGCAGTTAAAATCTCATCAACATTTTTTGTAGATGAGTAAACTAATAAAATATATCTCTTTCAAGTTTTTCTTATTTCCAACTAAATTCCTTGCCAATCGAAAATTTCTAGCTTGAGAGAAATTGTGTGATACTATGCGGGGTCTCGTTTTTTAGTTTCTCTAATTGTTCCGCAATAATGATTTCAGATTAAATTGCATCGTTTGTCCACTGGATATGTGGCAAGTAACTTTGCGACAGTGGAATATCCCTCTAAAGGAGCAACAAAAAAAACGTTTTCTTTCTCACCCTTAGAGGTTGCTTAGTTAAGGCTTCAAATGTTGCGTGGTATATTGTGTGGAGCTTCCCATCCTGTATACTGCTCCAGGACTGCAAGGAGAGAATAGTTTCCTTTATGTGTTAATTCTCAAGACACACTTTTGTTAGCAGTATGAATTGAGACCCATTTTTCTCATTGCAAGCACTCAAAGCATCCTATTGATGATCGGTTACGACAATAGTTAGATATTTGGAGGAGCAAAAATCGTTACAGTCCGTCCCCTTTTTAATAAAATGGCTGTCGCAGCAGTTATCATGAAGTCGCAGATAAATGACAGTCTTTTCGTTTTACAGATATCGATGATTGCATCAGCGTTAATTGTTCTGGCAATGGTAACTGTAGTGACCGTGTGAATGGCTACTTCTGTTTTTGTTTCCATGGCTTCTTTGGAATGAATTGCGAAAAAGGTAAGGAAGAACAGACTGCTTTTAAATAGTCATTTAAGGTTGCTGATATCAGTTTCAACACCATCTACATGTGTCAGTCCTCCTACCCAATACCGTTTAATACTGTTCAGTTAATTCAGTTGCAATGGCTATGAATCCCGACAAGTTTTTCATGGCTCTTTATTCATAACTTTTTATTCATCGTATTCCAACTTTGTGAATGGATACGCTGACCAAGAGGACGCATCCAGTCAGTTTCAACTAAAACCAATATATTATGCAAAGTCAGAAAGCTTCCAACATAAACTGTAACACCTGTGTTGCCACTTTTGATTTTTCCACTTTTAATAGCCATTGCAAATGGAATGAATTGTTTTGATAATGCTACAGTCGCTTATTTTGAATTAACAGACAACTCTAGGCACAGTTTTACCGTTTTAACAACCTTGCAATGTGCGAGGAGGGGCTCAGAGTCACGTTAAATATGATTATACCTGGTGACAACACGTTTGCTCCAATTATTTTATTTTTAGATGCTGATAAATGTTTTCCTGAACGGTGTGAAAACGACGGGACTTGCTATCATGACGGAGACTTGTTGAAATGTAACTGTACTGCAGCGTATGAAGGAGAAAGATGCGAATCAAGTAAGTACGTTTTAAAAATCAAGCGTTTTTAAAGATTAAGAAGTTAGGTTTTAGATTCGTCTATTATTTGCAGTGATCGCCTATTTCAATCTTCTCATTCTTTAGTATCTACAACCAGGGGTACCTTCCGGCAAGTGCCAACTAGGCGAATTCGTTTATCTTTTGTGCAATGTGCCTATTCAGATTTTCGCGATATTTTTTTCACAATTTTAGAGGTTTAAAATGGATTCCGCAAAAGAAAAGGATGGCACCCAACTTCAAAACAACAACTTTGGCACATTTAAGGCGTTCACTTTTATTAAACAATCACAACATGGCTTGAAGCTTTGTTGGTAAATATGAGCAAGTTAGCACTTATGTTTCTTGGAAAATCCATTGTATCAAAACTGCAAACGTTAGAAAGAAAAATATGGTCTAAATGAGACCTTTGACTGCTGTATTAAAAATAATAATTAAAGTCCGAGCAACAGCGTTATCAGGGATAAGAAAAATATTTCGCGTGGTAAACTACACTAAAAAAAAATTGGTGTAAACTAAAATGTGTGAAAAGCGCAGGAATGGGGCGGAATGAATCTGAGGTATAAAAATATAAACTTGAATAAAATACAAAGATCTGATGAGCGAGTGTCACAGGACAAAGAGTCTCTTGAAAGGCATAATAATATTCTTCAAAACAAAAGGTCTGCAAATTCGGTGCATTCCTCACGGGAGTTTTGGGTTGTCTCAATGTAAATCGAGCAGCAAAAAAACATGCTGGTTGACAAAATCCCCCGAAAGACAAATTAGATAAATTCTAAAAAAAATAAAAGGTCCGCAAATACGTTGCATTCCTCACGGGAGCTGAGGACTGGCTCAATGTATATCGACCTGGGAAGAACACGCTGGTTCTGATAAAAGTTTTGAGAATATATCCCTATGCCTTGATCAACTACCGCTTAAAATTCAATTCACAAAGGAAAAGAGAACACTGGAACCCTGGTTCTGAGTCGTGAAGCGAACACGCTACCTCAATGTAAATCGAACTGCAAAGAACAAGCTGGTTCTTACAAATATTTGAGCGTAAAACCCTGTTCCTTGATCAGCTGCTGCTTTAAACGCAATTTATAAAGCAAATCAGGGCACTAATTGTCCTTTCAAACTAGAAGTCGTATTAAAAGCTTGCTCACCTGTTAGGTCCTCTTGAACAGACAACGAACAGCTGCACACTAAATCACACAATTAACCTCTCCACAAAATATCATGACATACCATAATGCTCTTTGTTTTTCACCCCAGAAAGTTGAATAAGCATTGTTTTCAGTTTCTCTTGGGGCCATTTTAACTCCCAAGAGAAAACTGAAGACAATGCTTATGCAAAATTTTGGGGGAAAAACAAACAGCATTATGGTATGCTATGATACTTTCTGGAGTGGTCAATTTCGGACCACGAGTTGTAAATACAAGACCATGACGTCACTACCCAAATATGGGGTCTTACTTACACCCAAATATGGCCAAAAATGCAAATTTTAGAGGGTTACGCAGAATTTGAGAGTTTTTGCCTACATTGCGCGCGTTATAATTCTGCCGTCGAGGCAACCTCGCTTCTTAGCTCGGTTGCGTCGTTGGCAACAACTAGGAAGTTAATTATTTTTCTTTTCTCTACTTTTCCTTTTTTTTTTATAGAGAAGCCATCTATAACATTCTCTGTCATAATGACGTTGAGAAGCAGACAATATATATCCGACTTTGCTGACCTAACCAAACCAACGACTCGTGCCATCATCGCAGACCTAACCGACATATTCACACCTTTCTTTAACAAAACATTTCAGGACTTCCTTCAAGTAATCTTCACAAGATTTTCCCCGGGGAGTTTAGTGACAAACTTCGATATATATTTTGAGCCAACAGCGAATGTTACAAAAACTAGTATTATCCAAGCACTGGAAAGAGGCAATGGTACAAAAGACTTGCAATTTGAAATTTTGGACAAGATTACATTTGCCAGTGGAAACCCAGATAAAGTGGAAACCCTTGAAACAACTGAAGAAGGTTTGAAATCAGTTTCTAGTTGCTTAAAATGTCATTAAGGTTCGACCCAACATGGTATGGTCCTGGAAACCTATACCTTAAAACCGCCTCTTTCTTTCGAGCAACTTCATAATTTTTACCCAACTTTCTTCGGCCAGTCGAGAGCTAGTGAAGCATGCGGGCAAGTTAGACATATATCTGGCTCCAGGTCAATTATTTCGATGCTTGAAAACTTGAAACTGTCATTATTTTGTTTTGATGCTTAAAAATTTGCATTCCTTTCTAGTTATAGAGTTGTGCTTTAGCAGCCCTTTATAGTTACAAATTGTCAGAAACATAAAGTAACGGATCGAAATTCTAGGATCATGGGTGCAGCAGATAAAGGCACCTTCTAATAGAAGGTTTATGGTGTTCAGTCTCCTTAGGTGTTTGACGTGTTTACATTTATTATGGTTGGACTTTTGTCTTAAATGAATCACGACGGAATTTTTTGGCTTAAAATGAATGGACAGAAAGTGTTAAATTTTGAAGGTATACCAAGAGAAGATGTTCTTTTTAACAGATTCTTCTTCGTCGAAGCTTGCAACCTGGATCCTGGTTTTGATCATAGCCGGAGTCATTTTCTTCATCCTTCTTTTGATTCTCATAGTTTTGTTTGTAAGTATCAATAAATGTTTATAGTAAGTTGATAAAGGACTTGTCAAGTTTGTCAACTATTTCTGGTTTACAGCTCAGGTGTTAGCCATATGGCGGCCATGTTAGTTGACAAAGTGTTGTTTGAATGTAAATAGTTTGATAAAACGGTGAATTTACATGATATACTAGTTGCTGGTACCGCGTAAGCTATTGTAGCTTCTTCACTTATAAGGCAAACCTGGCGTTTGTCAAAACAATTCGCGTAAAACAATTCTCTCTCTTGTTGTAGGTGTTATACAGACGTAAAGATAACCAGGACCCAAAGAGACGAAGACGAAGTGAGATGGTAGTTATTGATGGTAGTTGGTCCTTAACATCGCAGAAAAATACGAGAACGACATTAGCAGAATGAAGAATCAACAATTACATTGTAAGTTGCTATCAGGTTTGTTAGGTCTCACAATTATTCACCGAAGTGGAGGTGAATGGTGCTGGATACATTCCAGTGTTTTTGGATCGGACACACTTTATTCAATGAAAAAAGGCAGTCCAAGTCATGAATTCTTTTCGCTTCTCAACATAACAGAAGCTCATCTGAGTAAAAAGAAAAAAAAAACAAAAAAATGAAGTACGAGTGTGTAAACAAAAGCAGCTGCTGTTGTGCTGTGTGCCGTTTTTGGGTGTGGATGGAAAATTGGTGACACAGCGTTACACACAACTGTGTACGCATGTCACAAAGCAAACAAACAAACAAAAAGAGAGAATAAAAAACAATCATGCTGCAATACTGTAATTAGTCTTTACTATTTGAAGAAGCTCGGAGCACGGGAGGGGTTCTCTGAAGTCATATTTCCGCATATAAAACACATCACAATTGTCATCATAGGGTTGGAACATCACAACATTGTAAGTCACACGTTCAAACATGTCGTTTTTTAGGCTTCAAATCTTAGTACTGCTGTGTATTGTTTCACTTTCATTTGGCAAAAATATTAAAAATCCCAATGATTATTCGAAAAATGTCAGCAGGTCTAACAAACCTTTTCAGTTATAGATTTTCGGAACTCATAGTTCATAAAAAATAATTGATTTTCTATAGCAAAAAACATTTCGTAAAGGCAACGTCCTTAACGATCTTTAGTAATTAAGGTTAGTTACCGTTCACTCATTCATTCCTTTGCTTATTTACTAACAGACGTTTTTATTTCATCTTCGTAGATTTTTTCGTGGATTAGACTAGATGGAAGATCAAGGCGGGCCACCAGTGGCCAAATACTAGCATCACCTGTTCGTGTTTATTGCCGTTATTAAACCTCTGTAATAAAAAGATAATATTTGGGTTTTCTTTTTTGAAGTTATTGAAAAAGTTATTATTTTAGGCTTGATTTAACATAAAGTATACTTAACGTATAATTAACAACTCATTGCTTTGTGCGGCTTGTAGCGAATTGGTTACTATTCTTTTTAGCCTGTATGTTTTGTTTTTCAAGTTCAGACCACCTGATGTTCTCAAGGAAGTTTTCCTTTAATTTGTATTTTCTTAAAATTATGCATACATATTCAATTGGATAGGCTGACATTTAAAAGAAACAGTGTTCTGGGGTAACGTCACAAGAAAACATTTTATTTTTAATATAATTTAACGCTTTCAAATAGCTGAGCTTGGCTACACCCAAGTAGCTCCAAGTCATTGTTTGAAACTTCCCATACAGGTAAACATCTGGGAATCACCTCTCCACAACTGGAGGCCGGACAACTCGGTTTGTGTGTACAAAAGTTAAAATATCTTCGGGTGGACTTTTGAATATGTTTTGTTCCTCTATTCAGCTTTGATTCAGTGCAATTGTAAAACAGTTACATAAATGAACTTAACTTAATGTAAAAAAACTGACAAGTAACAAATAAATATTCATTTTTGAGCACGGATGTTAATGTTCACTGTAACAGCTTGACTTGCCCATTCGACGGATAAACGTTAACACTGAGATCTCGCAGCATTACAAACACATCTCTTAACGGACATTCAACATTTAACCCAATGTCGCACGAGATCGTTTATTATCCATGCCCATCGGAACTGTCAATCACCAGCGCGCTGAAATAAAATCTAAGCTCGAAGCAGAGACACAAATGTCAATGCCCTATTACTCACAAGCCCCCCTCGGAACTTTTCAGGGATAATTTATAACACTAGACATGTGCGGGGGCCATATTGTTAAACAGCTTGTGGTTCAGTGTCAAGTGTAATGAAGCCGTGATTGAGATGCGAATGCCCTCTAACATAACTTTGGCATAGACACTAAGGGTGATCGTCACTTCCAGACACTTTTTTACAGCCCTAATGCTTCGTCAAGCATTTACGATACCTATCCGAAATGACTATTTGTAGATGTAAAAGAATCTACAATTTGTAAAAGTAAAACTAGAGTAGTACATTTATAAGATAGAATAGTTTGATAAGTTTTATAATGTCAGTGATAAGTTTTATAATGTCAGCGAAATATATGTAGGTTTTTGGATCCCAGGTGCATAGTGAACCGTGTTCAACACCTTCATGCTGCTGCTGCTGGTGACGATTATTAATACTATGAGGATCCTGGAACATTGACGATGTAGGCCCATTGGATGTATTGGCCTTTTTGTCTCTTTTCCTTACAGCTAACGTGATGAATACCTTTATTCTATTTTTTCTCAATATTACTGAGTAACTAACATTTACATTCGAAAAGGCCCTAGTTATGTTTATAATTCCGTCTTACCAAGGAGCGATGGTGGTTTCCTACCCTCAACGTAATGGTATAGCTGTAAAGTTGGTTAGTTGACTACAATAACCTCTAGTCCTCTTTCCAACTTAAGTAAAATTTCGCTAAAAATTACTGAAAATAATGTTTCAGTAGCAAATTGTTATGATCACCTTATTGGAAAGTTCTATTATAACGTTTCCACCCCACAAGTTTGCCGCGCACATGTTGACCTACACCTTCCAACGTCATGACGTCATTTTTAGCCCAAAAATAAAGGAAACAATTTTATCCAGACGTTTTGTCACGTCTCTTCCCCTCGGTGAAATCTGGTACCCATGATGAGTTAATTGTACTTACGAAAAATGAAACGTTGAAACCAAAATTCCCGAACGATTTCTGATCTTTGGTTTCCATTTTTTCCGTTTTGTTTTGTTTTTTCCCTCAGGAAACCTTTTTACTACACACATAGTATGAGTATTGCACTCATCAATAACATTCGTCGGAATTTTATCCGACATATCCTGTTTCCATTGTCTCCATGACAGCCGAAAAGGACATAAATTATTTTTTATGATTGCCATTAAATTGCAAGGCAGGTGGATCGAACAAAACTCCAGTTTTTAGAATCCTCAATTATTCATTAAGCGATAGCGTCTTTTTGTTCGGTGAGTAATTAACGGAGGTTAGTGCGGAAGGAGATGTGTGCCAAATATCTGGAAATTTTGTGCATTTGCAAACAGTATATTTTACTCCACTGAGATGTATGTCTCACTTTTAAAGCTTTGCATATGGATCTTGACTGCGATTGTTTTGGATATTTTCCCCACAGTTTTAGGTAAGACCTCCTTTTGTTGTGATTGTCATTTAAGATAATAAGCCAGGTCTATAAAGTATTATTTACTTTTGAAATGGATGTCATTCGAGAATATCAAACTAGAGAGAGATGAAAGTCTTTAAAACTACTAGTTTTCTTTCATCAAAATTAGATGCTTATAACGAGAATGTTTTTAACTGATTTGATCGAGTAAGAACTGCTATAAGTCAGAACGAAATTCTGTCAGTGTTAATTATAGAATTTCCATTTTTATATGATTTGCTTTCTTTTGATGAGAGACGTCCCAGCATTTACATTGGTTTGATGTCTAGTTTGTTCAAGTTTTCTAATTTCGTAAAGAATTTAAAAGCACTTTCAAATGGACGTCTCCTTGTTAAGTAGTAGTTTTAGGTAAAATATCTAGGCTTTTTTGGAACCCCACCAGTTTATCACTGTCCTTATTACTATTACTACACATTTTGGCAAATATATAAGTGGGATATGTGTAATACAGGTACAAAATGATCTCAGGTAAACTTATTTACTAACTTTTTTTAATAGTTTCCACTTATTTTTGCCATTTCTTGTTATGGAATCCAACGTTAATGACGTTTCTCATCAATAAAAAATATTTAAGCAATAGGTGGCTGGTGATTTACAAGCTTTTCGTGTGTTCTCCCATTACATCCCATGTGGGTTATCACGCTGGGAAACCCATAGAAAGTGTGGTCTATTACGTTTATAAAATAACTTAAAGTTTTCTCTGACTTTACCGGCAAAATAAACAATAGGTTTCTAACCAATCAGAACGCGCGTATTATCTTGGTTTTTATTTATAAAATAGCTTTATGGAATAAAAGATTGTCTTCCTGGCGTCGCAATTCAATGTTACAACAACAAAGATAGGCCTTAAAAATCTGACAGGCTGAACAATGTTCAAAAACCCTCATTGTAATCCGTTATAATCATCAATTTTGCCCATCCCTATATTCCTTTCCGTTTTAGGAGGTTATTTATATATTTCATTCGGTTCTGGTGGCTAGTTCAGAGTGACTGGATTTGGCTAAGTTGCGTGACGTAGTTCCCACATGTTGTTTTTCACCTCTTCTCCTCCTATAACAAACGTCTTAACATACACTCCAGATTTTGTGGAACCTCCAAAGTGAAAAAGTCCCTCAACTCCCTCAGTCAGACGATCAAAGACTCAAGGAATGTAAATAGTTTTAAACGTAATGTTTTTAAGTTTTTGATATAGCTACTTACGTTTAATTTTTACTTATACTTATTTTTAATTTTTTATGCATTTTTTGTATCTTTTTAATCCCTTTGTAATTTTATAGCTTTTTTTTTTTGGTTTTTATAATATATATCTAGTTTTGAGGTCCTTTTTGAAAACCATATCTTTTATGAAAAAGTTTCCTCAATAAAGATGATTATTATTAAAGGTTTATGCCAAATTAAAACTGTCAGAACTTTCTCTGTGAAATTTTAGCAGAGCATCCTAATTTAAAGTAACCATCTCATACGTTACGGTATATATCTTATTATCAATCATTCAAATTAATTCGCCTGCTAACTTTTCATTTCGACATCTACATCTTACATTTGGAAATGACACCTGGAAATCTTGATACTTTACCCAACCAGAATAATGTGTTAACTTGATATTTGCTCCATTTTTAATAGGGGCAAATAGAACTTCCTTTGTGATAAACAGGGCATCAATTTCCCATAAGCCTTCTTGGTTTTCTACAACACTGATTGCCTCACACAGTCATCAAGTAGACACAGGCAAGCTGCCCACCTTCACTTCTCGTTGTTATTTAAATCCGAATAATTGTCAGACTCTTCATATCTCTAGTCAAAGTCCCCTTCTATCAGTGGATGGTACAACAGATCACATGATTTCAACTACGTCAAGGGATGGGAAGTCTACAGAGAAGAAACAAGATACAAACACCGCCTTTTCAAATTATTCTGTTACAACGAGACAATCATTGGTTGCAGAGATTGAAGTATCAGCAAGAGTAACAAAAATTCTAGCGGCAACGACAGCAACGAGAACAGGAGAGTCAAACCCTGCAATAAGAGCAGTAGTAGTAGCAACAAAGGAAACAGCCGTAGCAGTAGTGACAACGACAAAAGCATCGGGAAAACTTACAACAAAATTAGGAACAATAACAACAACAGGTGCAATGGGAGTAACAGCCTCACCAAAAAAGGCAGAAACAACAACAGCATTGATGAAAATAGCCGCCACACCAATAGCAACAGCAACAACAACAGCAGCAGCAGCAACAATGGTAGAACCAGCCACACCTAAAGCAGCGGCAACAACAACAGCGTTAGCAACAAAAACAAGAAATGTAGCAGTATTGACAGCAACAACAGACAAGGCAGTAGAAAAACAAAAAACAATAATAGAAGAAGCAGCACTAGCAAAAAAAACAACGACTACAATAACACAGAAGCTACAAAGTTTGCTACTTATGTTGTTACAGCGGCAGCAGCAGCATCAACAACAACTACGACAGTTACACCAAAAACAACGATGACAACACAACCCACGATAAAGGACATAGTTTCGAAAACATCCGAAGCAGCGGCAACAACAATGACAGAATTTGCTGCTTTTGCAGAAACAGGAACAGCAGTGGCAATTACCACAAAAGGAGCAGCAACAACAACAACAGTAGCAGCAAAAGCAACAATACAGGCGGCATCGACAGAAACAGCAATAACGGTGATAACAAAAGGAAGGGTGATAGCAGAAGGAACAGTCCCTGAATTAACAACAAAAACCTCTTCAAAGGAAGTAACATCAGGAACTGTAGCCGCTTTACTGACAGTGGTTACAGCAGTGTCAACAGCAACGGCAGCAACAATCACAAAAGCAGAGCCTCCGGAGACAACAACAACATCAACAGCAGCAACAACAACGACGACAGACGCAACAAAATCAACACTAACAGAACAAACAGCATTAGCATCGCAAAAGGTGGCGACAACAGCAATTACAACACCAGTAGAAGTGACAATAGCTACACCATCAATAACAACATCAGCAGAAGCAAACACAGTAACAGTAATTACAACAACAGTGACAACAACAACAAAACCAGCAGTGACAGTAACAACTAAAGTAATAACGAGAAAAATATCAAATGCAATAATAACAATACGAGCAGAGGCAACTGAAGAAGCGACAGCAACATCACCAGCAGACTCAACGACGTCAGCATCGACAACAGCAGAAAAAACAACAACAGCAGAAGTAATAATAGCCACAACATCAACAACAACACAACAGGAAGCAACAACAGCAACAGCAAAAACACTACAAGCACAAGAAACAACACTGACATCGAACAAAGCTGCGACAACAACAAAAGGATCAATTACAACACCAGTAGAAGTGACAATAGCCACCCCATCAATAACAACAACACTGACAACGAACAAAGCTGCGACAACAACAAAAGGATCAATTACAACACCAGTAGAAGGGACAATAGCCACCCCATCAATAACAACATCAACAAAAGCAAATAAAGCAACAGTAATAACAACTGTAGCAATATCAACGATAACGAAACCAACACCAGCAGTAACAACAGTGGTAACCAGACCAAAGGCATCGAAAACAAACCCAACGGAGGGAACAATAACAACAGCAAAAGACCCAAATGCAATAGCGACAGCAACAACGACAGCAGCAACAGCAATAGCATCAGTAACAACATCAGCAGAAGTTATAAAACCTACACCATCATCAACAGCAGCAACAGCAACACCACCACCAGAAAAAACAGCATCAATATCAACGCCTGTAGAAGTGATGACAGCTACACCATCAATAACAACATCAGCAGGGGCAAACACTGCAACAGTATCGATAACAACAGTGGCACGAACAACAACAACGAAACCAACACCAGTAGGAGCAATAACAACAAAAGTAATAGCGAAAGCAAAAGCAACTATAACAAGCCGAGAGGAAACAGCACTAGTCGCAACTACAATGGCAACAGCAACATCAACAGTAGACACAACAACATCAGCAACGACATCAATAACAACACCAGCAGAAGTGATAATAGCAACAGTATCAATAACAACACAAGCAGAACTAACAACTGTATCGACAACAATAACACGAGAAACAACAACTGTATCAACAGAACTACCATCAGAAGCAACAACGGTGTCAACAACACCAGCAGAAGTAAGAACAACAGCATCAACAACACTAACAACAAAAGCAACAACTGCATCAACATCAATAACAACATCAGCAGAAGTGATAATAGCAACAGTACCAATAACAACACAAGCAGAAGCAACAACTTTATCAACAACAACACCAGCAGAAGCAACAACTGCATCAACAACACCACCAGCAGAAGCAACAACTGTATCAACAACACTGCCAGCGGAAGCAACAACTTTATTAACAACAACACCAACAGAAGCAACAACTATATCAACAACAAGACCAACAGAAGTAACAACTGGATCAACAAAAATAACAGCAAAAACAACTGTATCAACAGAAATACCATCAGAAGCAACAACGGTGTCATCAACACCAGCAGAAGCAAGAACAACAGCATCAACAACACTAGCAACAAAAGCAACAACTGTATCAACAAAAACACCAGCAGAAGCATCAGCTGCATCGATAACAACACCAGCAGAAGCAACAACTTTATCAACAACAACACCAGCAGAAGCAACAACTGTATCGACAACAATACCAGCAGAAGCAACAACGGCATCAACAACAACACCGGCAGAAGCAACAATTACATCAAAAGCAATACCAAAAGAAACAACAACTGCATCAACAACAATACCAGTAGAAGCAACAACTGCATCGACAACAATACCACCAGAAGCAACAACTGTATCGACAACAATACCACCAGAAGCAACAACTGTATCGACAACAATACCAGCAGAAGCAACAACGGCATCAACAACAATACCACCAGAAGCAACAACTGTATCGACAACAATACCAGCAGAAGCAACAACTGCATCAACAACAATACCACCAGAAGCAACAACTGTATCGACAACAATACCAACAGAAGCAACAACGGCATCAACAACAATACCACCAGAAGCAACAACTGTATCGACAACAATACCAGCAGAAGCAACAACTGCATCAACAACAATACCACCAGAAGCAACAACTGTATCGACAACAATACCAGCAGAAGCAACAACGGCATCAACAACAATACCAGTAGAAGCAACAACTGTATCGACAACAATACCAGCAGAAGCAACAACTGCATCAACAACAATACCACCAGAAGCAACAACTGTATCGACAACAATACCAAAAGAAAAAAACAACTGCATCAACAACAATACCAGTAGAAGCAACAACTGTATCGACAACAATACCAGCAGAAGCAACAACTGCATAGACAACAATACCAAAAGAAACAACAACGGCATCAACAACAACACCGGCAGAAGCAACAACTACATCAAAAACAATATCACCAGAAGCAACAACTGTATCGACAACAATACCAAAAGAAACAACAACTGCATCAACAACAATACCAGTAGAAGCAGCAACTGTATCAACAACAACACCAGTAAAAATAACAATTTCATCAACAACAACACTAGTAGAAGCATCAACTGCATCGACAACAATACCAGCAGAAGCAACAACTGCATCAACAACAATAACAGCAGAAGCAACGACAGCATCAACAACAACACCAGCAGAAACAACAAAAGCATCAACAATAATAAAAGCAGGAACAACGATAGCATCAACAACAGTACCACCAGCAGAAGCAACAACTGTATCAACATCTGATTTAATATCAATCCCAGTAGAAGCAATACCCACAACAGCCACAATAGCGATACCAGCAAAAGCAACAACAACGTCAGTAACAGCATCAATACCGACACCAACAGAAGCAACAACTGAATCAATAACAACCCCGCCAGAGGCAACGACAGCAACGGTATCGACAACACCAGTAACAGCAACAACTGCATCAAGAACACCCCCAAGAGAAATCATAAATATACCATCAACAACACGAGCAGAAGCATTAACACTAACAGAAACAACAATGACAAAACCAAAAACGACAACCCTAGGGGAAGCAAAAACAGAAGTAGCTGTACAGCTTTCAAAAACAAAGGTGCAAGTGATAGGAAACATTGCAAAAACCAAGCAAAGGACTATCACGTGCGTTTTCAAAGATGTCATGTTCTGTAACACTCGTAGACATACGCCTCCACTAACGACGGATTCAAAGGAACATTATCAAATGCTAACAAGTGAGTTAATTTAACTTATACTTGGCTTACAGCGGGAACTACATAAATAACTGCTGATATAGAATAAAGACCGTTCTTAGCTTATTCGTGCCAAATCTGTTCCAGATCAATTTGAAAAAAAAAACCAATAGCACAATTTTACGGGCAATGGTGATTGTTTTTACGAAATTAGATCAAAAGATACCCTCAGTAATGTCGCTTTTACGGGACACTAAACCTGATGCCCTAGTTAATGGGTTTGGGAGTCAGTCATCTTCTTGAGTACCACACACTGTGACATATGACTTTATTTATTATTCGCGATTGATGCGATTTTCATCTCCTATTTTTTAAAAAAACTTGTAATTCTCTTTCTCGTCCGTTCCTTGTTAATTTTATTTTAAGTCGGCATGGAGTCCCATTTACTTTCGGCATAGTAAAAGATTGTTTTAACATTCACTTAAAGAATTTGGCGAAGACTATTCCACAAAAAAACAAGTCTTTTTGTTAAAGTTACTCGCACTTATAGGCAGGTGCGTTATGTACAATGCAACGATGAGCGTCGAAATTTTTTGTTAAGATTGTCAATTATTTATTGATGGATTTGTCCGGTGAAGGCCTCAACGAAGACAGCGTTACAAATCAACACAAAGGATATCTTTGGAAGGATATAAAACCATTCATTATGAAAATGAGGTGATCGCTTATAGCCCGATGTATTCCTCTTGGATTTTCCCTTCTATTGTCTGGGGAATTATCTCCACAGTTATAGGTACGTCGTCTTTCAGTTCGTTTGTTGTGACTCGTTGCGTTGCGATTCAATAACCTTTGAAAACCCCATGCCTAACTCTGATGACGCGCTGAGGAAAAATTAACTTGAAACAACTTGTTATTTTCTTCAATATTTGATCTGTAACCAAACGGTTAAAGGGCAAATAATATAGAGTGCTTAAGTTAATACGTTAAGCGAAAAATACAATCTTTATGAATGTTAAATAATGCTAGGTTTGAAAGCATTATTGTGTGACTGAAAACGTTCATATTTCTATCGTCGATGATATCATCTCTCCACTTCTGCTTTGCTTTTAATTCTTAAGAAAATAATTTCTCATCACCACTATGGCAACTTTTGTGACATGAACTTTCCTCTCATTTCCTCTGATTATCATAATACCTCAGCGAAAGACGAAAATTTTTAGTTAATCGTTTATTTTTAAATTAACTGAATAACAAACAATAAATGCAAGAGATGACCATAGTTTCTCTCTTGAGAAGTTTCTAGTGAAACTTTAAGATGTCTGTAAACTACAATAAGAACAGAAGAGACATATCTTGTTGTTTCACAATGCAAAGCAAACTAGTTTTAAACGATATAAGACGGCCAATTCAAGAGCAACTGGAGAAGGTGCAGGAAAATAAGTGGTCAAGAATAGAACCATTCACATTTTACAATCTTTAGATGAAACGTAGGCAGGTTTATATGAACTATTGCTAGCAGCTCTTGAAAGCTCGTGATGTTATTCGTTCCCTGTAGCACTAAGCCCCATTTTAAGGCTCACTTGAACAAAAAAGGTGTGTAATCTTGAAAGAGCTAGGGTCATCACATACACAAGTGTAAATAAAAGTGAATTTTTCCTCTCAATAATATACAAGAGTGAATAACTCCTCACCTCGTTTCGGCAGGTATCACTACAAGTTCTTCTGTTACAAACGGGTCATCAGCTGTCAACGAGTCTGCAAAGTTGACTATTTCGCTTTCATCTATCAGGACTGTAGCACCATTACCGACGGAGTTATCTTTCAGTGGCAGGTCAAACTCGGGCCATTTGTTACTGACTGCTACAACTACGACTCGTGTTGCAGGACAAAGCTCTGACGTAAGCAAAGGTGTAAAGAATGTTGGACTATCCCATAACACCACAGTTTTGTTATCACGTACGGTACAGAGGGTCTCTTCTACCATGACGTCGAAAACAAGCACCTCAGTAACAAGTGTTGGAATTTCATTTAGCGCTTCAACTTTGGTATTATTTACACCACTTGCTCCAAGTAAAATGTTTTCGCACTTGACCACTTCGCCTGCATTTATCAGGATTGAAGCAACATTATCATCGGGTTCATCCCTTAGTGGTAGGCCAAACTCGGACCAACCGTTACTGGCTGCTACAACTTCGAACCGTGTTGCAGGACAAAGCCCTGACGTAAGACGAAGTGAAAAGAATGTTGGACCATCTCACAATTACACCACAGTGTTGTTGTCACGCACCATACAAATGCTCCCTTCAACCATGACTTCACAAACAGACGTTTCAGTTGCAAGTGTTAACATTTCATATGGCACCACAACTTTGGCATTGTCTACACCACTTGCTCGAAGTAAAACGTTTTCGCTACTCAGTTTTTCGTCAGGAGAATTTCCTGAAGGAACAGCTTTTTCTCCTGACCTTTACACCTCAAGAAAAAAGGTTACTTTAACTTATAACAGCACAATTATGGTATCTCGAGTACGTACGCCAAGGATTGTTAAAACAATTAGCTCGTTCGAGAGATCAAGTTCTGCAGTTGACGACATCTCCAAAACTAGAGCAATTTGGGGTTTGCTTTCGTCCCTTTTCGAAAACAAAACTTCGATGGCTAAAGAGAGGTTGCCTTCTTCCATAAATAGTGATGTCCTAACAACGACTAAAAGGGAAACTACTAACAATACCTTAGGGACATCCTATTCTTTTGATCACAGTTCATCCATGAAAGACATAATTCGGTCTTCAACTATTTTCAGACCTTCGGCCTTATTCTCAGGAATCGATACTGCAAGTGGTTTCCTTTTCCACAACAGGACAGTGCAGCAGTCATCTTTGATCCAAAGCAGGACGATTTCTCTTCAGGTAAGGGCTGATTCTAAAAACATCATCTCTGATAGAACAAGTTTTGCAAGCTCTCATAGTGGCGAAATACTTGAAAGATATGTGCCTCTGGTCCAAAGTACATCAACTTTGAATACCATTACTTCACTTCACCCACTTAACAAATCTACAGGAAATTACACGGATGTTTACCCCTCCTCGAGAATCTTTGTTAGCAGCTTTAATACAATCAAGTCGATTTTGCCCAAAACCAAATTGAAACCCTTTACGTCATTTCCAGTAGACTTGTCTTCAGCGTTCAATTTCCCAAGGACGACTATCTCTGGTTCTCAGGACGTTGCAGGTACCTTAGTTTCACCCGTGAAAACCCCCTACATTGAAACATCCAGACTACTCCTGAGTTCTTCTTTCAAGACTTTTGAAGCAACAATCGTTGCCACAGACCTAAACGCACCGAGAACAAGTACTTCAGCTTCTCAAAATCTCACAAGGACGTTCTCTACGTCACCTTTCTTGCAGAATGAGACAATCACGTCGAGAACGGTCGTCTCCTCCACGATTTCCAAATGGAAACGTTCTACGGGTTGGTTTACTTCAAGCAGACGTCGAGAAAATAGCTTTTCTCATGCTTCTGCAAGTGTTTTTGAATACCCCTCAAGAAGACAATCGACCACCACATATGCGTCTCCTATAACTTCATCAACAATTCAGCCACTAAGTGAACGGACTTTTACGCCACATATAACACTTGTATCAACCAGACGCACCCTTTCCAAGGACTCATCCAGCCAATCTTTGTGGATCACATCGGAAACTTCCCAATGGGCGATCTCACCTACGTCTATCCTTGTAAGTCCTTCCAGTATTTACTACACCGTACAGACCGAATTTACTCCACCGTTTCAGACAGAATTATACCGTGAAAGTGCAAGTCAGACCAGATCATTTACAATATCATCAGTAGTTAAAAGTAATAACGTAAACTCCATAACTTCGTCGGGCTTGCGAACATTTCTTCCTTTCCTTACAACCAGCAACGATTTTTCTAGGTCAGCTGACTCTCCTCACCAGGCGATTACATTCCTCAGCTCAACGGTTAAAAACACCTTGAGCTTAAGAACGTTTGCTTCCGTAAATAAAACAAGCAGTCGCGAAAAACTACAAACATCGGTGGGTTCATCTTTAAAACACAAGACTGCAAACACACTCTCTGTGCAGAACTTCTATGGTCACACTGACGACTCATCTCCGGAATTTTTTAACGGAGAAGTTATAGCCAGTGGCACCTTAAATATTGATTACACTATTCATATGCCTACGTTGAAGCTTACCACGGTGGAAAGCTCTCAACTACTATCGACATATCCAAGTCGCGTGAGACAAAGCTTAACATCTTTAGCGTCGTCTTCCACTGGGAAAATTTTCTTAGAGTCCATAATTCCAAGTACAACCACACCTCGTGAAGCACTCAGTTTTACCCTAACAACGAAAAACACCTTAAAACGTACCAGTCAAACGTCAACGGAAGCGATTTGCACCCACTTGTCTACAATATTAACTACTTTAATGCCTTCATCAACTCTCCAGACGGCAAGAGTGTCTATGGTGACACGGAAGATTGTGTCTAGCAACCCATTCATGGATAGCTGGACAATAAGAACTGTCGTTAGCGCAAGCCACTCAACAGGCTACACCTTGAAATCGTCGAGCCTTGCACCAGCTGCTACTCAAAGTACTCTCCAATTTTTCCCCAATTTTTCTAACGATTCTAGACCTATTTTCCCATCGTCGTCTACTCTGTTAGAGATGTCATCATCACTAGTTAACGTATTGCCAACTTCAGCTTTAAGGATTTCTCAGAAGAATGATCGAATGACAACAATGACAACAATAGAAAATCCAGCCTTCCCAAGAAGCTTGTACTCAAGAGAGACATCTGCTTTGTCTAGTTCAGTTGCCACAGAACGTTTTACGTTTTCCGTCAAATCTAAAAGCCAATGGACGCAATCCTCTACGGAACTACTAGTACCTACTTCCTCTGGTAAAATATCAAGCACAATTCTTGATATGTCTAAATCTTTTACAACATCTTCCCATCCCATCTCGTCATTCGTTTCTGTTTTGTTTCAAACTGGACCACCACCCGAGGATCCAAAGCAATTTGAAGGAACCATGGTGTTACAGATGCCTTGGAATTTACGATATCTAAAAACATACACCCCAGAATATCAGGCTCTTGCCTCTACAATTAAGAGGGAAATCAGTAAGGCGTTTACGAACCTTGAAGGATTTCTATCTGTGCAAGTTCTACGCTTCTGGGAAAGTAGCGTTGGAGTTGACTTTCTGGTGTTTGTACAGAAAAATGCCAACATTGACGAGAATACCGTAGAGATGATGCTTACAGAGGCAAACAACACGGGGGTATTGAATATACCTATAACAAGCCTGCAAGTTAACGAAAGAAGAGCTACAACTACTGCTTCGGTACCCACTCCTGTATCATCTAAGTCTCTTGAGCAGTGGGCGCTTGTTCTCATTGTTGCTGGTATTTCAGTGTTCCTACTATTGCTGATTATCTGTATGTTAGCGGTAAGTAAAATTGTTTTTGCAATAATTCCCTTAAACTCTGCTATTCTATCGTTTTCCCGTTTTTTGTTTAAGTATTAGTAACAAGGGTTGAAAAAGAAGTGAGTGATTGCAATTTTCGCCAATTCCAACGCTAAACAAGTTTTGAAAAGAAACACCCGTAGGAAAGCCGAAAACGGAGTGTGAATGGGCAAAATTTGAGAAGATAAACTCGGTTTACGTTTGAGAAACCAGCCTCATTTTGTTTAAAAATTTGTACGAAAGTGTTATAGTGTTATAATACTGTATTTATAATGCTTGTTTTGCGGCCTTGATGTTGTTAGTTAAAGGCCTTAGATTTACCAGCTGTAAGTTTGGGGATTGTTGTAACTGTAAAAAGAAATTTAACCAAATTTTCCAATTTGTTGTTGAGTGCGTTTAATGGTTTTCGTTGTCTTTGAAGGAAATAACCATTTTATTTGGCGGCCATTGATAGGTTGGGCGAGTACAATTGCACTGAATTTGAAAGTAATCCGAGTTCTTTTTGATTCAGGTCAAATTGGCCAGGCGAAGTGGCGGATTTAAGCGAAGCAAGAAGTACGAGCTTTCGAGATGGAATAATTACATTCACACCGAGTATCCTGACTCCGCTGCCAGATCCAAAACGAACTTGCCGGTGATATTAAGTATGGAAGAGAAACGACAATACTTCAAAGACGATTCATATGAAGAACTTACTACATACAACATAACAGAAAGCAAAAGCGACGAAAGCCTTACACGCGAAGCTTTCAGAACGAAATTACGAGAAACTAGCTTCAACGGCAATCCTGAGTTCAAATATACAAACCAGGAGTCCAGAATATCGCCATCAGAGGCGGCAGTGAAGGTATTCCAATATCAATAAGACAAGATCAAATTTGAGACATGCAGGCACCTCCCCATTTCCAGCTTGTCAATATTTATCCTTAACTAATCATTACCAACAATCTAGGCTGACATTGCAAAATTAACAAATAATTCAAAATTGATCAATATTGATTCAGTGGTAGCACAACAACAAAGTTGGTTCTTCGCCCATCATTCCCCAAAGGAACGGAATTTGGAAATGTTTGTTATTGAGGAGGGGGAAAACCGAAGTACCCGCAGAAAATCATCTTGGAGCAAGGGAGAGAACCAATAACGAAGTCGACCCAAATATGGCGTCCCATCCGAGATTTGCCAAGAAATGAGTGAAAGGCGAGTGTTCTGACCAGTGCACTACCCTTGCTCTCCCCGCTTTTCCTTTTTTAAAGTACGTGAATAAAAACATAACTTTTCTATTTTATCTCCAGGGATCCCAGAGAAGTGTTTCAACCAAAGAATATCCTGCTCAGTGGAACAAAGGCTGTGATGATGGAGTGAAACTATAAACTGTGTTAGGAAAGCAGTTTATTCTATTATAAATGTACGAAATCAAAAGCGCATTTCTACAAAAGCTACAATAAAGGAGCCAACACAAAGCTGCTCAGCAGTGCTGACTATGTCCACACGAGGTCGAGAATAAGTTTGTGAACGCCTACAAAGTTATGAGTGTACGGCCACTGTGCCAACCTGAAACGACACAAAAAAGATCATCCTAAACGATCGCGTTTCCCAGTAAAGGAAGGATGAACGAGCAAGGCCGACGGCTTAACACATCTCAATTGACGGCGACAAGATCTTAAACTCAGCCAGCATGATATTACCACCTTTTTTAAGACCCTAGTTGGTGGCCCGACCGGGTTTTAAACCCAGGTCTACCAGAAGGAGTGGCGCGGCGGTTTCCAACTATGTTTACCAGGCGGCTGTTACCGCGTGCACAACCATAACAGCACATTACGTTTGTATGCGTTTACAAACCCAGACGAACTCGAGTGGTTGACCTTGGTCAATCAAAAAATAATGCTTAGCATTAAAATTGACTGAGTTGACTGAGTTCTGATGATTAGAGACTGTTAAGTACATTGTATAATGAATATATGTGTCAGTTGAGTCAGTGCAATTGGTTTGCTATCTTAGAGGCTCTTTAGAAGACTTTGGCTCAAGGACCGCTCCCTTTCACACCGCTGACGTATTACTGGCAGAGATACCTTGGGTATTTGATATGACAGCCAATCATGTCTATAAAAATATACTATTTACAAGTTACAGTAAACTTTTGTACGTAAGACTAACAATATTTCGTTCGGTCAAATAATTTAGTAAATAAGCACAAAATACCAACTCTTAAAACAAATCTAACAAAGACTTTTTATATCTTACTTATTTTAATCACCAGCTACAGTTATCCTACCTATAAATTTTCGTTTAATGGTATAGGATCACAATCGATAAAAAAGATAAATATAAATGTTTACACGGGTAACGTTGATTAAATTGTACTTAAATTTTTTGTTTTCAGAAAATAGCTCTACCGAATATCTAAAACTTTAATTCCATATTTGTTAAACCTTTTTTCACTATTTTCTCATACCAGGATTAAATAACATGCTCTACGACCTGAAAAAACCAAGGTCCCTGATGGTTATAAGCTCTTGCTCTCAGATCGAACTTAGATGTAGCACGAGTGAGCAAAATGTGGTATGCCCAAAATAACACTACTTGAGCATAAAAGATGACCCTCGTAAGATAAACAAACCACTTTAAATTACCTCACGTTAACATTTGCCAGAAAATGCAACGATAGCTACTGGTTTAACAAAAAGCACTTGAAGTGTAAGTTCGCTGTATAAGTTCAATTTAGGTTCAAGAGTCACTGACAGAATGAATTTAAGTGCTCCACAAGATTGTCATTTTCATGGCTTCCTTGAAAAAGTCTCTTTTACGGTTGTTGAGATCTATAGAAAAATAGATAAATTAATATGTGGTTTCTTGTTTTCACAGACTATCAACCTCTTACTAAACACTGATAAAATGTACATAACATATTTTGGACCAAAAATGCAGTGCCACAGCAAGAAAGAATTTTGCAGCGTCCTACAGATAATTTCACCACGGTGACCTTAATTTGCGAGTACCAAAGGGATGACGATTGACAGTAACTGAAAAATTAGTCTGTTTGTCGACAGCTAGAAGCAATGTTTAACACAGGGAGATTTTTTCAGTGGGGCAATAGGTATACTATAGTCACTTGAGTAAGTGTACATTCTACACGATCTTAAAAATCTGTGAGTTCATAAAATGCAATATGTGAATTGCGTCACACACACGTAACAGGACCAAAGGGAAAAATGTTAGTCTTCTTTCTCATACCTCTGTTGAAAACTGGTGCTGTTCAAATCAGGTTTAAAAATTCTGATTCATTACTTACCAGGGACTGCACGTTAACTTTTAAGAACGTTTTTCGTTAAGTGGCCTGTTTGAAACGCCGTTATTGGTTTTAACTTCTGAAGCACGCAGATTTCGCTCCCACATAAGCAGATCGTCGTTGCTCCGTATCCATTCAGATTCATTGATTGTCATGTGGTCGAATAAGTGAGTCCGCTTCTTTAGTCTCCTGTACTTGCACTGAAAGACAAAGCAGAGTGTTTTCAGTAATCAGTTTTTGGTCAGCCTGAAAAAGTTGGCCCACTGAATTTGTCAAGTTGCCATCCGTTTCCAACCTGACCATTCAAAGCCAAAGACACACTTAAAGATGGCGTATTGTTTTGGAGTATTTTTTGCAATGAAAATTAACCATTATTTCATAGTTACTTCTGTTTCCCACTTTTTTTTAGGGATTGATTGTAATACCAAAAAAATCGTGACGTAGCTCTTTTTAATATAACAGAAATGAAGTTTACTTACACAGACACAGATAAGAGCAATAAGCAGGATAAGAACCAAAGCCACGGCGACTATAACAATGATAAAAGTTCCCAGGGGTGTAGCCAGGTCGATGGCTTTATCCCACATGTTGGTTGGTTTAGATGAACTGCTTGGTGTTGCAGTAGTTGGTTGAGGTCTTAAAGTCGCGCTTGAAGAAGGTACTGAAAAAAAATTCAAAACGTATTTTCCTTGTTAGATGAACTCAGTTATCGTGGCTCATTTAGCACAAAGTCAATAAGGAATCATAGTGCATTATGCGTCTGCACAAGTTAATGGAAGAATTACAGAAGATCGTTTGTCCAACCAAGTGCAATTTAAGGAGTCCTAAATCGCGCACTTTAAGGCGTTCTAAATGTGAACACTTTAAGGAGTCTTACAGTGAACACTGTAAGGAGTCTTAACGTGTTCACTCTAAGGAGTGCTAAAGTGAACACTTTAAGGAGTCTTAAACTGAACACGTTAAGGAGTCTTAAAGTGAACACTTTAAGGGGAATCAAAGTTAACACTTTAAGAGGTCTTAGAGTGAACACTTAAGGAGTCTTAAAGTGAAGACTTTAAGGAGTCTTAAAGTGAAGACTTTAAAGGGTCTTAAAGTGAAGACTTAAATGATTAAGTTATATAGGGCAAGTTATATAATTTTAATTGTAAGATTTATATAAGGGACTATTAATTTTGGAATGGGGTGTATTACTGAATGAAAGGTATCAGAGAAGTTACTGATCTCTGTCATTTACCAAGGAATTATTAGGTTATTAAAGGGAACTTACCGGAGGGGCTATATGTAGTTGCACTTGCACCTGGATAAACGGAATTTTTTATTTACAAGATTAATCAGTGGACACATGCACAACTTAATAATAGGAAATTATTTCATAGAGATTTAGTATCACTTAATAATCATTATTCAACATATAACAACCTTACGCTTGTATAATTTAAAATTCAAATTCAGCTATAAACAAATTCACCCATGCACTGGTAAAGAAAGATTCCATGGAACCGTTATCAGCGCCGTCGACCTGGAACTTTTTTAATACGCGCAGCTCCTACAGGGCGTAAGGGCTCTTTTACATATGTTCGTGCGTTTCAGATTAAAATGGAACCTGAAAGTGTTGGTTTTTGCGGTAAAACGTGATACCCAGAGAAAACCTCTTGGATCAGAGAAGAGAACCAATAACAAACTCAACCCACATGTGGAGTCACCTTCGACAGTTGAATTCGGTCCACATGAGTTGCAGGTGAGTGCTCTCAATAAAGCGCCATCCCTAGTACTAGGCTTACAAAAAAACATATATTTTACCTGTTTTTGTGATCTTAGCAGTTGAAGTTGGAACAATAGAAGAGGATGACTGTTGTACTTCTTGAACAGCAATATTCCCTACAAGCTGGTAACCCAGAGATCCAGTGCGGTTAGCGTTTTCCAGTGCACGTTCTATGGCATTCGTACTCGCATTCGACAAACTATATACCACTACATTGAAATCTACCAACACACTTCCATGTGAAAGATTTTTCACTTCAACTTGCTTTAAATACGAAAGGCTACTAAAGACATCTTCCATTTTTGTAGTGAAATTGCGAATAAAGGTAAGGGATTCGGAGGAGCTGAGATCAGTATATCCAGGCAAAAAGGTTTCGTTTACTCTAATCTGCACGTTAAAGGTCTTTCCAACGGGCATTTCTAGAAACACAAAACAAAAATGAAACTCAATTAAGTTATTTGCATTCGATAACATACTCAGCTATGGAAAAGTTTCTGATGTAATAACGTATTTACACTTACCAGTCGTCGAAATGCTTGAGGTGAAAGCTAAGGTTGAATTTTGAGCTAAAAGTAAAAAGAAAAAAAGTAATAAGGATAAGGATAATAATAATAATAATAATAATAATAATAATAATAATAATAACACAAACGCAAGTCAACAAACAAGGAGTAGAGGTTCGAGTTAAGTTTGTGCGCAATAAAGAAATTCATAACTCTCTAAAATGTATCATTTCATTTTGTAATAAAGTATTTACACTTACCAGTAGGCGAAATGCTTGAGGTGAAAGCTAAAGTTGAAGTCTGAACTAAAACCAAACATAAAAAAAGTAATAACAAAGATAATAATAATAATAATAAGAACAAGAACAAGAACAAGAAGAACAAGAAGAAAAAGAAGAAGAAGAAAGAGTTAGCGTCTTCCAGTGCACATTCTATGGCAATCGTACTCGCATTTGACAAACTGTATACCTCTACATCCAAATCTACCAACACACTTTCATTTAAAAGACTTTTCACTTCAGTTTGATTGTGAATAAAGGTAAGGGATTCGGAGGAGCTGAGATTAGTATATCCAGGCAAAAAGGTTTTGTTTACTCTAATTTGCACGTTAAAGGTCTTTACAACGGTTATTCCTAGAAACACAAACCCAAAAAAGAAAGAAACTTAAGTAATTAGGTAATTTGCATCCGATAACAAGCACAGCTGTGGAAAAGTTTCAGATGTAATAAAGTATTTACACTTACCAGTAGGCGAAATGCTTGAGGTGAAAGCTAAGGTTGAATTTTGAGCTAAAAGTAAAAAGAAAAAAAGTAATAAGGATAAGGATAATAATAATAATAATAATAATAATAATAATAATAATAATAATAATAATAACACAAACGCAAGCCAACAAACAAGGAGTAGAGGTTCGAGTTAAGTTTGTGCGCAATAAAGAAATTCATAACTCTCTAAAATGTATCATTTCATTTTATAATAAAGTATTTACACTTACCAGTGGGCGAAATGCTTGAGGTGAAAGCTAAAGTTGAAGTCTGAACTAAAACCAAACATCCAAATCCAAATCTACCAACACACTTTCATTTAAAAGACTTTTCACTTCAGTTTGATTAAAATGCGAAAGGCGTGCACGAAACACATCTTCAGTTCGTGCAGTGAAATTGTGAATAAGGGTAAGGGATTCGGAGGAACTGAGATTAGTATATCCAAGCAAAAAGGTTTTGTTTACTCTAATTTGCACGTTAAAGGTCTTTACAACGGTTATTCCTAGAAACACAAACCCAAAAAAGGAAGAACCTTAAGTAATTAGGTAATTTGCATCCGATAACAAGCACAGCTGTGGAAAAGTTTCAGATGTAATAAAGTATTTACACTTACCAGTACGCGAAATGCTTGAGGTGAAAGCTAAGGTTGAATTTTGAGCTAAAAGTAAAAAGAAAAAAAGTAATAAGGATAATAATAATAATAATAATAATAATAATAATAATAATAATAATAATAATAAAAACACAAACGCAAGTCAACAAACAAGGAGTTTGAGAAGTTTGTGCGCAATAAAGAAATTCGTAACTCTCTAAAATGTATCATTTTATAGTTCATTTACAACATCCCTCCGTTTCTAATTGGCTGAAATCCCTCTGCAAATTCTTCACAACCAGCTAACCTTGACCAAATTTGGAAGATCCCTACCAACCGATATCCAGTAATGACGTATGACGTCAACAGTACAGAATATCGACAAAAAGGGACGGACATCGAGCATCCCTGGTGACAAGGTTGCTTTAGCTCAGCTGTTTTGGTAGAACTGGAGAAAATAATGAAAAATTTCACACGTTGCAGCAGAGCTCTGCCTAAAAACATGACAAGAACTGCACCAATACAATTTGTAGAATATCTGATAGACCAAACACCCCTTCATATCTTAAATTTGCCAAGGAAGAGGCAAAATTAATAAAGACAAGAATGCAATATTTATCAAGCCAAGCATGTTTTAGCTTGTTTTAAAAGTATCAATCGTTTTGAATGAATAATTGTCTATATATTTGTCAGAAATACCGTTAATTCCTCTCTCAAGGCCTGAAGCAAAATCAGAGGAAACAAACAGTGATTTTCTTATATCTACTCTTCCTTGGCCTTTTTTACTCACAAAACAGCTGCAAAGAAGTGATAAATGCAATCATCATTGTGTTGAAATGCTATATTCTATGGAAGTGTTTCCTTTTCTAGCTAAGATGAAAGAAACCATATTTCTGCAACGTTTGATAGTTTAATTTTTTTCAATATAATGTCACTTTGTCTAACAGGCCTCTGGGAAGACTTAGTTACTGTCAAACCCCGTTAATACGAACACTGTGACACTGTGGAGGCCACAGAAAGTGTCCATATTAACGGGGTGTCCGTATTAAACGGGTCATGTTATTCAAGTCAAAATCTATCTTTTATTTGGACAAAATACTAAAGAAATAAAACAGGTGACTAGCATTGTCAAACCAATTTAAAACATCTCTGAACTTTACAAAGCCGTTAATCCACGCACTATGTTCATGAAAAAAATCAGAAGTCTCGAAAAGTCGCTCATAATCCATTGTATAATCAAAAACCGTTCTCTGCATATTCACTCTATTGATGTCAAATTAGTCTAAAATTGACGTTCACAATTCATCCTATTCGGTGTACTGTAGCACTGGAAACATCGATATGATGTCAACTGAAAGTTTTTTCTACCTTCAGGAAAGAGAGGTTTATTACGAGCACAAAGTGGAAAATAAAGTGGCCTCATTACCGAGCTTGACCTTCTGTGAGAATCTGTTGATTGTGCAAGAAAAAAAATATTCGTTGTCAACAATAACGGGTGTCCGTATTATGCAGGTTAAATTTAGAAAAAATTTAAGGGCTTTCTCCCAGGGACAAAGAAAACTGCCGTAATAACGAGGTGTCGCCGGGTTCGACTGTATTTGCATAAACAACAGACCGAAGCTGAGCCATAGTAATTATTGCGTTACTTCCGGAATAATATTACATCGACGTTTTCAGGAAAAATCGTTTAGTGGTTATTTTTGTGTGCATGAAAACACCAAATAGCTGTTTCTATATCTCCTGTTGATAAAGTGGAATACATCTTTCCCAATTCCTCAAAGCAAATCTTACAATAATTAATAAGAAATAAAAAAACTTACTCAGAGTGGTTGTAATTGCAGCAGACACTGGGTGTGTAAAAATAACAAGGGCAAATACGTTGAACCAAAACACCGCAAAGCGAGCCATTCTTGAGTGAGCCATTCTCTTTGCTATCTTGTTAAGGTATTGCCGGGTTCTAAGAAAATAAACAAAAGTTGAAGCGGTCGTATTCGACGGAAGAATATCATGAGCAAATCGGATCATATCTGTATTACCTCGCTCGATTCATATATCCAATATATTGAGCGATCAACATAAGCCTTGTGTGCCCAAGAAAATTCTTTAGTTACAGAACCAAGTAAAGGGCTTACGGTAATTACCAATATAGTAGAACCTACCCTATTCCTTAGCAAAATGGCCGTCTGAGTCAGTTACTTTCCGCCTGACACAAGCGAAGAACCAGCTGAAATTTGATCCACTAACTTTTCAAACACACGTTTCTGAAAGGCAAAAATTGAACCTATCAAAAAGTTCTGTACCAAAATCCGAGGAAACTGGCTTAATTTGTGTGGACGCAGAAGGCATTTGTTATGTAAACAAAATTGACGGATGGCTAGTAGTTGTGCATACGATATTAAAGCACCACAAAAGGATTTACTGAAGACAATATTGATTGAACAAGCATGACGTCATGCAAGAAAAATTTTTATTGGATCGTATACGTGTCGACTGTTCCAATCCTGCCCCCCACACACGATATTCTGTTCAAATTTTCTGTTTCAAATTTGCGAAATGAAGTAGAAAGATGGAATTCCCTCATTATATTCGGCGATAAAACATATGCGAGACCAGTTCATAAAATATAATCCGACTGAAGTCAGCTGGCTTCACCCCGACTGGCGAGATATGGCACGTTTCGTTCTCATGCACCGCAATATTCAGAAATGACAAAATGAATCACCAGTAATTTGTAGGATATTAGCTAGTACTCATTTGAAAGACATAAGGGTTTGTTTTGATTATCTTAAGCTTACCTGTGTTCAATTTAAGAGCAATTTGATGGCCTTATAACGGATCCTTATGTTGTCTGGCAACCAACTGTCCTCTCGACCTACAGGTCACTTACAACAGGAAGCAAGGCAGCTAGGTTTTTTTGGTATATTAAATGGATCTTTCTGGTATAAAAAACCACAGGGTAAGACAAAATACGGAAATATAAGTGGCATTACTTAAACAGGATCAACAATCCTACTGTTTAAATATTTGTCACTTTCGGGAAAACGCAAAAAAGGGTTGTGTGCTGCGCTTGGTCCTAACATACGATACTCTTTGTACCGTGGGAGGTCTGGTACGGTGCATAGTCGTCTTTACAATGTCGTTTCGCCTGCGATTCAGTGCCCATTCAGATGTAGAATAACAAATCGGAACTATGATCTTTTTTTTTTAAGTTCATGTATCCACGTTCGAGAAGATTTTTTTATGACGAGTGCGCACGATGAGGCGAATCTTGTTTTCTGATTGTATACCCGAGCAGGAAAAATGGCTGACTGACTTCGTGTCGGTCCTATGTCTCGGCCCATAACCGAACAAGCTTGGCCAGTAACGCATATAAAAGACATAAAAAGCAAAGTTAAACAGTTAACATAATAAGTGCACCTAAGTATCACACTCTGAGTATCAACAGTAACACGACGTGAAAATCGGCGTCCTCCGTGATCAGATTATTTTTGATTGGCTGAGCGACATAATTGACACGTTTTCTGTGGACAATGATGCCTGTGTTTGTTCAGAAAACAACTACCGCCTTAAAAGGCCTAACAGAAGACACACGACAAAATTATGGAGTTATTGAGTGAACAAAAAAAGAATAGTGTGCAGCCCGCTACACTGGACAGCAATAACTGGTCAATGGCATACATATAACTTTGTTGGCGCGCGAAAAAGATGATATAAAGAGAAACAGAGTAGTCAAAGATTATACCTAAAAGGCCTAACTACAGTCAAACCTCGTTAGTACGGACACTGAAGGCCTTAGAAAGTGTTCGTACTGAGAGAACGGGGTGTCTGTATTAAACGGGTCTTGCCATTGAAGTCAAAAAACACTTGTTATTAGAACAAAATAAGAAAGAAATTAAAGAGGACATTAGCATCGTCAAATTAAGCATCTCTAACTATCACAAATCGTGGCGTCATTCCGAGGGCTAAATCGACCAAAAAACGCTCATTTATATATTACTTAATGCAAACCTGTTCTCTACGTAACTTGTTTGATGCCTGAAAATGGTCTGAAATTGATGTCTACAAATTATCCTATCCGGTTTATAACTGTAGCGCTGGGAACACGATCGACATGCTGTTAACTGAAGTTTGATTTTAAATTCAAAAGGAAAGATTTGTTACAATGCACAGTTGATCAAGATAATGAAGTATCCGCATCAGCAAGGTTAACTTTCTATAAGAATTTGTCCATTGGGCAAGAAACAAGTGTCCGTTGTCCACATTAACGGGTGTCCGTATTAAGCGCGGGTTGAATATAGAGAAAATGTATGGGCTTTCCCCAGGGACAAAGAAAACTGTTCGTAATAACAAAGGCGTCCGTTTTAAGTGGGTGTCCGTAAAGAGGGGTTCGACGGTACTACAGTATACTAAGCTGGAGTGAAAACTTTTTAGTGGTCGTTTGATGCTCTCACTCCTTTTTTAGTTTAAAAATTCTTATTACAGCTCTGTTACAAATCCTTCTCTACAAAAAGCTATATGTCATACATGTAAAATACAATTGAGTTTATACTCGTTACAAAATTTAAGATAAAAGTATTATTAATTTCAGAAAAATGAAACACATCTGTTCAGTATCGATATATCTAGTGAGTTATACTCATGTATGCTCTATGAGTCGCGTTTGACCAGCATAAACGTGGGTAATTGAATCTCATGTAAACGTTTACTACATGCTCCGAGGTTTTCTACATTAGAAGGAGAATCACGAAACAAAATATAAGTTATAAATATAAGTTCAACTTTTGCGAAAACGCATCACGTAAGCTTTCTCAGCAGCGCATAGGACAAGCGTTTTGAAGCTGGATAAAGTTAATCCGGCTTTCGTATAAGGCGTGTATAACCCCGTTAACGAAAGAAATGGCCCTGACCAGTAGTGAAAAGATGTGGTCCTTTGCACAGCTAACTTGTCACTAGTCATACTTTAACCCTTAAATAGACTGAACTACCTAAAACCAACCAATAAGACCATAATATTTTTTTTCATAAGGAGAAATATTAAGAGTAACTGTAACGTTATTCTAATTAAGTTTCGATGCGTGCATCCAACATCATTATCAAGTTTAAGGAAACGCTGTACTGTATAACATAACAAACGTAAAACGCGCGTTCTGATTGGTCAATTACCCATTTACTATTTGCCCGTGGGTGACTGGTGACGAACGCTAGCGAACGCCCAAAGCCGTACACGCCACTTTGTACGCGACTATATTTTTTTTTACCTCGTGGTTTGCAAAGATTTTTCTCTTAGCACTGAAAGAAAGTTTACAAAGACCGTTAACGATAACGTAAAATTGTGACAGAGGACTAGTTACCGTCTGGCACGAAATTTTTGCGGGAGTTTATTTATGCGGATTGCCGATCTTTTCTATTTTACGGGAACTAATTTTTGCGATTACGATAGATGGGTTTTTCTTGCTGGGAATTAATAAATTTTTGCGATTTTCAGAAAGTACCCAGTACCCAGCATTGATAATATTTTCGGTTTTATTGAGTACGTGCGACAGAAATACATATTTCCAAACGATAAACCAGTATTTCGTTGTATACCGTTTTGTTTCTGAATGAAACAGACAAGTTGTGATTGAACAGAATCACGTTTAAAATAGCGAAATGTGATATGTCTTACGAATAACAGTTATATTTACGTGTCATGATTCCGAAGTATTTGCATATAATTAATGAACCGCCTTGTAATTCAGTTTATGCTGCAAAAAGGTTGAATAAACGATCGTTATTATTATTATTGTTATTATTATTATTGTTATTGTTATTATTATTATTATTGTTATTATTATTATTATTATTATTATTATTATTATTATTATTATTATAACAGACACGATTTCTTAGTATTGTATTTTTGTGTAGCGAATTTAAGTTAGAGAACATTTTCTCTGGAGTAAATTTTTGAGAGAAAAATGTTTGCGGTAATTATTATTTGCGGGAAATTATTTTTGCGGATCGCTGGAAAAATCACAAAAATTAGAACCTGCAAAAATTTCGTACCACACGGAATTCAGCAAAACGATATTTTCGAAGGAAAAAAATCTGCAAAGAATGATGTGCACACGTCATAGCGTGAGCAGATTACAGCACTCACGTCATTCTACTGCTATCTGTGAGCAAAATTAAAAGGTTTTCTCTTTTGATTGTTACAAAACAAATGGTAAATGGCTCAGTGGGTACTGACGATTGAATTACCGTAAAATTCCGAAAATAAGCCCCTCTAAGTATAAGCCTCCCAAACCGGTGACGCAAAAAACCCTCCGTTAAATCGCCCCTCCAAATATAAGCCCCCCAGCGGCTTGTACTTGGAAAGTTGCCCTCAAATACAAAGTAAAACAACACAAAAACGGTAATTTTACTTCCAACTATAAGGTTAGCCCAACCGATTTGTAAACGCAAATTTGCCTCCGTAGTTAAGCCCCTCCGAATATAAGCCCCTCAAAAAGGGCCTTTGAAAAATATAAGCCCCGGGGCTTATTTTCGGAATTTTACGGTATAGTTGCACTTGGGATAGGGTTCTTAAGCACGAAAGAAGCGTAAGAGTTGCACGAGGCGATAGCTGAGCCATTTACCATTTTGTTAAATGTCAGAAACAACTGACCATCCGATCTTTATAATGTGCATTCCAAGGAACAAATTTCATTTGCATACTACAAAACGTTCAAAGAAACTGGCTCCAAATGCCCTGAAAGGTGTGATGCTGATTTTGAGAAGGTCGTCCATGATCAGTAGTCTGCGTGGGCACCGTTGGAGCTGTAAGTCTGAAAAATAAATTTAACATCATGACTGATTTTTGTGTAGTTTGATGTCAAAACTGGTAATTCCAAAAAAAAAAAAAACAACTAGTCAACAAGATGATCTAATATAGCTTTATTTTTTTGGTGAAAGACTTACCCCACAAGTGAATTCGCAGTGCTTCAACACTGCTCTAATTAGCTACCTCAGAAGAAAGTCGCATTCATGTTAATCGCCTACACTTCCCATTTCGGTATAGTAACGAATAGTTACTTACTGGATTACTATGTGATCCTATTATACGTCTCTCCATTGTGGAGGTTTTGCCATCTGTTTTAGCTCGTAGTTTACCGTGGTCTGCCTGTACGATCTCATATGTGTGCATTTCAAGTTCTCCGGTGGATATACCGTACGCCATGTTCTCACCTTTAGATCTTCTACATTTAACCTATGTTCAAAAAAGGCATTGCAAGTAAAACACTCTCACGGGAACCCTTGTCTTATTAAAACAACTGACCATCCGATCTTTATAATGTGCATTCCAAGGAACAAATTTCATTTGCATACTACAAAACGTTCAAAGAAACTGTCTCAGTTCTTTGAATTGTCATGCAGCCAAAGTTTTTCTGTTCTTGTATGATCCGCACCTATAAAACTGTAGGGACATTTTCCAAGGAAATCAAGAAAGGAAAGCATGAAGTATTATCTTTAGCAATTTTTCAGAGACACGATGGCACAAGTTGATAACAGATTAGCAACATTTTAAAGTTACAATCATTTTCCTACGCCGTGCAGTCATTGCGCTTTTCTTTTTTAAAATACTTCTCAGAAAAGAGGAGAACTTGAGAAGTTCTTTGACTGTTGCGAACTTCCTGTGTCTGACTAAGAGATATAAAATATGACACACAACCAGAATAATCTGATGTTACCCTAGCTTTCCCCTTTGCATTTCTGAGCAGTTATTGGATCGTTATTGGTAATTGGCCACATAATAATAGTAATCACCAAGGGTAACTTCATTTGAACGTTAGCATTACTTCACTGAGAGTTACACCAAGCATAAAATAATCATGTAAAAAGAAACTATAATTGTCTCTTTTTTAACTTACACAGACGCATATAACAGTGACCAGGAAGACAAATGATAAAGATCCCAACGCGATCATAGTTATCAACGCCCAGTTGGGTAGCTTCTCTTCTGGTTTAGCTGTCGGTTCCTCTTCAACTTTGACACTCGTTACTTTAAAACCAAACGTTTTGTCTTTACTCGCTTTCTCCAAAGTTTTTTTCAACATTTCCTCATCAGCTTTTGAATCCTTTGCTAAGATGACGATATATGTGCATACTACACTTCCCTCTCTTATCAAGAGAATGCGGATACCAATAAAACCCTCGATGCTTTGATACGTTTTCTCCAAGCTCCTCGTCAGGTTGGTCGTTAAATCCTTGTATGCTTCACTGTTTGGATCCCTGTAATCGTCTTTAAATGTCAAGGCAAGAGTCATTTCCATACTAACAGTTTTGACTTCCTCTACTGGAGTGGTTGGCCGCGATGAGGTTGATGTGGGTACGACGGCTTGAGAAGTTGGCGATGGATGAACAAGGGTAAATGAGGACGAGTTTACGTTTAATACAGTAGCCGAAGAAGATACAAACAAGGACGACATTTTGGAAGAATTAGTATGTGAAATCGTTGAATCCGAAGGCTTGAAATGTGAACTCGTATCCACAGAGACGACTGTAGTACCACCTGCAGATGGTATAGGCGCCAAGGATTCCACAGAAAGCGATGATACCAGGAATTTTGTTACAAGAGATGGTGACTTGTAGGATGACGCCATGGGCGTGTTGGAAATGGTAGCTGTGACAGAGTTATAACTGTTTTCAGCTGCAGACACTGTGTTTTCTGTTGTTGAGTTGGATTGCACGGAAGCTACCATTGGGTTAGTGATATTGGTCGATGAAGCCTGAACAGTGACGTCAGATTTAACTGAAGCGCTGCTTTCCTGACTAGAAAAGTGAATGGTGGAACTTACGGAAGGCGCAATGGTTGCAGTGCTTGGGTCTTCTTTACTCTGAGCTGTGACGGTGGACTTGACGGTGGAAGAACTTTGATCTAGTACACTGCCACTGGACATGAGGGTAGGTGTACTTACTGAAGGAACAGTAGTTGAAGTGCTTATGTAGTTGGATTGATTGGAATGTGATGTCGTGCTCTGAGTGATGGTCGCTTTTATTGTGTTACCGATGCTGGAGTGACTGAAAGCCTGTGCAGTAACGCTGGGTGTGGCTGCGGATGTTGTTGTGACGCTTGTTTCAGTCGCACCAGTGGTACTTGGTGCATCACTTGACGTGTGTGAAGTGGCAGTGACAGCTGCAGTCACACTAAAACTCACTGGAATCGTATTGTTGATAGAAGTGTTCTCTTTACTTGATAAGCTGCTCAAAGTAGTTGAAACGCTTCCTAAAGGTACTGTGGCTGAAGTGCTTAAGGTGAGATAAGTTGTGTTATTTGATCCGTCAGCTGCTGTCGCTATGGTTGTTGAAAACATAAAAGAAAAAATATCAACGATATTAAAGATCTAAAAATTAGGTGTGCATCAACGACTGATATAAGGTAATAGAGCTAAGAGGGGGGCATGTAACTGAGGGGTAATAATCGCGTGCATTTTTTTTGTTTGCATGTAGATGGGCTTATAACTGGAGGGTATATTACAGTTTGTACGTGTGTGTGTCAGTCTACGGTAGTTCCTGACGCGGGTAGTTAATCCACTTATCCATTTTCGCAATAAAGGCTACGAGGAACTTTGCCTAGTCCCTGGACCTCATTATTCTGCGCGCGGCCAAAGCGTTTCGGGCCACGTGACTAAAAACTAAGAATTTCAGGCAGCTAAAAGTGATAAAAAATTAAAGATTGTCTCAATTTAGAGTAAACATTTGCGGCTCGGCTTACGAAATGTTTTCAATTGTTTGTATAACATACCACACAATAAATCCTAAGGTACACAAAAAACATTCAAAACCAAAAATGCTTAAAATTTTTCGGTGATTATCGGCATCAAGGAAGGTGCTAAACAGCCAGCGTGAAAAATGTCGTAAAATTAATCAAGAGGGTCCAGCAAAAGGCTTCTTTTCCACGAATTACAGATTCAATTACTTTATGAAAACGTTTGGTTTACCGTATTTAATGCGGGGTGAGATTACATAAATTGTGTATTACAATTGACAGGACCGCGCCGACCCCATGCAAATTTTTTCTATTGCATTTTAAGCTGCCATTAGAGTTTCAATCTTGACTTATTTTGAATAATGATGACTCTCGCGCATTTGGCCATGGTATATACATGTCGATTTTCAAATGTTCAAATTCACGAAATGTTTGATTTTTATTGCTCTATCATGTCTACCCTGCGAGTAGAGGTTTCTCTCTTGCATGGCTTATAGCAATTGCAAAGTCGTTCCCGTGGGCGTAAACAAAGCAACTACGCGCAGACACTGAGCCATGCAAACGACCTACAGTAGCAAATGCTAAAAGCCATGCAAGACAGAAACCTCTGCTCGCAGAGCAATACATGTCTAAATAGTGCTTTTGCGATTTGCAAAACTAAGCGGTTCTCGACGTTATGCCAAAGTTTTAATTTTCATCACAACGTCTAGACTGAAGACAATTGTGCACTTTCTTCGCTGATAGTTTTTTTTTCACGCTCCAATCAACACGATTTGCCGTTTATGAAAGATGTCGGACATCAAGAGTTCGTATTTCTCAGACCTAATGATTCCTTTAGCGTTGCTACTGTTTGTCTACTTTTCGATATTTCAAGGTTAAAAATAATCTTCAGTTTCTTTGAAACTTAATAATTCGACCGTCTGGTGGACTGAATAATGAACTTCCCCAGGTGAAATGGGCTCCTGACAATCCATATTCCCGCACCGGCCCCCGAGGATACATTTTTGGGGTAATTAAATCTAACAAAAATTAATTTTGCCTTCAGCAAACATGTATTCGCTTGTTACGACCACACAGGCAGGAGTCGATGGTACAAATCGATCAGCAAAAACTAAGTAGACGGGTGTCATTCGCTTACTATTTCGCAGCTTCTTCTTCTTTCTTTACAGCCGTCGCAATAAAATTAGACTATTTTCTCGCGTTACGGGCAATATTTAAATTACATCTACCGAGTGTGTTACGAAAATCAACAAAATCCTAGCCTTTCATTGTTCGTAATAATCTTATAAATTGTCCAGTGCGTTCGATTTAATATTCTAAAAATGGCGGTGATTCAGCTTAGGTCGATCTGACCGATATGGGGTAAAATCCTCCTTCAATTTGGGGGTTACCTGCCTACTGCCCACAGAAAATTATTATTAACACTCTCTGCGGGTTTGAAAACAAAGAAAAACCGTATCCAAATAGACTGGCCTCAGGTTAGTTATAAACAACGGCATATTTAACTGTAAAGAAAATTGTCAGGCTAACAGCAAATTCAGGAGCTATAAACGAAAACGAAGATCTGTGCTTTATATGGTAAATGCGTTGTAAATCACTTGACGCGCGAAAATTAACTACAACCGTAGAATGTTTAGCCACAATCATGGAACTGGTGAAACAACGTAAAAATCCTTACGTACCTGACAATGAAGCTGTGATAGCAAGCGTATAAAACAGTGTTATCAGACTGTTCATTTCGTTGTCCACATCCAATAAAATCATGTTGTTTTTTTTTTGAGCACTTATTTTCACAGAATGCCGTTCTGACTATATTGACTCGGACAAGATATTAAATCATAAATGTTTTGTTTTCGCTTTCCAGCGTCTTATCACAGCAAAAATGTGTCCTTTTGAGGCAATCTTTTCTTTACAGGATGTAAAAGATAATGGCTGTAAAATGGTCGCTAGCGATTGTTTGACTTGCCTCCCAACTGTCTCTGATCATCAGAAAATCGTTTTAGGTTTTCTTTGAACGCTTGCATCAGAATAAATTTCCATATCAAGTGCCGACCTAAATTAAATATGGGAACGAACAAACAAACACTCTGCAGCCATTTTTTCTGTTTCTTTTTTTCATCGTGAAATATGAAATCTTAATAATATATGTGGTACATGGATTGGTATCTATTGCCCGCCTTTTTGCGATGACAGCTCCGAACTGACTCTTTCCTCACTGGATTACAATCGATTATCATACTCCGACTTCATAGTTAAGTCTATGGGAGACAAAATCAGTGGCATAGATGGAACATCGAGAGGTTCTTTTTTTAGGGCATTAATTTAACAGTCAGCATATGAACGGTTTTTACGAAATTGAACCACACAATAAATTCTTATTTCTTTCTTTTTGGGGCACGAAAAAGTTGCATGATGCAATTGACAATTTATCCGAACGTTTGACAGTAATCCTTGAAAAGGATTATTACCATGGAAACCTAGCTCAACTTATTCCCTGCCCACGCAAAATTGAAGGCGAAAATGTCTCTCTCCTCCGCGCAGAGGCGTCTTTGTGACGTAGTTATTGCCATTTTTATTGGATACCTAGCGGGAGCATATGAGGAGGAGCGAGCGAAAATGTCAGGAAGCCTTCTATACGCTCAATCACTGACCATTTTAGTTAGACTAAAACAGAGAAGTAAACGATTTGGCCAGTACAACTTGCGGCTATGCCGAATATATACGTGACCGACTGAAGGCAAACATAAAATATCAAGACGCCCCTCGCACTACAGCTGTTTCATGACTGATATTACGACTGTAAATCGAATGCGACACTGCTCTGCTGCAGGTGGTTAAGTTGTCGCTTTCACGAATCCTCACTATTTTTCACATATAACAGGAAGCGGCGTCTGATATGGCCAGCGAATGAGGCCGCCACGCACGCACCGCTGGGTACGTTTCGCGAGCGGCGGCTGTATTTCCAGGTTACTTATGATAGCCACAGTTCAGAGTAATGAGAGACGTGTGAACCAGACCAGGCGGGGTCTCCGTTCCTATTTAAAAGGGAGAAAAATTACGAAACAATCGCAGAATAAACGTTTGCAAACAGCTTTTATTATAAGACTATGAAGAATGAAGTCTCTGGATAAAACCGATAATTATCAGAACTGTACCCAATCTTTATAATTCTGTGAACGAAACAGTGCGAATACGATTCAACACTTTCAAAACAAAACGAATCATCCATAGCACTTGAATAATACTACGCATGTAAGTTCTGACTACAAGAATTATGTTGATAGCAAAATGGTTATTAAAAAGTCAAGGTTAAGTTTGTCAGCGATAACTGGGTGATGAATCATGAAGAACGATATTGAGTGCAAAGTGACATGGTGGAATTCAGAATGACAAGAAAATACGGCATCGACAAAAAAGGAATGAAAAATAGAGGTTCCGGAAGGACTACCAAATTAAGGCTACGCTCACCTGTCGCAAGTTGTTAGGTATTCCGTTCACACGGAACCACGCTAACCGTACGAATATTTGAATGCAAAAATCGAGGTCAAATTTTTGACTGTAAGGTCGAAACTTTGAACGGCAAGTTGTGAACACCGTGACCAGCAAAATTTTTTAACAGTAAAGGCACAGTTGCGTGGTAACCCAGCTGGGCGAAGCCATTTTGGATTTGCTTAAGTAGTGCTCTGCGCAAGGGCAGATGGTAAAACCTCTGACAGAAGTTAAAATTCAACGTGGTTCGACAGTTCCGTGTGAACAGTGGGAAAAGATTGAACGGTTCAACGTAGCCCAGAGCTACTCTAGACAACACCTACAGTATATTTGCAACAATCTGAACGTTATAGAAGATAATCCAAAAAATTCTACGAAGCATTTACACTATATAATACTGGCAAATTAGTTTAGACTTACTATTTATACAATTTGATTTCAGTCAGATTAAACTCATTATATGTATATCACATTGTTACTATCATTACATTGTACACGGTGAACAAAAATAAGTATAACGCTTGCGATCTGATTAACTGAGTGAAAAATAAGAATTAAAATATACAGCCGATGCTTTTGTGATTTTGAAATATAACGACTTTTACTGAAAATTTCCCGCAACACCACTATTTTTTAAACAAAATTATAGCAGTGGATTGTTTTTTTGTTCTGTATTTTTCTGATTTGTATCGCAATAGCGAGTTAGGCCCCATTAAAGTTACGCGCCATCTTTCGACTGTTATAGATGTGAAATAAAATTGTCCCTATATTAACCACGATCAAAAGTGCCATTCCCCATTCCAGAAACGATAAGTGACTGGGTACAAGCTTTCGGTGCACCGATTTCTGGGATCATTTGGGGGGACAAGCGTACTCAACCAATCATAGCTTACGCTTCTCCACCCTATCGATCCCAGAAATCACTGCGCCCAGAGCTTGTACCCATTCTGCCTAGACTTTCTGCAGTGGAGAATTCAGACATATTTTGACTAACCTAGAGCATGTTTTGTTCAATCGTAAAAAAAAAAATAACACCAAAAGAAAATGCCGTGCTGAATAGCATTTGTATAAAATGTTTCATCTCAAACCTCCCTTACTCAACTAAAACCTGGCACAGCTCCATTTCGAAATAAGCTGCCCCGATTTAGGTCTACCACGGTGAAAAACGTCTTCCATTTTAAGCAATTTATATTTTGGAAAAGAGGGTGCACAAAGTACAAGGTTTCTTGGAACATATTTTCAAAGCTAGGACCGGATTGTCACGCAAAGGAAGATTCAAGCACTGAAATCCAGAGTTAGTCTCCATGAAAACTCACAAACTCAGTTTACTGTTAACCAGAAAAAAATGTAGTCTCCAAAAACTCGTCCCTAGTCATTTCAGTATAGAGACTAAAATCATGGTAAACCAGTGGGCGCAGAAGAGGTGTTGGGCCTTTACCAGTGGCTAAACGATCACTCCAATCCTCATCCTCCAGACTAAAACAACATCGTAAAAACAGCCAAAAACAAAACACAAACAAAAACGAACGTGTTCCTTTTTAAACTCACACATCTGCTCGTCCATTATGTGTTCTTGCCATATCAACGACCACCGAGTGCTCTTTCGCTTTCATTCTCAGCGCCGCAATGCTCGTGGTATGCCGCCCAGAGCACTGTGACGACTCTTCACGTTCGTCACAAAATGTTTTCTGCGTCATGGATCCAGTTGATCCGCGGTAACTCTCACCGGGAGAGTGACATGCGCGTTGTGGAGGGACATGCGCACAAGGCGAAAGTTGCCTTGTTGGATCATGCTGTGAAATAGTGACATTCGGGTGCACGATAGGTGATCTCCTCATTCCGTTCGTTGACGTTGTCATAGCATTGACTTTTACGCAATGCGGAGGGGACTCAGGAGATGGTGATCTTGGTGACTGTCTGTTTGGTGGCAACGGGTGATGCACGTGCACGACAGGTGCATAGCTTGGAACTGACATGTGATGAGGTAATGGTCCAGCGCCAGGTCCTGACGGATTCATACAACTATTAGAGGGACGAGGCCAAGGGGCCTGCGGATGACGCTCGTAAATAGGCGCCATGCTCATTGCCCGAGCAGGAACTGTGACTGGTGCAAATCTTTCGCGCTTCCTCCACTTGGCCCTTCGATTTTGAAACCACACCTATAGAGAATAATAGAAAGAATGAGAATTATTTTCCTAAGAATTAAAGATACAAACTTACCTACTACAGTGGAACCCCGTTAATGCGACCACCGTTGGGCCATAAAATCCTGGTCGTAATAACGAGGTGGTCGCATTAACGGGGTCGTCAAAATAGTAAAATGACTCAATGGTTTTTACGTTTGGTTTGAAAGAATGTGGCCGTAATAACGAGGTGGTCTTATAAACGGGGTGGTCGTAAGGCGGGGTTCCACTGTACCCCAATATGCCAATAATATGCCAATATTGTGCCAATATTTAAATAATAATCATAATCATAATCATAATAGAGTGATCAACATCAATTTTCTCCACGTAATATCAAGACACCGAAAAAACGTTAATGAGGATTAATACAATGATCAGCAAAGGGAAAAGGGACAATAAGAATAACGTCTTCAAGGAATTGTATGGATATCACTAAGTGGGGAGAAGTTGTATCTGCATCTCTTGGGTAAAATGGTAAATTACATCAAACAAAGTAGAAAAGCAACAAATAAACAAACAAAACCGGGTTCGATTATTAAATTGCAATTGTGAAAATACAGTTAAACATGGCTGTGTCGTTTGTGATAATTTTGCCCAGTAGGATTGATTACATGGACGCTTATTTAAAGTACAAATACAAGTGCTTATCTGTAGATTAATAAAACACATCATTTTAATTAGTATATCTTTAATATCTTCGCGAATATACTGAAATATATATTGGCCAAGAGAGGGAAAGATATGTAAGACTTAACGAAATGTGACTGACCATGAGAAAAACCCAGAAAACACCAGTAAGAATGTTTCCCACGATCCAAAGGTGAAACTTCCGATACGGACTTCGCATTTTCGTGCAAAAAAGCCAAACTTTCCAGTTTGAAGGAAAATAATGTAACCGCATGTCAACGCGTGCAGATTTGTGCCGAGATGAAAGGATTCGCGGCTATCTTTTGTAACCTCTACTCCGGAAATTTGCGTGCTAGCATATATGTGGGTATCTGTCCTTTGAGGACTCCTTGTTCTCTACTGCCAGGAGGGGAATAAACCGTCTAGACTGGAAGACTCCACATGAACTCAAAAACGATGCTGGCGTTAAAAATGCAAAACGCGCAACTCGATAAAGCTTAGTCAAAAAATAACAATAACAACAATGAACAACTAGCTAGGACCAATTTTAACTTGTCAGAACAACGAAGAAAAATCTTAGTCTCACCTCTAAAAACTAAACGACTCTCCGACCACAGAAATAAAAAATTAAGACCACATGCAGGGACATGGTTACTACGGACATATTTTTACTAGAAAATTACCTCCTTTCAAGAGCTTTCACTTGGATGATTATCGCTCATATCTGTGCACTAATTATTTTTTTCTTTCACTCCTACAGTTACATGATACCAAGTAGAAACAAGACACATTTCCAGACTATCAGCTTCGATCATGTCAGTTTTTGCATTTCTGCCTCCTTGGATGTTACAGTTTTTAAGTTATGTTTAATACTACTTCTTACTTAAAGCCAATGTGTTGATGATTTCATTTTAATGACATTGAACATGGAGACGTACTCTTGGCCCACCTCACTGTTTTCAGACACACCATTCGGTGCTTCAAAAGGCTTATGAGTACTTTATTAAAGAAAAGCCATTCCTACAATGATACCGGCTTCCATTGCTCATCTTGTAACGAAACCATTTCCGTTGTTAATTGCAAAAAACAGAGCTGAGAAATCAATACGTTGCTACTGATGTTTGTGGTTTGAATATACCTTCCTATGAAAGGGCAAGTTTATACCCACTTCAGAAAGTATTTCCTAAAAATGATACAATTTTTATGGCAGGGCGGAGTGGTTTAGGCGTGAGACTCATTCGTTTACGTTTCACATTCTGAAATGAATGGAACCGTTGAAAAGGACTTTGTGTTCCGAGGGCAAACACTACACCGAATATAGAGACAAATAAAAAACTAAGCCATTAAATTAATCGGTCGCATAAAATGTAGTTTCTTAGTTAAGAGCCAGACATCTGTTTAGCCACCTACTTGGTGTTCTTTTCACCAAAAGTACCTCTAAAACCAGAATAAATTTAAAACCAAAAGTTGGTTTCTCATTAAAAAAATATTGTTGGGGGCCTTCACACACGTAACTTACACTATTCAAAGATGACGCGAGTAAATATAAAATGTACTTTGTTGCCTGGTTTATGATACAAACAAGAGTTTGGACCCATATTGTTGAATGAACGAACAATTTCAATGTACCGGAATTTCCTGTGCCGGAATAAATCTAAAACCAAAAATCTGGGTCTAAAGATACACTATTCCGGCAAAGATGACACGAGCAAATATAAATTATACTTTGTAGCTTGATTTACGATAAAAACAAAAGCGTTTGGACTCTAATATTGCTGAACGTTAAAAACTGAATTTCAACCAGTTAATCGTTTGCCTAGACAGATACCGGGAAAGATTCTGACTACCTCACCCATTCATTGAAAATAACAAGAGCAGCAGCAGAGAGCAAGGGTAATGTGAAGAGAAGAGCTTTCATCTCTTTATCAAATGCACAACTACAAATAGGCAAATATTCAACTCCAGTCTTAAAGGGATCAAAAAATCTAGTCGTAACTAATGCGAATTATAGAAGAATACCTGTCACGAGAATAATCATAAGGTAAATATAGACATGAACTTCAAAATAATGAGGTAACTTTCCCTCAAAAGAGCGGATTGTTAGTCAATGTCGCTACACAGGGAAAGAAGGACGTTTTACACCGTGCACGGCTGCAATTTGCTACAAGCACTGCAGAATAAGAAACGATATCAAGATAATAAATCTAAAAATAGAAAATGCTATCTATCAGTCGATACACCGCTCTCGTACAGAATGCTCTTGTCTCCATTATGTAACCTTTTGCTAAGATGGCTTCTTAGTGAATCCGTTATCATATGATTAGTATCAGTTTAATCTTGCTCTTGTCGAACAGATGAAGTTCATGTTACAAGGTTATTGCCTGTCTGTGCTTGATTTTGAATCCTGTCCAATACTTGGCTATAAAAATGCGTGCTTTTTAATAATCGATCATCATGATTAGCGTGACGTTAGCGAGAGAGGAAATATGTAACATGGATTAACGGAAATCAAAATGATTGCTGAATTAAGCCCTCGTGCGTCTAAGCATGGATTAAAAAATTCCCGTAATCAAGTTATCTATCCGAAGGGAATGTCTGCTACCATACGTCAACTAATCCATGTAAACTTGCAGCGATAAGTTTGTCATTCTAATTCTAACCATGGAAGAGCGATAAGAAAAGATATGCTACTCTCAAAACAAAATAATCTTTATATCTTTTCCTCTTCCTGGACTTAAATCGTGTCATAGTACACAAGTTTCAAAAGGAGGGATCCACCGTTTTACGGGAAAAAAAGGCATTCTCAAAGTAAATAGCCATGCTATTAAAGTTAGTAAGTTGTTTTGTTTTTATGTTTTTTTGTCTTTGTTGTTTTTGGCTGCGTCACTTAACGATTACTCTGGCTTTGACGTAATAGAGTAATAACTCCCAGTCTTGGTGGATAACTGCATAACCCTTTCTTTCAAAAACGTTTTGTGGGCTGTAAGTGGAACTATTTTTGGTGCATTAACTTCGCGCGTAAGATAAAGGTTCCAAAGCTAACCATTTCAATGAGATATCCGCACTTGACATCTTTCAAGTAAACGGCCTTTAAAACGATTTGTAAACACAATCGTATGAAGTAAAGTATCCCTTCAAAAGATACAGAAAAAGGATAGCCAACACCAGAAAATAAACATTTTTGCCAACAAAATCCTGTCAGTATATATTTTCCCTTCGCAATCATTATTTTTATTTATTTTTATTTCTTACCTTTTTATTTGCTTATCACGTGGAAATAATTTGCTGTCGAAGGTTATCTCTCTATAATTAAAAGCGATTGTGTTTGTAATCGTCAGCTTTGGCAATGCAATGACGTCGTGCCTTTATTTTGAACACTAAAACCTCCCGGGAATCCAATAAACATGGTTATAAATCTTCAATGTATAATACTCATAAAATTCTTCATAACGGCGCTACAATCTTGAAAATAATCCTTCTCGAAAAGAAAATCCAATCAAGGGTATTAAAACTTATCTGCGCATCCCTTTCAACGAAAAATAATCTCAAGGTTAAAGACAGACAAAACAACTTGAATAGTTTTACAAGAAGTTCAGTTGGGATAATGTGTTCTTCTTTCTCGAAGAAATGAAAGGGGTTGGGTTGGAGGGTGGAGGAGAATACAACGGGCCATTCAAACTGTTAAAACTAAAACTGCAATTACGTCTCTCTTCTAATAAGCGCCCCTCTGTCTCCCTTTTTCCTACAAGCAGATTTGCACATTGATTGTTGCTTCAGTCTGTCCCGTAACAGTTTAGCTGTAGAGCAAAAATAACGTTATTATCTACGAATACGAGCATGCGACGTGGCGCGATAAGAATTCAAAGACAGCTTCGAACAACAGTACGCACGTTATGGTTGTTTTCCTGCACGTATGTTACGGTATGATATAATAACACAAAAAACACACACCTTGCATCTGACCATGACTTGGAAGCATATAAAATACGCACCACCATCGTTTTATTCTACATTATAGGCGTTCTGAGGGCGCTAAATTAAGAGTTAACGGTCATTCAGTTCAAGGGAAATCGCCGTCTCAGGAAAGAACAGCTATAAAGAGTAATATAATGAAAGTTTAATTTGATTTTTTTGACGTCTTAACTCTATGTTTAAGGATCACACATTAGCTGTAAATATGAAGTGGCGCCCTTGTAATTTCTTCCGAGAAAATCAAAACTCCAGTCGGTATATTTCCTAATTACTAACAAAGAAAATACCAAATGAGTATGATAGGTCTTTACAGAAAGAGATGTAAAATCTATAAACAGCTTCCTGTAGCCGGTCCCGGCAGGCCCTCCCATAGTGGGGACAGTGAGAAGCCAATCAAGGTTATAATAATCTGGTTTCCCGTATTTTCCGTCTCGTCCGCCTCGATGACACGATTAATTTGATTAGTACCGATGTGTTTCCAATACACAGTGACACTTCAAATTCGTTTGCCAAAAACAAGATACTGCCTAGACGTAACACTTTACTGCAACGATTAACTGTACACTATTCCGTTATTACATATTAAGGAATGAACAAAGCAATTTCATGCTCGCTGACGAAATAAAATTTATATCTTAACTATTAAAAGAAAAAAACTTTGGCAAACAACTATTATTACAAGATTCTCAATTTAGAATGCATCAAAGCACATTTCTCGAGAATTCAACAATTATTGGTTGTGCTGGGAAAACGATTCCAAACTCTTCAGAACCGTAGAAAGGAAAACCGCCAAAAACAATCATTTTAATAAGTGCAACTGAAAAATGGATATACATAGCTCACTAGCAAACTTGGAACAGAAAATGAGATATTCCATAAAGTATCATGTTTTCAATTAATGCTATGGAAAAGAAAAGAGTAACGTTTATTTTCGCCTGGAACAAATTTTATTAATTATAGGTTTAAACCTTTCTGTGCGCGGACTACGTTCGATCGCAAATATAGTTGAGAAACGAAAGTACTTCTTATTCATTCACATTTTAAACATGACACTGTTTACAGTATTCGAAAAAATGCAACCGCAAGTAACAAAAGAAAAACCACCCCAAACAATAACATAAAATGAAACTATAACCGATTATAAACAAAGTAATGACGTTTGTTTTTGCCGGACAGTACGTAGAATGATTGAAAAATAAAGCATGTCCTATAATAAGCCCACAAAAATAACTGAGCCGAAGAAATATTGTTTTATGAAGTTTCCATATATCCAGCTCCCTGTGATTCACATTTCACAGTTTAACCTTATCAATGCCTAAAGTCGCCAAAATCAAATTTCGACAAAATTTCCAAATTTTATTTTGTGAAATGTTGAAAAACAAATAGTGCCATGTGAAAATACTGGCAAAGAGCTTTCATTTGAATAGTCACAAGATAGGATTTCGTCCACAGACTCAAAAGTTAGAACCACCTTGTGCAGCATAATAAATACAGTACCACAGGAAAGTACTGCTTAGTAGCTTTCATTTGAATGGTCACAAGACAGGGTTTCGTCCACAGACTCAAAAGGTAGAACCACCCTATGAGACTCCATCATTCAGTCTGAGAGTGAAAGGAAGTTGAAAAGGAAGAACTGCGCTTGGCATGAGCGACAAAAACAATTTAATACTAGAAGTCATTACTAGCAATGCAATGAAATAAATCGATAGACGATAAATAAGACTGCATTTTGACTTCATCAAGATATTATGGCATCTGCAGGCTTGTCACTCCCTTGAGACATTTTGTAAAGTGTTCCTGCTTAGAATTCAGTAAATCTGGAAACTCGCAAAGACGAAAGCCAATCAAATGGCCATTTTATTGCCTCGATGCAGACGCATATTAGATCCAACCAGCCACTTCTGTGGAGCGGGAGGGTATTCAGTGATTTAAAAAGCAACGTTGAACCGCTCATGCTAACATGTACAAGAGACTTTCAAGAGACAATCACTTACGAAGTGAAGGGACTTCCACGTCCAAGTTATCTATGCAAAATTCGTTTCATACACTAAGTCAGTGGTCAATTATGTACTCAGAAACAGTTACACTGGCAGAAGTATAATTAAAAGTGACCCCTATATCCAAGTATACTTGCTAAAATAAAGGTGGGAATTTGCATGAACACCAGAGACAGGTCAGGTCAAGCACTAACTTAATAAGAGCTGATGTTGGAACATAGAAGGACAAGTCATTGATGCAATGAGCAAGACACTGTGTTGATTATAAAAGCAAAAAAATGAAACATATACTTCAATAAAGCACATTTTTTCATGCAAATACAGCAGAGCCTCGATATAACGAACCTGTATATAACGAAGTCCTTGGTGTAACAAACGATTTTCTGTAGACCAGTAATAGCAAAATATATGGAAAAGAACCTCGATATAACTATACCTCGCTATAGCGAACAAATTTTGCCAATCCTTGACCTTCCGTTATATTGAGGTTCCACTGTATATTGCGGAGTAATTCTTACTTTCAAGGAACTCTGTCAGGATATTTTAAGTCAACATTTTGAAACATACGCCTAAAATCAATATTTTGAAATTGCAAGAAACCTCAAACATGTGTTAATGGTAAAATAAGAAAAAATAAAGAGAACACTTAAGATGAAAGAGATAATAAGAAAAAGTAGACCAATGTAGGCTACATTTTTCAAAATGAATAAATCGTTAACGTACTGAGTTTAGTTATTTCTTAACCAGTATTTCTCACGGTTTTATAAAAGAGACATTGCCTACAAACAATGCAATAATCAGCTATTTACCAAAACGTCTTCCAACCCGCACGAGACATACTGTATTGAAAACATCCGTCTTTAGTCTGACTTTCTTGTGTTGTATGTTATGAATATTTCTTGAAATATATAAGAAATTTCTGGCAAACACTGAACTTTTTTACAAAAGCTTATAATTCCAACCTGCTAAAATAGGTTGACTAATGAGTCGAGAATAACTGACACGAGCCGGGAATAGATTCCTCTTTATTTGTTTGTTTGGTTGGTTACTATAAAACATGGTTTAGCAGGAAACCGTGATTATTTATTACGCACATTCCAATGCTAAGTGTGGCAGAAACAGGGCGACAACTTTAACTGTTTCTAAAAAAGTTCATTTTCCCAAACGTTTGCATGATCTGCGCCGTCTGTATCGAAATTTACGTTACTCTGGTGCTTAAGACGTCTGAAACTTCAAAATGTGACCATTTATATAAGAAAGCACTATCCTGCGAATCCATCATTGTGATGGTAGTCTTCGGGTCACATTCAGCCAGTCCTCAGTTCGGTTAAAAACAATTAACTAACTTTGAAAAATGTCTCTCTATTTTTCTACCGTTCCACACTCGGAATTATTGTGAGTTGCAAAACATTTCTTCAGTCAACTTGACGTTACATGTAGCTATCGATCTTTGTTAAAATTACAGACGGTCTCGCTTAAACAAAGACAAAATGAAAAGACAAGTAACAGTTTACTAGAGAAGAAAATTTTAAAAGTTTGCAAATAGCAGAGGAAAACAATTTTTAATGACGCAATTTTTAATGACGCAAATTTAAAGCCCGTAGAATGCAACAAACGCTAGGATGCAACAGACGTTATTTCTTGTCACTTTCAATAATCCTCTTAGGTCGAAAACTGTGATTATATCTCCTTAATAATCCATAATTCCAGCTTTATTTACCGCATATCCCTCTCTGACCCTGGGCTCGGCGCCAACTTTATGATAGGCCAACCTTCCTTGTGATAACAAGTTTGCATTCTTTCTGAGGATCTAAGTTCAGATGCGCAGCCGTTTTTACACACTGATCTGAATTGTCAGAATTTTCTAAGGTCGCTTTCTTTTTTTTTTTCTTTTTTCTGGCCCAAGACTTTCCCCAATACTTTTCGCGCTAATTGAAAATAATTTTAAAAAAAGCGAAACACTATTATAGCTGCCATTATACCATGTGCTCACGTGGAAACACTAGACTGTACTAAAACAAATTTTCATTGTTTCCATTATTTACTTTGAAGTCTATGAGTTCATACACTGCTGTTTTCAGATTAATTTTCCTTCAAGAAGCAATTTTAAAAATCTGGTCAAGTTCCTAAAGCGTTACACCTCATTGAAGATAGAGAGTTAAACAAACATTGATTTCATTAAAACAAACGTTTAATGTGCAGTTCAAACAAAAATCCTGTTAATTAGTAATAAGCTAAGGATCAATAAAGAACATTGTTAAGTGTCGTCATCTATGTTCATAGAAACGTCGATTTCTTATTAAAACAACACACTGATTCAAAACGAGATTTTTTTCCGACCTTGGCAACAACACAGAATTTGATGGAACAAAATGTTCAGTGGTGTAACTGAATCGCTACCTTTTTTCTCCTGGAAGTTTCCTTTTATAATAAATAAGGGAATCTTCCAAAATTTATCTTTACGCACAGGGAAACAACATGAGACAAACTTGCCTAAACTGTAATTGTAAATTTTCTTTAAGCAGATTTAATTTCTAAACAACAGAGAGGGATTGACATATCGTGCATATGTCCGTCCTCGTGGGTTTCGTCATTATTTACAGAGAAGGAACAAACACAGAGAAAGTCCAATCGTTGTTAACATTCCTTCGTCGATTAAAATTATTATACTTCTTAAGGACATATTTTTTTTTAAATAAATGTTTTCAGAACTTTAAAGGTCGACGGATTTATGTGCATGTATCAATAATAAAAGAAGTAGATAATTTTTACTCCCTTATTGTTTCTCTCTATTACCCAAACAAATACTGACAAACTGGCTCAACACCCTTCTTCCTGATACTTTACTATATGGATGTGGTCAAAATCGGTATTCTTTTTTTTCGACCCTTTTATTGTGAAATGACAATAAAAAACTCCCTTATTTGTCTAACAGATTTCATCATCGCTAGATGAAAAACTTTGTTGATACTGACTAAATTAAAACTATTACTATCTGTTTCACCCAGTTTATTTTCTGAAAAACCATTTACAGTTATAGATTTATAGTGGACGAATTCTTAGATCCTAAAACAGCTATCTCCTGAATGTCAAGTTAATCTGTCTACTGAAAGTGGACCCCAAACGATGAACGATTGTTTGTATTGCAAACATCTAACTCGCTAAACACGTAACTAAAAATATCATGCAAGGCCAAAATTGTCCCAAATTAAAGTTTAAGTGAGCTACATCTTCGGCAGTTTAATAGTGCTTTTTAGTGAAAACGGTGGAGTAGATAATTATAAGAAAAACGCGGTCATTATTGAAAACTTACAATCATGATGTTCAGTAAATTTAGCAAGTTTAAATGTGGAGAACCATTAAAAAAAACGGAATTCTTTTGACTATATACCTGTAAATGCTATATAAATTTTCTCTGGTGAAGAATGCATAAGACTGGTCGGAAATTCTAAACTAAAGGCAAGTTTTAAAGAGTTTTACTGAATTCGAAATTAAACGTGGAATGATTCAACAACAATCGCAGGGAAATTAACATAAGCATTTTAGTGTGTATGGTTATAGCCAGGAAAAAGGAGCCAAGCTTTAAAAAAATGGAAAAAGTTTACATTTGCAGAAATATTAACTAAAAAAGCCGCTAAATTTCCAATTTGAATACGCCAGTCAACATGTGTAAATATGGATTTCTGAATGAAAGTTTAAGTAGCCCTTTTAGTGAGGATATTTTAATCAAGAACGACGTGCCCAGGCATAGTACCGTACTGTTGATAAAGATTGATCACAAATGCTTGGCATATAACGCAAAGAAAAACGAAGAAAGGTAAAAAACCCTAGCAGACTTCCGCCTATTTTATCATTCTCTGACCTCCTATCTTCCCGCATGCCTGACTAGTCCGCATTAGGCTTCTGTTCGAAGTTCTACAGGAATAAAATATCACCTCAAGACTGAGTGATTTTCGGTTTTTACAGCCGACTTAAGAAATTAAACAAGTTCTGTTGCTGGTAAAGTAGAGGTGTATCACTCCCATTGCTTATTTACTTCGCTTATCTTTGCTTTATTATCTACAAACGCGAAGAATCCTGCAGAGTTGCCTCGCCTGTTTACAATATATATGGGTGATCTATAGAATTCTATAACTGGCGAATGTATTTTTTGTTTGTTTTAGGCTATCAACAAAAACACTCATAAATTCGTTCCATACCAATTTTCCTAAAATGATGAAACTTATAACTCTTCTCAAAATTTGCAATCTGCCGTTAAAATCTGTCTCAACCTGTCGAACACATTTTACTACAACGATAACGCTTTTGGGTGGGTGTGTGTGTGTTTTTGATGCATTCTGAGCCAGTATTTTAATTACGCCGTTCACAATACAATACAACAATGCTTAACTAGGGCATGGATACATTTATGGCAGAAGACCTTAGCAAGCCCTACTGAGCTTTTCTGAGAAGATCCCCAGTTTAAATTAACAAATATAAACGTGAAAAATAATATGTACAGAAATCAAACACTGCTAAATCGAAAAATAGTCCAGTTTGAATGAGTCGCTTTTGGCTAAAATTAATATTTACCAAAGAGTATTCTTATTTGAAATAAAACGTGGTTTTCTTGTCACGAGAAACAGGCCAGAAAGACATTCTCTGCAGACACACACCCCAGGCGTGCACGCCCAAAGAGGGTTGTTGAACACAAAGCGTACAGGGGATTAACCCCACTCAGTCCCTAGCTTTGCCGACGGAAAAGCCCTGCAGTTTTTTCAATAAGCAGATAAGTGGTTGTGGGTTGAAGCCGGTTTTGCTTTATCAGGATCAAGATACATCTCCCTTGTTGCGGCAGAGAGGTTTTCTCTTGAAAGCACATTGAATCACCTATAACACTCTAAAGTAAAATGAGCCTTTTAAGTGCGGGCCACGAGAGAAGTACAATGGAACAGGTTAACGACTTCTTGAAGGGTTTAACTTTTGAGGGGAAATAGATCACCCTACTTTTACATTTATTCAATTTAAGAGATTCACTTCTTCTTCTTTAGTTTGTGCTTGAAATCCTCGCATTATTATGCAGTCGGACGCTGCTTTTTTTCACAGCAAAAACAAGATTCTGTATATAAAGCGTTTATCAAAGTTGTTAAAATTATTTACGTGAACGTAACAGGTGACAAGAAAAAGGGAATTAAGTCCTCGAAGTCCACACATATTTGCGTTCCTCTATCCTTGGACCGCCCCGTGGTAAATCACACCCATAATATCTACTTACTCTACAAATAACTTTTAAAACTTTTCTATTTTGTTTAACTTGCATTATATGACATAAAAATCGTCCATAAAGATCCACATTACGTCAATTGCCATTCCCCATTAGGAACTGGCGATCACAAGCTTATTGAGCTAATAAAAGAAATGTTGTTGGCCCCCAGGATATCCAAGATCTATTAGCAACAATAGCATGAGGCGACGACAGCATACTATTTCCGAGAAGGACTTTCAGCTTAATCCCTAAAAACTTAACATTTATGCATTAAATTTTCCAAGACAATACAGAGAAAGCAAAAGCAAGGACGAAAGAAACTTAGTTGAAGGTTTCGCCCACGCGTGGTGAATAAAGTGATCACCATTTTTTGCTATCAAATAAAACTACAGAAAAATATAGCCTGAGTAAGTCCTTGATATAACTTATCAAAAATTAAGTGTAAGATTTATGCAAAGCTTAGCAGACAAGGAGATAAATTATTGCGTGGTTCGGCAAATCACAGAACCAGACAACACACATTCAAGCTTCCGGTGTCACTTTCCGACATATGTCAAGAAAGAACGCTAAAAACACGCGCTTGTCCGATACAGTTCATCCCTTTTCACAGTACTAACCTTGACCGGTTAAAAAAATATGAAATATTTAGTCAGAATTAAGAGGATAAGCAAATATGTCTCAATAGCCGCTATTAATATTTGGCTGTCAACTTTTCTCTAGTTCCCTCGATAAGAAGGAGAAAGTGATACGTTAAAGGCACTCCTGAATGCCGTCTGCTGCGACTTTTAAACATAACAAGTTCCTTTTATTTGTTGACGTTATAGAAGTGAAAATTGTCTAAACAAAAGATTTAATTACGAAAAGATATAAAATCATTTAGCGGTCCAGCATAACAAGTTTACAATTTACTTTTGAAGAACAAATAAACAGACGAAACACAGACTGTCCAATGTTACCCCGATCAAAATTTATCAGGTTTCCTTTGAAGTTGCCGAAACATTTTTTGCAAAAAATAAATGCACGACATTTCAGAATCAAAGTTTGATGTAATTTTCCACGCGCAAGTCGAGATAGATAAAATCGGTTTTAAAAAAGTAAAGTTTACATGTTCTGTTCAGCGAGAGATAAGTTTTTTTGCAAGTTTAATACGAGTATGACAGCTCAATCATCATTCACAACTAGCGATACACATCGAAGTATTGATAGGACAAACACTTCACGATCAAGGGTTAGATAAGCGATTAACAAAGTAAGAATCGAGGGTATCGAAAATTGGACATAACAAGCGCTAGTAACAAATGTTCCGTAAACGGGCGCAATACAGCTTTCCGATAAGCCAGTATCCCAAATGGCGTAAAAAAGCCCATTTACGGAAACGCCTGCCACAAAGACACTGAAGCTGCCATTATGCAAAAGACATAAACCAAGCAGTTGCTCACGCCCTTCTTCAGATCCTCTAAATCACCGCTTATAAAAATTCCACAACAATCAAAATGCACTTGCACCAAATAAATTTACGCTTAGTTCCTCGTCTATTTAATTTAAGAAGTTACCTGGTGATATAAAAACCAAAATTTAAGTTGACCAATTGCACGTAAAGGGAAGGAATTGACTTGGCTATTGTAGTAGTGTATCTATAACTCTATAGTATCAAAGTTTAGCCTTTATTCGCGTGCCTGGAATCGTGCAAGGATTGCTTTAAGATTATGAAGCTTGAGCTGCCCCTTGGACCAACGCTGAGAGTTAAATGGAGCAAAGTTTTTTTCCTAATGACCGATGAAAGAGGAGACTTTGATAACAACTTTAGCGTGACTTTCCGCTGCAAAGATTTCCCCATTATCCCTTGTGCAAGGGGCACTAATTATACACTTGCTCAGACGCGGCAGAGAAACATCTAGACTGCTGCACTTTCACAAAAATGTTCTTTTGATTCCTTCTCTCCCAAAGTGTAATTTTCGTTCGGAGATCTTTCGATTACTATCATTATTTTTCTGCTTAAGTTTATTTCATTTTCTTGAGTAACGTACAAAATTCTGTTTCTTTTTTTCAAATAATTTATTATTACGCCTTAAAATTAAGCTCTGACACTGGCTCTGATAGAATGTAGGTGAGACACATGTTTTTCCACCTAGTGACTGTTTAAAAATCTGTTTTAAAAAGAAAAAAGTAAGTATGAAAGAAAGAAAGGAAATACCCTGCTCAAGCAAACACTAAAGATGTGAAATTAAAATATATAGCTCTGCAGACAATGAATGATTGAAAGCTGAAATCCCTTTTCTCAGAGGATCCATGTAAGGACAATCACTGGAGGTCGGTCTTACGGAAGTTAAATCGTTTCTAGCAGTGAAAAAATGACTTATAGTTTAAATTGCAAGAATATATTTCTGTCAATTCATGGCTTAAGATGATAAAAAATAAGAATGCGTAGCAGACAGTTAATTTGCACGAGTGACATTTCATTTCCCGACACGAATTCTGTCCATCGTTAAACATCCATGTGTTGCAAGATTACCTTCCTGTGATAAAACCAAGTTTTTGATGGCGTTTTCCATGTGGTTAGACCCATCATCCGCTAATTTACAGTATCTTTAGCAAAAACAAGCCTTTGTTGGGGGCTGCGATATATCATTTTAGACCACATCTCTAGGCAAGTACTTGTACGTGTTTAGCTCAAAGTAGACCGCTCCAACCACAACTCCTTTGAAGTTCTTATTATAAACTGCAAGAGCCTCTCTAACTTGAAATAATCGGTTACAAGACGTTTGAATGCTCGTGAGAATGAGATATAATATCTCTGTGTTTGCGTACTCTGTTCCACATCGGCATCATTTGTAGGCGACTGCCGTTACAGATATTTCCCACAAAAACGAAACCTTCTCTCAGACCATACCTCTCGTTCACGAATAGATGTTTCATGCATCACAGTAAGTATCAGATACAAACCCTAGCTCACAAGAAAATGATTCATTGACCTTAAACAAACTTACCTTCGATAGTAGAGTAAAGTAACGTAAAGGAAGATGTACCACTAAGAACGAATTAGTTACTTATTTTCACTAGTCTACCTATTGGTTTAAAAAGCTGCACTATTACTTGTGCTAAACCCAAATGATCGGGCCCCAAAACGACTTGATACATTCGCTGAATTTAGACCTTATTGACTACTTACTTAACAGCACCTTTCGCTAGGTGATCAGTAATTTATAGATTAACGCAATGGAAATCAAAGAAATACAGTTGGTCTGACCAAGCTAACTTGTGTAATCTCTTTTCGTTATCGCATAGTAACAACGACTAATTGAATTAGTATAACAGGTTGTGTAAAGTGGCCGTACATCATCTGTAAAATGCTTGAAAAGTTTAACGACGTTTTCTTAATGGTAATAAGAAAATGATACAGAAGTGAAACTTGGGATGGTTTTTATCAACAAACTGTTTACCTGCACGCGTGCTTCCGTCAAGTCGCATCGTAGCGCCAACTGCTCCCGTGTGTAAACATCAGGATAGTGCGTTTTCTGAAAAATTCGCTCCATTTCCTCAAGTTGAAATGATGTGAATGTGGTTCGGTTCCGACGCTTTTTACGCTTCGAGGTAGACTCGTTACTGCCGCTCTCCATCTCCATGCAGGATTGAGGACTCGGTGAAAGCTGCGTCGGGCTTCCAACTGGAGGCGAGTACTTGCCTGCACGAGTTAGTAATTGGAACACTACATGTCAAAGCAGTTTAAATGGACAAAATGCAATTACAAGTGAAGAACAACTCATTAACTTCATATTAAAATCAATTAAGGTTGATTCTCTCAATTGCGATTATTTTTGGACAAAAGGTAGAGTCATTATAGAAGTCAAATAAATAATTACCTGGTTGGGATGGTGTACTCAACGGAAGAGCGTGTTGTCTCGCTAAATCGCAACTCGCGTAGCTCACCGGAGGGACGTTGGGAGAACCAGTTCCCCGTGGAATTGCCCCACTTGAAGACATATAAGAAGATGAACGCGCATTCTGACCGATAGACGACACAAACTCGGCGAACTTTTCCATTACGTCTCGCAAATACGGATGCTGATGTAGTCCGACCTGTATCGCCGGCGTATAAAATGAGTTTAATTCAACCGTCATCACGCGCGCGGGGTATTTGTGTGACGTGCGTGACACCCTGAGAAGACGACCGACCAATGAGAGCCTCGCAGTGGGAATAAGCTGCTAGTTACGAAACTCACTTGTCACTAATAAAGATTTCACAGATAAGAAAAGATAGAAACTTTTCTCGATAACTCACTCTTATTGGCCAGCCCCGAGGAAAAATAGTTCAGGCTTGAGTGACAGTGATCGTTGGAAAAACAAAACGAATGCGCTAGAACTGAAATTATAAAAGAGAAATCTTCATTTTGACTTAAAAACAATGGCGCAATGAATTTTGGCGATTTTTAAGTGCTAAAAGTGGAAAGGCGATTTTCTTAAGTCTTTGTTTAAATAACACGAGTTATGGTCGCTTGAAAAACACAAAGGCTCGCCGCCTTTCCGGTTAACACCTTTTGCTGGAAGGCAAAATCCATATGGGACCAGTCTGCCTCTCAGTACATAGCATAAAGCATTCTGAACAAGGTGGCCCGTTTTCCGTTAAACGCTTTCATTAATAAGTCATCCCACTTCTGCCGTAACAACTATCGTAATATCTCGTAATTAAATTAATTATCCGTTTACGAGGTACCCAATGTTTTGTTTCCCGCGCTTGTTAACTCGATATTAATGTTACAAATATGAACGTGGGAAGGGATGCGTCAACAGGCCTAATGTTTACTATTGATCTGACCTTATTCGCCTTATCGCCATATCACCAACATTAAAGAAGTTGTACCCAGATGATTTACCTTTTTAACGTTAGATTTCGTGTTTAATCACTAATCAGTATTCGCAGTAGTACGAAATCTCGACAGAATTCAAAAGTAGATGAATTGGGGTAATCGAGAAGCTGTAAGTGGCAATTCGGGGGTGGATTGACGCGGTTTCGAATCACCATCATCAGGCATCTTCTCTGTGGTCTCGATGCTCCTTCTCCTTAACTTTTCACATGATGGGGAATGAAGCTTGAGGCTTTCAAGAATTTGCAGAAATCAAAGCAAATACATAATGTACAGCGGAAACAAGTGGTGTTTGCCTTTTAATTTAACAAAAACAAAAACAAGAACGGTGCCACTTCCCAAAAAGAAACAACTAGAAATTGTCCCCCGGAAACTTGCCCCCATGCTGCTCTCAAGTGAGAGTCTTGAAAGGATCAGCTAACATCTGTCGCAAACATGCTTTTGTTGTATCCGCCGCCATGCGACAGTAGAGGGGTGAACAGCTTTATTGTGCACTTGGATTGTCAGTTACTTAGAGTGTCCTGTAACATCTCATGTCTATTTTAACGTCACCACGAGGAGACATGTGCGTCTAGAATTAGAAGTGAGTTTGTCTGCTGCCATTTTTTCAAGCTTCCCGAGGGTTCTTGGTTAGTCTGGTTTCTTCTTTTTATACTGATAATCCGCTTTGCAAGCTTCACAATATTTTGAAAGAAAATATAAAGGAACGTTCCTCTTGAACCCTCTTGGCTAGTAGCGAAATCTCTAGATCTAGAAAACCAGAGAGCGACAAAAGGGCAAACTTAACAAGACAGAAGGGAAAATTGTATGGCACCACCTTCAATACATTTGAGGTCAGCTGAAGTCATTTTTTAACTGAAAACTGAATCGTATGTGATCTGAAAAACAAGACAAAAAACGTCGCACAAATTTCTGGCCACATTACATGGCTCAATTTCCTCAGTGACTGCAGAAAAAGGTGCCATTCTTTCGAATCAAAATTGCACTGATACTCCCTCGTACCTTCTAAAGAGTATTAACGGAACACAACAACAACAAAAACCACAACAACAAAAGTAGCAATGGTGAATTATTAGGGCGCCTGAATATGCAAAAAATGTGAGGAAAAGGCCGTCCCATTCTATTTGGTTATTTCTATCTTTAACTCAGTCCTTTGAACATAAGATTCACGGACGCCTTTCTTGAGTGTTTTCTTGCGTGTGTAGATCTGGATTTACATACTTGAAAGGTCCAAGGCTGAATTGGTATACTTTCTCAGAAGTTCTTTACAAATAGATCAAGTTTCAAATGTACGTCAGTGATAGCGTAGTATGTTCGTCAGCGTTGCTAGGAAATGATCCTAAAGGCATCGACCACATAAAATGACATGATTTTTTCCTGATTAGACTAATAAAGAATCGGAAATTCATCGAGCACCTTAATGAGGATTTGCAGCCCCGAATGATGCCGAATTTCAAGTTTTATAAAGGATTATCCTTTACGAGGAAGAAAAATGACGAATACTTTACTTGGTCAGAAATACGTTATGGTTCAATATTAAAAATGAATGGCGCCACCCACAAAAACATTCAGTGCCTTCATATCCAACTCTTTGGCAAAAAAAAGACTGAAACTGGTACCTTTTTTAATCATCAACGAGGCCATGCCCCACCCATCGGGGAGAGAGACATTCTCTCTTCCCGATTTCCACATTTTCTGTACTGCTGCCACACTAAATTTACGCTGCTGCCTTTATAGTCGTTTTTGTATCGTTTATTTGAAACACCGGGTGGAATTGTCGTCCAGGTGCGACATCTGTAGCTGATATCAGACCTCATCAGGAGCCGATTATCGGCTCCGGCCTGACCTCATATAAGATCTAACAAGAGCCATAACGGCTCTTGGATCTAATAAATGCTCCTGCTAAACCCTAATGGACTCCGTACCACAGAGTAAGTCGCCAACGACAATAAATTCCCATATTAATGAAGAGACAAGAGTATTTGGAAACTTCAAAGGGATTCAGCATTCAGTTCAGTCAGACAGGAGAAAGAGTAAATATAGTAAAATATAGTAAATATCTTAGTATCCACTCCCCTTAAGGCTTTTCAGGGATAATTCACAACACTGGTTGGGGGACTTTGCCAGACTGCTTAAGGTGCAGTTTACAAGTAATGAAGGAATGAGTAATGATGCCCCCATACATGAGTGTGAAAGAGAACAAACACTGAACTAAAACTGGAGATAAACGCAATTTAGTTTCCTTAATACTTTTACATTCTCCAGGCCTCGCTCACTACAACAACATTGCCAACGGGAGTAGAGTCGCCGGGTCCAAAGGGTACGTTTTTTTCGCCTGTAGTATCTCCGGGGGTCCAAAAGAGGGGTCTTGTTACCGCATTCCAGCTCCCTTTTCACGACAATCACGCATCCCTAACTTCTGTCATCTCCATCCCGAATAGCGTTTTCCGTTTCCAATACCGCATACATTGCCAAGATTTCGGTGAATCCCACTTACCGAGAAGCGGTCTAATCCCACATCCCGTCAAGAAATTTTGCGTTTTCCCGAATCCCGCACTATATTTCGGTCAAATCCCGCATCCAGAGAATACCATTCCAGACCTTGTATCTTATTTCAGTTCTCCAACTGGCGGCAGTGATGTATGACCAGACAAAAAATTTTCACGTCGAAAACAAAGGTCGTTTAATTCCTTAATGTGCCTCAACCAACATGTCTCAATTAAACTGAACTCCTCAACGCAACGATTTCAAGCAGGGCGGATACCCTCTGAAGTTGCGTGAAGTACTTTTGCCTAAAAACTTTCAACAATATTTCCGTCCTGACTCATCAAAGGTAGCGTGGCCGAGTGGTCTAAGGCGCTGGTTTAAGGCACCAGTCCCTTCGGGGTGTGGGCTCGAATCCCACCGCCGCCACTTACCATTTTTTTGGTTTGACATTTTTTGGTTTGTTTGTTCGTTTATTTTTTACGTTTGTAGTCTAAATAGGCCATTTGCACTAAGAGGCATGTGACATCGTTTTTATGAAAATGAAAGTTGTATGATTTTGCCTTCGAAAAACGATTAGTGGGTCATTTCTTAAACAAAATAATAGTGATTTGGTGTTTCAAACCCGCACCATTTTCTTCAAATGAACAAGTTCGTAAATGGTCAAGTGACCAAAATGAGATTTTTAAAATTATGAATTACCTCTCTCTGAACACAAATTTTGCACTTAAACTTCAAGGAAAATGTTGAAAGGATGATGTGATAATCTTTACAGCACATCTGAGCGTAGCTATGAAACGTTGAACAAGATATAAGCAAGAAGTAGTTTTGGCCGCCATGTTGGAGGGCAAGAGCATGCCCTCCAACATGGGGGCCAATACAAATCATACTACTTTGCTGAAAAATCAAAGTGCCGTAAAATATCTCCCTTAAATGCGTTTCCTCTCAAATTTCGGGTGTAAGTTAATTTTTGTGTGCTCTAACAATTTTTGGCATCAGCAAGATTCCAACTCATTGTTTAAAGGAAGCATTGGTCACGTGACCTCTTAGTGCAAGTGGCCTATTATTGTTTTAGTAGTTATTTTCTATAAAATGAAACATAAGCTCGCACCACCAGGTGCCCTGAAACAGTTTTGTATGAAAAAAATGCCGCGTCCATCTGGAAAGGAAGGAATACAAATGCTAAGAGCACATCAGATAACGAAGTTAGCCAATTATCTTAAAGTCAACAAAGCCGGGTCAGAAAATACCACAACGCATCCATTTGTAATAAGGAGCTCATTCTATCATATGGTCGGGCGAACCTACCTCTTTCACTATTAACCGAAGTTGGGTTGGTTATGTTTTCCCAGGCTCCCTCTTAGTTTCAGTTGGCAGGCCGAACATTGCGCAAGATTGTAACAAAGCATTCGAACACAGCGGCACCAACAATGGAAAAAGACGTACTTACGAGTCGGCGCTGGTCAGCTCTGCGGCTCACCCTATAAGGGCAGGCACCGCCCTTCACAGACTATTTTGTATTAGTAAAATCCAACTAGCCATATTCTCTAATCAAAATCCGTTTGAAATCCCAAAATCGTCGCATCTGCCTTCTGTTTCGTCTCAATAAAAGAGCAGGCAGCCTGACATCAGTTAGATAAATTTAACTCAATCGGAAGTTGGACAGTTGAGCAAAGGGTAAAAGGGCCGCCAATATCATCTTGTGAAAAAAAAAATAATGATAATAGTACCATCCTCTCTTGTACCAAGTTAAACTATAGCTGGAAAGGTTTCATTTGAATGGTAACACCACAGGAATTCTTACAGACCCAAACGTTAAAGCCAGCCGTTACAAGACTCCATCATCCACCCTGGAACTGAAGGTCGGGAGTTTTCTTTTCACAGTGAAAAACTTTAAACGACACGCGAGTCTCCACATCAAAATTATATTAATCCGTTTACAAACTTATTTATTTTGGAGGCTGTTTTCAAAAATGTCCACTCAAATCATGTCAAATCGTTCACATGAGAACGGAAGTGGTCAACTCATAAGTTTGTTTTTGTTCACAAACTAATAAACGGACTAATGTGTGCACATAGCGCTGACCAGATTGACACATAAAGACATTTATTACGTTAATAGCATAAAAGAGGATTAAACTCATCGTGTAGCGAAACTCATTAGTGACTCCTGTCATTAGCAATTCAACTTTGTTCAGTGCGTAAACGTTTATTTTGCTATTAATTCATAAGATTTACAAATGATAGTTTCTTTTCTATCACAGATAAGATACCATAGAAATCAAACTGATAACGAGCAAGTTAATGTCAAACAATCTTATAACCTTTAAATGACATTTTTCATCAGGATGAATTAAGGTTAGCAATTGCTTACCTTCATCAACAAAATCAAGTGTTCTCGAGCAGAGTAAACAAGGGAAATACGAAACTAATAACTTCAGAGTTGAATGACACTGTCGATATTACTTTGATTGCTTTGACACCTTCCTCATTGCTAATGCGCACTAAATATCAACTCCCTGGGGTGAGACTTTCAATAACGCTAAAGGGAGTAGAATTATTGTTCAAAATCAAATCTTTTATGAACACAACTGGAATGTAAAGGACGTACAAATTGTTTGTTCTATAGCCTTTACCTAATTCTTTGTTGGTCACGAGCATTACTAGCCTCGCTATGTTGACAAGAAGAGACTCGTACAAACAAACGGATGCCAAGATCGCCTTGCTAGGATCCAGGCATGTAGGAAAATCAGGTGAGTTCAAAGTCAACCCGTGCCTTTCTATCTCACTTTGAAATACAGTTCTTTGTAAATATGCGATATGAGGTAGAGACGCGTTTGTAGGCCTTGAAGACCCGCATCTATTCAGTATACTCAACTGTACTTGCATTTAACACCTACACGCCTGAGACCCACACTGGTTTCAGCCAGTTTATACCTTTTCTGCATTTCTTTCGACGGACTCAGTATTATTTATTTCTATAATTTGGCAATCCACCCTAACACACGTAACAAGTTTCAGGGCTACGACTTGAAGTTGTTATCCGTGATTCCAGTCGCAGTTTCAGAGCAACAGGAAACAAGACTGTTTTGCACTGTGCCTCAGTTGGTACTAAGTTGTTTAGGGTAACCCCATAGTGTACAAGAAAAAGAATCTATTTTGAAAAATTTCTAAAAAGGAAGCGATTTTCGAGAAATGAATCATGTTCGACACTATTTTTCCAAGCTACTTTCTCCGAAGAGGCCCCTTATGACACCTTGCTGAACTGAAAAGCCACCGTACTTTTGCCAAAAGTGGGGCATAAACATTGCACCGCATGTGTTCCGTTAGGAATAAGGTTTATAATAATAGTCCTGCACAACTCAGTATGTAACAGTATGAGCATTCCTGTCTAGGTCTCATTGGCAATCGATCGAGATGGGTGTCTGATGAAAATAAAAATGACAGGAATAATAAGAAAAGAATCAAAGTTCCAAAATTTATTCGCTTTTGGTCTGGATTCAGAAATACTACACTGAAGTTCTTTCAAATATATCAGGGGCGCTCGTTCAATAGCTTTAAGTCTGATTGTGTAGATGTCGTATCGGCCCCGTTCCGAGATGTGTACAATGCTTAATGGGCTAATTAGGCACGTCAGTGACACCATCCATCATAATAATATAGCTTTTGTTTTTCTCTTCTGCGGAGTCATGACTTCAAGTGCTAAGAGGGTAGAAAGTGACAGGTATATCAAAAGAGTAGATCATGCCAAAAGAAACTTTACTCGATAAATCACTCAATAACGACTACATTAACCTCTACTGTACTTTCTGAAGTTTTTTTCTCAAATCAGTTGAAGTTTTGGACCGGGCGAATGATGTAGACTTAAACTGAACTCAGAATGGCTACAAAAGTTCGCACTGACGACATTGCTAGCATTTGAGTTTCAAGATGAAAGTAATGCGCTGTTTGTAAGGATAAAATGCAAAATGCAACCTGTATTTTAAAGAGTTTTTGTCACTCCAAGCACTCATGTCCAGATTATAAAAATTGCACGAAACAAAAGCTGTTTACCATCAACAGCAATCGTACTGAAAGCTTTTGAATAAATTATCCATTGTTTTTTGAGCTAATGGAGATTTAAATGGATCAAGGAGAATGACAATGACGATTAGCAAAATGGTGATTAAGCACTGATTACAACCAGAGGATTACAACCAAAACGTCACCCTCTGGCAGAGTGGCGTTAACATTCCTAACTGAGAGGGACCAAGGAGGGGGGCAAATCCATCTAGCAAGTAGATTTATCCCAAGCATGTACGCACCAGATGCCCATGTATATGTTGCAGTTAATTTTTTATTTCACTTAATTTTTATATTTCCTTTGTTTCAAATTCATTAGCATTCATTACCATACCCAAAAACAATCGAAAAATAAAAATTAACTGAGATAAAAAATTAACTACAACATTTACACGGTCAGAAATGGCCTCGCCAACATCTTGAGCAACCTCTTCCATTGCGGAAAAACACCAGAAGACCTCGGGTTTAATGCTGGTACACAGATCGAAAAGCCCGGGCACTGGATGCAACAACAATAACATTGTCGATTAACTTTCAGAAATTGTGTAATCATTTATCGTTATGTCTAAAACCCCAATGTTATCCTCCTAAATCTTAACAGACGAGAAAGTGGAAGACATTTTCCTGTTTCCCGCGACTTCTCTCGGAAAGAGGGAAGTGACTCTATTGAGCAGGAAACCAACAGGTATTTGCAAAGTTACCCCTAATGAGTTCAATTCCTGAGACCACCCGATCTTACATTATGGCTGACGTCTTTATTTTCGGTGTAGAAACCAAAAAGACTCGCGAGCCAATAACAACCTAACTAATTTAGCGGTCTATTTCTGTCCAGCTAAAATAGAATGGCCGCGTTTACATACCTGTAATAATATCAAATTTGACTGGTTATTACTCAAACCGAGTGTCTGCCCTGAGATTTCACATAACTATGCCAATGCATTCAGAGTCTATCGGCTGGGTTTTTCTATTGCCTTTATGAACGAAAATTTTAGAAGCTTAATGAGGTGATTTGTTCTTGCTATTAAAGCCATTGCAGTGAGGTTCCTAACCAAGAGATTCATTGGGGAATATGATTCATCTCAGGGTATGTTCCTCCGTTTACTAGATCGAAAATTTTTTAACACTTCACTCGCAGAATGAAAAATGAGTCTTGTAAGGTAGTTCTATTTATTATTAAGGTAGTGCTATTTGTTTTTAGCATTTTAAAAAAATGAAATTTAGACATTTTGCTGCCTTTAACTTTAAGCACTTCTGGGATTGAAAGGGTTAATCAAGTTTAAGGTGTGGTTTTAACAATCCCAATTTCCGTCTTTAGACTTCACGTACCAGTTCACCGCAACCATCGACGATGATCAAGTAAACTTGGAGATACTAGACCCAGGTCCCGAGGTTAGCATGAATTTTACAAGTAGCTGTTGTGTTTCTAAAGTGGACATTGGTTTCCCACTTTTAGCTTTCATACATATTCGCTCAGTGCTTGATCGTTGTAATAAAATGGGACTTTTTTCAGAAATGACATACATACAGTTCCATCCTTAATTGAACATGAAATAATAACCGAATGGGGTAGGCTGAGCAATTACACTGCGATCAGGTGAGAAAGAGGGAGGGGAGGGAGAGTTTTAGGGAGTGGGGGCAGCATGGTAGTAGAACTTAATAGGAACTGACAATCACAAAGTTCCTCCAACCAATCAAGTTCGAAGCTTCATAGGTCTACGATGAGAAGCTCAAATCAGCTCACCTTAATTCTTTTGTCTTATTTTCAGTCGACAGGAGAAAGTTCATTGGAAAGCCGTACGCTTTGGGCCGACGGTCTGGTACTCGTATACTCGATAACTGATCGGAAAAGTTTCGAGGAAGTTCGAGATTTACACAACCTTCTCATCCCATTCAAGCAGAAAATCGTGGTAATGATCGTCGGAAACAAATCGGATCTCGAACACGAACGACAGGTATCGAAGACCGAAGGATATTCGTTGGCGGAAATTTTTAAATGCATGTTCGTCGAGTGTTCGGCGTCTGATGGATACCCTAAGATTGCTGAAGTGTTTCACGAGTTATACAGAGAGGTTTTGAAGAGAAAAAAAGACAGACGGATGTCTCTTTCGCCTCGACCCTTGCGCGCTCTCGGTAAAGTTTTCCGGCGAAATAGCAGCAAAAATTTGCTGCTGGCACCTGGTAGTCCGAGTTTGTAATGGTATAAAATACAGTGGAACCCGGCCATTTAATTGGACGGCTAAACAACTACATGTATACCATAACACCGTAGATTTTGTTAAGAACAAGTCGAATCGAACAGAACATAATAGTTAGTCACGAGTCAGAAAATAAACGTAAACCACAAAGACGAAGCAAGAAATCTAACACTCAAACGACATTAAACACTGTGTCGTTTAGTGTTTGCTTCTTGCCAACGCAGAGAACTACAAACGTAACCATGCACAGACAATGTTAAGTAAGAGTAATCAATCAGTTCGCACCAAATGCAGTGATAGGTAGGCAAAGGCTTACGAAGGGTAGAACTTTCGAATTTTAAACCTGTCGCGTTCTCACTGTCTCTACTCGCTGCCATTGCTTTAACTGCTAGGAACTGTGCACAATCTCTAATTCCAACAAAGGCCATAATAAGCGACACACAAAAAAAGATGATAAAAAATACCAAATAAGATAGGTGGTACAATTTTAGGCCCAGCATTGCGCGAAATGTTTAAATCATATCTTATAAAGTGTATCCCTCAACTTGTGTGTAACATTGCAGAGGTAGAAAATCCTTCCACATTTTCAACATTGCACCAATAAATTTTGTCCTGTATCTACCATCAGCTTCCTCCTGTAACCTTGAAAGTTTGTAATGGCGATAATCAAGAATGACATTCAAGACTGTTAAACCACAGCAAAGAAAAGTTTCCCATCGTACGGTTATTAGCCGCTAAGCAAATGCTTACGTAATGTTGAACGCATGCCATTTGTTCCTGTTGGAGACCACAGGATATCAGTCTCCAGAAGAAAAAAATGATGACGATGATGGCGAAAATGAAGCAAAAATGAGAGCGACGTTAATAAGACCTCTAGGTCTATACCTCAAGGCGCAATGCAAGTATTTACGTCACCACCAAATTGTCACACCTGGCTCTCAATTTTGCGGACTAGATGTTCAATTCAATTAGCCATCAAAAACAACGATGATAGTGATGATAACATGACATCTTTACCTATATATTTCAAGGCACCACGCTGTTCACCCCGTCGGCGTCTCAGCCATGTTTATCACGTGACCACAATTTGTCAGGACTTGCTCTGAATCTTGCCAAGTAGATGTTCTATTTGATTAGCCATCACAGGTTGTCCTCTACGCGTTTTTTTGTTCAAGCGGCCAAAAGTTTCACGGCGCTTCCTCATTTTCTCTCGAACCTCCTCCCTGTGTTTTTGTATCATCACTTCCCTTTCCTTGGGGAGAAATATAAACAGGCATTTCAAACAGAAGAAAAAAATCGACAGAGGTCCAAAAAAAATGACAACAAACCTTGATTAGCTTTTCCTTTTCAAGTTTTCTTTTCTTGAATTCACTTTCAGCTGCTATTAATACGTTGACTGGTTTTTGTTTTCTAAGAGATAGAATGTACAGTTTGTACATGTAGAGAGTTATTAACAAAACAGAAAGACGAGAACAAGCAATACAAAATGAATGTAAACTAGGGCTGTAGTTTTTAACACATGTAGTCAGTACACTAGACTATTTCAGCCATTTTTTCTGAAGGCCAAAATGCAAATTAAAAACAAGAGAAGTAAAATAAAAAAATTTGGAATTTCAAATACACAGAAGTAAAGATGGTAATCATAATAGCCTAATCTACGATAACATTATTGAAGCTGGGCAACGTAGCCTTTGGGTGGAAGCGAGGCTGATAGTCAGTTTGTTTTGATAAGAACCTCAGTTGCATTCATATGCATATGAAAATGATTTACATGAATTTTTAAAAGGCAGTGGGGTTTTAATCAAAACTAGGGCACCTCCAACCATGCTGGCACTCACTGACAGTAATTAACTGTCAGATGGCCTATTCAGATCCTGCCAATCTAATGCTAATGTAGGGATGAAACACTGAACCATCATGTCAACTAATATACTAGTAAACCTCCAATTGCAGCCGTTAGTTTTCCTTTCCCCATGCCCATGGTGATACCGGGTAAAAGGAGACTTATGTTTAGCTTAATATGACTGATTCCTAAATTAGATGTAGATGCATGGAAGGTAAGCATTGGATGGGGAATCACCAAGGATTCAAGCTTTAGTTTTTTTACAGGCATATTGTAAGTTTACTTACATCTGATTATGTTGTTTTCTGACACTTTGTGAAGAACTTTCTAAACAATCTTGATTGTTAAGCCTGACCTGTTTCAGTTGAAATACACAATGAGATAATAAGTACAAGATTCTTTGAATTGTGTTGTAACACACCTCTAAAACTCAAGGTTGCTAATTAATACTGCTTTATGCAATCTCCTATCAGAATAGCATTATCACGACATTATAGATTGAATCATAGCATTGAAAAGTTTGTTCTTTTGATTGCTGCAAAATTACAACAGAACTGTAGCAGAATCCTGATTTTTTTAAACCTTCTGGAGGGAAGTAAATTTGTTGGAATTAACAGAAAGTTCAAAATCTTGGAGATAAGAATTAACATCCTTAAGTGTTTGACTTGGGATTGAAAGGGAGTTTTGGTAAGTTAACTTACTTTGACACTATATGACTAAAATCAAAACGCATTATAAATTGTTCAATAACTCATCAACACAGTTGAATTTCACTGGTGTTTAAGGAGGTCTACATGTAACTGAAATAATACCTACTGATTTAAACAGGCTATGCCACACTATTTGCTATCTTTTAAACCCTTAAACACATCTTCACATCAACTGAATTCCAAAAACAGTCCTCCAGTTTTGTTACTTGGAACAAAATTTAGGCCTTGAAACTGCCTGCTGTTGTTATGAATGGCAAGGATGGACATGGATTGAAACTTTAAAAAATTGGGCCTATTATGTTCTTCCAAGTTTTACTGTAACAGTTATTCCAGCAAAAATCACCAAAATAATATTATGGTTAGTCCTCCCTTACGAAATTTGTTTGATAACTTCTTCATAACTCTACAGGAGCATTTTGTGTATGGGTGCAGCCTAAAAGGTACTACGTAATGAATTCAGCACAGAATTGACCTAAAACATCCTGGTCACATAGCCCCTTTAAATAAATAATCTGAATTTTTCAAGTTAAGTTAGATATGCCAAAGCAAAAAATACCATAATTATCTTTAAAATAATTTCTGATGGGTGGTGCTTCACTTAAACCTGACTCTGGCAAATATCTTTTATTCTTTACGTGATTTTCATGTGCAATGCATCAGCTTCTCTTAATGCAAAGAACAAAACATAATGTACCATAAAAGTGAGGTTTACATCAAGCACCACCGAAACACCATTTTAAAGAATATTATGGTATTTTCCACCTTGGTTGTTCAAATCTTGGATATCGCTATCCAGTGAATAAATCACACTCCAGCCAATGAAAATCAGGCTATCCACTGGGCAGCAATTTATTTGGTGGATAGCATTATCCACCTTTTCAATGACTGGACCCTGGACCACAATATTTGTCATGTACTGTTGTGGCCTGGACAACAATATTTGTCACATACTGTTGTAGCCTGGACAACAATATTTGTCACATACTGTTGTAGCACTTGCTGGGGTATCCATACCCAGTTCCAAACAATGGAGGACTCCACGGTGGGTAAGGACAGAAAGTGATATTATAAAAGTGGGTTGAGAAGTGGTGAATCAAAAAACCAAGACTAAATTTTAGAGTATCACAGTCTCCAATAGTGTCTACCTTCCTGAAAGGCTGACGATACACAGCATTCCAGTTTATTCTTTCTAGTCGGGGATCATGTGCTAATTTTTTTTGTTATATTTATAACTTAACATTTATAAATTATTTCATCTGTCAATTCAGGAAACCTTCTTTTTTGCGTCATTGACCCAAGACCCGTCTATTATCTGGAACACTGGATACACTGAGTTGATTCCCGATAACTCGAACCTTCGCTACCTTGAACCTCACACTAACTCAAACCAAAGTTGATTTCCCCTGGATTTCTTTCATACTTAACCATAATTTTACCCTCTGTAACTCGAACCCTCAATAACTTGAGGCTCCCACTAACTCGAAGTAATCTTTGTTTCCCTTCTTATCATTTCTTTATAATTTTATCCTCAAAACCTCAAAACATGTTTTAAGTGCAAAAATGTCTAAATGTCTGATCTGCGAAGGGCAGTGCAGCCCATCTTTAGCAGTTTTTTAACTTTGAGCAATGGTATTTTTAATTTATCTTGATATTCCACATCAATACATATAACCGTAATTGCTCGTGGAACGATGAGTTAATGATACTTAAGAACACTAGTGGAGAGAGAGACACACAAACCTGTGGTCGCGAACAGCTGATGGTATCAGAGTCATTGCGCCCTTCTGCAGTTCTGAGGGTTGGCTTAGTTTGCTGAACTTTTTCACCTGATTCTTTGCGCAGTTCTTGTTCTTTTCTTGTTTTCTTTAGTAGCTTTTTGTACTCTCTGAGTGCCATCTTCTTTCGTTTCTCGACAAAGGCATGGCCTACAAGTACAAGAAACACGCGCCGATTTTAAGATACATGTGAGGAGGATAGATTATTGAGGAGTATGCTAAAATGTTGAATCGAAAACGCTCACCTTTTTCTCTGTTCCCCACGTTTAGTAAATTCTGTGGTTTTCTCCAGTGGGATTTTGATTTACTCCTCGGTTTTGTGATTGTCGTCGTTTTCTTGCTCAAGCATTCTTCATCCGCCATTTTGATTTTTTTGAAGTTGCCAGCTCGATTGCGGGCGCAAATATTTCACCCAGGCCCCCAGCTCTTCAAGGCACAGCTAGCCCAGTCTTTCCGGAGGGAAAAAAGGTTCAAGAATTTCGGGTCGTCGATGACGTTCCAGAGAAGAAAGAAATGGATTTGTGAAAGCAGATGTCAAGTAAGTGATCGTTTACATGTATTTGGGTACTTTTTTGTCCTTTAACCCTTCCGCGTCTACAGTTTATGCTCGGTGTACATTTAACTCCCAGTATGCAGTCCTCATTTTTCATTTTGCACCCAGCGTATCATGCTCTCAGTCTGCGGTCTTCATTTTACACTCAGTCTGCATCTTACCCCTGGTCCGCAGTCTGCAGTCCTCAGTTTACGTTTTACACTGACTGGACTTATAATATCGATATATAGCTCAGCGCTGACAGGTGCATCAAAAGAAACTGAACAATCAAGTGACTGAATTATTACTCGCTAGCTACTTATTAAACAATATCATGATAAGCTTAACAATTAACGAAATGCTTCCGGAAGAAAACTCAAGGAGTCATGTAAAAAATTAAATAAATTCATATAAATTATAACAGACAATGGAATCGTTACCTTTGGTCGAAGTGGCCTCCAGTTCCTTTGATTAATTAATTATTTTTTGTTTGTTGTTTGGCTTTTCACAGTTGAATGATGTAAAAAACCCATCTCTGTCATTCATCAAAATCGGGAGCCCATATAGCAGTTTCCTTTCCTTCGATTCTGAACTGTTTTTGACCTTCAAAAGTAGTCTTATTAACTTGAGTTTAATCAGTGGTTTAATTCAGACCAACGACGAAATGTTTTCCCCGGCTGAGTTGCATGAAAGACGTACGTATACAAACTTGCTCATTCCAATTCTGAGGGCCATAACGGTGAGTCGTGTAGGTTCAAATCCAGTCCAACCAGCTGCAAAAACCTTTCAAAAATAAAGTCAATTTATGAAGCCAACAATTTTAAGACATTATAGGAAAATACCCTTTCTTCGTGTGGTGCTCATTCATCCTCGCTCCCGCGCACAAGCACAACTGCGACACACGGCAAAGTTTTCGCGCCTTTTTTGTCGGTTGTGCTGATGCCAACTAAATGTTTGCTCCTATTTAATTCCTTCTATTTATTACTGACATGATGTTTTATATAAATGTTTTAAGTGCTTGCATTTCCATACAAAAATTTAACTCCTAAGTTTTGCATATTTATTTATGAACAACGTAAAAAACAATTAAAATAAATACCAAAACACAGAAGACCACAGAATTTATATGTGCTTTGCTCAAACAGCACCCAGGCTCCTTTTCGGTGCGACAAAACATGACATCAGTCAGGATAGGTTGGATAGGATTTTCTTCAGACAAAAAAAAAGCTGGGTAGTAGGGTAAGTCTAGTTATCAATCACGACACATACAATAACCTAATTTCACTGTTTAGACGGCCTGTATGCAAGCGTGAGCACAAGCAGAATGACGACGATAAAATTTTTGTTCCTTTTCTTCCCCTTGCAAGTCCCTTATACCTTTCAGATGATCTTCACGGACTCCTGATTTCTGAAGGATATCCAAACTGGAAAACCCAGTTCCTATGTTCACAAAAGCACTCTCTCCAGACATTACAAGCCTTAGAGCTTGTTGATACCTGAAAACACTTCGAAATTTTATTGTGAACGGCTAAGACAACTTCCAAAACACAACAGTTAATATTAATTTCTACAGTAGTTAAAATTCAATTTAACTTGGATTAAATTTCCACTTAATAACCGTCAACCGTCAAAAGAACCACCCCATAAGATGGTCTTGATTAAAGGTATAACATTAACACATGATATCTGATTAAAGAGCGCCTCTATAGATTAAAAAGAGGTCGGAAACTGTAGGAGGGAGTGAACTAAAGGATAACATTGGAAAACAAATCTATCCCTTTCTTTTGCCGTATAGGACCATTTTTGCATTAGCCAGTGTATGTTGAAAATTCTCATTTGCATAGTTAGCACAATTAGAATTCAAACAGAAACGCAAACAGAATTCTCAGTCGTTTTAAGCCCTTTAAAGGGGCAGTTTAGATATCAAAAAACTCAGCACTGAGAGGTGTACCATCTGACGACCAAGTTTGTAGGACTGCGGGAGGCTGAAATGTGAAGAAAAAAACTTAAGAAGCTCATTTAAGGCTTTTAAAATCCTAAGCATGAATTCTAGTTAATAACCCCCATAAATGTTTTTACGAGCCAAGTAAGATCTTTGAATTATCTTTTCAGTTTTTAATTAAAACTTGGTTTATGTTTCAAGCTCTTATCCCGTTTTTCTGTTTGTTACTGAGTATCAAAACCAAAAAACTGGCCATAATAAGCATAATGGTTCTTAACAGATAACTAGTCACACCACATTCACTTGAGCCAATTTCGCTTTACATTTTACAATTAAGATTGTCCAAACTTTCGCGAAAAAACCCTGGGACAAAAAACGTCGGACTGCTTGCTGAAAATCAGTCTTGAAACCAAATTCCAAGCAAAAATCTGTTTTGAGTGAGACATCAAGGCGGCTTGAAGAATCATTGCGGATACTAGTTAATTAAATGCCAACCGACTGAAATAAAGTATGTTAATACACAAGAAAGAACTGAGTATTACAGAGTTCAAAATGATACTATTAATTATATAACATCAATAATGAAAAGGAGCACAGTTATAAAAACCAGTAAAAATAGCCACAGCTGTTTGTTAGGGGAATTTTCAGAGGAGTTTTTAAGTGTCCTGATTTCTGATGTATCATTAAACGTGGCAACATGGCGAGGATTCAATTTAAGAAACGTTTAACCCTCATTTTTGCACTATTCATTTGACTATTCATTTAACAAGAGTACACCACTTAAAATTATCATTAAACAAGATAGCCGTTGAAATAAACAGAAAACAATGAAATGATAACAATTAGCATCATAAAGGCTTTTTTTCATGTCTTTATAATGATCGTTTCCAGTTGTTAATGTATTGGTTCTTTTGAGTATTTAAAGAAAGCGATCTCAAGCCAAACGACAGTTGCCTGGCTGGCACAAATAGTGTAATCATGGCCTTTTTGTTAAAAGAGGTTTTCGTAATAACTTTGGTGGCCTCTGCCCTAAGCTTTCCTAGGAATAACCAGTTTGGTAAGTAAAAACGTTACATTATCAGGTCACGTCAGATCTTAACCTGCGATCAGGCGTAATTTTTTGTGGGAGAGAACAAGTACTAGTAGGCGAACAGCGAGGAGAAAAAAAGAACATGGGACAGTGATGGGAGGGACGCCTGATCGCAGGTTAGTCACATCTAGATTTTTAATTTGTCTTTCAAATAGCTAACGTTTGATATACTGATTACATGTACCTAAGTCGCTCTCTGTCAGGTCTGATCTGGTTCTCGGTAACCTGAATGCAGGATTAAATGGTAATACTCAGTCAGACGGTTTTCAGTACGGTACAATCCAAAAAACAGCAACCCTGAAACTGTATCAAGATATTACCCTGTTTGAGTGCAATGCCTCGCACTTTTTTTAAAAAAAAAACGTTTCGAATGGACCGTAACAATTTTGACATTTCGCTGAAATGTTAATTTGCTCTTGAGAAAAAATTAAATTCTTTTACCGCTTCTAGTTCGTCAGAGCATTGGAGAAGATTTTCGTTGACAATCGTTTCTTTAAAAAAACCCTAGATCCAAAAATGGAAGAGTTCAGATTCAAACTAACTATCTGAGATAAAGTTGAGTCAACTAAGGATTAAAAAATGGTAAAAGTAATTTATCAGCAAAAAACACAAGCGCTGCGTGCCTGCAGTGTTAACGAGAAATTTATAACTGTATGAGGTGTGTAGCCGATTTAGCCCGAGGAGACAGTGGAAAATAACATTGCATTACAGTAATGACAAACATACAATGAGATGAAATTGGAATTTCAGTCTGTGTCTCGTCAGCGTGGCTTTTTCCACTAAGTCCGTACGGTTATCACCCAAAATTTAAGCAAAAAATAAACAAAAAATTAAAAGAAAGAAATTAATATCATGAAATGACGAGGGTGCAAACGAATACAATCCCGTCCATAATTACATTTAATTGTAGCCTGTGCCAGGCTCTCAGATAGTATAGTACTGACGTATTAAAACGAGCAAAGCGAAAATACGACGCACGCGACTTGGGAAAGAGGGCGGTGGCGGCGAGAAAAATGCCGCCCTGTCTCTCCCCAGCCCCCGCGCGTTTTCGCATTTCTTTTTACTGAACGACTTTTCACCAATATCTCGGAGCCTGGAACAGGCTACTTTAATTGATGCTTGGAGTTAGAAGATTCAAAGATTTATTTTGTTAACAGAACATGTGCATGACAAAAATGATCCTATGGGCCTTATTCAAGAAGATCCTGAATTATTCGTGAGGCCAAAACTGGATGACGGTAAGCAAAAATCGTTTTTGCCAGAGGGGGGGCTGCCTGAATCTGAATGCCGGGCGTAAAGAAACTAATGGGAACGTACTGAACTTTGGCAGTGATCTGCACCCCTGGTGTCAAACTCAGTTCACATTCACCTTAGGGGACGTACATAACACATCACTTCACGGTGGGACCTGAAAAGCGGCCTACAAGCGGCCTGGAGAGTCCATCGCACAGTGCCTGGAGAAGAGTGGTTGAAAAGATTTGGATTTGTATTTGTAACGCGATGCCATGTAGTCCAGTCCACAACACGACAACGTAATGCCTTGAAGTAAAGAAATCATATAATTTTAAGTGATCTACTATTGCGTTTGAGGCAGAAGGCATGAGAGAGCTCTAGCGTGTCTGGTCGGCATAGCACAGCCGAAAGTCTGAAAACCCTTATATATCCCATGTTTCCCTTTTCTCAATTTTGCTTTAGAAGTGAGCCATTCAATCTCCATGGTAACCGACGAAGATCCACCAGACGAAGTTTATCCAGTGGAGGCCGAGAATAAGGTACAGGACCCTCACCAAGATGATCTAAAAGAGGTTCATCCGCTAACAAATGCTCAACGAGGTGAGGCTAAAAGACATTAAATAATGCTATTGCATTCAAAATAACTTGCAGAATAGTGCCTTATTCGTTGGTTTCCCCAAGGTTTAGCAGGGACCACGAACTTGAAAGGCGGGCGCTAAAATATCCCCAAAATAAGCGATTGCTGGCGACTAAGGACAAGGAGGGGCAGCGGTATGTACAGCAAGTGTGATGCATCTCATTTAAGCTGATCCAAAGGTCACAAGCAGCCTGGCAGAGTCCACCATAAAATGCTTAGACGGGAGTGGTTATTACGACTTGGATTTGTAATGCGCTGCCTTGAATACAATAACGCATTGTAGTGCAACTAAACTGTTTAACGTAAGGCAATGCAATGAAATGAAGGAACAGAAACGTTTTCGTGAACTACGAGAGGGTTTGAGGTACATACAAGGCTTGAGCGTTATCCATGTTAACCTTGTGACTATAGTTATTTTCTTTCAAAATTTACATCAGAATTTGAAAGTACATTCCCCTCACTACCTGACGAAGATCCACCTGGCGAAGAGTATCCAGTAGATACAGAGACTAAAGTAGAAGATCCGAAAGAAGTGTATCCTCTGGTCTCTTCTAAAGGAGGTGAGGGTTTAAGAAACTGTACAGTGTTGTCAGTATATAACCATTTGAGGGCAGTATAGAAAGATTGAGCTAGATGCTTGTACTAGTCGTATAACTTTCCCCATGGTGTACTCTGCTAAGCTCATGTTTAAAAATGGCGTCTGACAGCGCGAAATGGAGTAACTATGTACACAGTCACATATCGGGTACTCATGGTGTGAACACAACACCATTTTGTGTCGGTACCTGAGCACTGGCTCCCGGGCACCAAGTGTGGACAGCCCCTTTAAGATTTTAGTTCTAGGTAAATGTGATACAAGACGAAAACACATGTATTTCAAACTTCCTTCACAGCCCGACGAGTGAAAAGAGGAGCGAATGAAGATGATAAATGGCCAGCAACAACGGAGGATGGGCAAACTATTGTTAGAATCCCCTACGTAGAATCAGGTACGACTTCCACTGACTTCTTTGCCGCGCAATCCTGAATCATAGTGAGTTTACGCAACAGGAGGGCAGAAAGAAGAGGGCGGCAAAACGCTTGTTTGTGACAAACGTGACAGGCCAAATTCTTTCTTTTTTTGTGGTGATCTTCACTTAAGTTAATGTTTTCTCACCTGTTTAAAAAAGGGTGAAGTTCGGCGAAAACTTTTTTCAAACAAAATTATTGTCACGCTTGTCACACAAGGTTTGCCGTCTTCTTTCCTCTCCCATCCTGTTGCGTACCACACAACTGTACTTATAACAGTGCAGGACTGATTTGATGCCAAACTGCCTATTGAAGGAAAAATCGTAGGGAAAATTGATGTCACGCCTCTTACCTAGAAAAGTAGTATGAGATGTAAAACTGACCTTCAATAAGCATTCGAAAGTAAGCTAACTGAGACGGAATTGTAGCAATCCAAATGATCCAGTGATATAAAAAAAACTCAACTTATGTAGCGGTCGTCAAGGTAGCGTCCAGTACGGTGACCAAGGGCCCGGTTTCTCGAAAGGCCTGGAAACTTTTAGGGCCCGAAGGCAAATTTTAAAATCAAAACCTTTTGAACAATAGCACAGTTAAGAAATTTCAATATTCATGAATATTTGGCAGACAGAATATTGAAATTTGACTACTGTCTGTTAAATCAACATAGAGGTACTCAAAATATACCCACTAACGACGTTAGTCACGAGTTTCAGAGCCAAAGTTTACTGTTATCACATTCAGTGAAAGAGTGAAAGACTTTTCTCCGGGCACAATTATTAGAGTGGACTGTCAACATGCAAAATTTGGAAAAAATCTTTCAGTCGCTTAAACGACTGGGTAATTCTACTGCAGATAAAGCCGAGTATTTAAAACGCACAACAAGAAAACAGTAGTAGGGAAAATAAACAGAGTAAATCCTTAAGATATTAGCGCTTGACTTTATATTTCGGACGCCAAAAGAACGTCACGTATTTGCCGTAAAGGCGTTATAGTAAGCGCTACAGACGTGGTAAAACGATTAATTCTCCTACAAGAAAATTTACTATTATTAAAAAACTTAAAATCTCTAGATTAGAGGGGAAAAATGAGCTGAAAAATATGTAAAGTCTTTGAGATATGGCCATTCAGAAGAGTACAAGACTTTTGCGCGCGGCCAATTATTAAGGGCGTATTGACATGCAAAATTTTTGAAAAACTTTTTGGGACGCTTAAGCGCATAGAAACATTAAAGGGCAAGAAAAAAAGAGTTTGCAAAATAAAGGGAGTAAATCTTTAAAGATATTACCGCTCGAGTTTATATGTCAGCCGCAAATTGCACATTTTTCACTTCACTGATTAGCGATCCTCCGACGTTACAGTATGCGCGGCAAGACATAGCAAGAAGAATAATGCGTGTAGAAAGATAAATTTCTATCATTAAAAAGCTGAAATTCTCTAGAATACAGGAAAAAATAGCTCAAAAGCATGTAAACTCTTAGAGTTATTGCTAGTCAAAGAGTGGAAGACCTTCCCGAGCCGGGGCCAATTATTGAGCGCGCACTGTTCACACGCAAAATTTTTTCAAAAATTTTTCAGCCGCTTAAGCGCATATGTGATTCTACTGAAGTTGAAACTGAAAACTAGAAAAATAAAGGGGCAAGAAAAAAATAGTTTGGTCAATGAAAGGAGAAAGTCTTTGAAAATATTAGCCCTCGAGTTTAAATGTTGGCCGCAAAAAGCAGATTTTTCACTTCAGTACCGGTCCTCAGACGTTTCAGTATGCGCGGCAAGACATAGCAAGAAAAATAATGCTCGTAGAATGAAAAATTTACGATTATAAGTTCCTAGCTCAAAAACCAGTCAATTCTGCTTTTCAACTGATAGTGTTATTGCATCGTTTTCAAAACTTATTGAATCTTTGTTTGTAAATGCAAACACGACAAACACAAAACAGCTTTTCGGGGCCGAAACGTTACCGAAGTTTCGAGAAACGCCGGGCCCCAGACTGGAAGTAATTTTTCCCTCCCCGCGTCAATGCCTAAAGTTTATAAGATGCCACGACGGCAACACCGCTCAAAATGCACTCTTTCAAACTTTTTCGCGATTATTACACTGAGTCGCTTACTTTGTCAAATGTACGCGAACTTTAAGTAGAATCTTAAGTAGGCTAGACCCAGATAAAATTCAATTTTTTTCCCAGGGTTGTTCCATGCAGTGGCCTATCTACAGTATATGTATTTTCTTTCCAAACAAAAAAACACCAAATGCTTTATTTGCATGACCATAAAGGAATTACAGTATTGCAAAAGCTATTAGTCTAAATTTAAGTACTAATTCAACTAATTAGTACGTGCAAAACATTACAAAACATTACAGTTCTCATTCATTCATTTATTCATTAATATTAATTAATTCAAAGCATTGCGAGATAAATGAAACTAATTGACAGTTAATTAAATAATCAGAAGAATTCATAAGAAGAGATATTAAAGTATCGCCACAGAAGAAAGTGATTTGAAGTCAGGTATTTTAGTTTCTAGTTTGGAGAAAAATATGTCTCTGATCTGAGAACAGGCCTTACAATCTAGTAAGAAATAAATTTCATCTTCAATTTTGTTACTTGTACAAAAGTGACATGTCCTTTCATTGCGCGGGATGTTTTCGTATCTACCTGTTTCAATTCTAAGTTGATGACTACTTATGCTAAATCTAATAACTAATGCTTTTCTCGAAGGGTTTTTTCTTGTTAAAACTAGGTACGGCGAGGGGCTACAGTCGTCTTTGATTGTACAATAAAATTAACTAAGTTTTTGTGATTGTTGAAGGCTCTGATTCCAGTAAGAGACGTATTTATTTTTCATTGACTTTTGAGTCACTCAATGAATTACAGGAAAAGTTATAGTTTAGATCATAGTAGTCAACCATTTTCATGAGATTAGAGTTAAAGCTAGTTCTTCCGTTATGATGAAGATCAATTGAGCGATGACACAAAGAGATGGTTAAAAACAGTGATTCAGGAGCTGGACCAAGACACTTGTATTCGTTTTAAGGAAAAGACCAATTCAGACAGCCACTGGGTAGAATTTAAAACAGGAAGTGGGTAAGTTGGGTGTTCAAACTTTACATCACTTAATTTATTTCCCTTGTCAAACACATTAGGAAAGATCAATGATAAGTATATTATCTTGGAGGTGTAGTTCGGGTAAATTGGGATATAAATTATGTCATTTCTACTGCTTATTGCAATACTGAAAGAGATTCATCATTTCATGGGGACAGTCCGGCGGCAGTCGGCTGAGGGTGGGCAATGATCTTAGAGCCGGGAATCATAAGGTGTTCCCTTCAAGTTTATTGGTCTCTAACAACTGCGTTTTATTATCTGATGCGTGTTTACTCCATCTCATCACCTAACGAGATACTTGCACAGGCCACATGCCTACAAGTGTCTTTATGTGATAAGATGTTTACGTAAAGAGGGATACCAACAACCAGATGTAGATTACATTTTTAGATCAATTGTTTTACCGAAACGGACGTATGGACTACCTGTATACCCCTCCTCAATACCGGAATTAACAACGGTCCAGAATTTTCTACAGCGCTGCTTTAAACGCAAATATATTTCGTACCAAATTGACATATATAACGTATTAGAAGGGGTAGATCGCTCACTATTCAAGATCTCTAGTATGCCCGGCCACCCTCTTTACCCTTCCGTCCCAAAAACGGAAGAAAGTTCAGCGCGCCTCCGAGTTCCCAGCAGTCAACTCCGTAAGGTTAATACCCAGCGTTTTAAAAATAGTTTTTTTAATAGGCTATTTTTCAAATATAGAGTAGCTATTTAATGTAATGTGGATCTTGAATGTTAAATTCAATGCTTCCACATGGAATTTTTTGAGCCTTGTAATTCTTTCTGCTATTTTTCATGTAAGTGTTCTTGGTTTTAGTATGTATTTTTGCTTAAAAAACAATAAAGACCTTTTATTTATTTTATTTACATGAGTTTAAGGCTGGTTTTCATTAGCTACGGAGTCGGAGTCGTAAGGCCAAGTGGAGTCAGAAGTCAGAATCGTAAGCGGAGTCCGAGCGCGACGGAATCAGAGTCAGAAGAATCAGAACGTTTCCATTTTCTCCCGACTCCGCTTATGACTCCGTTGTTTACTATCTAGTGAAAACCGTAGTCGGAGTCGGAAGCAGTAGCGGAAGGATAAGACAACGTTCCCACAATTTGTGATTGGCTTAGTTCTTCCGTTTCTTCTTGTTTTAACTCCGACGACCCTGTTTTCACTTGATCTTATACGACGGAATCATAAGCGGAATCGGACGCTGTTTTCACTAGATCGTTAAGTTCTACGCTTCTGATTACGACTCCGACTCCGACTCTGACGTTATTGAATACCAGTCGAAACATCAAGAAAAGTTTCACGCCGGCTTTGTTTCTGTAAATTCAGCGTAACTGCTTTGATTTTATCTTTTAGCTGCAGTTCATACGTTGGGTACAAACCTAGCATTAACCCCCAGCCTGTGACCTTGGACTCCAGCGTATGCTATTTCCGAAAAACAATTGCTCATGAAATAATGCACCTGCTTGGGTTTTATCATGAACAAACCAGATACGATCGAGGTCAATACATTAACTACTATGCGAATAATGTCCAATCAGGTATGGCCACAATAGTCAATGCTAGTTCTTAAGCCTATTATGACGTTTATAAACAAGCCACATTGCCTCCTCACCACTCATACTGCAAATAAAAAAAAGATAAGAGCACTCAAAGCGCCCCCCATCCCCTCCCCATGCAGGGTCAGTTATTAATTACCGATTTAGCATTCTACATACTTACCCTCAACCAATACGCCAGAACTTGTAGCCGGCATTGAACGGATCTATACGAGGGGAAAGAGATTATAATTACGAGTGACAGTCCGCACATATCTTGTTTTTCATGAACAACGTAAGTAAAACATAAAGCTTTGTGGTGAGGTCTATTTTAGTGGTTAATTTTCTATCAAAATTTAGCATTAAAGGGTTATGTTGATCGGTAGTTGTTGAAAAAGGCAGCTAAAGGACCTTGCGGGCCTTGCCTAACCAAGCCACATTCTTTCTTTTTTGTTGCGGCAGGATTGACGAGTCAGTTTGATATAATTTACGATCAGCAACTCTGGGATTATGGGTACGATATATCATCTGATATGCAGTACAACGAGAAAGCGTTTAGCAAAGACGAGACATCAAAGACTATGGAGGCCAAAAACGGCCAGCCACTGGGATCCAACTCACACATGGACGCAATGGATGTAGAAAAGGTCAATAGACTGTATGGCTGTCCTTATATAGGCTGTAAGTATATACTATATCAAAAAATTACGCTACTTACTGATTTAACGCGCCCTGAGAGTCCCCTTGATTATGTGCTCTGTGAAGCCCAAATATATCATAGCGGAGCTCCACGCGCGGCGCGAAGGCGGAGCCCCATAGCTAAGGAAATGTGGTAATCTACCCATCCGAGAAAATTTGGTAATCACGTGACCGTACACCCACCGCCTGCCCGACCGTCCGTCCGCACCACAGGCATACCAATGTCAAATAACTCAATCAACAGGTATAGCAACCCAAATGCAACTCAAGGTTTTATTTGGAAGGAAATCAAATGGCCACCCTGACTTTTAGAAAGAAAAAACAACAACAAAGTCGTGTCTTTTTCGGCGTTATTTTTTATGCTTACACTAACGTGGATAACGGAGAAAGAGCTAGAGCTAGTTATTGAAAACAAAGGAGACGAATTTCGTAGGAAGAAAAAACATGGAAATTCAAAGCGGCGGTGAGAAAATGAGAAATGCTAGCGGCCAACAAGGTGAAAATGAGCGGCAGTGAAAAATAAAAGCGAACATGAACACATGAAACAAAATATTGGGTAATCACATACGACAATTCCTCCATATGAATAACGTGTAACTAGGAAGTTTGAAGTTTAACGTGTACAAAACGGCGTTGTAGTCGTGCAAAACAACGGCAAGGGAAAGACAAAAAAGCGTGCTGCACGTGCAAATTTGTTTTTTGATAATTAGAAGAACTTAGAAAAGTGTGCTGCACGTGCAATTTGTTTTTTTGCTAATTAGATCTATTAGTCTTGGATCCATTTTCAATGTCGTCCCCGTTTAGCATTACACGATTTAATTTTTGTTGCTTACACGTATTATTAACCAGAGCTTGGCTTTTAGCCCTGGCTAAGCTATATATTAGAGTGAAACGATAAGGAGAGAAGAGAAAGTCAAAAGCCTCCTTCATGTTTCTACAGATAAATCCATGCAAATTGATTTCCAAAAGTGTTTTTATCCTCAAATTCTTTATAACTATTAAAATCGATAGAGATAAAAAGTTAGCCTTCAAATTGTTGAGGTAAAAATTGGTTTATAATTTTAGTTCTCTTTTTGCCCAATACATGTGTGCAGCAACGTGGCCGGTCAACTGAAGCCACTTGTTACAGAAAACTCCACTGTAATTGGTTAAGGAAGCATAAGCTACAAGGCTTTTCTCAATTTTTGTATCTTTATAATGCGTAGATAACTGTCCAAATTGTTTTTTCGTTTGGTTTTTGGGTCTGATAACATCACCTCAATTCCTGTCAATTAACCCTCCAAAACTCATGTATAGCCGGAGCATCTTTTACTGTATTAGTTGTTTAAAATGGTATTTTACAATTTGCGTTGCACCAAAGGATGGGCTTTCCAGAATATCACGCAGAGCAAGAAGTTTGAAAATTAATGTCATAATTATCTTTTTTTATTTTACATTTTATGACTGCCCCCCCCCCTTTTTTCTCCTTAAGGCTACCAAAAAGCTCAAAAACAAATAGCAGAATCCGTCTCTAATCTGTTAATTTCCGCGACATATAATTATACAGTCGTAGATCACGAAATAGTTTTGAAAACCGGAGACAGTCTTGGGGATGGAACCAATGCAGATCCTTTCATGAAGCTGATTGGAAGTAATGGCGAAACCCCCTTTGAGCTCGTAACGTCGGGAGGAATGCTTTATGCTGATGAAAACGAGCAGGGCGCGTGAGTTTTTTTGCTTGTTTGTTTGTATAGACATATAAACGTTTATAACCCACCAATTAATTTTCGCACGATTTTATCTGCCATTTTGGGTCACGTGGTAGCAAATCAGAGGGCGAGTATCAGGCCGTACACCCCACCCGTCCGCGTAGATATTTGCCCTACGTTAATTTCCGCAACATATTAAATATAGTCGTAGATCACGCAATAATTTTGAAAACCGAGGACAGCTGGCTTGCTGGAACCAATGGAGACCCTTTCTTGAAGCTGATTGGAAGTACTGGCGAAACTCCTTTTGAGCTCGTAACGTCGGGAGGAATGCTTTATGTTGATGAAAACGAACGGGGCGCGTGAGTTGTTGCTTTCTTTATTTTTGTTGCTTGAATTTTGTCCTTTAATAATTTCAAGGGCGTGGTCCCGGGATTGAGTGGGCTTTTATATTCAACCTATATACATACGTACCACGTGATTAAGTACGGTAGGTATTTTTGACATGATCAGACGGCGCAAACGCCGGCTGACTGCTGAACTCAGTTAGTGACACGGCTTATTATACCTGAACTAATAATCTAAAGCATAGCTAGAGCAAGTTTGAGGAAAAAATGAAAAGGCATTCTAGGCACATTCAGCTGCGCCTTACGCGAGAATGAATGGTTAAACGTATAGCGAGAAACTTTAACTTATTTTTAGCGTGAATGTTCACACAAGCATAGCTTTTCTGTCGTCATATATCCCCAACTCGTAAGTGCTCTTTTTTCAGCATTGAAACTCACGAACTACCTTTTCCAAATGTGGGGACGATTTTATCTATTAAGGTGGCCTTAGTGAATAAAGGAGAGACGCCCTCGGAGACAAGAAAGCGAGGTTTTATTGCGGACTGGACTAACGGAAAGTGGATTCCGAAACACGAGAAGAGATTCTTCTTCTCGACTGATGGATGGACTCTTGAATCTGTAAGTAAACATAAAAGATAAAATGAAGTCTAAAAGAAGATTTCAGTTAAAAAAGACCCATGGTTCACCTCAAGTTATGAGGGCATCACAAAACAGTTATTTGCCGAAGTGGTAGCCTCCCACGCAGACGTTCTTACGGGTTCGTCACGCAATCATTCCTCTCCCACGAGAGGGTAGGAACGCGTGACGAACCCCTAAGAACGTTTGCGTGGGAGGCTACCGAAGTGGAGACACAGAGGTTGTTTGTGATACTCTTTTTTAGCAACAATATACTTTATTACAATCTTATAAAAAGCTGCACAAAAAACTTAAGTAAAATATTCATAAAAAGAAAACGTCAATATCAGTACAAAATTGCGGCAAAACCCCTTCGCAATTCAAAATTTCAAGAGATCACATAGAGTTATAAAAAAAATCAAATGAAAAGTCCCAGTGTATGACATAAACGTCAATGCGCTGATCCTAATAATACGGAAAAGTTTCTAATCCATGAGGCGAGACTGATATGGCTATTGCTGTTCATTTTCCCTACCAATTTCCCGATAAGAAGACGTAACTAAACTGAGATTAAGATACTCTTGAGCTCTAATTAAGAACGCTGCTAAACCCATGTCTGATTACCAGCACATTGTTGATGATAGCGGACTTCTTACAGTCTGCCTTTTCTCTTAAAATCCGTCTAGTTCTTATCTCAGCCAGCGCGATTGCAAACCACAACGCGGTTATGCAGTAACTTTGCAAAGAAAAATAAGAGACTGCCCGAAGTCTATGTTGATGAAAATTCGTCTGCTTTTAACAACAAAGCCAAATGTCTTGGTTTAAGAACCTGCTGGCAGAAATTTGCAATTCTAATACCCAAAGATGTAAGAACCTGTTAAGCCATCGTCAAACCCAAAAGTACACAAGTTAACATACACATCTAACTTTATATATTTCCTTTTTCTCACCTTATCTTGGGTTTATTTCAATAACAGGTAACCTTGGATGGCACACAGTTCGGAGGGGCGACGCTGTATGTGGGAGACGAGGCGACTGTTTATCCCGCATCATCAAATAACGGTTGAACAAGTGCATTTACAGATGCGCCGGACCGGACCACGCCCACATGTTAGTCTAGTACAGTTGTAGAATGATAGGCAAATATGACACAGTACTGTGAAAACGTAATAAATAAAACACAGCACATAGATTGAATCTAGGAATAAAGACGAACATTAAAAATCATTTATTTGTTTTTGCTTTTTTGTTTATCAGGAAGAATCTACTTTTCAAAAAATTTGCCTAAAAAAGTCTGCGCCAAAATATTGTCATGGTGTGCTTTCTACTGCCAAAAGATTTGTGCGCAGTGAATGCATTGAAGATGTGAGGCTCAACATTCCACATAATCTGCGTCACACAGATCACATGAAATATATACACAGCACACTCCTGATTGGCAGCTAATGTGGGTTCAATCGTATACATCTTTAAACCACATCATCTTTTAAAGGAAAACGTCTCCGGGTTATACTAAGAACGAAGCACATAGAATAATGCCTGAGATCAGTAAGACCCTGAAGAAGGAAGGCCGTACCTTGCGAAATATTGGTAAAAAAGGAAACATATTCCAGACAGTAAAATCCGCCTTGCTTCTTTTGTTTAATATTGTCACTTATTGCTGATTAGATCCTTTATTGGGATCCGGTCTTTCTTTTTTGTAAGCTGGTCCTTACTTCAAAAACTGAGCTGCCAGGCCTTCTTGTAAATAATGACTGAGCGCGTAGCACGAAAACTTTTGTTTTAAGATAGCCGAGGAGCGAAGGTATTGGCTGCAGCTTCATAGCAATTTTAAATTGGATAAAAGGCTCTTTCCACGGGGAAGCATCTTTTCGAGTGTAACCTATGTTCCCAAACTGACCTCGAAAAACTTGCAACAAATTTGGAGGCACATCACTGAAGATTGCCGTTTGAAAATTTCTGTAACTGTAGACTGTTTGCAAAAAAACATGCATGTATCTGGTCGGTGGGAAGCGCGGGTTGGGGTTGGCGATTTTTTTTTTCTTTTAGAGACCGGGTAATGAAAGGCCATACAGTCTGAAAATTTTATTTAGTTACTGCTCACTGAGATTCTTGGCTTTTTTCAAGAAAATATGTATTTTGGGGTTGTCCTCGGGGTGAATGTTCCCTTCTGCGAAAATTGAGACGAGAGTTGGATGGTTAAAACACAATCTTATGCTCAGTCAGGGATTTGATTTCACGGAAGCATACAGTGGCCATAATACAGGGAAACGAAGGCGTATTACCCTATTTTACTTTGTTGAAACACTATTCATTCATCTAATCAACCTCGACTATAAACAACATATTCTTAAAATCGCGATGTTTTAGCTCTGGAAAGCGAAACGCCATAAAAATTCAGTCACCCTTAATAAGGATGCTACCCACATTTAGAGACGATTTTGTCTTCCCTCGCAAGGAACGGATCATGATGCCCACTCTTTGGACCAAGGAAAACAAAGAACGTCAGAAGACAAAAACTCAGTTGTCTCAGTTTGTTAACGACTATTTATTCACGTCATTTCTAAGGCCATGTCCACACCAGTCCTATAAGGTTTACAACGCAAGCAAATAATGCGTTCACCGCTTCCGCACACACAAAGGAAGAATTCGTGACATAGCCTAAATGATTAAGCATTATAACAGTTTAAACCTTTAAGGCCCAGTGTCCACATACAAATTTTCATACATTTCCTTAAAGAATGAATTGAGAGAATTTGATAAAAGATCAAAACATTCTTCCTTTGGTGATCATTTTAATAATTCTCGTAACCTTTTCTCTTGATGGTGTAATGATAATGTTAAGGGAAAATTGATGTTGATCACTCCTGAGAGTGTAAGTATAATAGCTATGTCTGTTGAGGTGGTGAACAACTAAAATAGGCAATTGTGCGATTTTCGTATGACCTTGAAATGAAAACGCGCGAAAAAAAACAGTCGCCACAAACGAACGGAAATAAAGCGATTTGACTGGTTTATCGAACGGAAAGGAACTCCCGAGGTTTTTGGTTGGTTAAGCGAACTCCCGGGTGAAAAAACGGCATGCCCGAGAACTTTCTACAAATCAATCGATACTTCGATTTGACGTCATACTGCAACACGATTGTTTTGATCTTTTTATCCATTGGCTGATAAAACAAATAACGAACACTCACCGAAACCATTTTCCAAGGTCATACGAAAACCACTCTAAACCTTTCACTTCTTATAGTGTTCAAAAATTGAACTCACAAAATTAACTATGTAGTACTAGGCAAAAGTTCTACCAAAGGGGTTTCATTCGCATGGTTAAACCACAGAATTTCGTCCATAGATTTCAAGGTTAGAATTACAGATAATACTGCCATAAAATGACTTAGGGAATGAAAAGGATAAATGAACCACGTAAAATGTTAATCGTAAGAGTGACTCAGTCAGGGATGACAACTGAGACAAATCCAAAAAAAAAAATGGTACCTTTGGCTCTAGAGTCAACACTCTGTTATACAGACATCAGGGATCACAAATGCACCACGCCCAGAAAGCAAGAATGGTATCTTTAGCTGTAAAGTCAACTCACTAATATAGACATGAAGGGGTGGCAAATGAACCACACCCAGAAAACAAGAATGGTAACTTTGGCTGTACAGTCAACTCTCTAAAATAGACATGAAGGGGTGGCAAATGAGCCACACCCAGAAAACAAGAATGGTATCTTTGGCTGTACAGTCAACTCACTAATATAGACATGAAGGGGTGGCAAATGAACCACACCCAGAAAACAAGAATGGTAACTTTGGCTGTACAGTCAACTGTCTCCAAGATCGACATCAGGGGGACAGGAGGCAAAGAGCCACACCCAGAAAAGAATGGTACCTTTGTCTATACAGTCAACAACTAATATAGACTGAAAAAAGCAGATCAGCAAACAAGAATGGTATCTTAAGCTGTACCGTCAACTCACTAATCTAGACATGACACGGTGACAAATGAACCACACCCAAAAACAAGAATGAAGGTGTGTGGTCTCCAAGATTAGGGGGGGCAGAAGGCAAAGAGCCACACCCAGAAAAGAATGGTTGTCTATATTATGCCAACTCTCTTGTTCATTGGATTGCAAATTATACGAAATTCCCACGAATTTGATCCTTTGCCTTTATGGAAATAGAATACCTAAGGCATATAACCAACCTCTAAAGATGTTACTACCAAAAGTAACGTTACACAACTTGAATTGGGTTGGTTTTCCAGACCTTAGGAATGAAGGAGAGAGTCTAAATATGAATGTGACTTTGTAGCTCCTGACTTTACTCCCTCGATATCAAAGGGTGGCAACATTTAAAGAGAGTACATTTGAAGGCTTGTGTTTGAACAAGCCATATGAAAAAAAAAATGTCAAATAAGTTTACTGGGCTATACAAGAGTCTTTGCAACAGAGGAAAAAGTAGAAAAAATGAGCCGTAAAAAACTATGTAAAAAACTAACTTATATGTCATTTCTGGCATGGCACTTAACAATACTGGTATTATGGTCTTAAAGAGCATAATACTAAGCTAAGGATTAATATATCATATTTAACCTGCATGGCTTAATTACCCAATCTTTAGTAGCAACAATTATTTTGTTTCAAAAACAAAAACCAAAACAAAACAAAAAAACCAAAGAGATGCTTCATATTGGAAGGTATATGTGTTTTAAAGTATAATGTCTCAGTAACCTATAATGCAAAGAATGCTGAAGTCATCTTTTGAATGCTTGCTGTGTCCAGCAGATCCAAACTAAAACAGAGTGAAAACAGGTTACTTTTCTATTGAAACTGTGCAATTCAAATTTGGATTTTTCATCCATATCAGTGAATGTTCTTAAAAATTACAAACTACACAATACAGTGACAAATATTTATTGCTTCACTGTAAAGAAATTCAAATAAAAAATGTGATTCATTTTTACAAAATTAAGATACTTCAAACTCTGCTGGACTCTATTGCCTGGCAGACTATTAAACTCTTCAGTACAGAAACATTTTCTTACTAAAACATTCTTCTACGCCATGTGAAAGGTTTTAAGTAGTTCAATGAAACTTGAAGCCAAAGTACAGCTCCTTGAGTCATGATGCAAGAATTACCATGATGATTTTTTTCATAACATTGTTGCCTTTTTTCCCTCTGGTAGGTTAAGTACATTGCACATTCAACCTGCTTGATCACAACACGCATTCCAGAAATATTTTAGCATCCATGGCATTTTGTCTTTGCAGCGTAATTGGTTAATGATATGATATATACATTATTATGATTACTATTTTGACAACTTTTCCAAGGTGAAATAATTATTATAATATGTAAAATTTCCTCAAATTAAATTTGGAATATTTGAGAATTGTACTTGAGAAATGTACAAAACATGCATGTTAACAACTATGTGAAAGTCAGCACTAAAAACACAATGACACAGTCTAAAAGTTTATGTACAGAAATTCTAAAATTATTAATATATTTGCAGAATATTATTGCACTTGGTGCAGCTGTTTTCACATGTTAATGGTGGCTTCGTTTATCACCATCTAGGGCTTAAACATCACACTGCTTGGCTGTAAGAAAAATACCACAATATTATTATGAAATGTGACAAAGGACTGAAAGATAATACTAATTACAAGTGCCAATACACCTAAATTTTAGCATAAGTGACCAAATAAGTAGCTTCATTGGTGACTAAATTAGATCACTGTGATAAGGCAAATTAATTTGTCATGGTAGCCTGGGAATCCCAATATCCTTATTGTATCATACATTATAATCCCTTAATTTCAAGAACAGTAGAATGACAAATCTCTTTATGTGGCAGACAATCATCAACTACAGTTGACTCCTGATAACTCAAACTTTCAAGGGAAATTGAAAAAAGTTCGAGCTATCAGGAGTTCAAAGCAAATACCCAGAGGTAAGGAAATGGGATTGGGGAGGAATGCAAGTATTATGCACACAGCACAGTGCTAAACATTGCATTTGAATTACACTGTAAAGGAAAACAATACACGGTTGTTTTGAAATAGAATGAGCGTTTTGGACTATTGTTCACTGCTTTTTTCGAGTTGTCACCCAGCTGAAACATGGTTTGAGTTATCAAGGGTAAGGTTTAAGTGAGCGAGGGTTCAAGTTATCGGGAGTCAACTGTATCTGTACAATTTAATGCGTAAAATCGAGTAAGGTAACAGTTTCCAAGCATTGCTGTCAAGCCATACAGTGATTACTAAATGAACAGTGTACAAACCTTGAAGATTCAAAGAAGTTCAGCTGGTCTTACCACCTGGGAAGGTGGATCAGTTCTAACATCTGAAACTGGGGCGGGAGTAATCTCTGGTTGTCCTTCAATAATACATCTGATCCTCCTTTCATCCTTTGGCCATGAAAATTTCATATATGATTCCAAGAAGCAAGGTACATCTTTCTTTGAAGACCCTTCAAGGATAATGGTCATAAACTTGCCTTTTCTATTGCCTGCATTGTTAGCAAGGTCATTTAGAATTAAATCTGACACAAGACGCAGCATACAGCTTTCATCATCTGTAAAATAATGTATTTAATAAGTCAACATGATTTTCTTTACACATTTACATCAGACTTCCCTGAGAATCATTATAAATGACCAAGGTTACACCTTTCTGAGCACAGTTATAATGCTGACAACATGCTCAGTTCTGGATAGTCTGAGCTTACAAACTACTGAAATTTGATCCTAAAAAAAGCTTTTGTCCAAAAATTATAAAAATTCAGCATTGTAAGCCACCATTTTGGATCAACTATGACATCATTCAGTCCGAACCTTCCTGCAATTTCAATGTTCAGGGTCCAGTTATTAGAAAGGTGGATAACACAACTCACTGGTTAAATCTCTATCCAGTGGATAAAGAAATTCTTAATACTTATAGTTTAAGCTGGATAGTGATTTATCCAGTAGATAGCACTATGTTTACACAAATGGTACCAGGACTGTCAATTTGTCATCTCCAGGATAGAATAAAATCATGTGAAATCATCTGAAATGGCAGCTTTCAGTGTTGAAGTTTGACATTAAGAGAGCTCCCTGATAAAAACACAGTCAGTAGCTAAACATGTGCAGTCACGGTTTTGTTTGTAATATTAGAAGGACAATGTTCTTGCTATGGCAACCCTTTCTTTTAATGCTGTATTGTACAAGTAGGGTACGCTTGGACAAAGAGGGAAAAGTTGTATGATCCACAGAAATTATAACATAAAACAAACAAACCAACCTTCTAGTTTATCACTTATTTCATCAGCAGAGGAGTCAAATAAGCTCTTTAACTGTGGTGAAACACAAATGAACAAGAAGTCACTTTGTTTCACTCTCTGCACCACGTAACGGAACATGTTTTCCGCTATTTTTACCACCTCTAACTTGTCCAAGTAGCACTTATAACCAAGTGTTTTACTGAAGTAATCGTACAGTTCAAATATCTTTTTGCGAAAGGCCTCTCCCTCTTGGTCAGAACAGTGAATAATGGAGATTGATTTTCCCGAACTAACAGAGGGACCTGCAGAGAAAAAACAAAATAATAAAATAAAAAACAAATAAAATTTCCACAAGTAACTTAGCAGCATACAGATCATGACTAAACCGAAACAGTTTTCAAGTAAAATACTCAGCAATGTTGCTGCACCCTAAGGAGCATTTGGAATCTCTTCTATTGATACGTGTCGATGGTAAATGCCAATTTTTCTGTCAATCAAATGTCTCCTATTGTTTGTATGTGGAAATTGGTAAAACATCTTGATCCTTTTGGAGACAACAGAAGAACAAAAGATGCCAGAAAGATTAAGTTATGTGGTCTTAAAGCATGTTGCATGACTTCATTCAGTTACAGCATTTTTCATAACTTTCCTACACTAAAACGTTGGAATGAAAAGTCTAAAATAATCTAAGTCAAAATAAATTGTAAAACCAAGATTTTAGATTTTAGACGAAGTTAAGTTTACACACAACATCATATACCGTTATTTGTAAATTTTAAGTTTTTAACTTTCTGTCTTGTTACTTTCAAAGCGGATGAAACTTGTCTCACTTTATCACTGTAGCAATAAGCAGCACGAAAGAATCTCTTGTCAGAAGATGAATAATTAGTGATTTGCTTAAGTTTAAGTATCTTTGTATCACAGAAACAATCAGCTAGCAATTCACTAATAGAGTAAAAGGATGCAAAATGTGTCGCCATCCTTTGCGAGTGCACCACAAAAAGCCAAGGAACTTTCCATATAGCTCTTATAAATACAGTGAAACCGCACACCTTCCGGACCTTCCCGAGTGTCCGCTTAATAGAGGGTGTATGCTTTATAGAGGTTTGCAAAAATTGCACAATGTTTGTTAACGATTAACTTTCAATGGTTACTCTGTTCTGTGATAAAGTTCCATGTTGTTCAGGAAGCTAAGGAAGCTGTGTTGTACTTTGTGCAAGACGTTCGGTCTTATCTACAGTTCATTGACAGCTAAATGTATTGATTTATATTTATAAATCGACTACAGTACATTATTTCAAGGACCTTATGCAATACCACTATTGTCAATTCAGTCCAGTGTCTCCTTAATAGAGGTTATTAACGATAGAAATTAGCTAAATACAATTTATTTTAGTGTCCACATCCGCTTAATAGAGGTGTCCGCCGAACAGGGGTTCGTTATGAATGGAAATATAAGACGTTAATTTCAGGACCTGACTTAGTGTTTGCTTAATAAAGGGTGTCCGCTAAATTAGGGGTCTGCTTAATAGAGGTTTCACTGTATACCTAAAACTAGAAATTTGCTTTCTGAGGTGGGTGATATTTAATTGGCTCAATCATATTATACACTATGGCAAACATACTCCTGATTGTTGCATGGATTTTTTTGTCATCCTAATTTGCTAGCTTAATAAAAATTAATACTCTCACTGCAAGCTGCAGCAATGACAAAAATGGTAATGAATTACCTCTGAACTGGGCAAAATCACAAAAAAGAAAAGATGCCTGGTGAGCAACAAATGGCTTTTGCTGTTCATACCTAACTACATATTGGTTTGTCATACAATACCATAAAACAAGCAAGGAATCACCCTCAAACCAAAACAAAAGGTTCTACATGATCAACATTTTGCACTCCCATTCAGGTTCAACATGTTATTTTGCTTGGTAACAAAAAAAATTATTTCTTGAGCACATGGCAGATTACTGAGGGACCATTAAATGGTCCCTCAGTAAAAAATGCAAAAATTTTTTGCAAAGAGGCCTTCATTATTAACAATTTAGTAATGCTGCAGTATTATCTTACCTTCTGATGAATTATATCCAGACTCATAGCCTGGCGATGTCGGCTGGGACACAGACTCCCCAGAGCTCAGACTGTCTGTAAGAGACAACCTGCGAGCCTCTTTTGTATCCAGCTTAAGAGGAGAAAAGTTTTCAAAGGTTTTTTCAGCAGGTTCATTGTAAGTGTTTGTAGCAGTAAAAGATGTACATCCAACTGTTGTGGAAGTACCAATACTTGAATCTTCAGTGTTCAGTGATGTACATGAATTTAGTTCGCGGTTAGTTTGAACTGGTGACTTGCTCTTATCTTTCTTGTCTCTCTTCCACTTTCTGGAAAATCTTTGAAATACTTTCTTAAAAGGGGACTTCTTTTTCTTGTCTGTATCAGCAGGCTGAGAGTTGGAGCGGCTGAGTGCACTTCTCTGACCATTATCAGGCTCTTGACAGGTACGTTCAGGTGACCAAGATCGACAACTCAAAAATGGAGGTCTTTTTACAACTTCAAGTTCAGTCCCAAGGGTTTTCAGGCTATCAGCACTTTGGCAATTGTCATTCGATACTCTTCCATGAGGAGGCTTACCAGAAATACAATCTTTAACTGTACCTTCATCGTCTGTTTCGATACCACCGGTAACAGAGTCTGATGAACTGGGATTTGATGTTATAGATGTTTCTTGCTCTGTGCTATAATCCGTTATTGTAAACACTAAAGGATTTTCCGAAGAGACACTGCTTTCACTGGTCAGAGATGAAGGCTGCCTATCAGAGTCGTCATCATCTTCTGTTAGAATGTGATTTCTGACTCTTGATCTTTTTTCATACTCTAAAGTAAAGTAAATGAAATCATGAAACTGATCATACAAAAAAATAGTATGGAATCTTTTCCTTCTTTAAATGTGTTGGCTTGCATCTGTTACTCTCTAACTAATCATTTTGTTAGCTCTACGTCCCCCCTTAAAGTTAAACCATCCACCCATTCCTCCTTACCTTTTTTATTGAGAAAACAAAATTATGTAAGTAGTCAAGGGAAGTCAAGCCTAAACTAAACCCCAGTTATTTCATGTAACTGTAGTTTTATCTGTTGTTGTATATTAAACAAATCTGTATTTTTTGTTTTTGTCTTTTTTTTCCGTTGTTTTTTCAGCAATATATGTACTTTTTCTGTGCTGTAATAGAGCATTAAGTGAAAAAAGAGGAATCTACTTTATACTTTTCTCGAGCACATATTTATCCCAGGTTAGCTCCAACATACGTATAACAAAAATACATGGTAAACGGCTAGTTATAAAATAAACGTATAATAAAAAGGCAGTGGAAATGTTCCTTTCAATTGATTCAGTCCAAAAAAATTGATAGTCACGAGATCATATTGCGTGAGGTCAATCTGTCAGCAAACAAGCGGAAGAGTCACTTTGGATGTAGGAAAAAGCAAGCATCATCTTAAGTTCCGTAACTAACCTACATACTGTAAATACCAAGAGAAAAACTTGATAACAAAAGGAAGTTAATGTTGACTTTTGCTTCCACAACAAACTTAAGAAAAACTAACTTCGATCGAAGACTACGTAGCGTGAAAAAAAGGGTTATTTGCATAATAAACAAAAAACTTGAAAATTTTACCACCCGCACGTATCTTTAAGGGGGTATGAGAGAATAATTTTCATCGTCGCCCTGAAGGGAAATTTAATGCTTTAAGTAACAAAGACTTATAACAAACATAAGGAAAATTTCTTTATATCGAGAGAAAAAAAAAGAGAAAGAAGGATTTAAGAAAACTCTGCGATCGCCTGTTGAGTTTGCTGATCAAATTTAAAAAATGCGACATACCATTAAATTTACATATTAAATTTACATATTATTAGCTTAAGCGACGTGCAGAAGGTTATAGAGAAATAACAAAAGACACGGAATAAAAAAATAAAAAAATAATCTCTAAGATGAAAGGAAATGTTTTTCACGCCTCTTACAATAAAAAAACGAAATTGCGCCTGAAGAAATTATCTACCAACAGGTTAATCATTGGGCTCATACAAAGACGAAATATATTTATGAGCTTGTTGCGTGGGAAGAGCGTTCCCTGAATATAATTTTATTTCTTGGGCTTTACATCAATACCCTAAACTTGATTTCGTAACCGTTTGAAATAGCTAATCGTGAGTTAGCAATCGGTTGATTGGGTAAAAGTATAACTTAAACGACAAAGTTAGAACTGTGTACACGAAATCTGCCTGAAGCGTGCTGTTTGATCGCATGAATGGACTCTAGCTATGCACGTATAAAGCGATGTACAAAAAATAAAACAGAAAAAAACGACTTGATTGCCTTGTAATGACTCAAAAGACAAGTTCTTCCTGTAGCTTCCAAAGAAACGACTATTCTTACATCCCCACTCTTGTAAAATTTCAAAAACCTATGAATGTACATGCAACTTACCTTCGACACATTCGTAAACCACTTCAAGGCAACTATGCATACGCAACTCGCCGAGGACAGAGACAAGTTTCTCGAGAATTCCATTCTCTTCGTACATCCAGTCTTCAAGTAAGCTTAATCCAGGTCTTTCGTGATGTGCAAAGAGACCAAGGATCTTGTCCTGGTCATAGCCAAGCGAAGCAGCTACATCTCGCCAATTTCTTAAAGCACCTAACAGGTTCATGCGAAGAGACAACGGGTCTCTCACTTTGTCATGTCGTAGCACATGTCTCGCTGGTAATGAGAGTACTTCTGGCGCTATAGGGCGTCCTTCGAAGCCTAAATCTTCCTCGTCACAATCCATTTGCTGCATAATAAATGTTTACGCTATACTCTTTTCAGACAAATCATTTCCCGCAGGATCTTGTACTACAACAGAAGATTTCTTCGAATACTCCATTACACATCCCATAATTCAATGGAACCTTTGCTTCACTCAAAAACACGTCACGTGGGTGCCAATTTCTTCCGCATTGTGGGGCGGTCTCGAAAGGATCAAGTTGCTCTTGGGTTTCATAGTACGTGTCATAATTTTTTCTTGATTAATTAAATCAAACTGCCCATTTATGCAAGCTCTGATAGGGACCCTTCAGAATGTGTCTTAATGCCATAACCACATGACCGAATCACGACTTTCATTTCCCTTTTGCGTATTCACGGCTCGTGATTATGGCTCTTGGTCATATGTATTTAATTTAGGGTAACTTGTCTCAATTATTTTGCATCAGCATTCGAAGTGAAATAATGCTTTTTACTCGTTCAGTCATATCCTTGCCTGGGTACTCTAGTAACAAACTCATAAACCGGCTGAAATAGTCCGATTACGGTTATTTCACCCTGATGGTGCATGTCAAGTATGTGTGCCAATTCTTCACGATCCGGATATGACAACTGGGATTTTTAAGAAGATATCCCTCAATACAAATGCCGATATAATCTTAATTTCCTGTGGACAATTTCCATTGACGCAAATTTCTGACAAATTTTTATGTAAGTTACATTCCTTCCCAGATGAGAGCCATAACTGTTCACGGGTTTTCTAAAAAAAACTTTTTAGAGTCCCAATTTTGGTCTTTGGTCCTAATTTATTTATCTGTGGCATAGTGAACTATACTCTGACCTGTGGAATGTGAACTGTTTTTCTGACCCGTGCCCCTTTAAGGGCGTGCGATACCATGAAGAGAGAATACAGTACTATGAACATTGCGTTTTCTAAAAGTAGAGCAAACAAAATGGCAAGGTCGAAAACGAAAAATTCAACGGAGAACTAGTTGAAAGTTTAATATAAAAGGTAAAATAGTGATAGACGAGACAAGAAATGAATGGTCTAAAAATGCAACGGCAATGACGAAGTACAATTGTAAATACGGTAGTAAGAGAGCCTCTTCCTCAATACGCGAACAGTCGTACCCCCACCACCACCACCACACACACCGACATACCCACCCCCCCCCCCCCCCCGCAAGACGGCCTCGTCTTTGCTTAGCGTACATTACACTCCTAGCTTTTATTAACACTTCCCCAAAGGATCTTTTATTTTTTTTTAACTAAATTAAAATTTAAAAAATAATAAGAAAAACGCATATACATCAACAAGATTTCTAGCCAAAAATTATAAAATTCCGATAAAAAAAACTGCGTTTTAAAATAACTTGTTTTTCTCCCGGCGTTTTTGGACGTTTGGGTATATTTGGGAGTGAGTCATCAGAGAGAACTGAATTCAATCGCCGAAAGGCGTCTTTGGTTTAAAGGTTAAAAGAAATGGTTGTCTCTAGACAGATAGCAGTTTTAGATATTCATGTCTAGTACGTCAAAGGAAGTCGATGCAACTCAGGCAAAAATTTACTGTCACTGTTTTAGCCTGACACATTGGATTCAAAGTTGGCAGTTGTCATCTAACGAAAATGTCTACATCACTGAAGCAGCTTCAACAATAATCGTACGTGAGATGGCCAGCTTTTTTTTTTAGCAGGTTGCCAGGTAAAATCACAGAGCTCACCCAACCAGTGTGTTTTGATACGAGAATTATTTGGTATAGAAGACTTGAAATCTTCGTTACAATTTTAAGATCGTTCCAGTAGATTCTGATTATGATTGGCGTTCATTAAAAAATATATGTGATATTCAGTCTTCATTGCAAACAATCAATTCGCCAGAGGGTGAAACTGAAAATAATAATATTGACTACTTTCAAAGGCCTTGTAACCCGATCAAATCTTCTCAGGAAAGAGTTGAAGCGGCAATTATTTTCCGGTCGTGTTAAAAACGTTTTTGACAAGTACCAATATAAATGTATTTTGTTACGTTTTTAGTATAAACACTTCCTTTAATACAGTATTCACAAAACTGGGGCCAAGAGCATTATTAAATATTTAAGAACTGTCAATCCAACGTATTCTTTCATAATCTTACTTCAGTTTGTTATTCCGTAATTTCTCGATGCTTGCTCATCCGCCAAATAGAAAAGTGAAGCTGTTGATATTTTGCCGAGTCAGATAACGTCAGAAGTGGTCTTTTAACAGAGATATCTCTGGTAACTGTTGTAAATTATTTCCAGATAAGCATGAGAAAAAATTGAATTTTTTAATTGTTTTTTTTTTTTTGCGAACTAACAAAAGTATGATCGCAGTTTTTTAGCCCGTCAGAAGCAACGTTCGATCATAATATAATTTCTAAGCTCAACAACAAGCTACAGCTGAAGCATCACTTCCTGTCAGAGGAGCGGAAGTTTTTAGGGCGCGCAAAGTATGCTGGGCTTTTGAACAATTCTAAATTTTCGACTTTCACGGTTCCTATAATACAATTTGATTTCCCCACAAATTGTTGTAGAAATATTGATTTCAATTTTCTCTTGGGAGTAATAATCGTCCCTTTAAACTTTGAAAACAAAACTTGAGCAAAATTTTATGGGGAAGACAAATTACATCGTGGCCGGGGAAGCTGAAAGTTGCAGATTCATCTGATTAAATTTAATATGCGTATTTCCCTATGGTGTCGAACTAGAGAACTGGGGTCAACAATGAGGCCCAGCATGGTTGCCTGTGTAACTATGGGATTATAAAAAAATTTTTCTTGTCTGTCTTGAACATGATATGAAGATGATGAATGATTTTCTGTTTGTGGCAAGACATCTTGTCAAGCCCTCACTTTTGGGAGGGCCTTCTAAGAAACATAAGTTCTGGCAACCTTCTAAGTAGACGGTTTCGGCGGTTCTCTATTTATCCGTACGATCGTCGAGATCGAGCGCGTTGCGTTGAAGAGATGTGCACTAGCCGGCTTTCAACTAAAATTGAAAACAATATAATCTTGGTTGACAACTAACTCAGTGTTATGCAACTCAATGCTGGAGGTTTTTGACGATACTCTAACACTTAGGGAAATGTCTAAATCTTATCCTGTAAGCTTCACTCGCGCCTCGCGTCCTTGTTCAGCGCACGTTATGAAAGATCGTCTCAGGCCTTCTTTGGGGGATACATTATGTATGATCTGCTTTATTAAAACATCTAGTTGATGAATCTTAATATTTCCATTTCTCTAGAGTCATTATTAAAACGGCGAAAAGCATCGTGGATGCTGCCTGAAATGTCGAGAGTCTCCCAAAATTCCACTGTTGTAATAATTACAGTTCCATCTTAAGACACAGAAAAAAAGGTCTGCGGCTGTCTCCTTTATGAGACACAATAACGAAGGTTTTTCTCTGGCTATTAAATTTATTTCCTAGCAATGCTGGATCCACAGTAGAGAAAAATAAGCAATAAAACAGTTAGCCACACCAGCTATATGTGCTGTCCTGCAAGCTGGTAGATTACTTGGGTGTCATTTTTAATGGCTCTGCGAGAACAAGCACAGAAAACAAGTTAACAGCAAAAATCAATAAAAACAAGACTGTTTTTAACATTAAAAACAAGATTAAGACCATTATGTTCCTTAAACGGAAACTGACGAAAGTCGCCGGGAAAGAAACAATATGAGTGCTACCCATAAAAAAAAACGGAAACGTCAGCTTTTCAATCTTTTCCCTCGTGGTACAGTAACTTTATTCAGTCAACTCGATCAATTGATTAAACGGGGGCATCACCACAGTTGGGCTTTTGAAACAAACCTCTTTCATGTATCTATAACTAGAATCTGACGTTTGCCGTTTGCCTTATACGTGAAGGTTAAACTCTCTAATAACAAACCTCTTCCAAGCGGTCACGTAAGCTCGTTAAAAAGAATTAGCCGAGAGGCTGAAAACATTAAGAGACCAAACAAATATTTTCAAAGAAACTAAACGTTATTTATACATAATCTTTACCTTCTATCATCTTCGTGAACTTACATCTGTCACTTGAACACTGCCAGTAAGAGTTTCTACATGAACTGCATGAAAAGAGAAGTGTGAGGAGGGCTCAATAAACCATTTTAAAGAGTTATTTTAATTCTATATTTCCGGTATAACGCTTTTACCAACTCGAATCCAAAGAGAGTTAAAGATACCACCTTAAGCCTAGAGTGATTGATATGTGATAAAATACTGTGTCTTGTGTGCCAGTGTGGTGTAGTGGGTGACACCGCTAGCCTCCCACCAATGTTGTTGGTTCTCTTCTTTGTTCCGAGAAATTTTCGCTCCGGGTACTATGGTTTTTCACCAGCTTAAAACAAAATACTTTCAAATTCGATTCAGTATGGAACACACGGACATGGGTCTAAATGAGTATGTGCTACCTCTTACGTGTTTGAAAAAGCTTGACCGTCATATTTTGTCCGGAACGGCCTCCATTTCGCCTGGAGGATATCAGACACTGGCATGGATTTAACATTAGGGAGGCCATTTATACGAGGAAAAATAGGACGCGTCTTACATAAGACGCGAACTTTCCGTATAAACGGTACATTTCGTCTAAAATAAGACTCGGCTTAGCTAAGACGCGTCTTATTTTAGAACAGCCCTTAACACTTGTTCTTAGATACTTACATAAGACGTGAACGCGAAGTACGCAAGCGTTAATTTTTGGCGGGAAAATTATCGCTTGCCGGGTGGACTGGCAGGCCACTGGCGGGAAAAAATTGTTTACAAATTACAACGCGTTTTCGTTTCCTTGCCCATTCTGCTTTAATTTTTCTTCGCTCAAATATAATGAGCACGCTGTTATTAAAGGTAAAAAGAAACCAGGCTTGGTCCATCGCGGAGGAAAAAGATTTTTTGCTATTTTGTAAGGAGAAGGCGATAACAGACCTCCTGGACAAATGCGTGACATCTGCTGGTGTAAGTAGACCCTTTTAAACTATCACAATTTATATTTACTAATCAAATTGCTATCTTCGTATTTTTTACTTACACTTTAAAAGTAAGTTTAAGTATACAGAAGAGTCAGATAAGATATGCTCGTATAAATGGTTCGGTTCGCGTCTTATTTTTCCTTGTGCCGTAGATGTCAGCGAGTATCAACTGACATATAATGGTGTATAAACATATTCGATCTTCCATGTGCTGGAGTACCACAAGGCTACAGCTTATTTATTATATACACTACATCTCCCACCTACTGTGCCATGCTTATGGCAACGATATACAGTTCTATGTATAATTCAGGGGCGTGACCATTTTAACAAGTACCCACATGGGTCCATATATGGTTTAAAAAACTTCCCACAAAATAACGTTTATACTTTCCTTTGATATAAATATTGGCAGTTTATAGGCTTGTTTACAATAGAAGGTGGCATCAAAACAAACAAAGCTTTTAAAACGTTGTTCTTTGAGCTGGTACAGGAATGTTTACCAGCACAAGGCAATTAAGGCGCCTATTTTGTACAGAAATTTGGAGTTTAAAAGCATCGGTTGAAAGAATTGCGGTATGTGCATGTTTTTGTAAATTTTCCGCACGCTTAGTAATTTGCTGACTTTTTGAGTTTTTTCCTTATTTCGTTCATGAGCACGGGAAAGGAACTATTAATAGTCAGCATTTATTTATTTTCAATTGTTCGGAATACCTCGATCTACAAAGTTTGTCTTTGGACATCTGTTCGCTAGGAGTAAATTTCCTGCAAAATTCTTGTTGATACCACTCCAAACGTGCACCGAATAGTTTGCTTCAGCTTACGTGGATTATCGTCGACATGGTTTGGTCCATGATTTTTCTTTTGAGCGACATTAAAGTAGTCTTTGATAGACTTTTTTGATATTTATGGGGGGAGAGAGAGAGAGAAAATCTAAAAGGAATGATAATCAGGCAGGGTCGATTCTGTTCCGATTTTCATGAGTACGCAATATATTGTGGGATCGCCTGAAGGCAAACAGTGTTTCGAATTTATAATAACAGCTAGACAGAAAGGAACAAATCTGCACAATACAAAGTCAAGTCAAGACACTACAAATAGCTTTTACTTAAAACAGAAAATCTTTAGAAAAATCCTACCAATTTCTCAAGTACGCGCGTGCGTATTTGCGTAAGGGACGCTACGCCTCTGCAATTTAAACCTGAAAATCCCATCGACGAGCCCAAAACCGTTGATGCATGATGAAAACTTACTGATAAAGGTTATCCAGAGTAAACCTTGAAACTGAATGAGGACAAGACAGATTCAAACTCGACAACAACTCTACAGAGTCAGACTGTACTTCAAAACACAAGTTTATTATGAATCGTTGCATAATGCAATTCTAGAGCTCTGATTGGCTCAGCCATCATGGTATATCAGCCATCATACCATGCTGTCCAAATATGGCAGCTGTACTCGTCTGCTCAAAATTCAAAACCAGCTGAAAATCGGTTGTTTTTACAAATAAAGTCGGGAAGAATTCTCGATATGTTGTCGGCGTTTTTAATAAATCAATTATTCCACTCGCGCTTGTTGGATATAAGAAGATTATAGCCAACTCATATTCAACTCGCACTCGTGCAGTAATTATTAATTATCATTATTATTATTGTTATTATTAAGTACAAAAACTTCTGCATGAGTAAGAAATAAACTTACCACAATGTACATCTGTCAGGAAGTACTAGAAGTTCGCCATGAAAATACTTAACTCCTTCAAAGTGGCAAACTAAAGAAAGCAAAACAAAAATAAAAGTTTTTACATTGATTTCAAGGTATTCTAGCATTGCACAGGACATAACCCACCTTTAGCGTAGTCCTTTGGGCAAACCAGGCAGCATCGCCCCTTCATTTTAAAGGGATCGCCACACAGAGGTATGGGACAGCTAACCGATGAGCAGTTACCAGTTTGAAAATCTCCACACAAGCAATGAGCACATTCACTGAGGCTCCATATATCGCCTTTCTTGTACATCTCATCTGCGAGAGCATCTACACATTTTGGCCGCTCTGTTAAATATGCAATATAGTTCCTTCATAAACACCGTTGCAAAAAAGGAAAAGTTAGATGCGGTACTTTTGACGAGGCATTATTGTTAATGTATAGTGATTCCCCCCGCTGTCACGAGTTTTAAAGTGATGTTACACAGGACGATTCACAACGACGATTTTTAGCGGAACACGGCGTTGCAATGTTGACACAATGTTGCAGCTATTTCAACAATGTTGCAACTTTACGTTGCGTTAAAAATCGTCGTTGTGATTCGTCCCGTGCAACATCACCTTTATGGCACTCACAGGGGGCTTTTTCTGCCTCATCTCCAGGGATTATAGGACGAATGACGTCAGGATTGCTGCTGGGTGGGGAGACAGTTAATAAACGGCCCCTAAAGCGATACTGATTAACCCCTCGTTTAAGTTTTATCAGGGATAAATTTTTTTCTCTAGATAAGCGTTTTTCTCCACCGAGATAATAAACGTAGGCCCAATAAAAACTGGTCGAAGACCACGTTTTCAGTCGTGAACACCGCCTACATTTCGTTGAAATAACCAAAATCTGCTAAACAAATAGTCTGGATACTGATTAAGGCAAGCCTCTTAAGGATCCTTTCACGGTAGTGGTGCCAAGTTCACCTCTATGCACGACTTTCTAATAATATTGCACTCATTCTTGATCTCACCGTTGAGAGAAATCATGGCATTGTTATCATGTTGGCACACCCATCCTTCTGATTCAACACATTTGCTGCCACGAAAGAGGACAAAAAAACGATTAGCCGAGAGACAGTAGCAATCATCATTACTGATGTGTGTTGTAAAAGGCGATTTTACAAGAAACGATTCAGTTTTAGGGCAAAAATGTTGGAACAATGTTGTAGCACTTCAAAACAATGCAGTGATGCGCTGAAAATCATGGTACGGATGTTAATTGCAGAGGATGATATCATACTCTCATCAGTTTAACTATTGTAAATTAATATTTTGTGAACCAGGCACATACTACTCACCAGATGGAGCGATGGTCTTCTAGCACAATGATTTCATTTTGAAAGTATTTCTTTCCGTTGTATCTGCACACTAAAGAAAAAATGTGTAAACAGTTTAAATTTGGTAAATCCATATTCAAGAATTAACTACAAACAATTCCAACATTTTTTATAAGCATGCTAAGAATAAGGACACCGTCATTCTCTCAATACAAATATGATGGTAAATTTTAAGCGTGGTGAATACATGACAAAGATGTTTGTTCAGTCAGTGATACCTTCCGAGCCGCCTGTGTCATTGATTGAATTATCATATTTCTCATATCTTCCTCTAATATGTCTGGCCAATCCAACAAAATGTTTATTACTTACCTTTTTTAGGATCAGTGTCCAAGCAAACTCTACAGCACCTTCCCTCCTCACGAATAGTATGTTTGCAGTCAGGAACATTGCATGTTATTCCCCAGCAGTTTAACTGACCATTTCTTTTGCAGGTACATGCAGTGCATGCAAAATCGCCTCGTACCCAGATCTCTCCCGGTCGGTAAAATTTGTGTGTAAGTAGGTCATAACATCTGTTTTTATCCTCTTAGGAAAAACGAAAAAATAAAAGAATCAAGATTATTAGCAAAGACGGTTTAATGTTAAATATGAAAACTAACTTGAAAATTGATGTCCTAGCAAATTTCTACACACTAAACGGGGGAAAAGGATACCGAAATGTACAGCTTTGAAGACGTAAAACGTCCTGAAATAATTAATTCGTAGATAAGAAAAAATATATCGAAAAAAATTTCCTATAAACGCAGTCCTTTGCGGGAGATTTTAAATCTTACATCTTAAGGTATATTTTTGCATTTCGTACTCAAAATGATTAACAAAAGCGCTCCATTTATGTATAAGGTTAAGATTTTTGGTGTTGCAAAGTTCTTGGTTACTGAGTTCATACTGCATTATATATAGCGTGAACTAAATTCTGTTCAAATCATGGTGCTAATTTGTGAAGTTCTTAACTTCATAAAAAATTGATGCTGAAATTTATCATCCCAACATTAATTTCGTGATACTGAACCTTTCTTATTTCATTGTCTGCATTTTGGACACACACTGACCTTTTTCACATCTGCTGACTTTTACATTACTGGGTTCCATATTTTCGCAATACCACGCATCATCGCTTCGCCTACAGCTCAATCCTTTGTCGCACATTGCATCTTCCTTTTCCAGAGGCTCTCTCCTGCACGCTTCTCCTATGTCTTTAAGACACACATCACAGCAGCCACACCTATCTTTCACCACAGCGGTTTTACAGTTACTGACTAAGGGACATGCGTATTTAGGATCTGGACAGTCTCCCGCGCTTTTACACCAGCACGCAGGGCAGTCTGGGATTGCTGTTGGATTCCGTCGTGAATTGATGAATGTTACAGACACCAAAAGTAAAATGGTCAATGTGACTGTAAAGAGTTTCATTGTCGCAGTAAACTGAAATAAAAGCAAGTTCAATGATGTCAATCAATAAGAGCCGGTACTCCAAGATAATTTCCTTTTTCCAGTTATCCTGTTCTCCCCTTGGTGCGCTCAGCTTTAATCAGTGCTCCAGAACATCATGGATGATGTGAATTTTTTTCTAGTTTGAATATCATCATCCAGTTTTTCTCAAGCCTTTTTGCTCAACTGTCTTTCCCCTTAGAAGTTTGAAATGACTTGTTTTGTGACTGTATATATTGACAGATAAGCTCGGAAAAACTGGAACGAATCACTCTTGAATATCGTTTGTAGACGTGGCCAATACGATATTTGGTCGCACGAACGTGAGTTTTTGATTACCAAAGTCAACTGGGTGACGAAAGGAATATGATTACGTTTGTCATCAAAAAAAAAAAGAAAGAAAAAAATGACTTTATTTGAGTGTCAATGTATTTAGCACGAAAGTAATAATTGGGGACACTATATTTTACGTCTCCAACTGGACACGGGACCGCCATTTTACGTGATCATCCGAGCCACGCGAAGGTCTAGCCTGTTGCAGTGCAAAGGAAGTACCTTCATTTATCGGTTATTTTAAGACCCTGAGTATTGGTCCGGCCCCAGGAATCGAACCCGCGACCTCCCGCTCTGCAATCAACGCGCTCTACCGATTGAGCTAACACTGCCGCGGTACAAATGAACGGCTTAAAGAAAAGTTTCAATTTTATTGGAATTTTCGTCAAGGAAAATTTAAATCTAACTGAAAGCCTTTATAAGAACCATACGATGTCCAGAGCATGGTTCAGCTGCCAATTACTGTAATGATTTTTACCACATGATCAAATTTCTTAGCTAATGCAAAGTCCGTATTCTTTGCTAACAGTAAATTTTCAGGGTTCCCTCAGTTAAAACGCATCCATAAAAGGGATATCCGCTATCGTCACTACTGATATTAGTAGCATTTCCCCAAATCAGTTAAACTATTCACAATGGCCTCAGTCGTGTTTAAACAAGGAACTGTACAAATGTATGTAAGGATGTGTATCATGTAAAAATTTTACCTCAATGATCCCGTAAACCAACCGACTTCAAACCATGCAGGCTCCAAACTAAAAGTTTACATTGTATAAAGTTTTAAAAACCGAAGCAGTTGAAACAAATTTAGAAGGGGCGTTGTGAATACTGATATACACCAGTACCATTTGATCAAGAAAAGACACCGCAGGAACAGCGCCAAAAACAGCTTAATATACACATGCTGAAGATAAACTGGGGGAAGCATATTGAGCTGTTGCTGTTGCTGATTAAAATCATCCTCGATCTCATACACAGATTGAACGTAAGCTACACAAGGCATTTTATGAATATTTTCACGATCCATGCCATTTTCTATTGAACAAGTATTAGTTTGACCAGCTTTAGCGAATTGAAAGAAAAGTGCGAAAGACTGTCTAAGCAATAATTTTCCTGTGCTAAGCCACAACTTTCGTGTTTTGCCAGGAGCAGCCGAACGTTTTTGCTACGCGAGGTATACTTAAGATTATTCAGACGGTAGTCTTCAGAACCGAAAACGCTCCAGTTATTTCAGTCACACAAGAGCATGCTCAAGAGTGTGGAGAGAGCTCGTCATCAGTGGTGGAAAGTTAGCTGAGGCCCCTTCTTTGTATGCGTTTATGGCGTTTGGGTGTTTATGCTTCTTTTATCCTATCGGTTAGGATGCTTAGTAAAGGGTACTTAAAGTTTGTAAAACAAATGAGCAAATGATCAAACCACTCCGTTAAGTGAGGCGCTACTGGAGAGCCGAGAGATCTTTTTTCGCTGGTACAACGGACCACTGATTCTAATCGTGCACCGACTATTACGAATAAATCAACAAAAGTCATCTCACCTTTTCCCACAATCACTCGCTTTTAACTAAGTCATTCAAGCACCCTTAAGAGAATTGTTTTAGCTCCAGATACTAAAATTATATCGAAGTGGTCCTTTTCATATCAAAGAACCTTGTAATGTAATATTGAACTTGTCAAAAGGTTATTTCATTCCGATAAACGTGCCAAGTATATTTCATACATTAGTCCATCACAGGAAAACATCTGGTATCCATAATTTCTCAGAATACTCGGCAATCTTCTGTCCGGGTGACGCTGACTATAAACCATGCCAGGAATAATACCCGACTGATAGTATTTATCCCAGGCAAACTTTGGAACTAGGTTTTCACAGACAGTTTGCTTTTGTCAATAGTTCCATTTTGGCGTTGTTATCTATTCATATCGTTGGGTGTGGAAAATAAAACTGACGCATATCTTGTTTTGAATCTGTGAAGGTCACAAGATAAGTTCGTTAATCCACCTTTTAACTTTACGATTTTACTTTACAATAGCGAAAGATTGTTGCCGTGTACAAAAATCTTTCATCATCATCATAAAAAAAAAGACAAAAGATAACTCAGGGTGGCTTAACTGGATGTTTATGGCAACAATACCCGTCTTACATTTAAGCCATTAGTTAATTTTGTTTTATGATGATTTGAAATCAGCTTACAGGTCCATCTAATGTAGTCGAGTCTCTAAGCTGAAGCAAGAAAATGCTTGAGATTGAAAGATTTCCGCTGAGTGAAGATTGTCCTTGTCTTAACAATTATGGTCATGTGACCACAGTAAATGGACGAGTTGTTGGCAAATTGTTTTTGTGTTGTTTTAACAAAACAAAAGAATATTATTTAAGACATTTTCACCAATGGAGAAAAATAATTTCTAATCTTACGCCTTTGGTTTTTCTTAAAATAACAGTTAAAGCTTGAATGTCGAACCTCACGGTGATTATGAGGGGTTTGATAAGCGTTTAGTAGCACTATCAAAAGACGTAGTAGTTTTTGTTTCCTTAGTTTAGTTTGGCATATGGCGCGAGGTTAAAAAAAAATTGCCACGTAATACTGAGGCCGCAAAAAAAGTACCCATCAAATATGTTGCTGGAATTTTATTGCAGGAAGCAAACTAATATCTAAAATTGATTGATATAGATTTCAGCCCGCTATGTTGTAAATAATTAAGACAATGCTCAAGTATGAACTGAAAGAGAAATCATTGAAGACACGCAGCAACAATTTTTTTTCTACAGTGATTTACCCATTTCTGCTGGTGCGTTCCCGGCAGTGAAGGCCGGATATACTAATATAGATGAAACCCTTTTCGACTGATTCCATTTATGATAAAATTCTCTTGAGGGCTGAGCATAGTTTGATGATAAAGTTTAAGATAAAGCTTCACAATGAAATTCCAAACTGTTTAAGTTCGTCAAAAATGCTGCGGTCTGTTCAAAGTATTGCCCAAGAGCAGCGATTAAGTTATATTAGACCCATTTGCTTGTTTCATCCTGTTTGTAACTATCACCCTTAAATGAAAATTATGCATTTATGCAAAAAAAATTTTGATATAAAACTTTTGTCCCACTATCCGTTTTCTAGTTAACTTATTAAGGTTTTCGTAATAACAAGGACACTGAATAAAAACAAATGATAAAACTAAAAAATTTTGATATAAAACTTTTGTCCCACTATCCGTTTTCTAGTTAACTTATTAAGGTTTTCGTAATAACAAGGACACTGAATAAAAACGGCTTGAATGGACAAATTTACCGAGTAATGACAAAAAGGTTTTCGGCCAAACCGGCGAGACAAAAAAAGGAATAATAAGAAGTAAAATCTACGAACGCGCTCATTCAAATAGACCGGGTACATACCTCAAGCAGAGCTGTCAGAGTATTGGACAATATCCGTGCAATATCGGCGTCAGTATCGTTTGGTAAAACTGGCTTCTGAGTTTCCGCTTTCTTTCAAATGATAAAACTAAACACTCTAAACACCCCTTTGCGCATCGCACATCGTCCTTCTCAGTGTGGCTCAGTAGTGTTAATACAAAAGAGTCGTCAGCGAACTTCAAATTATAGATGATATGAAGATTACAGACTAAATGGGGTCACAGAGATATTTCCTTTCTTGTCAAAACTGTCTGTCAGAACCGAATGTGGTATTTGAAAAGTTTATGCAAGTGAACACGATGCTTTTAATCTTACAGTAGCCACAAAGAGTAACGCTAAGGACACTTAACTCAAAACTGTCTCATTCCTTGTCTCATTTGCGTTTTCGCTTCTACAAGACTAACAATCAGGCTTTCGAGTAAGATAGAACTTCAGCAGATAGCTTTTCAAAACTTAGATCAAGAGCAATGACCTTTCCCTAAATCATTTTCTGATCATATTCATCTTGAAAGTTAACGTAAAATAACTCTACAACACGATCGTATGACGGTACAATTTATCTTCAACCTATTCAAAGCTTCCCTTTTTTCGATCTTTACCTCTTGGTTTAGAAACAGGGGATGTCACTCTGGAAAGGCGGACCATTTCCGCCACTGATTTTAAGTGCTATTTTCAAAGTTCTAGTTCAGTTTTCTTGTTTGAAGTTTAGTGGTTCCACGAGGTTCAAATAACAATGCACCGCTGCCGGTAAATCAACTATGATAGGGAGCTTTCGCAGCGTAAACGTCACTATTAAAATGAATGCGCATAATTTTTCAAACGTCGCCGCGACTTTTGCAAAAGTCTCAGGTAGGTGAAAGTTCCAGGAGCTGAATTCCTAGGGACCGCACCCAGATTAAGAAAGAGAAAGAAATTTGACTTTTATCACATGTCATTCTTAGGGACCTTACTGTCCGACGATGGCGACGCCAGTGAAAGCCGCCCGTCACTGAATTAACTGACTTCGGGTCCTTTCAAACTTTTTCGCGATTATTCCAACACGTCCAGACTTTTCAAAGCTGGAGCGGAGAAGAGTGTACTACTTCAGAGCTCAAATGGATACTCGCTTTGTTTGCCGTGCACGTTCTCTAGAGAAGTTCAAATTTGGTCATTTTATGTTGTAGTTTGTACAATTTTTGTTTCTGTGACGTTCCAGTTGCCGTCACCGTTGTAGTTTTGTAAGGTCCCCTATTTTCTCCACAGGGTACCCAGGCTCACAAGAAGAAGGACCCTCGAGGTCGCCCCCTGTAAGGCAATCCAAAACAGTGGATTGTGGATTCCAGATTCCAAAGCCCCGGGTTCTGGACTCCACAAGCAGAAAACTTCCCTTATTCTGGAATCCGGATTCCCTTAACTTTATGGGGCGACTCGAAGTCAAATTATAAGGTTTTCTAGACTGCAAAACAGTCGGTTTTTTTCTCAAAATCAGTAAAGAAATCGGTAAAGCGTGGCGTAAGAGTCTTACGCGCCCAAAGCGCGCGAGCCTCACAAAAAAAACCATATTGTTAGCGTCTCTCTCCAGTCTCGCTCTCTGTTTTCAGCCTCGTTCCCGACCTTTTGTTTGATTGCTCGCGCGTACTTGAATACGCAAAAATACGGACTGTTTTGCAGTCTAAGGGTTTTCCGTTCTGCTGGAACAAGGTACTGCCATTTTAAAATACATACCTCATAAAGAGATGTCTTTGTGTTGTTTTCTTACTGTTATCCTGCATTATGAGCACCATTAGCAAGTATAATATTGATCTTCTGGTTCTCTAAGGAAAACTAAAAACTCGGCATTCTTGTACTTTTTTATTAACTTTTGTTTTTAACGTACATCTAGGGTTTGAATTCATTTTTTTTCAAGGGTAAATGAGCTTTTAACAGCTTTGAAATTGAAGTTGTAATTGTAAGTAACAACCGGGTGGTGCCTAGCTTGCATGGGACTAGGGTCCCGTTTGCACTTGCCCTTTTAGGGATCAACAATTGTTTTTAATTATCCTTGTAACTATAATTGATAACTTTTATTTCTTTAAGAATATGTCGTCTTGTAAATTCTGTCATAATTGCATTCTTGCCCCAGTCAGGAGCCATCCCCAATAAAGTGTCAAAAAAAAAATTCCTGAGAAAAAGCTCAGAAATTCACCTTCGTTCGACTCAAATCGCTCCCTTTCTTTGTAGACCGTAGACCGAAGACTCTCCTTCCTAAAGAACGTCAATCTAGTTCTAAACATTGAGCCGTTAGTGAACCGTAGCTCCGGGGGGGCACCCCGCTTATGAAAGGGGTGGGGATGCTCGTCGGAAATTTTGAATTAAACCCCTAAAGGAGACCGATCTGGGCGTGGCCCAAGCTTTATTTGACCCCTAAAAGAGACCATGTTAAAACACAGACAATATAAATATTTTTGTATTTTTTCACGGTGGCTAAAATTTGTTCCAAATATGATGGCATTTTTAAGAATACCCTAAATGAGACCAAAATCCGAAATTTACACGCCTTTGAGACGAATGAGCATCCCCCCCCCGACCGTAGCCTCAAAAATTTGAACTTGGCGCTGGTTTTTTTTCGACTTAGTCCGCCGTACTGTTTTCGACGGGAGGAAATATGGGTAAAATCAACCCCGGCAGGTAGATTTTACGAAAAAGCCATGTAAATTTTTAACAGAGCAAGCGACAAATTTTCGCTTCCGACGTTCCATAGCTGTATACCAAACCCCTTATCACGTCGTTGAATTTCATCAAACTACTATCAGAATATTTTAGTTAATATTTTAATATCTTGTGTCTAATAAATAACCAATTACATAACTAAAACTTAAAAATAAATATACATATTACAGGTATTGCTTATGTCATATAAAGGGAATTAACATATTTGCAAATTTTCATAAAAAGTCAGACTGTACCGTGCAAAACATTTTGTGCACAAATCTTTATCCAGTATAAATTTTATTTACTTATGTGTGTTTTTAAAATACAATGTGGATCACGAATTCCACTATAAATAAAATATTTTCTGATCCCAAGCTGGTTATTCCATAAGCTCCTTTTCGTCTTGAGATCTGTTGCCTACAGGATTACTCTCCTTTCATGCAGTCTGCTGGCAGGAAAAAAGAACCGTTAATTGGATATAACAACCCCTTTCTACACCTTTGTGTTTTCTAAATAAACAAGGTAACTAAGGCGTGGTTTTGTGCCCACATTGAACCCATAGATAACCTCTGGTAAAAGCTCTCTCCAGTCAGTACAAGCTACTAGACCATTTTTTCCTCCGCTGAAAAATAAATTTTGCGGACAAAAATTGATCTGTAATATCTCGGTATGCCCAACATTACACAAATCAAATCAAACTAGCCGTCTCCTATAAACAGAATTCTGTGTCAGAGGTTTGACTGCATTATAAACAAAAAAATTCTCTGCGGAAACGTACTGAACACAACAACCACAGGCCTCGTTTGTTTTTATTACCCTTTAGATCTCTTAATTACCTGTCGCGATCGCCAGAATGTTATTCCTGTATGTTACAGTAAAAACCCGCGTATAAGAACCTAACATTTAAGAACCTGTTAGGCTAAAATTTCATTTTTAAGCACCCTTCACATAAGAACCATTTTAGGCTAAAATCCTAAAACAGGTTCTTATTTTCAAAAAAAAAAATATAGAATTAAGAAATTTTCTCAAAAAAAAAATGTATATATATAACACAGTCTGTATGCAATAATACTGTAAACACTATAGCATGGTTACATAAAACTTTACCATAGGTTTGATTGTAACAGAATCAGATTAAAATAGTATAGTATTTTGCTTAACGAAGCCTCCAAGAATACTGTTTTTGGACATTAAACACCAGATCATTTAAAAATTCAGCTTTATTTCTTGGACAAAAGTTAAGAACCTAATTAAGAACCTACTTAGCCTAATTTTACACTAAATACCATTTATATAAGAACCTGTTTAGGCTAACTTGGAAAAACCTAGGTTCTTATACGCGGGTGTATTAGATTATTCTCTAACTTTGCTAAGTTTTCATCCGCGGTTAGCCTTCCTGCTCTATGAAAAAACGTTTCCGGCACATTTCTCGTGCAAAACACCATTTCCACTCCGGACGCTTTTTAAACTGGTTTTATTGTTTATTTACACCCGTTCTGGCATTACGATTTGAACTGTATCTGAAACCGTCCTTGATCCGGCGGCGCGGCGTGTAAAATACCTGACGTAGTGCCTATTTAGAGGTGTGCAAATGGAGTAAGCTATTTGAGCCTTGATTATTTTGTCGAAAAAGAAGTCAGGATTTTTCGCACGTGCTAATGGTTTTATCTTCTTTACGTTTACGGTTATACTTAGGCTTGTTAACCTTGGCAGGACCTGCTATAAAGGAAGAGCGCTTGACTGTAAAGCGAGGGTTGGCGGCTTCAATACCTCGGGGACGGACCAATACTGAGGGTCTTAAAATAACTGAGAAATAAGGAAGGCACTGCCTTCGTTCTGCAAAAGGGTTCAATAGACCTTAATTAATTCTTCTGTAATGACTAAGTGCGTTGACACTTAAATAAATAACCTTTTTGATTTTTTTAAATGCGAAAGGAAAGATTAGTTGGCATATACAAATAACTCAAATAATTAAAACTGTTAATTAGTGTTTTTCTTCGACTTACTTTGTGCTCTTGACTCAAGGACGTTTCTTTTTGCTTTTAGGGCAGCCAGGTAGCTTTGGATTTGTCTGCCCGCACCACCACCATCGTTTGAATCTTCTCGCAGAACGTTTGACTTTTATGTCACGCCGATGAGGTCGCTTTAAAATCATATCTGACAGACTACAAAAAACAAAAGATACAATGTAACTAAGAGGTAGGTCCTGGGTTTTGTATTATTGAGAAAAGGGCCAACTATTTTTATGACTGTCGTTTCTTAAATACGTAAAACGTAAATAATTCAAAAGGGGTTCAAATGGAAGAAATGTTCGAAAGGGATTGCCCTTTTAAGCGCTGAGGAAACAGTCCCTCAACTTAACCTATTCTTGTAGATGGACCAGATTTGCTAATCCATGATATCAGTTGTATTTACTTTTCTCTTAGTTTCAATTGTATCAAATTTAAAATGACAGCTCCTACTTATGAATGAAGCTGCACACATTCAAATCACAAAGAATTTAGATTAAAAATGCCCTTTACCTCAGTTTTTTATTAGCTGCGTTTGCTTTCATCTCTTCTAGCCAAGCTTTTTCTGGGTGTCCAGCAGTCGTTCTAAATAACATAATTAACACAGCGACGAATGCGGCAAACATCACAGTCTTTTTCATTTTGGTTGAAGTCAATTCACGATCTCACACTCTTTCTTTCGAAGTTGTTGTTGTTATTACACTACAAAAGATTGAAATCTGCGTCGTCTTATTTATAGTTTATAATTTCGAGTGCATGGTGACGTAAAGGAATATGACGTGGCAATCCGCCTAAGAGTACAAGAGCATTCAATACTGCGTCTAATCTCCATTGTTGAAAATGGGAAGTTATAGGTAAATAAACAAATTTAACATTATCAAGCAGCTTTTAATGAAGAAACAAACCAAGTTGCCCCTCTGAAAGATGCATTAAGGTTGACTAAAGTTGTTCTATAGCTTTCATGTTTTAAAACATTTGAGACACCACGCCTGTAGCCGGATATACGTGGGGAGGAAAATAACGTTCCTATCTGGTTCCTTTCTTCATTTGCGTAACGGAAAACCTGTATGCTTCAATGAAGCTGAGCAGGAAAACATACTTCGTTGTTAAATTTTTAACGACAAAGCACCATTACCTAAGATTTGCACAATGTTGAATTAGATGTCCTCTTCTAGGCTTTACTGACACTTGGTCCAATTACTTTGGCAGCTGAAACAGGTGTTGTGTGAGAAGTGTAGTGTACTGAAAAATGGGACATCCGGCATTTTTCTGCAAAACCCAATCCTTGAATTCCTCCGCCGCCCCCATCAGACAGCGGAGAATTTACAATTTTTTTATTTTTTCAACTCTACATTTCGTTCCATCTCACGCGATTGAAAGGAAGTGATAGGTCAAACGACCTTAATACGTGCTAAGTGAAGAAATGATTTAGTTTGTTAGAACGTGCAGTTACAAAAAGGTTCCCTAAAGTTTCTTGGAATCTTTAGTAAAACATATTTAGTTATGGGAGCAGGGCGCCATGCACTTTATAGTGCTTTCTTTCTTTCTTCCGACAAGAAAGAAATGTAACTCAATATTCAGTTTCCTTTGAAATTGAAATAACCTTTCTTAGGCGTTTGTCTCTCTTCTTTACCATAAACCGCAAGCCAAGTATCGAGTCAATTAGCCGGATAGGGAACAAATATACCTCGAGGAGGTCAGTACTAATGACACTATTGGCCTGAAAGCAGAAATGATGGGATTTTAAATACAAAGGAAGCAAGTCATTCTTTGCAAAATTTTGAGAAAGTAAAACCAGCATTGATACGTTATTGAGGTGATGACCTCATTCACAAAAAGAGTGCTCAAAGATTAGTTTAATCCTTACTCTGTGCATGTTCACTTCCACCAGGCGGAACGACGTATCTTCAATGTATGAAAAACACAATATTAAAACGAAGAAACAAACTAAGAAAGAAAATACAGTTTAAACGCTATTCTTCAACGACTTCATTATTCCCAATGCTGGACCTCACAGCTGCCACTCTTTTAAATTGAATTGTGGAAATTTGTCATATCTCCCAAAACCTTCGATAAATATAGCTAAAAATACAGTGACGTGAATCTAATTGTTTCTAATGCGTGGGTATACTGCGATATTCCTTTGAGCAGTACCCTGAACCGACCAAGAATATCCACCAGCAGCGGGGCAGAGAAGGTGGAACGAAACGCCGCGATTCAAAATAGCGATGCTTGCGTGTGGTTCTTTGTTTATTTGTTTACCTTGATAGCCAGGATGTGTAGTCAAAGAAACTAGTACGTTCCAGCGAGACTTAATACATTAGTTTCCTCTCATTATCATATATACATCCCTTTTTCCTGTTTTATGCCCGCCCCGGGCAACTCCAGTGTAATATAAATTGTCTTTGTTTAGGCCAGGAACGCTAACGCGTCATATTCTTTAAATAGAATAAACAGCCACAAATTCAGTAAAGTCTTTATATATGAGTGGAACAGTTTCGTGTTCAATTTGTGTTGTAGCGTTTACGAGGAGAATGAATGTTCACAACAAGCTGAGGTTAAATGGTGTATTGACGGCCTGTTCATTATTGTACTTGACTAGTCAATATTCCTTTACGCATAGCCATTCATCCCATTCCATTTGTTTTATATTTTATTCAGTGATGGACAAGACATTACAATCAGTATCTACGCCTTATATGGATCCGAAGGGACGTTGACTGTTGTTCGATGATATTGAATCAATTAAAAATATCATTCTTTCCGCTAACTCAGCTAACTGTATCATAATTATAGATCATCTATTTATATGGAATGATAAAAACTAAAAACAGGTGAACATGTAGTATGAATCTTTTATCAATTAACTAGGAGTGCAGAACACAAAATTTTAAATGGTATCAAAATAATAAATTTATTTACTTATATATCAGATCTCTACTGCACCAAGGAAAGTTACAATTTTCCTAATGTGATCATATATAGATTGTGCTAAAAAATGTTGAAAGAGTTGTGAAAAAACGGGGTCAAATGTTACTCAAAAGTTGCCCGAAAATGAAAAAGAAAAAATGCCCCAAAATTTCAAGAAGTTGCTCATCAACATTAGCCACTTTATTCACATAACAGCTTTAAACAATATACCGGTATAATGTTGTTTGACATGATTACAAGGATTCATTTATTGTAACTGAAGATACTCATATTAAATGTTATCAGCCAGGCGTTAAACGTCATGATTAGATCAGTTACGATACTATTTCATATAGCGTTTTAGCATTATTGTATCTGATCATGACAGAAGCCTCTCCAGAGATAGTCCTCAGGGCCCGGTTGCATAAAACGTACATTTAAGTGCCCACTTAAGTAGGTCACTTACGAATCCGTTATGGGTACACTTATGTGTGTTGTATGGAACGCACTTAGCACTCTCGTAAGTTACTGGTTTACGTGGTAACTTTCGGGCTCACTTAAAAGCACACGTAACTTTGATACAGTACTTTATTAATGACTCACTCTTTTTTTTAAGCTAGCAATCGGTGAGTGTAAAGAAAGTTTTAAGTCGTTTCGAACACTTTTTATCCTCTCAAAAAATGAAAGTTGCGTGCAAACGATATTTTTCTTCAATATCTACTGAAACTGATAGTTCTTCTCCTTTTTTTACAACATCATCTTTAAAGTGTACATCAGAGGTTAACAAAGCGCATTACAACGAATTGCGTGAAGAAAACTACTTTTTTTCACTTCTCAGTAAAAGATCTCGTTAACTTTAGTAAGAACAGTAACGATACGAGACCTACATAGGTCCTGTAAATTTACGTACTATTTTTCCCGTAAAAAAAGTTTTATGCAACACCCGCAATTTCTGTTGCATAAACAACACTTAGGTGAGCACTTACGAAAATCGTAAGGGCAACCACTTAGGTCAATTCTCTAGGTGGACCACTTAAATGATTTAATCCAACTCACTTAAGTTACGAGTGCACGTACGTATACCCGTAGTTGTTACGGGCGTTTTATGCAACCGGGCCCTGGCCAGTGTACGCTCTTCCTGTGCGCGCACTAAATGCGTACGTTCTTCAGTAAAAGCTCTCTAAGGAGATGAAGAGCTCGACTGCTGCACTTATACCTGCCCAATGGGGAATTGCTTTACTATAGGCTGCCCATCAAGCTAATTTTCCGTTTTCGTTAATTTTGCCAGAACCACACCATCAGCTGCGACAAGCCTGAAAAGAAAACCAAAAGTCTGGTTAATTACAATCAGGTCTTCCATTATAAAACGGAGGAAAAAAAGACGTCTAAAAAAATAAAGAAGTCTGTCAAAGTTAAGGTAACAAGGCTAAGAGGTATAATTAAGCAGGGAAGAAAACTAGTCCAGACTGTTATATATTAATATTAAGTAAAAGGAAGAATAAGTACAAAAAAAAATACTGATCCCCAATATTTTATTTAATTAAGGAAAGATTTGCTTACTACTACTACTATCATGGCCGAGCAAGAGCACGCCTCAAGATTTGCTTGTTGAACTTAAAAACTACGTAAGTTCTTTTTAAAGACATTTGTTTAGAAACTGATGCAGATAACATTTGACCTTGATAACAAAATGGAGCATTGGTTTGCCTAGTTTGACCCACATCTTGGACAAAATAGACGGAAAATTTAGGCCCGCCCCCCACTAAATCAATGATGGGCAAATGGCGTGTTTTGGCCCTCGCCCGGCTTCATCCTGGATTTTGGCGGGACGGGGGGGGGGTGATGGGGTGTATTGATCCATTTTATTCTGTCCAAGATTGTTATTTGTTTGACCAAGGCCACCTGGCCACTCAATTGTTTGAAAAAATGATGATTTCAGAAAAAAAACTGTTTCTGAGAGGTACTACTAATTTCGAACAAGGGAAGTAAGGCAACTCTAAGTAAAAGTGAGGCTAACAATTGTACCATTGGATATTATGGGAATGCAGTGTTTTAATTGCTATGGTCATCGTAGTATAAAAGCTATTATGACCCACTATTTTTCATTCAAAGTATTACTCCGTTTAAGATTGGCTTAATTCCCAGGCCAGTAATCGGCTCTTGCCCAGGCTAATTCTATATCACAGGCTGATACTGACAAAATTTGGAAGACATATTTATGCTATTATTATTATTATTATTATTATTATTATGTCGCAGTATAAAAATTTGGAATGCTGTCCACATTAGTATAGGGCGCATAACGTAACCTACACCACTTGAGAAGCTATACTTAGAACTAAAAAAGTCGGTACAAAACCTAATACGATCCTAATATACATACTGATATGAATCTCTCTACTTAAAAAGCTAATTTAGAATATTATTAAATTCTTATACTCTGTACAACCTACGCAAAGACATGATAATATAATTATCTCTACTAGAAGCCTATTTAGAAAATTATTCAGTTTTTATACTCTCATTATCTCTTATATACCTAAACGAGGCCATCATAATGTGGTTATCTCTGCTAAAAGCTTTTTTAGAATTATATCAAACTCTAATACTCTAAAAAATCTAAGTAAAAACATCAGCAAACTTGTTTCTAGATTTCTGGAGAAAAAAACCCTACAAACTGGAGTCCTTAGCGCCCTAACTAAGTATTAATCTTAAATGTTTTGGCAATGTTTATAGTGTTTGAGATGACCGACTTCTGCATCCGCTCAAGTACGCTCCGTGCTCTCGCTCCAAGTAACTTATTATTATTATTATTATTATTATTATTATTATTATTATTATTATTATTATGGCGTCCCATTTTCTTTAACATGCACCTTCTGCGCAGGCTCTATGCTTACGATCAGATTCTTGAAAAGGATTTTCTGGCGTTTCAGTAACTATGGGAATTAGTCAAGACTTGAATAGACTGGACAAAGTTATAGATAGGTAGATGGATGCATGGATGGATAGATAGATAGATAGATAATGCTTTATTTTAGCAGCGTGAACTCTTGAAACCACTGATGCTTATACCGTGCGCGAGGGAGGGCTAGTTGTTGTTTCTCTCTTCCGCTAGTGGCATGAGCGTGGTAGACGGCGGTAAACTGCGCCTGGAGCTCGGCTAGAACCTGCTTGTCTATACACACACTTAAAGCAATCTGATTGACTTATTGTGTAATTCTCTTTTCGGCATTTCCCCATTCTCAGTGGGCAAAAACCAGTGCTAGAATCCCAAATGAAGCCAATGTTAGCTTCTACGGCCTCTTAGGTCATAAAGGGCAGAAAAGTAAGAAATTGAAGAAACCGTATATTGTAGAATGCACTCTAAAATAATAAACTGACATTTAAACTGCAAATAACAATATTTTAGAACGCAGCTGGCCATGAAAAATGATCTAATCCCGCTAAAACGACCTCCTCGTTGAAACGGCCAAATTCGTATCGCCTCCAGCGATAGTGACTAAGTTAATCAGGTTCTAAATCATTGTGGTAATTAAGTAAAAGTCAAAAGTGAAGTTTCCGTTGCAGTCTTTAATTTATATCGTTTGTATAATCTCAGTATATACTGGTGGAAAGTATAGGTTGGCTTGAATAGTTTAATAGTTTGTTTGACATCATTTGCTCATTCTACAAGAATTCTTTGTTTCGGATCGGAAATGGAAAAGGCCTGTGAAACATTTAACGTGTCTAAAATACCTGAACTCATGCTAGTTATCTATATATATCAGAATGCTAAGTTGAGACGGTCCCCTTACAGTGTAGCGTTTTTTGTGGTTTTATACCACCCACAGAAAAATTTTCGATTCCTTTTCAAACTAAATTAATACTTGACGGAGGAGGAAATGATGAAAGTGGTAAACTATTAAAGGCGAAAGATGTAAATTTCGAAAAGAGCTGCAAGCGATCAATTTAGTTAGAGACGTCAATCGAAGATAGGATCACTTATTCATTTACCCCTGCACTCGAATATGTTACGTTTGGTTAAATCCAGATGGCCACAACAACTGACTGTTCCGAGCAAGTGAACTGTTTAAACTGTGAAAGGTTTATTCCAAGCGAGCATGTTAATAAAAACGCGCAAGTTGTACCGACACCGACAAAGCTATCAGGAAACCTCTGAGCTATACTTTTTTATTCTTAATTTTTAATGGATGATCAGTTCAAATAAATAGCTATTACAAAATAGATCTGACTTGAAAATAAATAAACAGGTATTGCTCAGTATGAATTATCCTATAAAAACACATCGAAAGATACAAATTTAATGTAGAATTTGAATGTAACGACTTCATCAGCTCATTTTCATCTTGTTCATTGCGTGTAGAATTAGTCTTCATTTAAGTTGTCTGCTCTCTGTGAAAACAAAATTGTTAATTAGATATAACTTAAGACCCTTTCCTAACAGCTCCGTCAATCCACTAGTAATATCCGTTCTTTACTTCCGAGTGTCGCGCGGACTTCTTTACGCATTTTTCGTACATGTAATTCTACCAGAGTTATAATTTATTACGATAGTTTTTATTTTGTACAAAACAAATCAATCATTAAACGTACTTGCAAACTTTTCACAGGTTTTTATATAACTCGTCTTGAATACAACAGAAAAGTAAAGTCTGCATTCCAGGCAAATTAAAAATTCCACAGTGCTTAATTCATAACTTACTAGGAGCTGGAGAAGGTTTTTCTTCTTCTCTTGGGCAGCCAGGAAGTTCTGGTTTCTTCTGTCCACACCACCACCATCGCTTGAATCTTCTGACAGAACGTTTTATTGCACGTTGATGACGTTGTTTGAAAATCACGTCTGATAGCCTGCAAAATCACACTGAACTGAAGCTTCTCTAAAATTGATAGTCCCGTGTTTTTTATCTTGAAGAAAACTGAGGAGCTAATATTTTTACTTTGGACTTTTGTTTCGTGTGTCATCCTTCCTTTCTCCGAGGAGAAACTTGAACAAAGACCTCCATTAATTGATCCTAATGTTTATGCCTTGACGAATTTATCGTCATTGTTGTTGTTGCTTTTTAATCCTTCTAACAAGTTTTACTCTAGAAATACGTGTCTCGCGATCCTTATGTTGCAGAAAACTTCAGTCGACGTTTATCGAGTGTTCGGGCCTGATAAGGTGATATAATACAAAAATTCGTTGTTTTTTTAAATTTCTTTATATCAAGTCGAAAAATTACTCTTGTTGTACAAGGAATCTATGGATCCCCTTTTACCTCAGTCTTCTATTAGCTGTGTTTTCTTCTATCTCCTCAAGCATTGCTCCTTCCTGGTTCCCCGTAGTCGTTCTACACATCATAATCAAAACAGCGACGAATGTAGCGATTATTACGTTCTGCTTCATTTTACTGGAGTATTGCTGCGACCTCTGTTTAACCTCGACACAAAGTTGTTCTGGAAGTTCCAAGTCTTCTTCGTCTTTATTTATATTTTTATAAATGTGCTGACGTAGAAGATGCGGTAAACCTTAAGTCACGTGATCAATTACACGAGTCGTCTTTGCAGGAAACCGCCAGAGTAGCGTGGACATATCAGAGCAAGAAAAAATATTACCAGTATAAGTGTTTCCGCATTACTATATAGCGAAAATCATTTGTTAATATAAATGATGACATTAGCCTCTCAGTGAAGATTGAATGTCACTTTATAAAGTTAAGAGCGTTGCTCTTTAACTCTTAAAACATTCCCATTTCACCTCCAGTGAAAGGATGTACGCGGGTGCAGGAAGAAATTATTCCGATACTGCCTTCATTAACCTTAACCCGAAGGGAAGTAATCCTCTGAAAATGAACGACGATTCAATGCTATTTCGTCTATTATAAAGCAAATATCTGCCGGCGAATGGAATTTTTCTGTCTTTCTTTCGGTCTATTCTTGTGTTGTTTAACGTTATGCAATCAGGTATGCGGGCACGTGACAGGTCGGCAAGAGCTAAAGGGAAGCACATTTCAATAAATTGAACCACCTTGTCTCTCGTAATCTCGTATGTAACCTTGGTACCACGCGATCATGAGTGGGTTGTTCATTTACAATTGCACAGGCCGTGGTGCGAACATCTTATCTTTTTTCCCACCTCCTCTTCTGACTTGTTCCTTGATTGTTCCTTGCTTAGTTGTCTTAGTTATTACCAAGGACTTTTTTCTACTCTCACTTTTAATTGGCTTAGTATTTTAGGTATAAGTATAGCATTAAAGAGAATTAATTCTTTATGTAATAAACAGGCTTTGAGCCATTAAGCCAATTTTAATATACTCCAAATCACTTTTGTGTTTGTGTTTATTATTGCTTAAAAAACAAGCGTGGGAGCAGCCCCACAGCAACATTTTAATGTAATTACGACCAGGGGAAACCTGAGATAATCAGTGGCCTGAATCCAACCCTTTGAACTGATTAGTTGATGTGTCGTTTGATTGGTTTGGTTTTTCGGACTGTTACGTCCGTCAAGTGTGGAATTTAAACGAAATGTTATCATCACATAGCTTTTGAATAAACTGTACTTCGTCCAGAGGGAACAAACAAACCACTTCTTTGCATCTTTTGCAATAGATGAGGGACAATTGATATTAACTAAACCTTGACTTAGAAGTAAATCATTCAAATCTGCTCATTGCGTCTCGTTTTTTTTCTTTCTGTCACCCGTATGCTAAATTCTGAACTGTGGCTTTGATCAAATACCTCTAAATTTTCCCGTCTATAACTTATACGAACAGGAGCCTGATACAAAAACATATTAAGGAAAAAATTAGCATCCATTGCTCACAAGTAGACCATATAATTTTACACGTCAAGTGTATGTAATAGCTACAACAAAAAAGGTAGCAATTCTCCGCCGTTTCGTCGATTTTCGTGATTTAAAATGTCAGGAGCCTGAAAATGTCCTATCACGTGATATGTCACGTGCCCCCTATAAAACCAAAAAAAAAGGCAAAAATACACGCACGTAGAAAAAAAAACGAGAAAAATGAAACAATTACATAGACTGTAGGTTGATTTATGAAAAAAAAGGGAAAGAGCCTTAAAAACGTTTATCCAAGTCTACAGTACTAAGATATAGAAAGAAGATTAGGTTTGTCCATCGTAGTCGCTTTGCCTTCAAAGTTTCCTTGGCGGTTGCACAACAGTTTCTAGAAGCATTTACTTGATGTGCTATCTTCAGACGTTACACTTTAGCTCAGAGGTGGTGGCTGCACTCAGTGTTTGCACACAGAGAAATAAGTCTGCATGACTGCAGGCTGGAAAACTCATCCAAAGATTACAAAAATACCGCCGATTGATTCCAAACTAGCCCTGGTCGCCGATAGCATGATTGAAAAAGGGTATTCGTTTATATAGGAGATTAAGCGCATGAAATCATGTGTTCTCATTGTCACTTTGTACGTCGCTCTATTTTCTATGGTTTGCTTGATAACATTGAATCCTTCGAGAAAAAGTTTTGTTATTGTTGAATAGGAAATGGTGTGAGAAACGTAGAATGGGTCTAAAAATACTTGACCTCATATCCGGAATTATCAGTTAAGAACATAATGTTCAGATGGTTCCAGCTAACAGTAAACACAAAACATGCTGTGTTTAATACTTCGGTTTCCTTGCGTGTTCAATGCCACCCACGAAAAATCTCCGATTCTTTCCCAAACAGATAGTCAGTTTTTAATGATAACGGAGATTGGAGTTAAGAGCGGAAAATATAACAAGTTTTTTTTAAAAGGGCAAGCAACCAATTTCGTTTGCGAAACGTCCTGAAAAGCTGCATGTCATCAATATCCTGTAAATCTCTTTATCGCTCGGGATTGCGGTCTGCCTGGTATAATTGGATATTTGATTAAAATCAAACTTCTTCCAGGAAATTTAAAATAACACTTTTATTTTATCGCATTTCGATTAAATAGCTAGTTACAAGAATACAACTCTATGAAATAAATATTCATGATTCATGCTGCTTTATGGGGAAGTTTTTATATCGAGGTAAGATAAAAATTTTATTGTAGGTCGATGTAAATTAATGAAATATGATGAATAGTTTTCTCTCCACGAGCTGATGCTAATACAAATTTCATCAGCTAATTTCGTCGTGTGATATGTTGCGTGCAGATTATCCTCACCCAGGCAGTCTCCTGTCTATAAAAAAATAATTATTATTGTTAATTGGATATGACTTCACTGTTTGTGGTTCCTAAATAAACAAACTAGTGGTGGAAGGCGGTTTTCATACGCCGCCCGAGTTCCGCCGACAAATTGCTTCTGGTAACTTCCCCTCTGTCTATTACATCTATAACCCCCGTTGCATTCTTCCACCGACCAAAAAAAAACTTGGAAACTCAAATGGCCTTCAACATCTTGTCGTTCATAACATTGAAATATATTAATCAAACTAGTCATTTCCTACAATTGCCCAAAACTTTTGCTGGCACCGGCTCACACATTACACTGGAATTTTTGGTCAGCGGTCACAATGCACCTGCATCAAAAAAAAGCTTGCTAGTTTATTATGATTATTATTATTACAAAATCTCTGGAGACTTGTCGTCTGTTCGTTAGTTCTTCAGGATCGTTACGCTCTCTACTCGATACATATTGAAAGTGAAATGCACGGAAGATGAATGCCCTCTTCCCCTTTTAAGCCTAAAGATGTTTGAGCTCTCACGCCCCCGTCCTTCTAACACGTACGTATCGCAAAGTTGAGATTCTGAAGACAATGAGGAAGCTGTCTCGTGGGGGAAGCATCTGTTTTCTGTCCGTTCAAATTCTCAACATAAACACCATTCTCGCTGACTCAAGTCTTTTGTTGGCTTAGAACAAGTTCAGGTTTGGTACCCGCCTTTGAAGAATACAGTCTATTTACTGCTGCCAGAACTCACGACTAAGAACCTTCCGTTAAAAGGCTCACTGTACAAACTGAGCATTAAGCTTAAGTCAAGGCTCTAGCAAATTCAAGATTTTTCGAATTCCACCTGCGCTTTTGCTTATTATTTTTTGGGATTAATAATATGAAATACATCAGAAAACATAAGTCGGCTTTTACGGATTACTCAAAAGATGATTTGATCTGGCGTCTTTAGTTTCCTTTGATCCACGCAAAGTAAGAGACGCATGCGCACAGGCTAAGACTACTCTTGAGTCAGCCATGTTTTTTTTTCTGTTTTAGCTCAGTTAAAACCGTTGTTTAGAGTTTTATCTCGACATACTCTGTTGTCTTTTTCGGCCTCGGGAATGTTTTTTGTTGCTTCTAGGGCAGCCAGGTAGCGCTGGGTATATCTGCCCACACCACCACCATCGTTTGAATCTTCCAACAGAGCGTTTCCTGACACGTTGAAGAGGTCGATTTAACATTACATCCGATAAACTGCAAAACACAAACATTGAAAACTTTACTCAAACTGCATCTTCAAGTTTTGGCAGCTTAAGAAAAAAGCTAGCATCTTTTTCTATGGTATATGTCGCTATCAATCGGTCTTATCCATCTGATCTGAATTGTCATCAGCCAATACTTCACCTTTTACATCGTTCAGAATATTTTTACCAAAAAAATTAATTTGCCAACATCGACCGTCTGATTAATTGCTCAAGTGATCGTCCAGTTGTGTTTTGCTCACAAGAGTCGCTTAACTTAACCCGGATTTACCTCAGAGTAGATGGAGTTGGGCCGGCATGGTCAATCGACGTTATTATTGAATTTCCGTTTTTACTATGACTTTCAGCAAACTTAAACCAACATTTTTTTCTGGGCGTTCAGCTGAAGAATTGTTTTAGGCCTCGTTGGTGGAAGTTTTTCTTACCGTTATAGATTTTCACGTAACTGCGCAATGACTAAAAACATCGCATTTTACCTCAGCAGCTTTCCATCAGCTTGGTTTTCTTGTATCTGCCCTGCCAACGCTTCTGTGTTCAGACCCGTCGTAAGTTCACTCACCAGAATCAAAACAGCGACTAAGGCAGCAAATATCAGCATCTGTTTCATTTTGTTGAGCTAGCGCTCGATTTCGACAGTTTCAGCTCTTTTTGGGTCGAAGGGGTTATGGCAATACGGAAATCTGCTTTGTCTATTTATTCGTAGCACTTTGAGGTCAGTTACGTAAAGGAATACCAAAGGTCACGTGAGCAGCCAATCCAATCTCATTTGTTGATAACTGGAAAGATATAAAATATAAAGAACATAGTGAATATTATAAGTATCGAATACGCTTTTGCAGTGCTGCATTATACCTTTAAGCAGCTTTTTATGAAGAAACCAACCCTAGACGAGTCCTCCGACAATCCATTGAGATTCTATACGTCGTGGTTGAGAATTGCTCGAAAACTTTGGAACCTTTCACCACACCACGCCTAGAAATGGATATTCGATCAGATGAAAAGATCAAAGTTTGAAAAAATTACCCGCCCTCTTTTGCGTTAAAGGAATTCCGTCTGTAGCTCAATACAACTGACATAACAAAAGATTTTTATCATTAAATAAAGAAAGTGACATACTTCGAAGATTTTTGTTGCATGATGAAGTACAATTGCCTATTAGAAATAGCTTAAGTTAAACGTGTTCTCGGCTGGTCTTTCAATAAGTCCAATTACTTGCGGTAACCAAAATAGACGTTGTTTAATTATAGTCTTCTATTTAAGTGTTCCCGACTTTTCTTTCGTCTAAGATGGAACTCTTGGCGAACAATCCTTGAATTCCACAGATAAAGACTTGTTTGGCGTGGACGCTAACTGCACTAGCAAGCTAGAGGAACCACGACGACGTCGAGGGAATCGAGAAAATTTTAGTAAAAAAGTGGCGGTTTGATATTCTACGTGAAAACTCTGAACGTGAAGCAGATTTTTTGGCAGAGATTTCTCTGCCGTACGGCGCGCGATTAATGTTGCCAAACATGATTGGCATGGCAATGCGATCGTCGCTCTAATATCTAAGTTAAGATCGTCGTTTCATCGGCAGTAATTGTCGTCAGAAAATACCCGTAGCAGGGAATCTGAAAAAACCTCGGTAGTCACAGAAACGTTCTGTTCTGTTTTTCATATTTAGCTTGCCTGTCGGCGGCAGCCTCGAGCACCTCGCTTCCCCTATTACTTTAATTTCTTTCTTTCCGCAAAAAAAAAAAAACTAAAACATTAAAGAAAGAAACACTGCTTTCCTTAAAAATTTAAAAGAATTTGCCTAATGCTAAAATTTCGGTCTTTTTTCACAAGTCAAGTGAGATGTAAGTAAACAGGATGGGATCCAAGCCATAACTAACTTAGATGAGTTTTTAAAACAGGACTTAGGTCAAGAGAAACAAATGAGGGGAGTAAAAAGGCAAAGAAAACAAAACGTGCTGGGGAAGTACATATAAGTCAACAGAAGATGACCTTATTGATAATTTACTTTATCCTTCTTCTTCCCGCTTAAAAATCAGCACATCATCCGGCTTGTTTATCCACATATTATTACTGATATAACAGCTTGCTTTGTTTAAAGGCAAAGTGAAACAACATATACCAATGTTCGCAAAATGCACTACAGATTAATTAAAGGCATGTTACGTTTCTAAGAAAGACTTCACGGTTTTCTCCCTCGATAAATTTTACTTCAGACTAAATCTTGTAGATCTCATTATAAAGAAAAGTCTTGAGGAGTTTAGAAAAAACTTTTGTGACTTCAAACTGATCATTGCCTCAAACTTGTAACTTTTCTGGACTGAGAAGAAATGTGGACGACTTGGCACACTTTATTAGGTTCAGCAGCGTGCGAAATGTAAAAAATTGAGGTGTCTTGGCGGCGCACTGCTTGTCAGAAATTTGATCACTGCTCTAGAGCTGTCAAAACCTTGCCGCAAAGACCTTTCGATAGTGTATATATTCGTTTTGATTTAAGCATTTCGTTAGAATGATGTGGCCCCCGTAGGAAGTCGAGTATGGACCTGACTATTGATGACAACTGAGATTTCTTTAAGCCGAGCCCTAACTAAACAGTCAGCACCCGTGGGACACGCGGGGCAGGGCGGGAACGCCGTAGCCTGTGAACGCAGCCGTATTTCCAGTTGTCGCGTCTCTCCACCCCTACCCGATCTTTTCTTGGCGTGTGAAACAAAATAAGTACGAAAAAGGCGTCTGCTCGCTAGGAACGTAGCCTGTTCCGGCACCGACCTTCTATTTTCTCTTCAAGGTCCGTCGAGCGCGGGTGATATGAAAGGAAGGAAAAGAAAAATAAAACAACGTCTGTGTACAGGCTACTAGGAACGCCCTGGCGCTAATTAGATGTACTCGCGTGTGTTTCTTTGTTTATTTGTTTACTTCCTTAGAATGTGTAGCTGACGGAAGGTCGGAAGCATAGCACTTCTTAGCATGTCACTTCCTATATTATTTTTTCGGTTTTTGCGTCGGACCTCTGGCAGATTCCAAGTGAAACCCAACCCTCCTATCATATACTTGTATTGGGCTAAATTAGAGAGAGTTTCGCAGCTTTTATCTGATACTGACCATGGCAAAAAAATATTCCTTGTACAGTCAAATCCCGCTTTACGGACACGCCCTTAACCCTTTAAGTCCCAAGAGTGTCCAACATCAATTTTCGCCTAACTAAATCAGCAGATCATCAAGGGTAAAGGTTATTAGAATTACTAAATTGATTACCAAGGGAATAATGCTTTGGTCTTAAACCAAATTCTCTCAAATATTCTTAAAAGAAATGTATGGAGGTCAGTGTGGAGAATTTGTATTTGGATTTTGGGGCTTAAAGGGTTAATACGGACACCTCATTAATTATAACGGACAGTTTGCTTTTTCCCCAGGGAAAGAAGCCCTTTCATTTTCTCTAAATTCAACCCCGTTAATAAGGACACTTTCTATAGCCCACTCGGTGTCTATATTAACCGAGTTTGACTGTACTTGCCTGTTTTGTTTTAAGGCTCAAAGACTGATTAAGAAAAACAGTCGACTTTTCCGAAACACCAAAATTTTCTCCTTCAAAGCCTCATACAGTCAACTGTCTCTTAAGTAACGGACACCATTATAAGACGCCGAAACCTCTCGAAGACGGACAACGGACACTTTTGAAACCGTCAGCGGACACTTGAGAAGTGCGTAATGCAGTGAAAAATACCTCAAAACAGAAATGAAGGTGGTCTACATGAAAGTAAATTGCAAAATTCTTAAGATTTTGTAGTCTTTCTCCAGTTTGCAACGTGTTTCCTGTCGCGCTTGTAGACCACAAAGGCGTGAACGTTTGTTTGTATACAATGATGAAGAAAATGATTCCACTTTTCGGTTACATTGTTCACGTTTTAGCTGTTTTGCGCAAAATAAATAGACGTGTATTCATTGCGAATGGGTTCAGCTTAAGTTTTTACTGGTGCCACGTTACCTTTTTAAAATAAATAAACCGGACACCTCTGTAATATAAGACGGACAGTTGGGGCCGATCTCGAATTGAGTCCATCTTAGAGACAGTTAACTGAAGTTCAAACCTCTCCTCGTAAGCGAACGCGATCATCTCTTGTGGTGGCGGTTTTGTATTCTTTTTTGATCTTGTGTAAACGACCCGGCACTGGCCAGCATAACAGGCGCTTTTTATTAGCAAGCAAGGCGAACGCGGCATTTTGAGCGAAGCGCGAGACGAGGGGATGAGAAACATAAAGCTTTCTTTTTCTCCTCCCCTCGACTCGCGCTTCGCACTGGTTTCGAGCTTCCTTTGAGCTTCGCGCAAAATGTCGCGTTCGCCTCGCTTGGCTCATAAAGCGCCTGTAATGCAAGCTAACCCGGCACCAGAGTGTGCGAGTAACTTCCTTTCGTGACGACATGGCACTGTTTGAATTGTACGTTTTCCGCGCATGAGTAGGTGTGTGACCCGGCCGGAAGACACCCCATGTGGTTCCATTCAGTTCAGTGGTAAGCGACTACTTCCTTCAGTATTATAATGAGACCACTTTTTCACAGCACTTTGGGTGGTCCATTACAAAAGTTTGACCATCTGAATGTTCATTATACCAACGGTTATTAAAGTGCAAAGGTTGTGAAGACTTTCTCACTTCCTTGTTATATACGGTTTTTGTTAGCTTTCTTAGACTTTAAACGATGCAAAACGATCAAAGGCATTCTTATCATTTGAACTGACCATAGGAAACGCCCCATTAACTGATTTATTCAGTCAAAATTTTTGGAACAAAAAACAAAAGATAAAGGACATTCGGGGAGCTTCCTACATAAACTGCAATTTTATCACCATTGCCTTCTATTCATTTTTTGCCGGCTTCTCAGAAATAAAGAATGATAACACAGTACTTATACCATCTGAATACATCATCAGTGCGCTTACGTTTATTTCCGCCGGCATATCCGTTTATCCGGTTCTTACAAATTGTGTATTATGGTATGCAGTGTTTCTGCAATAAATATCTGCCGAACATTTTTTTTTTCTATCACTGATAAAAGAGACACTTGCATTCTATTTTATCAGAGGTGATTTTTCATTTAAAAAAATTCAAAACAGAATTGAAAAGTTTCAGAGCTCACGACGAAATATTCACTAAACAATAAGGAATAACACACATCGCATCGCATAGCTCGCGAATAAGCCTGGGGATGAGGCTACGCCCGCGTTTCATGACCAGCGGGTTTAGAATCAATATGGCGGAAGATGTAGCACAACTTTGAGACTTCAGATCGTAAATTCCTTTTTGTTTGTTTATCTACCATGGAATTATCGAAGGAGCTAGATGAAATTGACACAGAACTTAAAGAAATCCAGACGCAAATTGAAAACCTGCTAGAAAGACAACAGTTTCTTCAGTCTCGGAAAGAGCTCATACAGTCCCTCATATGCGATCGAGGAAATCAGTGCCCTGCTTCTTCATCCCAGGAAAACACAAGTAGACAAGACTGGTCAACAAAAAGCTTCCCTTGGTTTGAAAACGTTGAAAATGCCAGAGAAAAAATCTTCAAGTTGAGAACGTTTCGTTCGCTGCAATTGGAATGTATAAACGCGACAATGGCGGGAAATGATTGTATTTTGATTATGCCAACAGGGGGAGGGAAGAGCCTATGCTTTCAGTTACCCGCTGTGATTTCACCAGGGATAACACTTGTTGTATCTCCGTTAATTTCGTTAATGGAGGACCAAATTATGGCTTTAAAAGAGCTAAAAATTGAAAGCTCTTTTTTAACTCTAACTGCTCCAAAGAAGAAGTGAATGCAGTCCACAACGCCATGCTCGACAAAAAATCCGAGTTAAAACTGTTGTATGTTACACCTGAGAAGATTGCGAAAAGCAAAAGGTTTATGGCAAAACTAGAGAAAACCTTTGAAGGTAAATTTGTGTTAATGATGAGTATATGAGAGTTTTAGTCCAGGCTGCAGTCCATGTAAGTTAAATTCAAGAACTTCAGCCTGAATCTGTGCCTTTTCTGCAGCATTATGCACCAACGAACAATATTTCTCTAGAAAAGCTACCATTTTCCCCTCTCCCAGGGATACATTGGTGGCCAATTCCGAGTCACTGAAATTGGCTTAATTTTTTGATACAGCTTCTTTTATTTGATCAGAAGAAGACTTCTTTCATCAAATGCATTTCTGGAATGTTATGATTTTCACATACATTTCACTTGTTTGAGTTATTGACTTCAGAGCATATCAAAAATAATATGCCACTGTCATTTACTTCGTTCAATGCCTCCACATCAACTTTTTCCATCCAATTTTCTTCAAACTATTGCATAAACACTTTCGAGTCCCTCTCTACCTTAAATAAGGCTTTTGTTTCTTTTATTAAATCTTCTAATGTTCCACACTTTACAATGAATGGCTTTCTTCATTCAAGGTGGTGAAAAAAGACCTAAGAAAAGGATAAATTATGTATTCAAGCTAAGGTCACATACTGAATAATTCAAACCACAAAATATTTTAGCAACAAATTTTCGAAAGATTAGCATAGAAAGAATCGTAGATTTCTTGCGAAAGGTACTTTTACTATGTTATCGAAGGAAGGCTGGCAAAGGGAAATTTGTAAGAAAAGGGGAAAACTGTCTCACCTTTCTCTCACTCAGTTGCCATTTTGGAACATGTACAGCAGTTCATACCCAGTCTTCGCAGAGCAAACACTTGTTCATTTTCAAACTGGGGACAGCTTAGTCGCTGTTACAAATCCAGTAGGTCTTTCGAAGGTTGACCAATACTCCGACAAATTTATGCATGGCATTGTATTGTATTGTCTTTAAATACTGTACAATACTGAACAAAAACATGACAATAGAGAATAAAGCAAAACATTAAGAAATTTAACAAAGCCGTGCATAAGTTTGTCGGAGTATTAGACAAGTATGGGTCATTCCCTGGGGATGCTGCTAAAAAAGTACAAAATCAGTGCAATACCCCCATCCCAGGCTAAAAGTTGCCAACAAATCTCACCAAATCCTGCGCCATGCCCGTGTATGTCCCTGGGTCCCCCCCCCACCCCACCCCCGGGGATGGCCACTGATAAGTGCATTATTCTCCAGGACAGTGCTCTAGCAACATTGTCTAGTCCCTGGAGATTGCCCTGTGGACTTGCTCATCTCTTGGGCAACTAGAAAATCCTAGTTTTTGCATAAAACCATTATGCTCTCACTCATTCGTTTCATAGGTTCAGAGTTTCAAGCTCAACACTTATTTGTCTTAGAGCATATTTTTGAGACTATTTTTGATGTGTGTTTCCCATGAAATGCAAGGAGCTGACAAATCCCCAACTAAACCCTATAAAGTGATACACATAATTTATTGTAATAATTACAAAATGTGTCTCACTTTCAATGTGGAAGAATTATTATTCCACATATTCTTTCCCTATAAAGAATAGATAAGAATTAAATGATATGCAGTTCTTTCAGAGCAGATTGTGGGGCAATATGGAGTTTTTGTGCACAAAGTTTTGAAATTTGTCTTACTAATTTAGGATTTCAAAATGTCTATTTTCTGTCCTTTGATGTTCCTATGATAAATGAAATTAATATTAACCATCACTGAAAAATCTAAAGTGTTATGTATATTGTAAATTTTATTGTTACGTGATGTTCCTAATTTGGACCTTAAATGAATGATAACCACATTAACTTTTTTTTAATTTATGCTGTTTTACTAATTCTTTTGAAGTATAATTAGGAAGTAGATCACAATAATAATGAATATCTCCATCTGCTAGAAATTAGTCTTATCAAGGTGTGATTTGGGTATGAATGTCTTCACCAACTGGAATGTATTTTGACAGGTGGCCGTTTAGCACGAATTGTTATTGATGAAGTTCACTGCACAAGTCAATGGGGTCATGACTTTCGACCTGACTACAAAATTCTTGGAATTCTAAAGCGTCAGTTTCCAGATGTTCCCATCCTTGGACTCACAGCTACAGCCACAACAAAAGTTGTAGATGATGTAAAAAAGATCCTTGGACTTCAAGCTGGTTGTGTAATGTTCAAGGCATCTTTCAATAGACCCAACTTGTTTTATGAGGTTTGGCCTGGATGATTTTTAAATCTGGTTACAAGTTTGTTAATTTTGTCAGTATGATTATGGTAATTTCAGTTTCTGTTGATTAAAGGTGAGACACAAACCATCATCTCATGACAAGTGCATGGATGAAATTCAGGACCTGTTAACTCACAAATTTCCTGGTCAATCAGGTATTCATACTGACTATTATTTTTGTTCTTATTGGCAAAGAAAGAGTTTCTCAATTTTGCCCCAATGATATTTAAAATAAAAGGCAGTCGATGACTGCATGTGGCTGATGCTTTCCTTTTTGTATAATATTGTAGCAAAAATATTCAATTTTGTACAAAACTTCAAATTCCAGGAAAAGTGCTCACATTAGGTATAACTAATAATAATAATAATGATAAACTCACCTCAGCTGAGAATTAAACCCAGAAGGGGACGCTCGGAAGGCATGCAACTATAGCTAAGGTCACACCATGCTCTTCATACTAAATTCACAGTTGACATTTACTTGTCCCCTCTTACCCCATGCAGGTATTGTGTACTGTTTTTCCCGGAAGGACTCGGTGACTATTGCCTCAAGTTTAAAATCCCGTGGGATCAAAGCAGCCTGTTACCATGGTGATCTTGATGGACCTTCTCGCAGTCAAGTGCATAGGGCTTGGACAAACAATTCAATACTGGTACATTAAACTGTATTGATTTTCTTGAGCTTCTATTCATTACATGTCCATTTTTGTCTCTTAAGACCACAGTAGAACTAGCTTAATTGTAGAGCGCTTTATTACAGTGCGGGAGGTTGTAGACTCGTTCACGTTGGCCGAACCAATAGTCAAGGTCTTATAGCTACTGAGAAATGATGGTACTGCCTTTGCCCTGCAAACGGCCAGACCTTCGCGTGACTCGGATGACCACGTAAAATCTCTGTCCCGCCTCCCCTAGGAGACGTTAAAACAGTGTTCTTAATTAGTGCCTTCACGCTAAATACTTTGGCACTAATAAAGTGCGTCTTATGTGGAAACTACACGTGAAGTACAACTGTGTGAGACTTCTTTGTAGCGTAGCTCCATAGCTAAGGAAATGTGGTAATCTACCCATCCGAGAAAATTTGGTAATCACGTGACCGTACACCGACCGTCCGTCCGCACCACAGGCATACCAATGTAAAATAACTCAATTAACAGGTATGGTAACCCAAATGCAACTCAAGGTTTTATCTGGAAGGAAATCACATGGCCGCCCGGACTTTTAGAAAAAAAAAAAACAAAGTCGTGTCTTTTACGGCGTTATTTTTTATGTTTACACTAACGTGGATAACAGAGAAAGAGCTAGAGCGAGTTATTGAAAACAAAGGAGACGAGAAAAACATGGAAATTCAAAGCGGCGGTGAGAAAATGAGAAATGCTAGCGGCAGGCAAGGTGAAAATGAGCGGCAATGAAAAATAAAAGCGAATATGAACACAGGAAACAAAATATTGGGTAAGCACATACGACAATTCGTCCATAAAAATAATGTGTAACTAGGAAGTTTGACGTTTTAGTCGTACCAAACAGCGTTGTAGTCGTGCAAAACAACGGCAAGGAAAAGACAAAAAAGCGTGCTGCACGTGCAAATTTGTTTTTTGCTAATTAGAAGAAAAAGTGTGCTGCGCGTGCAATTTGTTTTTTTGCTAATTAGATCTATTAGTCTTGAAGCCATTTTCATTGTCGTCCCCGTTTAGCATTACACGATTTAATTTTTTTTGTTTACGCGTATTATTAACCAAAGCTTCGCTTTTAGCCCTGGCTAAATTTATATATTAACCCTGAAAAGTTTCATTTAAAGCCGGTTCTTCTTGCGCTTTTGATTATTCCATCTTTTCAGGAATTAATTATAACGTAGGATTTTTCCCTTTTTGTTTTAGGTCGTTGTAGCCACAGTCGCTTTTGGGATGGGCATCGACAAGCCTGATGTCCGCTTTGTAATACACCATTCCCTCAGCAAATCCATGGAGAATTTCTATCAAGAGAGCGGGCGCGCGGGACGAGATGACAACAAGTCTCACTGCATCCTGTTCTATCGGCCATTTGACATCTTTCAGCAAAGCACTATGGTTTTTACGGAACAAACAGGCAAGTGTTTGTTTTCCAGAAAAAATTTTACTGTCATTGGCTTTCGTGTTGTTAACGCGATCATTTAGTGACTTGGATGCGCGCTACTCATTTATCATTCCCAGTCATTGTTCGGTCACAAAATTCAAAGAAGTATCATAAGTGTACATTCGAACCTGTCTTGACCAACGGCTGCCTGTCCATAGAGGCCAGTTGTATTTGTTCCCGCCGCAGATACGGTCCGGCGCTGTAGAGTTAACCGCTCCACAAAGGCTACTTTTCTCGGTCCCCAAGAAGGCTGTTGTGGAGAGTTTGGACTGTATTTCCGAAAACTAAACTAACGATTCTCGTTGATTTCCATTGAAAAAAGAAATATACTCAACTGGCAATTTATGACTGACGTCTTTAGTACAGCCGTTTATGGACTCTTTATATGAAACAACGAAAGAGCCAAAGCTGCAGTCTCTGTTAGAGAAGTACGATGAGACTTAAAGCTTGCGTTTCAATTCTCGTGAAACTACCAGTCGAAAAAGGACAAGTGACTTGAGCAAACGTTTAGATGACCCCGGATCGAAAAATTATGACCCCAAAGTTTAACTCATTTGGAGCCATCCTTAAATTTGTCTTTAAAGGTTATTTGTCCAGAAAGAGTGATAATTGGAAGGTACTTAAATCCACTGGCAATAGATTCATAAAGATTTAAATACGCAATTTGTCTAGAGTCTTGCGTATTGCTAATGCACTCAGAAAACCAATGACGTACACTGTAAGTTTTAATGTGATGCACGCGTGATCTGGGACTAGAATGGACAGTGATCAGTAGTTAACTGTCAACTACAGTTTTTGATTTTACTGCAACAGAAGCATTCAAAACAAAAATCATACAGTGTCTATAAGTTTACTGAAAAGGAAAACAAATCTGGAATTGTAAGGGGATCGACCGGAGTAAGCGGCTATCAACAATTCAGCATATAAGTTCTGGATAATTATTTTTCAACAGTGGAATAAAGGTTAGTATTGTTCAACCGAAGTTAGTTTTTCTAAATTAAGTTATTCTGACTATAAGTATTTAAAATTTTGCCACCAAACATTTTTGACAATTTCATTCGAAGTCTTTCGTGAAACAAAATAAACTGTTTCAGTGAAGTTTATTGATCTCTCTTTGCTCATTTGCAAAACTTTGCTACGGAAGCATGTTTAAATCATGTGTTGTCTGTGGGTAACCGGAACGCTCGGCTCACCATATTTTATTTCCCTGAAAATGGGCCTTTTGTAAGGAAAGTGGAATAGAGGCTACTCTTTCTTGTTGTGAACTAGGAATTCAGGCTGTAATTTTTATTGGCTGACGACGAAGAAATCGTCTTAGGACGTAATTTGAGATATGAGCTGTTCTGTAGGCCAGTTACTGACAGATCATGAGACACGCCCTCAAGAAAAGACAAAAACTGTCCAAGTCGCAACAGATTCCAGCGTTAAAAAATGTTATAGTTACCTTAACATTATTTTAGCTGACCTAGCGAAACTCTCCGCGTGTTTTCCCCGTTATTCTTTTCTTAAGATTTTTCGTCTTGGCCTTTATCGCGTATACATTCATTCACTACGAGGATAAAAAATAATCTATACGTACTATCATGAAGATCTTCTTAAGCTTTACCACGAAACGGTTTTATATAAGCGTTCATTTCGAAGAATGAGCTTAAAGACCCAACAAAATATTGCGCAAATTAAGAAAATAACCGGTTCGTAGTGTAGTAAAATAACTAAGAAAAGAAGTTACTGCCTTTGCTCTGCAATTTGTTAGACCTTCGCGTGGCTCGGATGACCTCGTAAAATGGCGGTCTCGTTTAGTAGGAGACGTAAAACAATGTCCCGAACAGCACTTTCGTGCTAAAGACATTTGACACTCAAAAGAGCGACGGTTTTTTGTTATATTTTAATTTATATTATTGTTTCTTACCATACTTTTCTTGGTTCTCTAACTTTAAGAAAACACGTCACTATTTTTTATTCTTGCAATAGTTTAGCCCACAGTTTTCCACGTTCGTCGTTTCCTTTTTTGCTAATCCGTCTTAGTCGCATCCATCGTAAACCATTCTTGTGTTTTTTCATTTTGTCACACTAATATTTTGAGGTTTTCTTCAATTTCAAGAAAAGAATTTCACATGGTAAAATCTTTTGACTCAAAATATCGTAGCAGAGGTTTTTTAGAGGGGAATTACTTTGCGTATATCGTTGAATCTCAAATCTCTTTTTTAACAGGTTTGGAGAATCTTTATGGAATGATCGCTTACTGTCAAGATGTTAAAACCTGCCGTCGTGTGCTGATTGGACGCCATTTTGGTGAGCGCTGGAACCCAACGGAATGTCATGAAATGTGTGACAATTGTAAAAGGACTGGTGACCAGTCAGATGGTAAGATGTGTCATAATGTTTGAGCTCGTGACATTGTATGTGCTGTAGCGTATGGTGAAATATGTTCAACGTTCATATAAATGTTTTTTGCCTTGATATTGGTTTATCATCGAGCAAGTGTTTTCTTCCCTGTAGTCTATTACTGAAGTTTGTGTCACGCAGAACCAATTTTGCCTTGATATCGGTTCGTAGCGAGTGTTATCTGCCTTGCTATTTAAGAATTATCCCTCGAGCCCAAATAGGCTCTGAGTCAACAGCCCATGAGGCCGAAGATCGAATGGGCTATTGACTCAGAGGCTATGAGGGCGAGAGGAATAATTGTTTTAGTAAAATCCAACTAGTTGGTCAAAAATATCGAGAATAAAAAAATTTTAGCTAGTTAAAGCTGGACTGTAATCCTTTTTTGCCGCCAACAAGCCCGCGCTTTTCGCTACTAGTGGCCTATAACTTATAGCCTGGTAGTAGCTCAACCAATCAGAAGGCAGCATTGATAATAGACCAATAGTTGGATTTTACTAATGAGCTATATTCGTTTATTAGTCAATTATTAGAGTAAAATAATTTTTTGCCGTGCGGTCTAATTTTATACCTGAGAGTGAATAAATCCTACCTTGATGCTCCGGACATCTTCATAGTGGTTTGACAGTCGAGCATAAGAAAAGTTATTTTTACTTGCAGATTTTTTTTTTTGCGTGATGTAAACATGTTCGGTTTCGTTCAGTACCACTGTAACAAAATTTTTCTCCCTTGAGATCGGTTTTTATACCGTGATCAAGTAAGTATATTTTACCGTGATGAAATGTTGCCATCGCACCTTTTCTCTGATTAATCTTGTTGTATCACATGTTTTCGAATTAGCTACAGAACTCAAACGACAAAAGACGAAGTTCCATTTATAAAGCTTTCTTCAGATCGTTTTCAACTTCTTTCTTTCTTTTCATGTATTTAGGTCCAACTTCTTTTAAGCGTCGCAACATAACGAGTTATTGTGCTGATGTTCTTAAAATCCTGGAGCAAGCTGCATCTCTCTCTGAGCGGGTCACAGCTAACAAACTTGTTGATGCTTGGTGCGGCAAAGGACAGCCAAGTCTGCGCGTGCGTGACCTTAAGGCTCCAGATCTGTCGCGCGAGGACTGTGAACGAGTGATAGTAGATTTGTTGTTGGAGGGTGTGTTGCGAGAGGATTTTCACTTTACACCCTATTCTACCATCTCTTACCTCTTGCCTGGTCCTAAAGCGGACCTTGTGCGTGCTGGCAAGCAGTTATACATGGATTTTAGAGAGGATTCAAAACCAGTGAAGGTAAGCCATCGAACTCATGTCGCAAAAAACATTGCCTTTAACAAATCAGCCACTGTTATAGTATGCTGTAAAATTGCTGTTCGTAATCACAACTGCCTTTTTATCAAACCACAACTTGGTCAAAACGTTGTACTTTGAAAAGGACGCCGTAATGCTGCGACGGTGGTTTGCTATAAAAAAAGTGTATTGTAGGAGATTTCAACCCCTATGGTCCGTTAGTCTTTTCTTGGTTTGATACCCCTGGGTACAACAACTACACTTAAGCTTAAAGCTGCCTTGAGAGGGAAAATCGCGTAGAAGTCGCTCTTCGCTAACATATGACCGTCCGATAGATTACCAGCCACCCACTGTATAATATCCTCCAGGCATTATTCCTGGATTTCATTTAATTTTCGTTTGTTTGTCTTTCCAGACCAGCCATAAAAGAACCAAGCGTTCAGTGAATGCGCCATCAAATCTTAAAAGAAGGAAGGAAACTAGCAACAGCAAAAGTGGTAGTGAAGGGGGAACCGACGGTAAGAGTGCTAGAGACTCAATCGATAATCATTCGGAAATTCCCGAAAATGATGACTGCGACGACTTCGTTAGCAGTGCTAAGCGAATAAAGTCTTCAAAACAAATTTACGTCTATGAATCAGAAGATGATGATGAACTAGTGATTCTGGACTGATTCTTGAAGACGTCTTGAAAGGAAGTTCGACTATGCTGCTTCGCTAAAACCCTAACTAGTACACTGTAGGGTCTCTTGAAAGAATATTTTTATTGTCACTATCGTTGTTTACTTAAGACTGATAAAACAATGCTGTGACAAAACTTACAAAAAGCGCCGGTCAAAAATGCGGAATGTTAGTCTGCATTTCTGAAACATCCTAGGAAACGCAAAGATATGCGATTAAGTAAGCGATCTACATACAAAACTCTTATATGTCATAAAGACAAATGAAGCAGATAAATGTGGAGACTTTTATGTAAATGAGGCGCTAAGTTTTCGCGGATCATTACGTAAACGCCAGCATTTGGTCACAGAAGACTGGAACGCGCTATCTCTTCTCAAAGTAGATATCCCTCAAGGCGCGGTCCCTCCAGGTGTATGTTGAAGGGGGACTCATTTTAAAAGGGTGATTGTGATGGGATCTGAAGTCCTTATCCTCTTCTGATACAAATATACCGCAGAGGGGAGATTTTATCTTGAAGTCTTTTCTAAGAAGGCTGGAGTTTTCTGCGCCGTTCATTCTACAAACAATTAGAATACAGCAAAGTAAAACTTGCACTACTTCAAATCGGTGAGGTCTCACAAACATGTTTGTGAGACAGTCTGTTTACCTTCCCTCGCAAGCAATAAGTACTGAGAAACCTGTTTTACACGGTCACCCGTGGACCTTTATTAATGTCCGCTTGATATTGCCTAGTCCTCCGGTGGGCTTCATTATTCTACACGGCCTATGCGTTTTGGGTTACCTGGTTCCATCGAGTTTGTGACGTTAACGTCACCGAAAAATGCATTCACTTGACCAAGAAGGAATGGCAAGACTTTTGAAACTAGGTGTCTGCTTTATATGGGTCTGCTTAACACTAGCCTGTCCACAGATTTGTGAACAGGCTAGGTTAACAAACGTTTTTCTGTATCTCAACTCACCGTCGTGCAACTATCGGTTCCTTCCTTGGCATAACAAATCGCTCCACCCTTTGAACTGTTCCTGTTCGATCCATGTAATGATTACGATGATTCTGTGAAAGCTTAATAAGTTCAAAATGAGAGACCAGTTATTCATGAACTCAAGTAAAAAAGCAGGAAAATAAATACTTAAGTTCGGGATAGTTTAACAGTAAAAGTTGTTAAATCCGGTCGACGTTCCCGCCATATCGGCAAACATAGCTAGGGCGACGGATTGGTAGAAACATGGCAAGTAATTTTGACGTTTGCCCTCTTAACATGGAAATATGGTAACCCCACCCTTCCTGAAAGAATTATTGTTGTTAGCCGTCCGCAGTCCCCCGCCGGCTAGTCCATCTTCTGAGATCGTTTGTGGTGAAATTGTACCGCCTCCTAGCCTTCTCAAAAACGTACCGTCAACCCAGCATCTTAACGGTCTCTGAATACTTCTATTTTCTTGTAAAGATCGAGCGCCAGGCAATTCATTTTATTGTTCAAACCTCAAATATGTATTTAAACTATGCCTGTTCGTATTATCAACTCAGGTGAGTTGCGGCAGCAACAATACCTTGTCAAATTCTTGTACTTCTCTTCCTCTTTGGTGTTCATTGAAAAGATAATATTTTTTAGCATTGCGCCAACGTTCCCTGGTTCTTGCCCTGGCTGACAGAACAAGGTCAGGCATGTTTGAGTAAACTGTGGGAAATCTGTGCTGTCCATCTGCGCTGATTCCTGGATCATGCGTGATGCTGGTACTTAACTTAGCTGTTCGTCTGTCCTGGAAGCATTTGGCTGTGGTGTTACCAAATGTGTCACCATAATACAGGAATTTTGCTCGAGGGCAGTAACCTGCATATCTAAAGAAAACAGAAAAATGTGCTTGCATTAAATTATAGAATCATGAGGCAACTTGATGATAAAAGTGATCAATATTTTGGTAGGGAGCGATCTATCCGGAAAGGTGGATTTAAAAGGCTTGGCAACATAAGAATATTTCTGAACTAAAAATGATGGAAAGGAAAATTATTTTTAGTTCAGGAATCTTGTAATGTTGTATGTTCCGGCAGTAAGGTAGTAACAATTTCAAAAGATTGAAAGGATTAACTTTTTTGTCAGTTATTAGATCTTAATATTCATTACCTTCATAAAGATTTTCCTGTACACAAGTTGCGACATTATTTTTGAAGTACGTGATATCCAAGCTATATTGAGAGACGCCAAAACTGGATGAAACTGCACCGAAGGTTAACCAATTTCGGACCCAAGTAGGTTGTTTCTTACCGACTTTCGAGTATTTTTAAATTATCAGGAGCCCTCAAATTGAATACACTTGAAAAAAATACAAGCTTACCCTGGCATGTGATTAGGGTCTTGGTAAGTTGTAAGATTTGTGGTGTTGTGTGGTGAAAACATCATAACGTGCTACAAAACTAGAACAAAACGTATATATAGCAATGTTTTAAAATTTATCTTCCCTTTATGACGTCATAAATGCTGAGTTAAGCGTCAATAGAAGATATCGGGGATTCAGAGGTGGAATAATAAGTAACAGATGGGAAAATCTAAAGCCAAGGCTAGAACTGTAATGTATGATTTTCAATAAAAGAGTAAAATGAATGATGAAAATAAAAGACTAAAAATTTTTGGAATTACGTCTAATCCCTGGTTGAGGGATATAAGAAGCTTTCTTTGCGCCCTCAGACCGGCTAATCTCTCAATGTGGAGTTTCAGTTTATTTCTATCGTTCACTGCTACTCTAAGTATAACTGTTACCCCGTCTAATAAAACATGTCCAGCCTCAGCCATCAAACCTCATGTCAAGTAGTATTTTAGCGCACACTCGGCGCGTGCGTGATGATTATGCACGCACGAATTGTTGACCTTCATATACAACAGAATGACATAGTACGTTGACACACGGCTCAACATTTGTTGTACAATATCATCCCTTGTCGTTTCCTGACCATCTTATGTACCTAGCACTATGTGAAACCATATGCCACTCCCGAGCGAACGACTGCCTTGCCCTGATATTCTGCACCCGGAAGGAACTGGGAACGTCTGTTCTTGTCTCCGGCCCAGTCTTGGCCGAGAGACAAGGCGGTTGTTTTCGAATGCTCCAATGTTGCAATCTGTTTGTCGGCACTCGTATGCACTCTGCAAGTCGAAATAAGTCCTTACAACAGGGAAACGTCTTGTCGTCTGCCATGGTGAATTGTACCTAATCCTTATTCACGTCGATTAAGTTTTCAAGACCGCATAGGAACAAATTAAACCGTGGTCGTAATCCCGAGATCGTAATCTGGCAACAAGATGGCCGCAAAAGAAGATGGCGATGAATTGCGAATTGGTGATTTGTCATTCTACGACCCGTACGGGTTTGCTGTTTACAAACCAGGTTCAGAACTTGCAGATGAAGATTGTAGAAGTCATGAATATAGGTAAGTAAATAATACAAAATTATTAAGGATATAGATATAAATTTGCAACAGTGTACAAGTCATACTTTGATATGTATACATACATGTGTTATCTTTTTATGCCAAGGAGTCGTTACATCTTTTTATCTTTTTATGCCAAGGAGTCGTTAAGCGCAAGCTACGTGAACTTTTCATTCAAAAACTCAATTCCGTTGCCCATCTCGAAGAACTTGGCTGTTTTGCATGCCGTTTCCTGCTTTACTGCAATTGCTATTTCTCCTAATCGTCCAAGTTTGCTGCGATATATTGTTTGTAACTATGTTAATTAAACTTTTATATTGTGTTAATTTTAATTTCATTTTAAATGTTACATTCAATTAATTATTGTATGTGTGTATTTTTGAAATTTATTTGTATATATTTCTTTTAGTTTTAGAGGGCCATGTGTTAGAAAACTCTTAACTGGGTTAATCATGTATATCTACCCTCTCAAAATAAAGAACATTGTATTGTATTGTATTGTATTGTTACCTTACACTAAAGGCTACTAAACAAGTAAACTTTTTGTCTACTTATTAGTCCACTCCGGCTCCTTAGATCCATTTTTAAAATGTCTAGGATTGCAGAAGATGTTATTGTTCACTGAGAAACCAAACCTCTGGTGCTCGTGTATTAATCTAGAGTCATATTACGTAAATCTTAGGCCCGTTTCAAACGTCGTGCTACTGCCGTGCCGAACTCAATTGATCGAATTAAATTCAACTTTAACATGGTCTCTATTCTACTGAATTAAATTCGACGTCTGAATCCATGTCGTGCTAGTGTCTTGCTGCAGTGACTGCAGTCAAGCGACAGTCGAGCCAGCTTAGCACAGCAATAGCACAACGTTTGAAACAGGCCTCAATTAACTCTTAAAATTAAAGGGAACAAAAAACTTAGATATTACATTGTGTAAATTTCCTGTGGGGTTTGTGGGCATGTTGTGGTTCAATGTTTTCTTTGATTCAACACATTACCAACCAGTCTAGTCTCAGATTCTGTGAATAGTCAATGTTCTGAGCCAAAAGTTAGATAAAACTGAACTGGCAGGGTTGTCAGAAAGTTTTGAAGTAGACGGCTGAGTTGTCAAAGTAAGCGGCCAGTTTTCAAAATTTTCAGACTAAGGAATATTTTGAGCACTCCTTGCCCATGAACAGGGTTTCTGTTTGAGACAAGAGGGCTAAAAATCAGGTGGAGATGGTGAGGGAACAAAATAATGTAAGTAGGGGAATGGGGGAGAACTATTCTGCCCTTTTCCCCTTCGGAGTTAGCCCTCGCTCGCCAATTTTTTCCCCTCTTTCCCCACCAAGGAACCTACATGTAGTTCCAGGCTAAACCACACCAAATGTACACCAGTGCTGGATCCAGACCTTGAGATGGGGGGAAGGGGGGGATGGTCAGCCAAACCCTTAGATAAGGGGGTGCCCGGTCTCCAAAAAAATTTTTCCAGTTTGATCCAAAAGTAAGGGAGGGGGGCCCATTTGTGCCCCTCCTCTGGATCTACCTCTGTACACAGTGAAAGCTCTCTTAAGTGGGTTAGACACCCATGGGGTATTGTTAGTACCTGCTAAATACAGGGCTTGTTTTGGATAAAGTGGAAATGTTTGAAACAAGCTGAGCTATTTGCATGCTTAATGCAAGGTATCTGCTTAACATTGCATCCCCTTCATACTAGTCTCACATTTTACTCCACATTAATTTTTGTTATTATTAAAATTTACAAATGATAATGGTAAATTAATTTTGATGCTTGGGCATGCATTCTCTTACTTGCTTTTTCAACTGTTTGTTAATTAAACATCTCCTATTTAGCTTTAATTCAGACAATGACTGTTCCAAAGCAAAGGAATATTGGATCAAAACTATCAAAAACTGGGAGGAACGTCAAATTTTCTCCCCCAAGCAGGTAAAAATGTTCACATTTAATTCTGTAAATACAAGTCCTCCTGAAATCTTAAACCAAAAAGCATCACATAGTAGGCCAGCCTCTGCTTATATGCCCTGGCCAATGTAAATTGTTTGTTTTTGTTTTTCCATTTTTGTAGCTGCGACGGTACATCAAACAGGGTATTCCTGTTGACATGAGAGGAAAAGTTTGGAATAAAATGATTGGCAGTCAGGCTATCAGGGTTATCTCTGCATTTGATTATCAGGTAAATATTTGAATTAATCAACAATAATTTATTATTTTAATCACAATGTAATTTAATTAAACATTACAGTCATGGTATCCAGGTACCAGCAGTTATTCTGCTCATACATTGCAATAATTTTTAGTTTCTTCAATCTATTTGAAATTTGCTTTGTATCTTTTTTCATTATATGAAATATCAATGATATATGAGTTCTGAATATTAATTATTAATATTAATGCATTCAACAACTTTTTGTGTGAATTCGATTGGAATTCTCTAATTTATGCTAATGCTAACTCGCTTACAATGGGTTCCTACAAAAATATACTGAATTTTATGACAAGAGTTTTCCAATAAAGTTTCGTCAAGGGAAAAACCTAAAAACTCTGCATAATCCATTGCTTACAACTGGAATCTTGAAATCAATTAAAGCAAAGTCTAGACTGTATAAATTATTCTTCAGGAAACCAAGTCATGAGCGTGAATCCAACTACAAGTCATTTAGAAATAAGCTAACCTGTCTTGTCCGTATCGCCAGGAAAAATTTTTATGACAACAAATTGGATAAGGCTAGATCAAACTTAAAGCAAACATGGAAAATTCTTAATGAAGTGATTAACAGGCGTGTCGCTAAATCACCGTATCCTGCAAGCTTCACCAAAAATGAAATGGAAATTAGCAATCCTACTGACATTGCCAATAATTTCTGTGATTACTTAACCAATATAGGGCCAAATTTGGCGAGCAAAATTCCTGCCACAAATTCATCACCCAAGGATTTCTTGAGCAGCTCTCTTTCTGAATCCATTTCATTGCAACCACTAACGACCGGTGAATTAAACAATATTGTTAAATTGTTCAACGCCAGCAAAGCTCCTGGACATGATAATATATCCACGAGGATAATTCATCAGTCTTTCCAAAATATTGCGCAGCCTCTTGTAACCATTATAAACACTTCGTTGTCTACTGGTGTGTTTCCTGAATCTCTCAAAATAGCCAAAGTGATTCCAGTTTTTAAGGCAGATGACCCAACACTTTTTAGTAATTACAGGCCAATATCAATTCTTCCAGCCTTTCCTAAACTCTTTGAAAAGGTCATGTACAACCGACTGATTAATTTCTTAAATTTGCATATTATCTTATACTCGAAACAATTTGGATTCCGTAATAATTATTCTTCTGCATTAGCATTAATTGACTTGATCAACAACATATCTTCAGCTATCGACAGAAATGAAACAACTTTAGGCATCTTCTTAGATCTTTCTAAGGCGTTTGATACTAGTAATCATGAAATATTGTGTCAAAAACAGCAACACTATGGTATTCGGGATACTGCTTTGACGTGGATCAAAAGCTATCTTGATGATTGGACTCAATTTGTCCAGTTTGGATCCCATCGATCTTATCTGTGGAAAATTTTATGTGGCGTCTGCAGGGCTCAATTCTTGGACCTCTTTTGTTTATTATTTACATTAATGATCTTCCTAATGTCTCTAGTCTCACTCAATCCTTACTGTTTGCTGATGACACAACCATCTTTTGTTCCCATAAAGATGCCAACCACCTCGTTTCTATTGTTAACAATGAACTTGCAAAAATATTTAATGTCCCTCTTACTCTGGAAAATACTATGATCAAGCAAGTCACGGAGACAAAATTTTTAGGTGTTCTTATTGATCAGCATCTCTCTTGGAAACCACATATTGATTTCGTCTCAAAAAAAAATTTCGAAAAGTGTGGGAATTATTGCGAAAGCCCGCTTTTACCTATCATCCCAAACTTTGATGACCTTGTATTACTCCCTTGTATATCCTTTCTTAACATACTGTGATGTAGCCTGGTCCTCCACCTGCTGTTCCAACCTAAACTGTATTTACCTTTTGCAAAAGCGTCTAGTGCGGCTCATAACAAAAGCTCACTATCTAGCAAATACCGCCCCTTTATTTAGCCAGCTTAAAGTCCTTGACATATTTAATATTAATTCATTTTCTGTCGCTACCTTTGTGTATTCTTATCACCATAATCTTTTGCTTAGTAGCTTTCATGACTTGTTCTTAAGTAGTAATCAAGTCCATCAATACGAAACTCAACTAGCCTCTCAGTATAGACCTCATTTTTGTAGAACAAATATAAAGCAATTCAGTATCCTTTACCGAGGACCTAAAATCTGGAATTCGTTGCCTGTTTCACTAATTAGCTCTCCTTCTATATTTGTTTTTTAAAAAAAATTAAAGAATTATCTCACTGACAGCCGATCTGTTGGTTAAGTTTCTGATCTTGTTCACTCTGCACTCAGCCATGAAGTTAGTTCATTAGGCAGTTGAAGGAAGCCTATTAATATAAGCTTCAAGCTTCATTAGTCTTCCTTGTCACATTAATTTTATAATTTAATTAACAACTTCTATTAATGTTGTATAAGGTTTTGTGAGTGACTAAATAAATAAATAAATAAATACAATAAATACAATAAAATAAAAAATTGCCACTACCCTGAGACAACTTTAATTTAGTTTGCTTCATTTTTTTTTCTTTGTCCAGATTACTTTAGCTGAGATCCGTCAACTCCTTGTTGACTTAGGAGTTAGTGAATATGGAGGGGTGAACTGTATTTCAAGATTGGGACAGATTGTTGGTGAGACTACTGCTAGAACTAGAGATTAGAACTAATTACATCTTGCTGTTCACTCAAAGTTGATCAGCAACTAGATATTTAACAGTGTGTCTACAAAAGACATACTGTTTGTTTGATTAAGCTCCCAGCCTCGAATTAGTACCCACCTCGAGTAAGCACCCATCCTGTAGGGAGGAAGGTTAATAAGCACACAGCCTCAAATAAGTGCCACCCCCACCTACCACTCTCCCCCTTAAGAAAAAACTGAAGTGGACAAGGAGAGTACAGGTTATTATTTCTTTACTGCCTTATTTGCCTTATCATCGACTGACACATTTGCAGACATTAGGTTGTAAGACATCTATAAGGCAACACCAGATAGTTTGCTTATTGACCTTCCTGATAATGAGATAGAAATCAACTAAGAGACTTCACAGACAAACTTCCAGTAAACAGTTATAATTCTGCTCTGGCACATCTTCACGTTTTGTTATTATTTTACTCTCTTTTTTTTTTGGAAAATTAACTTACTACAAGTTGCTGTAAATAATGAAAGCGCCCAACCTCGAATAAGCACCCACCTTGATTAAGTGCTCCCTTTCAAGGCCCAAAAATTTAATAAAGTGCTGAGGGCGCCTAATCAAATAAATACAGCACAATAGTTGCACTTGTGTGACTTCCAAAATTATGCTACTTATACGTAAAACATGTTCTGACAGGAAAGACAAGGAACAACAGCTGGCTGCAATCAAATCAAACATGGGCTTTAAAGCAAATTATAAAATTACATTGCTTTCTTTCCTCCCTTTGCAATTTGGTTTTCAAACTTTATGCAAATTCACTAATTAGAAAAAAATGATAAATTTTATAACACATTTTGGAGCTGGCTTAAGTCAGATTGGTGATCTACATGTTTACAAGTAGTGTTCTCGCAGATCAAAGAAGAATGTTTGTGTTATGAATGCATTAGTTACAGAACAGTTATAACTGCACATGTATACATTTTTATTTAAACCTGGTAGTAAAAAGAAGACTGTTTTAAAATAATTGAACTATAAAAATTCTGCTGTTTTTGCAATAAGCAAATTATGCAATAGCAGATGACTCACCTGTTCGTTTGGATTGTAGGGTCACTGATTGAAAACAATAAAGAAAATATGATTGACAGCCCTGATACACTGATAATGACCAGGCAATGGAAAAGAAAACTTCATAAGCAGATCACTGTCTTCAGGCAGATCATGTTGGATGTTGGTAAGTAGAAATCATGCTGCCTTAATAGTACAATAATTAGGTTGATGCCAGCTTGATACATGTAGGACCACATTTTATTAGTTACTGGTGCCTATGCTGTAATTTATAACAACTAATAATTTTATTTCTATAATCTTATATCCTGAGCTCATGGTGCAATATATGGTTACTTGCTACATGTTTATAAACTTAATAACTAGAACTTTGTGATGCAATTCTTCAGCTGTTTTATCTTTCTTTTGGTAAATACTATCAAAGTGAACCAATAGAGCTTCCTTTCTACCTTTTCAGTCCAAGTAACTAGTTGAAAATGCCCATTACTTTTGGCTGTTTTTTAAGATTACCTACTAGGTATGTTGGAAAACTGCCAAAAGTACTTGTAAAAAATGTCTGGACTTACAATGTACATAAGAGAACACAGTATCATGTTGGCAGTGTCTTCTGACGCTGTATGTCCTCCCCCATAGTGTATATATTTTTTAAGGTATACCGTAAAATTCCGAAAATTAGCCCCGTGGCTAATTTTTTTCAAAGACTCTTTTTGAGGTGCTTATATTCAGAGAGGCTTATCTACGGAGGGAAATTTGCGTTTCGAAATCGATTGGGCTAGCCTTATAGTTGGAAGTAAATTTACTGTTTTTTCTTTGTTTTACTTTGTATTTGAGGGCAATTTTCCAAGCACAAGTCCCCTGGGGGCAATTTAACAGCAGGTTTTTTGCGTTACGAGTTTGGGGGGCTTTATACACTATATTTGGGGGGGCTAATTTTTTGGAATTTTTTGGTACCCAGTACATGTACATGTACATGTATATGTGCCAACAGTGGAGTACAGTTACGGTTACAGTACAGTGCGGTACAATACAGAACCTCTTTTTCCAGACAGGTCTTTTCCAAGACACAAAATGTTTATACAAGGGACCTGTGAAGGAAAGGAAGGCCGAGCCGCTCTGTTTAGGGTCCTTGCAGTTTATGCTTTGTATAATCCTGAAGTATCATATTGCCAAGGTAATCCTACTCATGCACCCGTAGTTTTTTTTTTTGTGTTTGTCATCACAAGTCCGGTGATGCTTAATGGGTTGTGTATGACTTATCGCTCAAGTATACTGGAAGAATTTCATTATTTTGACAGTAAAAAAAATTAAACAATGTGTCCTGAATAGAAGACTGCAGCAACATGTGTTGTGACATAAGCATTGTCAAAGACACGTTTTATCACTGTGTCTACATGATAAAAGCTGCATTTCAACAAAAGAGTCTCTATCCATTTTGGACCCTCAAGGAACTTTACTTAAATGCATTTATGTGATTTCCTGAACTTCCTTTAGATCCAGACAGAAGGTCAATGTACATAATAATGAACATCTCTTTTTCTTTCTTTAGGAATGTCCTATATTGCAGGAATGTTTCTTATGAATATGGAAGAAGAGGTACTGTACATTTCAATAATTGTCCAAAAAAAAAAAAAGAAAACTAAAAGTAAACCATAAAGATGCACGGCATGTATTTTAAAAGACAGGTGTGAAAAGCAAAACGCGTAGTACAGTACACTCCCAGGTTACAGACTTGAATCAAACCCTTGTTTGGTAGAATACGGGCTTCTTGGGTTCAATACTGTATGTCCCCTGCTTTTTTCAAGCAGCACGGTGGGCTCCTATAATATTGATAAGGGAAGATGAACAGGGCAAGGTCATCGGCTTAAAGGAGCTTTTTCACTCAATTTAGTCCAATTTTAGCTAGATTGCTTAGCGAGCATTAATTTGGCAAAACTAAGAAAGTTAGTAGAATGGTGGCATTTGCCTTCCTGAAGTAATATTTGCAGTGAGGCTAAGGAGGAAATAGATCCGACCATATGCTATTAATAATGGTTTGGTAACATTGGTAACATGTAGTAAACAGTTTTAGGAAAAGCTTGTTACTAATCTTATAGATGAACCTTGCTAATCGTATTAAGTAAAAACATCTGTTATGGTTGTTATACTCCAGATAAAACAGTCGAGCTTTATAATTTGTCTTGTTTTCCGTTTTCAGGATGCTTTCTGGTGCTTAGTGTCTATTTTAGAACGACCAAAGTATTTAGCTGGTTATTTTAGCGACTCTCTTGACAAGTAAGTTGAATAAATACAAAATTTTATGCCCATAGGAGTGAGCCACCACACTTGTTACTGCACAATGAACAATTCTAATTCTTTACTGCTATATTTTCATTGCAGAATTCAAAGACACGCTGCAGTCTTTGAGAGACTGATGAGACAAAGACGAAGTAAGCTTTATAAACACTTGGTAAGTGGCAAGTACAACATATGAAGGAGAAAATACCTATAATCCCCACCACCACCACCCATCTCCTCAACCCCACCCTCACTCCAAAAAGCCGCGAAAGTTACTCAAGATTATTCGTAGACTTTGTCTTTTCTGCCTGATTAGGAAGCGTTGGGTGTATCTCCTTTGATGTTTTTGACTCCATGGTTCATGGCTCTGTTTACTTCCCTTCCCTGCTGGGATGCTGTGCTCATTATGTGGGATCTCCTTTTACTGGACGGTAAGCGGCTCCAACAGAGATGCCACTATCCCTAGTTTTACCTCAAAGGTGCCATTTTTGCACTCGTTGAGTACCTCTAAGTAACCCTCTTCCTCAAGGGGGCAGGGAGGATCTTAAACTTCTGAGTTAATAACCTAATGCATAACCTTTCAACGATAAGAAAGATGTCGATTTATTCTCCGGCCAAGGTGGGAACAAGCCATAATCGTTTTTGAGTCTATAAAATTTATAAAACGAAATGAATCAAACTATTCTCTGAGGGACTCGGTAAACAAACTTTTTGTCCCCTTTTCAAAAACTAACTACATAAATATAGTTTTAGTTACAGTGGCGCAACCCTTTGGAACAGCTTACCCTGTAACATTAGAGAGTCTGGTTCATTAAATCAATTTAAACGCCTATCTCTAAACACGGCATTCATGGAAATCAGGTTTTTAAGTGGCATAATTTTATTGTTGTTAGTTAATGTAACGTTAGGATTAGGATTTTTAGGTTTTAGGATGTTAGTCATTGTATTGGAATTTATTGTACCTGATGAATTTTTTTACCGTGTATAAATAATGATTAAAGATTAAAGTCATTTTCCCGAATGACACGTGAACACAACCGAAGCTGAAAACCTCAACGGACGTTCCATTTCTCCCCTCCTCATTCTTAGTCGCTAAGTCCAAGGCACTTTTAAACAGTTTTCACGGAATAGTTTTTTATTCTTGCCACCATTTATCATAAACTTTCTGTTAAACAAATGCTTCTTTTTGATGGTTAAATAGAACCTAATCCACCTGTGACACTGCATCTGATTTGGTCCACAGGCATGTCAGTGATCTTCCAAGTGGCGCTGGCTTTACTTGATGCCCTTTCAGGTATGGGTTTTCCTTTGCAAAAGAGTTAAGATTTGGCCAAACATAGAGTCGACTAATCGAAGTCGTGTACAAAACTGATAAATCGTTTTTAAAAATAAACCCACGGTCGATTAGATTCCCCTTCTTACTGGAATACTTCGCGAAAGTGACTCTCTTTCTCTACCTTATTGATCATTAAGGCAAGGTAAAAGGTTTGTTTATCGTGGAACTGTCCTTAGCCTGCGTTGCGGGCGTTAAAGGGAAAGGGGGAATTTTGGGCGCGCCCTAATTCCCTTTCCCTTCCTTCGCGAACCCCTGCCACGCAGTCTAAACTGCCCTTAGCTTTTCCAGCGCAGTTACAGGCACTCCACTCCACTCCACTCCACTTCACTCCACTCAAATAATTAGAAACAAATAATCGAAATATAATATAACAGGATTTAACGTTCCAGTTGGCAGGAGGCAAGCAATTGGCTATTTACAAGCGTGACCGAGGATTTGAACTCGGGGAGACTGCGAACAAAACCAGCAAGTGCTAATTAGTAAGTGATGGAAGTGGATCCGGCTTGGACCCCGAACTACCGAATTCCGACCACTAGGCCGCGCCGCCCCCCCAGCCTCCTTACAAAATTTTCTTTGGTTTTCGGATTTTTCCAAACGGTCGTGCTTATTTATTTTTGTGGGTCATAAAATAATGGTTGGGAAGTTGTTGAAAATTCCTGCTTTCTAAAATTTTTGTTTTCTTTTTCATTTCCAGCCGAGATTCTTCCACTAAAGGAAATTGCGCACGTTTTACCAGTATTACTTCGTCCCCCTGCAAAGCTGTAAGTTATAGTCAGCAAAGTGGGTGGATGATGGGTTAATAAGTAGCGGTGCAGGAATCGTACTGTACTTCATGTAGTATGTATTAAAATACTCGATGAAGAAAAACCTTATCGCGCTGTCATTTAATTTTTTCAATTATTGTTTTCTCCAGTGTAACGCGTGAAGCCCTTGTTCAGGCCATTTGGAAAGTAAAACCGATTCAGAAGTGGGAAATAGAATCTATTCAAGCCGTGCTTGATGAAGAAAAAGAAGAACAAGGTGAGGGAAAGATAAATCTGTTAACCTTTATCGTAGATTGCAAGAAGTCAAAGTAGCACACTTTTTAACTCTCCTCAGCTAAAAAGAACAAACGACGTTTGAATGATCAAAATGAGGACCAAAGAAGAAAAAGACAGCGAACAATGAGCAACCAACTCCAGCAAGGTACATGTAACCAATAAGATCAGTTGTCAGAAGACCCTTCTCCTTACACCTTACTTGCAGGCAGTCATGAAAGTGATAATGCAAAGTTTAATTCTCAACATTTTTTTTTTCACAGAAAACACTGAGCCATCTTTATTTCAGCGCGTCGTTGGACTATTTTCTTCCAAACAAGAATCCGAAATTCAGTTTTCAACCAATGACATTGAAATGACAACTTTTAAAGTTGTCACCGGTCAGAGCCCTAATATGCTGCCCACGATGTGCTGCTCAGCAGCAAACAGCCTTTTAAACACACCACGTCGGAGAGGTTTGTACAGTACAGCGTTATGGTCGCCTGTGCGAAAGCAGCGTCAGCATTCTGTTCATAAAAAATGCTCCAAAAAGCTAATTTTTCCATCAAAAGATATCATTCTTTCACGCTGTATACCCTCGCTTACTAGCAAACCGATTATAGTTGTACTGACAGAAGTAGATAATCGGACAAACTATATACTATTCAATAGCAGCACCACATGTGAAGCTGGATTTCCATTGTCGCGTTAATAAAACTAGTATAGAGGCAATGTATTCCGGGAAGGTCGGGCGTAAACGTAAAAGTTGATCCTCGCTCAACTGTTAACGTTTACTCGCGTACGCACATAAAAATTACGCGACAGTAGAAATCCACCCTCAGTCAGTGAAAATTATTGGATGAAAAGGATTCCTCTGGTTGCAGTCAGATTATACTGGGTTGGGACTTGGCTGTCCTTGGATTTTTTTTATTTCCAATAGCCCAAGTTCGATATTTTAAAATTCTAACATGACTCCGAGGCTTTAGGAACAAAATTGCAAATCATTCACGATTCCATTGTCTCGCATGTCCGAGACGAGACTTAAACACAAAGAAAACCAAACCAATTATAGAAAAATGACTCGTGTAAGAATTTTAATACATCGAACGTGGGCTTTTTGTTCAACATGTAGTCCTATTACAGTAGCGGATCCAGACATTCAGATAAGGGGGGTGGGGTCCGGTCATCCAGACCCTGAGATAAGGCGGGGGGGGGGGCAGTCTCAAAAAATATATGGTATAAAAATAAGGGGAGGCGGACCTTCCCTGGATCCGCCACTGTATTATATATACTTGTATCAGTACAGACAGTAAGTAGTCAGTCCGGTGTGTTGTTACTGTATGACAGGTAGCCCTGGTAGAAGACCCTTCAGCCGGAACAGACGTCACCGTAATTCTCCTTCTCGACGAGGGTCTAACAATGAAAAAGATCTATTAAAAAGGCGTCACGTGGTGCACAAGAGAATCGTGAGTAGTCCCGTTCGGAGAAGTCGGCGATTGGCGGGACGACGAAGACCCGTGGGGGTAGGAGTAAGTAACGATGCGCATCACTAATTACGGGTAATTACCACAGGCGCCTGTGATCACTAGATGAGGTAGCACGTGAAGTGCATATAGAGTAAATATTGTGTTTTCAGATTGGCGAAAAAGCCGTGGGGAAACACAATTTTGTGTTTTAACTGTGAACGGGATTCAGAGGTTTTAAATACTTACAGTGACAGTAATAACGGTGATAAAACTGATACTTAAACTTAATTTGGGGTTGAAGAAGAATACTATAATAGGAATAAGGAACATTTTCAAGGTGGAATAGTGAAATAATGCCCTGGTATGGGGTTGGAATAGAAGAATGACGAAAATTGGAGTTGAAACAAAAGAAAGATGCCCTTTTTAGGCGAGTGAATTTTGAGACAATTTTGAAATATCACGAGTGGTACTTATGCCAAATATCACGTACGAATCATGCTATCATTTGTTTATACTACTGCCCACAAAAGGTTTGTAATGTTCACATCTATTTCAAATTAAGCTGAAATACCACTGCTCTAAGCCAATCGAATTGTAGAAATTTCTCATGTGGTAGTATAAAAACTGTAATTCAAGATTATTTTCATTCAAACAAGATCTATTTCTTATTTTATTTCTTTGATATTTCTCCAGGTTACAGGCCAATCTCCTAAGAGTTTAGTGAGAAGGTAAGTAGTGTTTAAACAGTGCATTAACACATTTCCTCACTGAAAGGAATCATTAACTTGTTCTGTTCTGAAATTCTTCAGATTTTATATTTTTAGTGACTCTATTATCTTCTTACCAAGTTTTCCTTGTCATATTCTATAGTTCTGCCAGGAATCACCACGCCTTCAAGCTGTTTAACACTCCTACACCCTTGAGAGGCTCCCAGGTGGGTCTTACAACTTTACATCGTTTTGCTTGACTTTAGCCTGCGACTACAGCCGTCTCTTCTCGTTGCCTGACGCGCCGTTAGGGACGTTTGGGACGTCTCTAGCGGCGAGGAGCGTTGAAGGACGGCTAGCATGACCTGTTGTGCTACATTTTCTATAAACAAGGGTGAGTGCGGCCTTCCGCGTACGACGCATGACAGACTGAAAGTCAATTTACCTTTGTGACTGTTTTAAAACCAAATTCTTGTGTTTCTCATCCCGCTCCCAGCATGCATAAAAGGCGTTATTTCGCCAAGTACGTTATCTGATGCTTTGTATTGGGCTAAGTAACGCATGTGAGGTGGGACCCCCCGCCCAACACAACCTCTCTGTATCACGCAATGTTACCTTCTCGAGACTAGCCCGTGGCGTTATTTGGCAGAGAGAGCAGAGTCGCTTTGATCTTTCGTAAGGTTGAAGGAACTCTGCTAGCCGGGTGAGGAGAGGATCAGTGGACGCCGTTTCAGCACCTCAACTTTTTCAGAAACCTTTCTAGTCATGGTTGAAACCAGAAATACATAGTTAAACTTCAGTCCCAAAATTTCCAGTCTAACATCGACAAGTTTTCCTTAGGTTCGACCTCTTCGTCACCAGTCTCCATCATCAAGTGTGCCTGATCCGTCGCCAATGTCAGTCACGTGCCCTGGCACCTCGATGTCCCCGGATATGGAAATGATTTCACTTGGACCCGCGGAGAAGAAACTAGACTTTACCGAGAGTTGATTGGTTGACGGTTACGTGATATTGTGACAGCTAATGCAGAGTGGCGGCTATTATCAAAAACATGTCAGCTCTTTTCATCTTTTTTCTTCAATGGCACATAGACTAGCTTAGCCTGCGTCACAGACGTAATCTAAGTTCCGTCTGTGTACCAGCTGTGCATGTGTTTTCTTCTTCTTACCGTAGACGGCAATGTCATCGGGATTGTACTGGAGTTCGGTTAAAAAAAATCATATTTATGCACTAGGGGCCGTTCATTATTTATGGGAGGGGTAGGTAAGAAATCAACTAATTTTTCTTTTTATTATATACACCTGGATTTTTGAAAACCTAGACTACGAGTAGTCCCCCATTTTTCCTCAGGGGTAGTAGAGCGAGCGAAACGCGAGCGCGCGTGAAAATCACCCCATGTCGCCTTTTCTCGCGTGGGGTGATTTTCACGCGCGCTCGCGTTTCGCTCGCTCTACTATCCCTGAGGAAAAATGGGGGACTACTCGTAGTCTATTGAAAACCGGGTTAGCAAAAAAATCAACTCATTCTACTTCTTGGCAATTGAAAAGCCTTTATCTGACGCCGGGCAGTAAGTTATTGGTTACTAGAAGCATTTCAGTGAGTCCAAATTTAAAATGACGCAAATTTAAGAACATTTATTTAGTAATCCGACTCTGTGAAGTTTTAAACTGGTGTCATTTCAGTCTAGAAATTTTAAAGTTGAGTGAACTGCAGCGAAAACGTGCCTGGTTAAGGCTTACATAACGCCTTAAATAGTTAGCAAAACACTACTTTTTTCGCGGTCCGACAAACGACAGGCTGAATGAAACGTAGTACACAACTTATCACCTTAATCTGCAAAAACCGGCCTTTCGGCTCAAAGCCATTAGAGCCCGCTGAAACTAGACCCAGATCCAATTTTCCTGGGTCGAGAGTTGCTTTTCCAAGGTACAATCAGGAAACCTAAACACCGAAAAAACGTTTTTATGGCTGGCACAAAATATTTTGGCGAAACAGCTGAACCACGCGACCACATACCTGGCAACACCATGCGAAAATCACACAATCACACACTTTCGCGGCACTGATAGACTATCAACAACCACGCGTAATCTTCTGACTTAACACAAGCGAAATGTTGGCAGAGAAACACCTGTGAACTTTTCTCTTACACTCGTCTTATTTGAGTTTCCGGATGCACAATCAGACCAGTCTTATTTGAGTTTCCGGGGGCGGTGTATAATCACACGGTCGGCAGACCAACGCCTACTGGCATATGAAGGTGGCTCGATACTGTAACAGTTTTTCACCTTGTTTTCATAACTACGTCGCCATAAAAAAAAACCATAGTTTTATTAGATATAGATGAAAATTTATCATAGGGTTTTAATGACATCGGAGTTGTCATAGCAACGAAATGACGCCATTGTTCGCCTGGCTCAAAGTTCATGTTCGTGAAGTTAAAACAGAATCTATAAAAGAGTTATCAGGGATATTTTGGGATGCCATGTTTGCTCTTTTGACGTGTAATTTCACCTCGTAGTAGCTTCAATCTTTTTAAAACGTGTCATGGCCGTTCCCCAGAGAGAAGGATTCCATTTCATCAGTATGTATCCTTTTGTAAACATTTCGGTCTAATTCATGTGACTCCCAAGAGCCTGTTCCCGAGGCCAAAGACTTAGTGGTCACCTTAGAAAAGTGAACAATACCGTATCTTTCTGTCTCAGCCCGGATCAGTGTGATTGATCCGTTTAACCAAATAAAACGAGAATACAATACGATATTGGACGATGCAGACTCTGCGAATCGTATAACTTTGTCCCATCTCAGAGCTTTACATGATGCTCTCCGGCAAACGTTTCTGAAGGTGACCAATAACGAAATGTTAACTGCTAAACGGCGCCGAAGCAAGCTTTAGGCGCGCCCTAATTTCAAATAACTGTCACTTGTGTTGAATAAAGAATTGTGGGTAGGATCCCAAAAAAAAGGGAGGGAGTGAAGGGGGCGGGGTGTAGATAGAAATTCGCGAAATTCTGTCTACAGCCACTTCTACACAAATGTCTAACCACAAAACGAACAAAAAAAAGACACAAGCAAACAACTCAGTAAAGAAGCTATTAGACAGGGGAAGTTGAGAGAAATTACAAAATGTTTGCTAACCCAGTTTTCATAACTCCAGGTAGATATATGTAGGCCAAGAGCCGATGTCCGCCACATGGTAAAATATACTAGATTTTTCTTTTCAGCCCCTCCTGTTCTATTAAGGATAAATTTTATGAAAGTGAACCCCAAAAAACAGTGTTGATAATTTTGTGGCTTGTTAGCGTGTCATCGACCTCAACCCCCCCCCCTCCCCCATAAGTTCATGTAATGAAAACCCCCAAAAATAAAATATTGTCAATAAGTCAATAAAATCCATTTCATCCATAAATTGAAAACGGATATTGACTGTGACCAGAAATAAGCCAAAAATATGACTCCTAAGATTTTAACAAGTATTGGGGCATACTGGGTACTAAGAAGGGAAACAATCAAAACCTAAACTTTCAACTCGTATCTACGTCACGTGATAGGTCAATAGGTATCAAGCCACTCCAAAAAACCTTAAATACGATACAAGTTCATTCTAGCATTCTTTGCTTTGGTCGCATGGTCCAGGGAAAGAATGGAAATATTTTGGTGTGTCTTTTTTCGTGGTCGGAGTATCCCCGGGAACGAGTTGGAATCCGCTGAACAATGAGTCGCGTTTGCTCACGTAACCCGTCGCGTGATCACAGCTCGATCTCGTGCTAAATCAGCGCAAAGGATGAGATTTTCTACGATTATTCGCCTTTCCCTTGGTCGTGCTGTTATCTCGAAGAATACACACCGTTTTCTTAAGTCATCTGCTGTACTAAACGAGTCAGAAATGAGTGTGCACCCCATAGCAGAGAGCGGATTTACATCGTCCGAACTTTACGATCGCGTGAGACCGGGTTATTCGAAAGAAGCCGTGACCTTTTTACTCCATAAACTTGGCGTCGTTTATGGTAAAAATGCTACATCGAATATGCAACCAACACATATCTTGGAGCTCGGAGCAGGGACAGGAAAGTTTACTCGCACCTTGCAAGACGTTCTTCGTGGTAGCAATGTAGAAATGATCACAAGTGAACCTGTCCTTTCCATGCGTCAGGAGTTTGCCAAGATTTTCCCAGAGTTAAAGATCAAAGACTTTTCAGCGGAAAATATAGGTAATGAACGGGAAATTCAAAAAACGTCTTGCATATTAGATATGGTAGAAGCGCGGGGGCCCTGGGCCTCAATACCCCATGTAAAACTATAAATTTTCAAGGCCGGCACTGCCCCCTCCCCGCTTATCCCAGGGACTGGATGACCAGTCGCTCACTTACCGTAAATCCTGTATTAAGCCCCCCTCTCAAATTTAAAATAATCCTCCGCCCCCCTCCCCTAATTATTCTTCACCAATAAATGAGAGATTCTATTAATCAATCAGGACTGTAAAACTTCATGTGGACTGTTCTGGGATGGTTTATTTACCAACTGGAAATTCGAATTTGATTCTGATCCTCGGCTGTATGACCTGAAACTTCTTGTACGTGAGCTTTTCCACTTTGTATTCTAGTTCTTTATGGAGAACTGATACCATCATCGTTTCTAAATTAACCCCCCCCCCCCTCTCAAAATGAACCCCCCAACTGGGCTCGAAATAAATAAGTCCCCCAGGGGGCTTAATAGAGGATTTATGGTAATAAACAAAATAATCACAAAGCCACAGTTCCAATCCTTCCCCTACCCCAAACTCTATGGGGAGCCAAAATGCCAATATAGCAACCTATAATGCCATGATTAGAGTTGTACAAATATAGATTTTGTATGAAAATGGCTGTATGATAGTCCAGAAGTCTTCCTTCGTGGGGGAGGGGGGTACTCTCATAAATGGGCTGGATAGGTATGTGCCGCTTGGTAGTTTTTGAGGGTATCTTTTTTCCCCTTGTTAGTATTGTGTTTCTAGTGTTCTAGTGTAATCCTTATATAGGATACCGTAAATCCTCTATTAAGCCGCCCGGGGGGCTTATTTTTTTCAAGCACTTTTGAGGGGGGGGCTTATTTATTGATTTAGCGAAACGCATCACCTGTAGCAAAAATACCGTGGTATGAGACAGTAGACTTGTGCATTGTACAATTAAAGTCACTGTCAAAAGTATTTATTTCACTTGTGGGAGCCTAAAAGTGACAAAAACAAAATTCTTATTCTTCAAAAATGTGCTTTCGGCCTCATGTTCTTCTGTAATTTTTATGAATAAACCATAACTGATCAGTCCATGTTAATCGTTAATTTTTTTGTGAAGAATTTGGGGGAAGAATAAAACTGATACCCGTTCTAGAAATGGGCCAATTTTTTATACTCCGTTCTAGGGTGCAAAGAGTACAACAGTTTGCTTGTTAACGGAACCGGCAATCTGTCCTTGAATAATTTCAAATGGCTGCTTTCACTGGAGCCTCTATTATACCCGAAAAGAAATGGGGGCTCTAAATCAGGAGCTTTAAAATCACGACCCGTTAAATTACCCGTATGGGAGTACCCCCCCGGGACTTTCCCCCTCTGAAAAGGGGGGGCTTAATAGAGGATTTACAGTACTTAAATTGTATCAGCTAAAATGTGCAGCTACATGTAAATGAGAAACAAGTCATCTGTTACAGTCAAACCAGGTCAAATGTACCCCCCCCCCCCCCCAAAAAGAATGCTTCTTCATGCAGCAGCCCATGTCCAGTAGGAAGCTTGGTAGAACCCCCCTCCCTTTCTCCCACAAGGCTACATTGCAATTCCACTCTCATTCCCACCAAAAATATCATATTCATTGAGGTTAATGTTTCCTCTTCTTTGCTGTTATTATAATCATGCAGATCTTCCAGACTCCAGTGTTGACGCTGTAATTGCTGCTCAGTGTTTCCACTGGTTTGCAAACAATGAGTCTTTATCTCAAATTCAACGAGTTCTTGTACCAGGAGGCAAGCTGGGTCTTATTTGGAATAGTTGGGATGCCTCCTTCCCTTGGATTAAAGAGCTGAATGAAGAAGTTGTCCTTCCTTCTTACTGGGAAACGAACACACCTCATGAAATGTCTTATGAATGGAAGAAAGTCCTAGATGCATCAGGAAAATTTTTGCCTGTAGAAGGAGATGAATCACAGTTTAAAAGCCAGCAATTTTTCTCTTTTGAGGAGCTTATAGACCGACTCACATCAGTCAGCGTTATACAGGTGAAAAATTCAAGTGAAAAAGAGTTGATGAAAAAGAGGGTTGAATTAATTTGGAACAAATACAATGAGAAGAACAAATTGGTCTTCCCTCATGTTGTTAAGATTTATTGGGCAGAAAGAAAGTGAAAATGATTGTTTTTCTTTTGCTAAGATAAGATTGTGAATAAATAATATACTAGTGGTAGTAGTTTTGAAAATACCAAACAGAGTGTTGAAATAAAGTTTGCGCATGTACATCCTGTCTGCCAGTTGAAAAGTAGATTTCTTTCTGATTTTTTTTTGCACTGAAACATTTTTATTTCATTTATATTTTCCTCTGCGTTGTTGTTGTTGTTTCAACCCCTTCCCCTCTACATGTATTAAATAGTAGCAGAAACACCAGTTCACATCCTTGCAGAAAAGTAAAGCAGAATTCAAGTATAAGCTGTGTATATTTCTATTTATAACACTAGTATTCACCACAGAGGCCCTTCTCCTCCATCCTACCCTAAGTGACTTACCTGGGTAGGGTATTGAGTATCAAGGTAATGTGTTGTCAGGGCTGTAGCTAGCCTCCCCTGCAGACATTCTTAAGGATGCATCACGCGTTCCTGCCTCACAAACAGGGCACACCCCTAAGAATGTCCGTGGGGGAGACTAGGCTGTAGCATAGGGAGGGCCTCCGCAGTTTTTTGCCCCACAAAGTTAAAACATGTGCACATAAAAGTTGAAAATATAAATTCATCTCTCAGTGCATTGAAACAGTGAGGTCTCTGCAGCTAGGTGAAACATTTTCTAGTTTTAAGATACAGAGACCAGTTCAATGGGTCCTCCGGACCCAAAACCCTCTGCTTTTCAAATACAATGAGCTACCTTAACTCTCTGTGCCCCCCTAGTGTCTAAAGGCCTGCTACAGTCCTGGACTTGTAAAGGGAGGCACCTGAAGTGGTGGGGCAGATGCAGATCCCATTTTCATGGGCAAAATTTCGTTCAGATCCCAGTGTCCCATTTAAAGTTTGTCTTGGTTCCTTTTCCCAGGGGCCAAATAAGTGTGGGCAAATACCATTTTCACTGTCCATAAATTATAATAGGCAAATCGCAGGTCCCATTTTACCCTTTTTGATGTCATCAGAGGGTACAGTTAGAGCACTGAATTTTAACGAGTTGTTTAAACTTGAAGAGAGAGTAACATTTAGGGTGAAAAGAACCCCTACAGGAATTATTTTCAACTAAATGTTTATTTAAGCAAGAGACATTTTCAGCAGTTCTGTAACAAAGGTACCAACTCCAGAATACTGATAGGCTTAAAAAAAAACCAGAGGATTGCTACTGCCATTTTTTCAAAAATTGTTTTATTGTATAACCCTTTCTAATGGAGTTTATGGTCTCAAAAACCTTGTTGTAATTAATTTATGTTTTTTTGTTACCAGTTTAATTCACTTTTTTATGTGTTCCTTATCCTGTTATTGTACATTCAAAGAGACTGTGACACGCTAATTTAGCCGTGAAAAATTGATCACCAAGTTAAGTGAAATATTAGTAGAGATAACCGTGGGGGATAACACCACAGCAAATGATCAAAACTGAAGAAGATTTTAAAAACGGATTGCTACTGCGGTTTTTTAAAAAATGTTCAGTATGACCGTTTCTTAAGTTTCTCTCTGTTGCCTTTGCTTTAAATTACATTGGTTGGGATACATTGTTTGCCATGAACTGCCTCCATTTTTTGGAATTAAAAGGCTTATTTCTCCACTAACGTCAATCAGAAATGCTACCATTGCAGTACGCAAAGAATTTCCCATTTCTTGCTTAATTCAAGGTGCTCCACGGGACGTAGTCAGGTGCAAGGACAGCCAAAATGGCTTACTAACCCACCCATCTCACGAAACACTTTTAAAAAAATCAATATTTATTTATTCTTGAACACACTGCATTTGCAACACATTCCCTAATAACTTTGTGCTTACAATAGTGAAGCCATAGAACTATTGTTGTATCTAAATATTACAAAATTGTACCTAACTGAGTTTTGTACAATCATAAATAGTCGTAAAATAATTCTCATTCAAAAAGCCCTATTGTGTTGATGTTGAAAATATATTTTTGATCCAAAAATATCCTCCTCCTTTTTTTTCTTTTCCACTGTTTTTTTAACCTGACCAAAGGGCCAAGTTATCAATATAAGTATTAGTGTGAGTCAATGAATCAAATCTTCTGCCTTTTGTAAAGTTAAAGCCTGAAAATAACCAGGTGTATATGAACGAGTGCGGAGTAAACCTTTCATCAGGGATATCTAATCTGAGTTTTAACGAAGCAGAACTCCAGCTGGAACTAACATCAGGCTAGCGAACGTGACAGTCACGTGACTAGAGACAGACGATGTATTTCCTACAAAAACCAACACAAGAAAAGTCAATTAGTTAAAATACGCCAACGGACGAATTCCACGCTGTAGATGGAATCCAAAATCGAACTCGAACCCCTGGGAAGAAGTTGAGCACAAAATGAAGTTTTGAGGCTCGTGAGCTATAAACTCACTACGTAGACGAAAGATATGGCTAATTTGTCCAGATAATTCACCTCCTTTTCACGGAGCCGAATATCTAGATATCACGAACAATTGAAAACTGAATATCTTGAAAGGGATAAGCTAAAGAGCAACTAAAATTAAAGTTTACTCAAAGGTGTTTTTTTTTCCTTAATCAATTGATAGCGTTGGAATCGTGAGTCTCTATGGGGATTTCTGACGATGAAACGACGATCTTGTATGTTAAGCCATTCCGACGAAGTTTTGACGTTAATCGTGCAATGACGGTAGAAAAAATCTGCCTGAAGTGTGCTACATGTTCAGAGTTTTTGTTTAAACCTTTTTATTTTTTTAAATTATTATTTTTTCGTTTCCGTCGTCTTCGTCGTGGTTGTTAGAGCTCGTTAGTAGTGTTAACTCGCCTGAAAACATTTTTTGATACAGTAAAAACCCACGAGTAAGAACCTGAAAATTAAGAACCTGTTAGCCTAAAATTTGCCATTTATACCACCTATAAACAAGAACCTGTTTAGCCTAAAAAATGAAAAACAGGATCTTATTTTTTAAAATCATATTAGTGAAATGCAGCGGCAAAGCTATGCAAGAATCCTGTTTGTAGAAGTAGGAGCTTGGCATTTTATGGATAATTTGCGACGAAAACGACATCCGCAGGTACCCATAGAGCGGCTCAAATTTATGTAATAAACAGGGGCACCCAATGGACTGCTACAGGTTACTTGTATGGGTTGCTTACCACTCAAGATCTGAATTGTGCCCTATGAAACTTCCCAGTAAGTCAGGTTGCAGGTTGTAAGATTGCTGGCTGGGAACTCTTCCATTAGTCTTGCTGGGAGTGAGGAACAGATAATTTTTTTCCAGCAATCTCCCAAAATGCTTAAAATAGTCTCAGAAATCTTTATTCACGCTTTGTTGTTGTTTTTAGGTCTTTTTCTCAAAATTTCCCGTTGGGTGCCCCTGAATAAACGCAAAGTGTCATAAAAGGAGTGGAAAGCAAACGAACCTGAGGAGTCGCCATCATCATCATCTGGGCCCCATGGGTCTTGTTCATCAGGGTCTCTTTCTATCACACTTTTGATGGCCTCTTGTTGCGGTACTGAGAGGCTGTCTCTCTTGGCAGAGCTGATAGCCTGCACTTGAGGGGTCAACATAGCTTCATACTGATCAACAGAAAACGCCTAGAGACGAAATACAATAATATGGTCCGATGGTCATGCCAGTCAATAATAGTGGCCTACATGTACTTGTTTAAAAAACAGACGATTGTGCAATGCAAAGAATGTTAATTGCAGATCAACTCTCAGGTGCCATCTTGATCTGTAAATGGGTCTTATCTCCAAACAAAGACCTCGCGCTGAGTCTGGGTAGGGAAAATAAGGGGATTGCCCGCGTGTTTTAGCATGTTACAACAATACTTATTTAATTCATCTCACAATCTCAAATACCAAGTCAAGCAAGAGACTGCAGTCATGATTTGTTCTTTTTCTTTACATAAAAACACTCACCTGTAGCTGAGAGACGCTCATATCTTCAAATACCACCGGAGGGATTGCGTCGACAACTTTAGCTTTTAGTTTTGATACATCGCTAGTGGACAGGGCCTCTGTGTAAAAAAAAAACAAGACGTTGAAAAGATGACTCAAAACAACTCCTTCAAAAAATAGTAGGACAAGCCTGCCTGCTAGTGCAATGATAGGAAACTAGTACCAAGAAAGCAAGCCACGCAAAACTTAGTACGAAAACTCAGAGATAAAATTCCACTCTTACGTCAAAGAGGAATCTACTTTTTAAATTTTTTTGGCAGGAATTCGCCTCAACTGAAGATCAATCATCAGACACATAAATAACTTACTTAGTACTTTTCCCAGCTCACTAACTTGGTCCTTATCCCAGTCATTCGCACTCTGTGACCACACGATCTTAGCTTTGTCAATGATTGCTATTAACTGCTCCATCGACCAGCCATCGATTTCACTCAGATGTTTAATCGCGAGTCTGTGAAACATAACATGCATTATTACTGAATTGATCTTTTGTTCCCTTAAAAACAGTCAGTAGCGTGAGAAAATAAATAAATTAACCGCCCATCAACGCAACCTCTTTATATAATCTTCACCTTTCCTAGTTTGGAACCTCATCGAGCCTTAACACTTAAAATCACCTAAAACAACTTAATGGAATGAAACTGACGACAATGAAGCACTGCTACTTAAGTATTGAAAATAGTGTAAAGGAAAGGACTCCAATTTTGAATCTTTATCCTAAAAGACCATTGTACCTGAAAGCCTTTTGTGGAATTTTAGCGATGTCCTCCTTGGTCAAACTGACAGCCAGCTGTCCCAGACTCATGTACACATCATCATCCTTCACCTGCTTCAGGAATTCCCGAACTTTCGGTTTAAGACGTTCCAGCTGTAGGAAACAAAATTGAGAAATAAGTATATCAGCAAAAAGAAAACGACTTGTTCTCAGCATATCCAGGAAAGGACAAGTCAAATGGGGAATGATAACGACATTTAAGTTTTATTTTTGTTTTTCCGACACCACTAGTGCATCAGGTTAGGGAAACTGCATTGAATGGGAGGGAACCGTGTTTTGGGGCCCGTTTCTATGGAGATAACCAGTCTCGGTTTGAAGGGTCACCCTCCCAGTCGAGTCCATTTTAGCGTGCATTCATATGAGGAAAAAAGTTGACCCCTTTGCCCGAGCCAACAGCGCTCACGCATGCGCTGGTTGTCTTGCCTTGACGGAGTTGTCTCGGCTGGGCGAGCCAAAGTGTATCTATGGAGAAAGGTTGGTCCGGCTAGAAGGGTGCCCCGCCTCTAGTATAGCCAACTTTTTGTTTGTCATGTAAACAGTTCGCCATATTTTGTCAGGAAATGATGAAAAGTTGGCTAACCCAGCTGGTGACTCCTCTACTCGGGACAACTTTTCTCCATATAAACGTGCCCTTGGTCTCTGCCCTTCGTTGTATGCAATTGGCTTTAAATACTTCGAGAATAAGAATTCCGTACGAGTGGCCTATACACTATTAGTGAATAGAAGGCTTCATCAAATTTCTTTATAAGCGTTACTTAAAAAGGAAATTCGCACAAGTAAAACTTAACAGCAGATATAGCGCACCTGATCTTTACTCCATTCATTCCATTTTCCCAGCGCAGCAATGATATCAATGTTGTCCAGGTTCAATTTTTCCAAGTCATCAGGAGAAAGACCCAGTACTACACGACCAATCCTCTTCGCCAATTGAGCAGTGAGCTTCGAGATGTCTCCGTTTGTTAAGTGCTACCAAAAAAAAAAGAAAACAACGTAAATTTTATTTTTATGCATGTTTTCTTCAATGACAACTACGTTTAGAATATTTTATACTGATTTTAAAGAACAATAACTAAAATAACCCTTGTGGCAGGCATTCGCAATGGGAGGAAAGGGATAAAAAGCGGCGCGCTATTTTCTTCATTCCCATTCGAATACCCGCCATCGAGGCTGAAACTATGAAGGTAATGTAAATTTCTACTTCTTACTTCTTTCACTTTCCTTGCCAAGGCTTCCAGCGTTTCCATATCAACATCAAAATATTGTCCCCAGTCTCCCACAGCCTGTTCAAATGCTTCTTTGCTAAGCTTCTCTATGTCACCTAGATCCAGTCCCTTCACCAATGATCCCAGCTGACGTAATTTCTCCCCGGCCCATTTACCCACATCTGCAACGAGAGGTTTGCAGTGAGAAATGGTCAGTTGCTAAAAGGTTTAGAAAATTCACTTCACCTTCACCAGGTAGAAAAAGAGAAGTTTTGTTGAGAGGCAAAAACGTTCCAGTGGATGTATATGTTGTGGTTCAATTTTGTCCTTGGTTTAACGTAGTTGATTATAGAGCTTTCAAAAGTAAAAAAAAAAATAAGAAAACTACGCCAGTTCTCACCAGACTGTTCCCACTTCTTCTTGGCTGCTTTAATAAGGGCCTGGGCTTGAGATTTGCTGAAGTTAAATGTGCCCAGTTCATCCAACATTTCTTCAAGAGAGTCCAGATTGATACGTTCAAGATCACTCGGATCCAGGCCCAGTGCAGCTGGGCCAAGATCGCGCCACTGGTCACCAATCCACTCGGCGACATCACTATCATAAAACAAAGTAGACTTTTACAATAGATCTCTTGACTTAAACTATAAGCATCCTTGTTCTTAATATAACCTTCTGACAAAAATTCGCCACAATGAGCGTATTTGAGGTTGGCAAGATGTTCTCATGAAATTAGCGTTTTGCAGAAAATTGTTCGAAAACATCTCTCCTGTGGTAAGGGTTAGGCAGCCATAATTTTCCAAACAATATTTATCGGCGATTATCAACCAACTCTTGTGGCTTCTATTTACAGTACACTATACGATCAGGAACCGGCCTGTTTACAACTGTTTACTCTATCAGCTGTTAACAGTGAATAGAGCGACTTGTCTTAATAAGGAAAGCTTACTGTAGGAATAAGTCATGCTCTTGGAAGCATTGTTCCTTACAACACCATTAAATGAACAATTACAGATTCTCCCGTTTCAGTATCACTAAGCAACAATTCATTTTACCAACCTCTTATCAAAATGCTGCTTTGCCAGCTTAGCTATCTCTTTAAGCTTCTTCATGTCATAACCTTTGGCTCGAGCAATATTGTACAGGTTGTCAACAAATGCTTCTTTACTTATTTTACGAAGCGTTTTTCTGCTCAGTCCTGCCACTAAAGAACCAAGATCCTCAATGTGTTTGGAGTCAAGGACATCAACGCCAGTCTGATTCTAAAGCAGAAAGGAGGCTTAGGGTCATTCTTTATTAAACCACAAGCAAAATCAACCTTTATCGAGGGATCAAATACAACTTTTTTATACCAGTGTCGCCCGAGTTAAACATGTATGCCAAGATAGTAACTGCTGTTAGTAGCTTTTATCAGGACTAAGATGTTGTATTGGTGGATAATATATTCATGAATAATTATCTGTTCAGAGGATAACACAATTGGTTTCCCTAATACGCGTTTACTGGAAAGACTGTCCATCTTAGAACGGGGGCTGAAGCAATAATGTTATCTATGACCTATAGTAAAATCACATACAATACAAACAGCTAAAGAGTAGAACACGGTCCAGTCTTTGTCTTATGCTACTACTCAGAGTAATATTATACGGGGGAAAAGCGTAAGCATATTCTCCAAACTGCTCTTCGTACATTTCTTTTTGTGTGTAATGAGCTTTTGTGTAATAATCTGCACATCAAGACATTTTCTGTTTGGTAAACGGCGTTTCATTAATTCACTTAACCTTTTTCGTAAAACTTATCTTTGATACAGCAGTAACTGATGAAAAACACGGAGAATCGAGATGGTCATTACTATACGCTACTATGGAAACAAGGAGCTGGAACCGAAATGCATTCCGCAATCGTTTCTGGTAACGATATTGCAAGGGAGGCGTCTGACAACTTATTCGCCCATTTTTTTACTGTTTCTAGTAACAGTCCCAGAGGCCTTTGCGAAGTTAACTCGGTCCAGCTTCCTTCTCGGTTCTAAAGTGGCAAACTGGGCCGTGGTTGGCCGTGGGCAGTGTTAATGCCGAAAAGTAAGCATGATTTGGGAAACTGTCTAAATTTACCTTGAAGAGTTCAACTGCCAAATAAGCCCTGGCTTTGAGTTTGTCTTCCGGCAATCCAGTTTGTTCTCCCAGCCGACGGATAGCAGTCAGCAAGATCTTCTCAGGTAGCTTTTTCAGCTCATCTTGTGCAAGACCTTGCAAAAAGGTCCCGAGAGAATTGATATTGACTTCGGTGAAATTGGAGAAATCAAGGTTCTCCATTTCCCAGTACTCTCGCAGCCTCATTAGCACCATAACAATCTAAGATCAACGAAATAAGACAGGTGCAATCAACTTGACAATCTTGGTGACTTACAAACTGACAAAGTTCCACTGATCCGTTTAAGAGGTACCTAGCAGCACTTTCCTAACGTGTGAAAAAAAGGTTTTTTGAGGGAGCTTAAGCAGACACGTTTTTGAGCAAAGCACATCAGCCGCAAGTGGACTTTCTTCATTCTTGGGCAGTGTTTTTGCCTAAACTTTCGGGTAAATCGTCTCCATAAGAGTAGAGACCCCTAGCGATACAAATTTGGTAGCATCAAAGCATATTAACAGGGGAAAAGCCTCATTTCCGGTTGACGTGCATTGTACAAAGACGCCTTTGCTTAAGGTCCCCATTAGATCTGTCAGTGGTCAGCAGCATCGCAAAGGCTGGGAGAGTAAAATCAGAATCATCTCCATCGGTTAAAGGTTAAATTTCCCGTCCGGGTGGGGGTGAGTGTTTTGCCGTTTTTAGCCGTGACACTTCTAAATGAAGCATACATGATGTAAAAATAACAAAACGGTAAAAAAGTACTGGAAACAAGTTTCTAAAAATGAGAAAGATGGCAGCCGAGTCGTGGAGAAATTTTTGTTGGCTTTCCAAGACGTTTTCTGGAAATTTTCTTCGCGCTGTCTAACCCTCACGGGTTCAGGTCAAATTCAAAGGAAAGCAAAAAAACAGTTTTTATCGTATTCCTTGATTTAAAAGACTTTGGTGGTTTTTAAGGTAGACCAGAGATGACACGATTTCAGCAAACTTTGGTTTTAATCTTTCCATGAAAGTCTACGCACGTGAAAATCCATACAAAAATGACGCGTTTTTGGTTGGTTTTTAGCGCGAAAAACCAAGTGAAATCCGATGAGCTGGCATATCGAAGGTAAGATCTAGAATTTGATGTTTCTTGATATTTATATCCGGTAGTACCCATTCAGAATTGGTTACGAAAGCGTGGCTCAAATGCAGCTCTTTTCTGTTAAATTCCCGGATGTGACCGGGCATTCTACGCAAACCGTTCGCTGATAGTGCCGCAGACCCTCACAGATCACAGATCACATAGAAACCAGACTTTTTCATATACCTGTCCTCGGTTCCAGTCTTTTTCACGTCCCAGCACATCGATAACGTCTTCAATACCCCGGATGGGTAGGTCACGTAACTCTTCTTTAGCAATACCTAACACAATGTGACCGAGTTTCTTCATGTTCAAAAATCCCCAGTTTGGAGTGTCGGTTTCATCTGCATCAGTAGCATTGAAGTCACCCCACTTTGCACTGATCTTTTTGGCGAGAGTCAAGACCTGAAAACAGGAAAACAAGAAAATTTTTCTGTTACAAAATTGAGTCACTCTCTATAGAAAAAAGCGGAAGAGAGGAAGAGAGAGAAAGAAACGAACGGCATTCACTCAACCTCTTTCTACCAGCGCCCCAATCCCCCAACCCCCTTTCCGTTTTTTTCCTGCTCGCTCACTTCTTTTCGCGCCATCCCCACTATCTTAACGCCTGGAATGGGAAGAATATTGCGTGATGGCCCTCAACTAGCGTCTTCGAAGGAGGCTACCGTTCACACAGTCGTGTAAATTATATCAGGGACTTTAGATCCAACGACGCGGACGACAACGAGAACGTCAAAAAATACAATAGGTTTAGTTAGCAAAACAACAACTTCGCACGTGCATCACACTTTTTTGTACATTTCTTTCCCGTTTTTGCACGACTACGACGTGAAAATACATAATTTCGCGTTTTATGGAGGACGTACACAAGCAACGACGACATTTTATTTCTCTTTCTGAGCTTGAATATGGTCCCTTGAAATTCAGCTCCAGGAGGGTTGGCCTACATTTGACAAAGTAAGTGGGTAGGAATAATCACTATAAAGACTGAAAGAACGCAAATTCACTTTTTAAGCGTCGTTCTTGTCGCCGTCACGTCGTTGGATCTTAAAGTCTCTATTAAGAATGTACGACGTACCTGTGTTTTATCCCAGGGAATCAGGCCCAGTTTATCCAGGTTAGCGATAACATTATCCACGTTTTCAGCATCAATTTCTCCACGACTCAGAGCCACAGCAAATTCTCCAAGCTGTGCAATATTTTTACCAATTGTAGGATCTTCCTCATACTGCAATACAGTGACGGCAAATTGTAATTTAATCACTTCAACGAAATGGTTGTATGCGTTGATACATGTGGACTCCAGTAGATATTGTCAATGTATAATTAAAACTAATAATAACTAGAAAGCAACCAAAGGTAATAATAGGAAACGTGATGCGTGCAGGCCGGCTAAAGACAGGATGCTCAGTCAGTTACCTTTTTTATAAACTGTCGCATAACAGGCATAGCAACGTCTTTAACAACCTTCATTTCTGGAAAAGCGGCAAATACAACCGCCTGAGTCATTCTTCCAACATCAGAAGACAAGAAACCGTCAATAGCTTTTCCAAGTGCTATCACATCTTCCTTCTTCAGTTGGGACAGCTGTGAATTGAACACACGAAAAAGATATGTTTGTGATCCTCTGGTGATCTGGGCGGTTTGAAGAGGATCTCCTTCAGGAGGGAGGACATGGAAATAATTTCTGAAAATATCTGATTAACCTCGATTTCAAGAGTCGCCAGAGAATATGTCCAAGTCACAAATAAAATCATACACTGATTTTCTGTAAATTCAAGGCTGCGTTTGCTTAGATTGGGTTCTGATTAAGAGAACTAAAATGTCAAATAAGAAACCACAAAAGCTTTGATGAAGATAATACAAAGGATGTTAACATCGTCTAATGAGCGTCTTTAAGCAAAGTAACGACAATCACTTACGTCTACAGACTTTTTCAGTTTTTCCACTAATTCCTGTGCCTAATAAACAAAAGAGTAAAAGATATGAACCGTATGTCCGATCACCAAAAAAGGACAGTCATTTACATATTTACAAAGCAGTAAAGGAAAAGGCATACTAATTGATCGGCGAAAATTTGATGTAATTGCCTTTAATATGATAAACCACCCGGCCGGCAAGTCATTTTAAGCTATTTTATATATGACATATCTACAAAGGGGTGCAATAATATGAAGTAACTGGTAGCTAGGATTTTCATAAAGAAAAAATCTCCTTCGAATCTGATTAAAAAGATACACATTCATAAATTTTCTCTAACATTTCTCTTCCGGAAGTAAACTGACATAGGAATCTTGAAGATTTTCTAGGAAAACTGCTTCCACCCTTTTGGCTCGTAGGCTTGTTAGGCAATTTTTACAGTAAAACAACTTCTTAATTTTGATTTTATTACCACAGGTGTGGTGTAATGATCACAATCATGCAGTTTCTCTCTGAATGTTTTCATTACATATGTCTTCTTGAATTCTATAGTGCGTGATATCAGACCAACCGCCTCGTTTTACCTGGTCAATCTTAAAATCAACGTCCTTCAAAAACTGCAGTGAATCCTTGATGACTTGATCTCCAATCTGTTTAAGCTCAGATGGCAGAAGTTCACCAACAATATTTCCAAGTTCCTTAATATCATCTTTGGTCCACTTGTCTGGGGAACCAATAATTTCCTTTGCTTTCGTTGCTAACACCCTCAATTGTCCTTCCTTTAACTTCAACTTGCCAAGAACGCTTTTAATAGCCTGTAAGTATGATACACAAATAGTAAGATATCCTGCCTCTTCAAGCTTCACTTAAAAAGAGTTGGTAATTCACAGCAAGTTGAGAGATTGTTGCCTGATTGCTGCCTAGGAGATGAAACTTTAAAAAAAAACCTGCACCTGGAACTGCTCTTTTGACAAGAATTTTAAATCCTCTACATTTAAGTCCTTCAGTAATTTTCCAAGTTTCTGTAACTGAGGAACACTCCAGCTCTTGATTTGTCCCCACTGTTCTTTTAGCTTAGCTATGATTATTTTGGCTTGAGAAAAGGAGAAATCATTTTTCACCAGTGCATCTATGGCTTTGCTCACCTGTCAAAGTAAAACAATTTAGACATTCAATATTGACCCTCCTTGATATGGGCACAAAAGGAACAAGGAGTCTAATAGAATGAACAAGTGATGAGGTCATAAAAACTTGATTTAAGAAATTATGGTCTGTTGGGGCACTCAGAAACTGAGGAAGCTGACCAGAAAAATGCCTCCTTGCCAAAAGACAGCATTTTCTTACAGTTTTGGGGGGGTGAGTTATTACCATGGTTACGCTCTGATGACTCCATATCAAAATTCACTTGGTATGAAACGTTTTGATGTATGGCATTATGAGACAAGTCAAGTCAGTCAGTCAAGCAAGTCAGTTTTGTTCATCCTAAAAAACAATATGTACAATACTTACAACATCAGATGCAAGCTTTAAAATGTCCCTTACGGGTAGAGCCTCCAAAAGATTGCACAGGCCACCCAGTATTTTGTCATTCCACTTAGCCACATCTCCATAAACCTTTTTAGCAGGAATCATCAATGCATTCTTCTGGTCTCGATCAAAATTTGCCATACAAAGATAACTAACTCTAAAAATTAAATGTCAGTAAAAATTAATCAGAGTCGCATCGATGCAAACATTCATATAATCCCACAATAAAATATTTCTGGGGTTCATCTACCTCTCTTTAATTAAGCTGAAGAACTACAACACACAAGCCACATTTCCTCTTCCTGTAGCATTCTCAATTTTATATAATAAATGAATTTAATCTGCCATAAACTTTTTGAGATGCAATATTCATATGGAAGAAATTAAACAACCTTTACAACTTTGATTATTTCATCATCATCAACATTTTTATTGGCTCCTTTTTGCTCTGTGTTCCAGCTGCGTGTCCAGTGCACTTTTCACGCTTGGTTAAAAGGAAATGGAAACCTTAATTTCTTCAGTCAAACGATCATTTGACCCTTAATGTGTCATATTTCACAGACAACAATGAACTTGACACACTAATATGAAATTTAGCATGTCAGAACAAGTAAATGGTCATTAACAACAAGACAGGCACACAACTTGTTGATACTGGCCTGGTAATCCTTGGATTGTTAGATTTTTGCCTAACACACAATACAAGCTGTTAAAATTACCCCTGGTCAAAGACATCTCCAGCCAATTCTGCCAGTTCATTCGCATTGAGCCCAACAAGTAACTGTTTCATGCTCTCCAGTGCTTTGAATGACCACTGATCAAGACTACGGCCAAATTTACGATAGGCAGCTTGGGTGAAGGCTGCCATCTGCTCACGATCCCAGTTCTTGCTCTGAAAAAAAAGAACAAAGTAAAAGGAGATTATAGAAAACTTGTACCACAGAAGTCAAATGAGTTATTGATGTCTATACATGCTATTTGTTTTAGAATAGAATAGAATAGAAAACACTATTAATGTGTCAGAGCCATATAGCTTGGGAACAACCCCATACTAATTTGGGGACACAATTTATAATTAAATAATTGGAATTACCTATACAATATAAAAGTAAAAATATCTAAACTATGCATAATATATTATACTCTAATGATAATCTAAAATTACAGAGAGAGAATTGTATTATTATGACAATACAAATCTAATGTATAGGTACAGTTTGACATTGACAGATGAGAATAGCTCTTTTTAAGATATCAGCACACCTGAAAGCTTAAGGAAGCAAAATCAAAAACCACAATTTTTACTTACAGCAAGTTTATCCACATTTACAAAAAAGGAATCTAGGTTCATGTGCATGATAAGCTTCTTTAAATTTTGTGATGTGAACTTTGTGAGGCGGTCAATTATTCCACTGAACTGACTGCTTGTCATGCCACTTAAGCTATCCTGTGAAGCAGATAAAACACAACAAGGAAAATAATCAATTTATTATTAACAAAACTGATACAAATAAAAAAAAAACTTTCTACACATAAAACTTATAGGTGGCATCTTGATATGTAGCCTACCTTGAATACGTAGTTAATAAGCTTGGTTAGTAATACCAATATCCTCAGCACCAATATCCTTGTTCTGGGGCCCTGACAAACTCAGTGAATTACCAGAAGTGTGTTTCGAATTTTCTTTCATCCTGGTTTGCAATTTGACAATAGTTTTTTTAACAGGCCAACCATTGCACATGCTCAAATCCTGGCACACAGGTGGGGGCCGAGAACAAGGATTTTGGTGCTGTCTTGCAGACGGACTTAACCAGAGTTTAACTTTGTCTGTGGCAAAGACTACTTGATACGAGGAATTGACACATGATTTAAGTTAATTTACAACAGCAATATTGATGTTTTTTGCTACTCTCTGGTATGCTAATTATTATAAAGTAATGTAATTTTACAGTAAAATATTGCCAAGAAGCAAATGTACCTGTAAAGAAGAGAGCACATCTTGTGGTACACTTAACAGTTCACTGACAGTTGCTTGAACAAATTTCTTGGCATCTGACAGCTTTTCCTTCAGGCTATCAGATAGCTTATCAAAGGCACTCTTTATGCTGAACAAGACAATATGGGGTGGTTAAAGAAACGTGTTGCTTTTCGCCAGGGGGGGGGGGAGACTCCCAAATAAAAGCAACAGTGATGCTCATCAGAAAATTAAAATTAAACCCCTAAAGAAGACCAATATGACGTGGTGTGGCTCAATCTTAAACTGACCCTTACAGGAGATTTTCACGTGATCAGTATCACAGCATTTTTAGCCCTAAACAATACCTGAATGGGCAAATATAGTGACTATCTGTCCCAAACACCCTAAGTGAGACCAAACTTTGCAATTTATCCTAAGCGAGACAGTGAGTATCACTTTTATATGAGAGTACTGGAAGGAAATTAACTAAATATCATTTATTTGTATCATTGACCTAAATTTTATGTTGACTTAATTAATGCACATTGTAACATCAAGCTATAACAGTTAGAGTAAAATGTTCCTACAGCTAACAACATGGATCTTAAGAACCTGTTATTAAGGCTAAAATCTACCAGTTAAAGCCCCCTCTATGATACAAGAGCCTGTTTGAAAGAGGTTCTTATTTTCTATTATCTATGAAAAATTCTGCAAACTTGGGCATATATTAGATCAGGTCATTTAGAATCCTCTTTGGAGACATAGTGTCCAACTGCAATGTAAATACCAATATTTAAATCAAATAAAATTGTTACTGATACAATTATTACAAATTACATACAGTTCTTCTTTTTATGTTCATTTTTACACTTATTTGGTATGCAGATTTTATAAGAGGAATAAGCTGAACCATAAAATACTCTAAGCCATATTGTATTTTTTTCTTCAGAAAATAAGAACCTATTTAAGAACCTAAATAGCCTAAACTTGTGCTACTTACCATTTATATAACAACCTGTTTAGGCTTGGAAAAATCCAGGTTCTTAGTAGCGGGGTTTTACTGTATAAACACCTTACTTTTTGCAGCAACATATCATAGATTATAGTTATCATCTTAATATTTGTACTTACGACTGTGTGAGTTCTTGGCCAAACAACTTGACATAGTCTAATAAAAATATTTCAAAAAACTTAGAGCATTGATCTTATAGCAAAAAAATTATGTGAACAATGCAGATCAGTACATCAACACAAAAATTTCAGCATACTCTAAGAAAAGCCATCAGCTCATAATGCTGGCACGCAGTAAATACTTACTGATTTTATTATTAACTTTACATGTTGCCACTTTTGCGAAGTACTTGTGGGTACACTTCCATCTTGTTATTGTCCAAAATGGCTGACTGCCAACTCCACAAAGAAAATGACATTCTGATGGAATGTTCAACTGAGTACAGCAGTTAGACGTATCTATCAGCAAATAATATTCATTAAAACGTGAGCAAGTTGGCAAAAGCATTTACAATTCTATGACAGTGTTTGTGGTGCTTTAAAGCAATGAAATAATGATAAAACAAATTATAATTGGATTGGATTTTTGTGATATCCAAAACAATCAAGGTCAGGGAGAGTGCAGATATCATAAAAACTACATCCTTTGAGTTGTCTTATGTAAAAATTGTACTGGCCAGGTCCTACCTCCAACTGTTGTGGGGCTTAACAGAACTAAAAGTGAAAAACAGATAGAAATTAATAGATCAGCATTAAAATACCCAAAACAAACAAGCTAAGGTCTAAAACCTTAATCAATCCTTAGTCTATAACAATGACCATGCACTCACCACAAACTCTAAAAGAATTATTTAAAATATTTTATTTATCTTCACCTAGTGACACTGTGCAATAATTAATGAAGTTTTGCCAAATTGTGGTATAAATAAATTTGCAGAAGTCAAAAGAAACCAAAATATTACACATGCTGCCCTTAAGACGGTAGTATGTTTATCGTGTCATAAAAATTCTCCCAAATTCTCCTGCAAACTATAACATCATGGAGGTACAAGATTGTTGCTGCATAATTCACAAAATCACCACTGGATGACAAAAAAAGCCATCAATATTTATTTATAAATTCTCATAGAAAACTTCTGACATCAATTGTGAGTTGATTGGAAGTGAGTTTTAAATCCCCTTTGCTTTTTTATTGTTACAGAAATAATTTTACCTGCGATTGCACCATTAATGAAGGTTATCATACAGGAAGTGAACACCCTAGCTACCAGGTCCCTACAAGGGTACACTCCAAATTTTTAATTATTAAGAATTTGGATATTTCTCATTGACATCATATTTTTCTACACCCTACGAACATGTGCTTCCCTCCTGGGATAAACTGAAAGAAATTCACATTTTCTTCACATCCACATTCCCTCCTGGATTACACATTCACACTGTACACATTCAAAGTACAACAGTGAGCTGTGGGACCTTTACTGGTGTACACTTTTTAAAATATTTAAAGGTGTCTGCTTAAGGTTCATTTTACAGAAAACATGACAAGAAACATTTGAAACAAACTGGATCATTTGCCCAGACAGTCAATACTGAGTGGCTATTGTAGGTTTAAAACAAAATAAATGGTAATTAAGCTCCATTATGAAATTAAGTGAATTTTCATTAGTGGCTTTGAAATTTCATGCTTTCTTCTTTATCAAAGTCTATATCACATTAAGTTAGAATATTGTGGTAAGACTATGTTAAGTCTTAATTAATAAACTACAACAAACAGTTTTATATTCCATTCAAATAATAAGCTCCAGGTTTACGGGGTTTATCAGACTGAACATACACCTCTCGGGTCCAGCTAATATGTCTGCATTGGAACCATGGCACGGCTGATCAAGAAGATTTTTTAAAACAAATAATCCAGCATCTCAATAGTACTTATTTATATCTAATAAAATTCTTCTTGCAGATGTTTTCATACTAAGAAGTAGGGGCTTTGATCGTGAACACTTCCACTAAAATAATGGAATATTCCGATTATTCCAGAATAGTCGAAGGTTTAGGACGCTAATGCAGTTAGTGCGCCTTAAAACATACTAAGACATGGAATTATAATCTAGAAAGTGACCTTACCAATTATCAAAACACTTGAAACAAGCGTGATCAGCTTCTCAAAGTTCATCCTGACTGGGAAATCTGCAAAATGTGCCCTCGAATTCTCCGAAAAGCGTCTTTGTTGCACAATTCAGATGACTGTGTTATTGTCCGGTGAAGGGGCGGAGCTGATCGGGCACTCTTAACCAAATTAGGAAATGGGTCATGTCAAGAGATTGCGAAAGATGGGGATGGGGAGGGCTTGGTCTGTTTGACAAAGATCGTGTGAGTTTCTTTCTTTTAGTAATATTTTGTGCAAAACATTCGTCCTGACACGTTTACGACAAAGGTTGTATTCACATTGGCTGTGGAGTAACTTTGAAATGAAAAATAAGAGATTTGCTCGCAGTCTATCTTTGTCACGCAACGCTACCCCGATACCCAGACAGGATAGCTGATTGGAGAAGAAGGACGATTTCAAAAGGGCCAAAAGAAAGGTATGGTGTTGTAGCTTGCCTTCTTCGTACATTTTCATGCTTTTGAAACTTACGTAGAAAAATTCAGTATGCATCACGCGGGGCGTCATTTTTCCCTACCCTGTTTCAAATTCGGGTTTCAAAAAGCGTGAAAACTTACCTTATCATAATATGTCAGTAATATGTAAATGCAGAAACAGACTGGTTGGAAAGCAAACAGTTCACTCGGGTTGATGAACAGTTTACACCGGTTGGAGAACAGGTGACAGATCTTGGTGAACAGCTGACACTGGCCGTTGATGAAGTACTGTCAGTGGTTGGTGAACGGCTGACACTGGTTGGGGAAGGATTGTCAGTGGTTTTTGAAAAGCTAAGACTGCTTGATGAAGTGCTGACACTGGTGGTGAACAGCTGACACTGGTTGGTGAAGTGCTGACACTGATTGATGAGGTGCTGATTCTTGTTGGTGAAGTGTTAACAGTGTTCTGGTGAAGTGCTGACACTGGTTGGTGAAGTGTTAACAGTGTTCTGGTGAAGTGCTGACACTGGTTGGGGAAGTGCTGACAGTGGTTGGTGGTGTGCTGACACTGGTTGGTGAAGTGTTGACAGTGGTTGATAAAGTTCAGACAGTGGTTGGTTAACAGCTGGGACTGGTTGGTGAAGTGTTGACACTGGTTGGTTGATGAGGTGCTGACAATGGTTGGTGAACAACTAAGACTGTTTAATGAACAGCTGACACTGGTTGAAGTGCTGGCATTGGTTGGTGAAGAGCTGATATTGGTTGGGAAAGGATTGTCAGTGGTTGTTGATAAGCTGAGACTGCTTGCTGAACTGCTGACACTGGTTGGTGAAGAGCTGACACTGGTTGGGGAAGGATTGTCAGTGGTTTTTGCATGTTGTTGATAAGCTTAGACTGCTTCCTGAAATGCTGACACTGGTTGGGGAAGGATTGTCAGTGGTTGTTGATAAGCTGAGACTGCTTGCTGAAGTGCTGACACTGGTTGGTAAACAGCTGACATTGGTTGGTGAAGTGCTGACAGTGGATGCTGAACAACTGACACTGGTTGGTGATATGTTTGAGGGCTGTTTTGGGTGTTTTTGAAGTTTAATACTTACGGTCACAAAAGCTCTGAAATTCAAACATATTCAACAGCAGACGAACCTATTTGAACAGAACATTTTTTAATAAGTGTTATTGCCTTTTAAATTAAGACATTATTGTAACAGGTAATCGTGAAATGTGACATTCAATCACATTGACTTGCAAAGCAAGTCTAATCACTTCGATAAGCAAACCAAATGTCTGTCGTGGAACGTACTCATGCGGAGAGACACTTCTTCGACTCTCCCCTCCCTCCGTGACGCCGAGAGCTACCTCTACGTCTATTCTTTGCTATTGTGGTAAAAACTTGCGTAAGTTGTTGTATCTTGCCGTTAAGGATTAAAATAGCTATCATTCTTTGCTTTTTTAATGGTTTTATTTTCATGGCTTAAAGGCATGCTTACTACAATCGATCCGGCAAAAGTTTGTTTTGTTGTTATGGGTTAACAGATTTGGAAACAGTTGAATTCTCGGCCCTGTGTCATTGCTATATTTAGGTTGGCGCTATTTCACAGTCATGCATAAGAATTGACTGTTTTGTTTATGCCTGAGTTAGTGTCTTGATCACGCAACCTGGAACTCCTGCTTGTTGTGAAACTCGTATCTGCCTTACTCAAAATGCCAAAAAATAAGATGTCCTTTGTCATGCTTTTAAACTTTGATGAGTTCTGAAATGTGTAAGGCTTCTGCGCAAAGGAACGGCGGGTCGTGGTTAGCGGAATTATTTGACATAGAATCTTCGAACGCTAAATTTAGAAGTGTTTGTCATGCTTATGTAAGGTTGGTAAAATTACTTCCGCGTATGTATAACAACTACCCCGACCCTACTAAGTCATACTTTTGTTGTGTTAAAAAAAAAAAAAAAAATTCACAAGTTAAATCTTACAGCGTTCAGTTTTTTTATTTTCTCTTTTCTTTCTTTTTTTCTTTTCGGTGTTCTTAGTAAGTAAACATCTTCGCTAATCCGCTAGTTTTGTACCCCCTACCATACCCCCTACATCACCTTTTCTGAATAGGGTAATGTCTGGCTATTACATGCTAAATGAGATTTAAATTACCCCGAGTCTCTCGGGAAAAACCCTAGCTTTTTTAGAGGCAACAAAAGGTGTTCGCTCAGCATGCTATCATTTAATTTCTGCATCACTGAAACCTACTGAAACCAAAAGCACCCTCCAATAGCAACAGGTGAAAGATTTTACTCACTCTTGAGAGCGCTTTAGCGGGTACAGAGGAGAGCTAGCGCGCTACTTCTCTCAACGTCCTGTATGACTGCTAAAATTGTGTATCAAGTTGTATTTCTGTGCAGTGTGATAGGATTTCACTCAGTATACGTAAGTAGCTTCCATCACTTTCTTGCTATCGGTCGATAGTGGCCGTGTTATTGAATATTTGTTCAACATCAAGCAACGCGTGCAGCAATACACGTAAGTGATTTAAGAGGTAGCAGTCTTGAAAAAAAGAAGGATAAGCGCGCGTTATATTCCATACCATATCTCTTGCCAACATAGTCTCAGCCTACAGTTAAAATTAGGTTAGTTCTGTTGGTGAGGCGAGTTATTAAAAGGCCGCAAATGAGTTTCACTCGTAATGAGGACATTAAAATTCTCCCGAGTTTTCAATTACCTAAGTTCTCCTACTTTTGGCACACTAGCTTAATAAAACCTTTACTCCTAAAGGAATCAGATAAAACTAGTATTAAACTTGAGTGCAATCGCTTAGTAGCTACTGGAACTATTTTGCGCAATATGTGTATTTAGCAAGTTGACATGATTTCACGTTTAATTTATACATCGTTCAGCTCGTTAGTAAAGCTAATTTACTGCGTTATAAAGTACAGTGCATAGTAGAGTCGATAAAACAGTGAAGGCATGTAGGGTAATCAATTTTTGACACTGTTTTTCTTCGAGTGTAATAAAACAGGTGATAAAATACAATTTTCCTTAACAAAGTATGATAATATGTTATATCGACATATTCAAGAAATCGAAACATTAAAACAAATGACCTTTGTCCTGTGTGTAATTCATTGAACTACAGAAACTTCCCGTTCCCAATATTGTGTTTTGTTTGGCAATGTTTTTATCAATTGCTCTCTACACAAATCTATTGTTCTGGTTTTGAGACGAGGTGCTTGTCACTTCTGACAATCATATCAGATCACGTTTTTTGGAAGTTAGGTTATTGCATTGAAGGCTTGGTTACCTGACTGTGCCAGGTTTGTCCGGAATTTTACGGTGATCTGAATAAACTAGGGACGAAACTCAAGTAAAAGTTGACTAAAAATAGTATTTCTTGAGTTTTAGCATGTGGTCTATATAGTTCTTACTTTTAATCTATTAAGCACTGTTATTAGTGCAAAAGTGACAGTAAACTTTTTATGTTATTATTTTAACCTTTTTGTTTTGCATTTTAGTCGCTGAATAAAACTGAAGCACATCACTCGCCTCAAACCATTTGTCCCGGCCAAAAATGTCCTCCGGGACATTCATCCTTTTGTCCTCAAAATGCAACCAGGCGCTGCATACAATGCAAGGAAGGTACATTCTCCTCTCACGCGTCTCGTATGAAGGCATGCAGGCCTTGCTCTCGTTGTCGTGATGACGAATATGAAATACGCCCGTGTACCCCAACTTCAAATGTGGTGTGCAGGAAATGCAGACAGTGCCCTCCTGGATCTGAAGTAGAGAACTCCTGTGAAGGAAAGAAAGACACCGTTTGCAAGAAGTGCAATACTCTTGATTCTGGCAGAAAATGCAAAAACAGAGGACTTCAAAGGACACCAGGTACTAAATTCAGTAGGCATGTTTCGTTAGTTTCTGACGTTGAAACAGAAATAGCAAAATCAAGGCTGCAATCTAAGCAAATTTTGAAGATGCCCAGTGCTCTGAACATGCGAAAACAAGGGTGCCCAATATATGATTTGTAGAAGGAAAATAAGAGTTTTCAGTCAACAGGGAGCAAAAGTTAGGCGCCAGCAGCCCCTTGGCCCTGGTAGAGCACAGCCTTGGAAATGAGACCCTCAAATTAACTAAGTACCCTTTCCATGGCCAATTGACCCAAACTGTGAAATCCTTTCTGGGAAGATCAACACTGACTAACTTTGTGCATATCCTTTTGTTCCTTTTGCAGATATTTCTCACTCTGAGGGACGCAAAATATGGAATAAAGATCAACACGCTAAAGATGCTTCTCTCGTAAAAGATCAGATTGAAAAACCTTGGTTCAGTGGTAGTAGCCAACCCACGCACCATGTGAAACCTTCGCCAAAAATACAAACGCTTCAATCAACGTCCTCAAACGGTCCTACGCCATCTGTAGTATCCTTCACATCCCGTCACGTGGTCAGCATTACTTCGTTTGTCAAAGGCTCCACAAAGGACGTACCCTTCAAAGAGACATTAATCGAACCATTCCCTGATGTGCAGGCGACAAAGTATTCACCCACTACCAGCCCATCTACAAATAGCGGAGGATCTGACTTGAAGTACGCACGTGTCATACACATACAACATGACCAGCCGAAAGTTCCAAGGCGTGCGCATACGCGTCGAAATGCCGAGCACAACGGTACAAGAAAAGCATCCCCATTTCCAGCGTTTCAGTTATCAAGCATGGCTTTTAAAGACGTCGGCTCTGGGACAATGTTTAGTGTGCCAGATATCCGAGGAGTACCTGAAGTTTCCACGACATTATCTTCTGTACATAGTATGTCTACATGTATTTTATATCCCCCGTCCCCTGCCCCCTTCCCTTACTTGTACGGAATGATTACCGTGCCGCCAACATTAATGTTACATTGCTGCTACTGGTTTGGTAAATACCGAATTATAGGATATGCTGATACATTTTGACGCACATCCTGCGGAAAAGGGTTACTCTTTCATTCAGCCTTAACGAGGAAGTGGCGATTACTAGACTGCTTATTTACCTTTTAAAATCGCAAATAAGCTATTGTGTTATATATGAGTTTCAGGAGTTTTACTGAGGGTAGGCTTGGAAAAACATGACAACGTTTTCAAGGGTTTTTGCCTGACTTTTGAGTCTAACAAAGTAGTGGAGATTTTGCCTGCAATGAAGCACAACGGGATTTGACTCGTAAGTAAAATGGATAAAGTGGCATTTGTTGTCTCAGACGGGTTCGGGATTTATCAGTCTGCTGTACACCATTAATAATATTGGTAAACATTATGCACTGGGCCGACTGGGACTCATACCACGTGTCTAGTTTACGGCGCCCAATTCCTTTCCTCAACGTATAGCAACATGATAATTGTTTCTTTCCTTACCTTCCTAGCGAACGTGAAGATACCTGTTCCAGAAAATCAGGAAGAAGGAGATTCTAAGGGGAGCCTCCACTTGTATTTGGCCATTGGTGCAGTAGTGATTTTAGTTATCTGCATATTGTTCTTCGTAGGATTCACACGACATAAACTTCGTAAAGGTATCAAACCTTCAGTAAACGACATTTGAACTTGATGTAGAACGTTCTACAGGTCCTTTCCATGGGAACGTAAGAGATTTAAGCAGTGGCCTTTTTTAATTACCTAAATAAAAAGGAGAGTTGGTCTAAAATTCTCTTCTTAAAAACACATAATAGCTTGTTCCGGGCGTTCAAAATGTCGAATCCCTGAAACCGGGATAAATACATGATGACTTATTGGCTATCTAAACGTCAAGTCACAAAAACAAGAAAACACCAAAGTCAGATTATTTAGTCAGTCTTCAAAAAAAAAAAAAGCTCGTTTGCTTTCGATGAATTTGAGAGGAAGCAAATGCCTAGTTTTCTTATGTTATGGACTGGAAGGAATCATCACCTCCACAGAAATCTTCAGTTTCCTTGTTACTCTGGAAATGGGAGTACTAAGACAAGCTTAAATTGAGTTGATCTTGATATATTCATCCTCAAGTAGGTCGATTCTTATAGCCTCCCCAAAACCCCACCGACCCCCCAATAAAACGGGAGAAGAACCAAAGGGATCTGCAGATTCCCTTAACTTTAACTTTATCTAAAACGTTTCCTTGTGTCGTCCCACAGGACCTTTATTCAGCTGCAAGTCCGTAATCATACAAAGGTGTCCTCGTTGTCCTGGATCATCCAACTGTTGCCATAGTGACTCCTTATCAAGCGTCGCAGAAGTACATGCAGAGCAGGTAGCGGTTTTCTCTTAATTTGATTTAGTTATTTAAGTATGCAGGAGCTAAACTAGAAACTGTAGATTTATATGGCTGTTATTCTGCTTGGTCAGTTTGTAGGTTGACAAAGCGACAGTACAAGTTATGCTCGTATTAGAGGCTAATAGGTCCTTGCATCGAGGATTTTTTATCGTCCAACCTTGTCAAAAGGGTCTTATGTGACAGTCCTGCGAACCATAAAACAGGTGAAAAAGAAGAAGCTAAAAAAGTGCTTTACTGAGATCTCTTTCAACTAAAATTTCTAGTTTTTAAAACTAAAGTTGAAGCTTCTGTTAAAAAATATAGTCCTATCGTATTTTTCTTACCAGCTGACAACATGAATCGGTTTTTATTTTCTTTATTGTGTGTTAATTCGTTCATTTTTCTTCAAAAAAGTTCAATTTCTATTTCAAACCAGATAAACGATATTCTCGGTACTAGTGTTCGCCTGGTTCTTAGTACTGTTCAGTTTGTAGTCACCATCTTTGATTTTGAGAGCATACGTGGAATATTAAGAATAGTAGAAAGTCCTGAAAATGCGACTAAGAGGAGGGACTTAAATTACCTGTCTCTCTCTTTCCTTCCTCCAACTGGCTGGCACTGCAGACCATGTGTGTTTACTCTGTAATGATTGAAATTCAATTGTTTCCAAATGTCTTTGTAGGGTGACTGCAGGCCTCCTGCTATTGTGCCTGTAAAAGATTTTAGTGAAGGTGAATTATCCTGCGAGCCAACCCTAGTCACACATGTTGTGGAAGTAGATGTTCATCCTACAGTTTTCGACTTGTTTCCCGCAATAAGAGGACTGGACGACAGCTCAGGGTACTATGCAAACTTACCTTATAAAAGTGTTAGCATGTAATACTCTCGTAGTGTGAAATCGGGGTGCGGGACCGGATTAATCAAGTAGTCAGTCGTTTGAAGAGTAGGTTACGCCCAGTTTTCTATAAGTAGGAGAGCAAGGGGATTGGGTTGGGGGGGAGGTGGGGGTGGGGGTTGAAAGAGGCAGTAAGAGGGCCAATCTGTTTTGCGACTATTAAATAATTTTACCCATGTGTAGCCTGTAGCCTCAAAGCCTCAATTTAAATGCCTAACAGCTAACCTGAGTACACCTTTTCCTTCCTATGGGTCAATGGCGTTTAATGGATGCAACAAACGACGTTATCGTTCAAGGTGTAACATAAAATGCCGTTTTTGTCTACTGTTGTCGACTCACGACTTCAAACGAACGCAATTCTTGTTGTTGTTGTTGTTTGTTGTTTCTCTCCCAGGGCGTTCCTCAGTCCCGTCCCCCAGCCACGTTGTCTCTTACAAGTGGACTGTAATTCTAACTTAAGATTTTATTCCCTAGATCCTATCCCCAGTACCTCGCACGAGCTGAAGCTACATTTGACAGTTCCGGCGGAAGGTTAACAGCTGAAGACTCCAACGTGACTATCAACGTGGAAAGCGGGGCAGTTCATAATGGCGTTTCCCAGCAATTTTATTTTGGTGTGGTCTACGATGATACTTTGCTGTTGCGTGATATCCCGGAAACGCCCGAAAGGTCGCTCATCTCTCCCGTGATTAAGTGTGGCCCTGACGACATAGACTTGTTAAAGCCAGTAGAAATCATTCTACCACACTGCTTGTACATGGACGAGGTCAAAAAGTCGTGGGTTAGTGTCTTCAGATGTCGACAGTTCTCTGAAAAAGGTACGTTTTTCTTTCAGAATAGATCCTCTCATGGGCGCCGTATTTCTGAACAAAACAATGAAACGGCGGCCAGTTTTGTGCATAAAAACAAATCCCGTGGGAATTGAACTATTCTCCACGCTGGACACGAAAATACCAGAACTAACCATTTTGGTCTTTTTTCTTTAACTTAACGCCGCGGTGACGGTGGAGAGGGAGACTTGCAGGCGTTTGAAAACACCTTTGGCTTTATCACCATTTTTACATGAGCTGGTTATTTACACTTGTAAAGGCTTCTGTCAGTGGAAAGGAAAAGAAACGTTTCCGGAGTACGATCTCGTGTTTACCGCTATTGATTTGATTTTATTTTAATATATTTTCATTGACCTCGTCCGTTTATTCATGAACGCATGTATGAAAGTTTTTTAAATGTGCGGTTTAGTCATGATTCTTTAATCGCCATGTTTAATTTTTTAAAAGATCCAATGAACTGGGAGAGAGTACCCTCAGAAAAAGAGAAAACCTGTCATTCCAAGGCTTGGTTTACAGTTAAAAAGGATACGATTCATATTAAAACCAAGACGTTTTCATTCTGGAGCGTCTTCTGTTGCGGCGGCCCTAAAAGGAAAAGAGCAACGGTTTTTGTGAGCAAACCAAATCCAGGGCGAAACTTGCTGCACCTCCGGTTTTACATCTACAGCGACAACGAAGATTCTAGAAAGGTATGATCGGGAGTGATAGTAAGAAGTGTTTATCATATACAGAGAAAAACCACCCTGGATAGTGTGAGGACCCCCAATAACAGCGCTAAATTCCGCTTAAATCGAGATGGACTGTACCAAAAACGTACGGAACGGAACGGACTGTAAGGAGGTAGGATTAGCGCAGTTGGTTAGTGCGCAGCCTTCTGTACGGGGGGTCCCGAGTTTGATTCCCAGGTGTGACCTCAGTGACCTCAAATCCTTCTTTCGACTTCTTTTCCTTCCGTGTAGCATTAGGTAGCTTTAAATACCCGTAAAACGGAACACTGATGGAAAGAGCTCATAGTGGCCTCAGGTTTTTTGTCAGATGACTATTTCGAGCTACCGACGTAGTATAACCTGTTTTTTTTTTTGCAAAAGGCGCCAGCTAGTCCTCGCCTGCGTATAGCAGAGGTCGAAAAGGGTTGGGGAGAAGGAAGGGAAAAGGGGAGGGGACTGGGGAGAGAAGGAAGAGTGACTTCCGTTTTCCCTTTCGCGCTCCCTCCTCCCCCAACTGTTAGTCCCAGTTTGACAAAGTGGACTAACTCTCAAATTAAAGCGAAAAAAAAATTACAATAAAAATAGTTATTAAAATGCGGTCCCTACGTCCAGTTTTTCCTGAATCTGGGACGAAATATGCCCCAAAATTGGCGGGTTAACCGTGCAAATGGTAAACCATCTCCGGTATTTATTCCATTGTGTCCAGGCTTTGCTTTTGACAGGGCAGTTTTTATCAAACAGTCACAATTATTGCTGTATAAAAACGAAACAGACCACGATTCAAGGTTGTTGTATCTTGCATTTTGGTATTGCAATAATAAGCATCCAGCTTGTTGAGCAAAATTTTAAAAACATCAATTCTTGTAATCTCTAAGTTGATTGGTACAACGGACGACAGAAACTGCGAAACACTTCGCTTATGACACTTCAAGCTGCCTGCAAATGATGCAGAAAGGGGAAGAAATTACTTCCCTGATTTAAAGATAACATATCCAGTATGCAAGTGTTCAGTTTCGATGGTCTTTTACGTTGAATACAGAGAATGGAGAGAAAAGAGAAGGAGAAGTTTCCTGATTCAAAGGCATCAATGGAAAAACCTTTCAAGATGTACAATGATACCAATGACATCACCGTCTGGCTTAGACCAGAAGAACTTGCTAAGAATGGCTGGGAACTGGATCAGACTTACGCTACACAGGTAAAACCGGCATACTAAGCAGTTTTCACTGTTGAAATTCTAATTAGTCAGTTCATAGCATTTGTAACCAAAACCAACATTGTAGGTAAAAGATTAGTAAAAGATTTAAAGTTTGTTTATAGTGGGATGTGCTCGTAGCTTATCCAGCTAGTTTACGGTCACTCCACTCAAATAATTCTGATCAAATAATCCAAATAGAACATAACAGGATTAAAAAACGCAACTGACAGCAGGTATTTACAAGCATGGCCGAGGATTTGAACTCGGGTTAGCGACAACAAATCCAGCAAGTGACCAGAGTGGGACTGCAACCCAGGACCGCCGGATTGCAAGTCGGCGGATGCGTTGACCACTCGGCCACGCTGCCTCTACAAGAAAACAAACTTGCTTTGCAAGCTTTTGGATTTGAATTCACATTTGGCACCAACACTGAATAACCTTAACTCCGTTGATTGAACAACCCGTATCATGCGTATTTGAAACATGTCACAATTGTACAGAAATGGCCACCTACAAATCCTGACAATATATGAGAAAAGGGTAAATCCGCGATTGTCAAGGAGTTTTAACCACCCCAGTTTATGACTCCTGTCCAAGGTAGTTAGTCCCCAAAAGCATTTCACTTTTGCCTCACTAGACACACTAGCTCTGTGCATCACAACCGAGTATTGGTTGTCTCTTGTACTGTTTCTTGCATCTTTTGACCTAGAAGCCAAACTTGCCGTTAACTTGCATTACTAATCAGTGTTCTAGTATAAAATTCGCTAATGCTCAGAGGGGTTTTGGTTGCAGAATAGCGTAACCCGCTACGCTGCGCGCGCAACAAGAACAAATTGTAATAATTATAAAACAACGTTTATGTTTTGTGTCCTTTTTCATGTAGACTTACTCGTATGATATGGCTTACAAGAATGGATACCGCACGTATGAATCGTGTAGTTACGCAGTGAATCCCACTAGAGCGAGCCTGGAAGGTGTAAATGATTTTTCTTGCAGTTTATATTTCCAGCAAGAAGAGCACCCGGAACACTTTATTTACGTAAACCCAGGGATTTCTCTGACCCCGCAGCAGGTAAAAGACACATTATTTTCTTGTTGGAGGGAGAAACTGAGGGTTAACTGAGCTAACCGGTTAGCTCAGTTGGTAGAGCGCCCGACTGTTGTGCGGGAGGTGTAGGGTTCGAGCCCCAGACCGGACCAACACTCAGGGTCTTAAAGTAACTAAGGAGAACATGCTGCCTTTGCAATGACATCTGCAAATGGTAAGATGTTCTAGTCTTCTCGGATAAGGATGATAAATCGTAGGCCCCATCTCCTGCATCTTCAGTGTTATGTAGTCAGCAGGGGACGTTAAAGAACCCATGCACTTGTCGAAAAGAGTAGGGCACGGAGTTCCCGGTGTAGTGGTCTGGCCTTGTTTCACGGGTTGGTGCTTCACATAGGGTTAACCTCATTGCACCTTTCCCTACTTGGACAGATTTGCCCAAGGAAAAATGAGTATAGTATAGTCCTTCCCAACTTCCCAACGGCAGTCGCATGTGCGCACGCGCGCAGCGCATCTTGCTTTCCAAGAATGATTCCATGACGTCTCTTGTAGAAAAACCCTAGCCCATGATCTTGTACAAAAACCCTAGCCCATGAAAATACTTTCTGGTGGAAATAGTTTTGTTTGAGCGGTGCGTCTTGTGGTAGATGATGTGTGAGACAATCAGCCGACGAGACAGATATATTACCTATATAGTGAATGCTCAACGCTGTTTTTTAAAGTTTTACACATCAGTATCAAACGAGTCATTTATTTTCATGGCAGACAGCGAACTGGCACTACAAGGCAGGTTACGACAGATGAGCTTACCTTTGAGCTTATCAGTAACTTGTTTTTTCATCTAAGTGCAGTTATCTGATGTTTGACGAACTCTATCTTCTTACCCAAAGTTTATGCCATATTTAACGATTTTTTGACGCGATCACTACTTTGCAGTTCTATTAAACCTCTCACACAAAGACATTTTTCTTTTTAGTCTCTTTTGCGTAAGCAGCGAGACTCATAATCTGTAACGCAGTTTTCCTCTTTTCTTGGACACAAAAGGGGGTCATTGTGTCTTTAAAAATACAATTTTCTCTTTTTTTTGTTTGGTTAATATTGGTTTGAAAATTTCGTCTGTAGACCTTCAATGGATATCACGTCGAGGGCCCAGGCAGCGGTAATAACAGCTCAGCAAGTGCAGCAGAGAACTTCAGCAGGGAACCTCAGTTCCCTGAATCCTTCCAAGGTGTGTTTATTTTCATTTTCAATCATACTTTTAAAACAAAAACCAGTAAAAACAAAATCAAAATAGCCGAGTTGTTAATAGCTACCTGGGCGTCCCTGCGTTATGTGAAATCCTGCAAGCTTATTGGCTGTTTGGAGTGCGTTCGTGGCCAATTCAATAACGTGTGATTTCATGCGTTTGTGGCTTTTATTCTTTGCTATTTACTTGTACTTACCTGACCAACCGATGAACTGTACAGAGAAAATTTTGTCTCAACATTGACTTTAATTTGAATTTTCCTTCTTTTGAGAGTCAAAGTCGGTTCTCTTTCCTAACGGAAGGCGTATTTTAACCTTTCCTCCTGTTGCTGTCTTTTGCCATTCAGAGCCCTGTCAATATTGAAAACATATTTACAGACTCAAGGGTTGTGCAGATTAACTAGCAGATGGATTGGCAAGAACTCTAATTAATTTCTATTCCTTTGATAATAGACGAACCAGTGACACAAGAAATTTGCCTTAGTATTTCTAAGGACATCGGAGCTGACTGGAAGAACGTTTTGCGACATCTGGGGATGAAAGAAACAGCTATAAAAAACTTGGACGAGGATTATAAGAACTGTAATGTCGCTGAAAAGTGCTATCAGGGGTTAATAAAATGGCAAACAGAGAAGGGCCCAGAGGAGGCGAGAACCAAACAACTCTGTGGAGCTCTGCATGAGGCGAATTGCCCAGAGGCATTGAACACTTTGTTGTCGCGAGGAGGTATGTGATCACCTTACTCATTTCCACTTGTGACCAGGCTCCTAATTTACTAAGGCCTCAGCCAAAGTTAAGATATCTCTCTTAAGTATTGTATTTACAGTCAACTCTTTCGAAGACGGACGCTTTAGGGACCGACACCAAGTGTCCGTCTTAGAGAGGTGTCCATGTTATACTGAGGTTGTCAAATAAAGGGAGTAAAGAAATGCAGGGACCTACTCAAGGTGTCCGTTTTACAGAGGTATCCATCTTATAGAGATGTCCGTTAAGAGAGAGTCGATTGTAATTGTTACTTACTGTTATGCGACAAAACCTCGTAATCCGGAACCAAGCGGTCAAAGTTTGACATTGTTTTGTCTTTCTTTTAATTGAATTGAGAGTACTCAAACCGAAGTATATCTAAGTACTCCCTTTTCCAATAGCATTATAAAATTTGTCTTTACCCAAATTGATGACAATATGTGCCCGCAAAAAAAACTAAAAAGAAAATTTTTAAACATGTGCTAAACTCACTCAGAATAAAACTAATTAAGTTTTCGCGAGTGAACCATTTCCGCTTATTTGTTGTCCAGAACTGAAATCTTATCTCCGGATCATAATGGTTTTATGCCTGAAAAAACTTTATGAGTCCCCATTGCAAGAAAGCGGAGCTTTGAAAGTCTGGTAAACGTGCTCAAAATTTGTAGGAATTCTCAAAAACGGCGTCCGACCACAATATTTGAAAGGTAAATAAGAACTGAAAAGTGCGGTTGAGTCGTTACATCAGTTTTTTTCTTTATCCTCAGACGGAGGTAGGTCTGTCACCTCCGAGTCAGAGACACCCAACTGCACTCCGCTGCCGGCCGAGTGACAGGCTTATCATCAACCCCCGAGTTCGTTGAGGCATGCGCAGAGCCTGATTAGAGAGGAGACCCGGGACTGAGAAGTACATAGATCGGTTTAGGCCCTTCGAACACTGGCTGTACTCTCGGATCATCTTCCTTTTAACTTAAGATAAGCTTATCGCTTGTTAACTGCAACTTGAGGATTAAAACTGGAGGAATCCTCTAACTGAAACAAGCCGCGAGACTATTTCCAAAAATTAAGTATGGCCTGGGTGTTAACTGATGTCCTAGACTTAATTTCAATACCCTTATCAACATTCCCCTTTGACTAGTGAAAACGGGGTCGACATAAGCATAAGCTTAAGCACAAGGCCGTGGTCCAATCATACGCCACTTTGACCCAGACTTCGTGCGAACATATCAAAAGCAATATGGCGGACGAAGTGTCTGCTATCTTCTTTATGATCGGGTTGAGGAGAGCTGGTATTGAGATTTGAGGCAAATATGCCATTCTGCGCGTGCGTATGTCCTTATGCTTATGCTTATGCGCGCTAGTGAAAACCAGGCTTGAAGAGAGGCAGATAGTTTGTTTAAAGACTATGTAAAACTTGGAGTTACAAAATAGGCATGGTTCAAATGTTTTGACGAAAATGCCATCTAAAATACGCTTTCTGTGCTTGCAGACCTGAACAAGTGTATATTTTTGTATTTAATAATCCACATATGCCGGGCGTTACTTGTAAAGTACGGCGGAAATAGTTGCTTCTTCATTTACTTGTGCAAATTGCGACGTGGAAATGGAGTACTTCTTACGGGATAGTTAGACTGTAATTACTGCATAAACAAGTCCGCTAATGGACATCATGAAGAGGAAAAGATCAGATCATTTATTTTCAACATTTATAATTCTTCAAGCTCCCTTTATTTTATTTTATTTTTTTAAAAAAGGAGATACTTTTTAATCAAATTCTTGACAACTTAAAACTACCAATAGCATTTTTCCACCGAATTTGTAAATACACATACTGCACTTCTTATTCTTAAGCCTATAAAATGCTCCAAAAATGAGTTTTTCGTGAGTAAAAACGTTCTTAGAAAATTACTTATCATTTTGATAAAATGTAAATACCGCTTAGCCCTATTAAGGGTTGATTTTGTTTTCTCTGATATTACGAGCTCCTAATCTATTAAAGGCAAAGAAAAATTCTTCCAAATTGCAGGTTTCCAAAATAATGTTACTGAGACTCATTGGCATAAACTAAATAAGTAGAGCCATCCCTTTTTAACTTTACTTAAGTGAAAACAGGTTGATCTTCTCCAGGTTTTAAGGTTTCAGTCAGTTCTATGACTTAAATAACTTGACCTTGGATACTGATGGGTGATACGTTGTTTGGTTACAATTTATTTATTAATACCTGTGATTAAACAATTTTTACCTGAAAATCAAAGGCTGGTAGTGTCCAGCCGAAATATTATTAAATATTTTTAAGAATCTATTTCGCTCCGTTTTTGGCGTGACGTTTCTGCTCAATGTGATTGAACATATACTTAAACAAGTTACAGCTTGCTTCCTCCTCGTGACAACTAAATATGATATGTATGTCAACTACCCCGACCCTACTATGTTATACCTTTGCTGTTTAAAAGACCCAAAAAGTTTTCAAAAGTTAAATCTTACAGCGTTTAGTTTTTTATTTCCTCTTTTCTTTCTTTTTTTCTTTTCGGGGTTCTTAATAAGTAAACATCTTCACCAATCCGCTAGTTTGTACCCCCAATCTTACCCCAAACACCACCTCTCCGGAAGGATTTAAATTACCCAATCACCCGGGAAAAACCCCAGCTTTTTTAGGGGTATCAAAAGGTGCGGTTTGCTTAGCACGCTAGCATTTAATTTCGGTGTCACTGAAACCTAACGAAGCTAGCACGCTTCTTTTCCTCTCAACGTCCTGTAAGAGTGTTAGAATGGTGTATCAAGTTGTATTTCTATGCAGTGTGATAGGATTTCACTCAGTGTACGTAAGTATCTTCCATCACTTTCTTGTTATCGATCGATAGTGGCCGTGTTATTGAATATTTGTTCAACAGCAAGCGACGCGTGCAGCAATACACGTAAGTGATTTAAGAAGCAGCAATCTTGACAAATAAGTGAAAAGCGTTCGTTATATTCCATACCATATCTCTTGCCGACATGGTTTCAGCCTACACTTCGGTACACTTAAAATCACGTAAGTTCTGTTGGTGGGGCAAATTATTTGAAAATGCTGCAAATGAGTTTCACTTGCAATGAGGACATTAAATTCCCCCCGAGTCTTCAATTGCCTAAGCTGTTTTCATTTCTGGCTTTTCCCAGAAAATTGTACCCTAGCTTAATCAAACTGCTCTTCCTAAAGAAATCAGATAAAACTAAAATTGAACTTGGGTGCGATCGCTTGGAAGCTACTCGAACTATTTAGCGCAATATCTGTATTTAAGAAGTCGACATGATTTCACGTTGATACATAGTTCAGTTCATTAGTAAAGCTAATATACTGCGTTATAAAGAGGCAATTGATAACAAATTGCAGCATGTGGAGTAATTAATTTTAAGGAATCTAATTTTCTGGGAGTGTAATAAAACAGGTGATAAAATACAATAATTTTGACAAAGTATGTCATATAGCAACATATTCAAGATCAAGAAATCGAAACAGTAAACCGGTAAATGACCTTTGTCCTATGTGAACGACAGATACTTCCTGTTGTTGATATTGTGTTTTCTTTGGGAATGTTTTTACCAGTTGCTGTCTAGTCTGGACCGCGGAGCTGGGGGGGGGGGGGGGACATATGCCCCTCAATAATTTTAACGCAATTGTCCTAAAAATTTCAAGAGAAAATGTTTAGAAAAGAAACTCACTTGTTTTGTTTGTGGTTTTGTTTAACGCTTTTTAAAACTTTGATTCTACGCACAACAGCTTTGTTTTGCTTTGCGGCGAACCCATGTAATTCAATAAGCTAAATAAAGATCCAAAATCCTTTATACACAAACAAGACCAATGAAAGAAGTTAAATTTTTGTAATACCATTTGAAAATGCACCATGTATACGTACGAGACTTCAATAGCTCCTTTCACGCCCTTACAAAAAACATTAGTAGGAGTAGCATCTCTGTAGCAGTATCGTCGCGTAGAATTCCCAATCCGAGGTCAACAAAAAATTTCCCGTCCAGGTAGGGGGTTGGTGTTTTGCCGTTTTTTTTGCCGTGACAGTCTAACATACATGAGGAAAGAACAACAAAATGGTCAAAGAGTGCTGGAAACAAGTTGTTAAAATAAGAAAGATGGCGGCCGAGTCGCGAAATTCTTTTTTTGTCTTTCCAGGACGTTTCCAAGGCGAAATCTTCTTCGCGAAAAGTTCTGAGTATGACAAAACATGGTTTCGTCTTCTAACCAAGAACTAGAAGTCCAAAGATTACTGCAAACCTGATTTAAAACAACATGTACTGTTTTTTATAACAATATTCGTAGGATTCAGTTCGTAAGGCCAGGGAGTCGCATTTGATAGATAAGGCCATGACCCTTGAACCTCATTGCCTAAACCGCCGTGACGAATTATTGTACTATTATAGGAAATTAACGCTCCATGAAATTAATGTGTTGAAAATTAACGCGAATTTAATGGAAAACAACTTTAGAATAAAGAAAATTAACGCGAAAGATGAGGTAGAATTTCATAATAAAGGAAATTAGCGCGATTGAGACAGTTAGACAAATTTATTTCAACACTGCATGCAAAAAAATCCATAACTGAACAAAACTGAGATGACATCACTTCTGACAGCGACAACGCTGAAGATGAACTCGAAATATTGTTAACCTGCGCCTTAGCTTTTGTCAAAGATGAAATTAAAATAAAGGGTAAATGGAAAGAAAGAAAGTCCTTAGTTAATGTTTTTTAGGTGTCAAGAATGTCTGGACAGGTTCCAAAATTGGGGGTTAAAATATTGGAAATCAAGAGCGCGGAAATTAACGCTGCACTTAATTAACGTCGCGGAAATTAACGCTCAACAAAATTAACGCGACTTAAATTAACGCGAGTTTTAACGATTCGCGTTAATTTCATGGAGCTTTAATTTCCTGTAATCCATCTCCTTTTTACTTTCCAGTTTTTGTGTTATACGTCATTTCCGCTTCTTCCTTTTAAACAATTTTTACTGCGACATTCTCCATCTATATAATATTGTGATTGCTACATAAGTTCAGTAACATCTGTAAACCTGAAGAAGGCTGGTATGGCCAGCCGAAATATTGTTATAAAAAACAATACACAACACGATACATCCGTTTCTCCTCGCTCTTCGCCGCTAGGGAAGTTTCGCGCGGAGGAACGTCAAAACGTCCCCAGTGGCGAAGAGCGAGAAGAAACGGATGTTTTCGCAGGCTACTCCGCAGCTGAAATTATTTTATAAACATTGGAAGTAAAACCGGTGATGTAGGCAAATTCGTTTTCTTTCGTTGGCACTTAGCGAAAGCTACAACTAGTTACTGTTGTTGTTTTAACATGTTCATGTTCAGCTGTTTAGAGCGTATCACTGCAAAAAAAAAATGAAAAAATAAAACAATGAGCACTAGTTTCCACTCAAACCCTAACCTCACTACCCTTGGTGCCCGAGACTTCACTAGCGGGGTTTCCGGTTTAAAGTCTTTATAGTGACTCTCGCGAAAAGCCTCGTTTGGTCTAATGCTTTTATAAAATAACTTTAAGTTTTCTGTACGTTTACCGGCACAATAAACCATGGGTTTTTAACCAATCAGAACGCGCGTACTATCTTCAGCTGATCTTAGTTATTTTATAAACTGTCGCAGATATCTCTCGACCAATCCGCGCGCGAGGATTCGCTCACTTATTGTATAATTTAAAATCGATTAAGAACTGTGATTAGTGTAAAGATTGTTGTAAACTTGTTATCTGTTATTATTTTAACCTTTTTGTTTTATATTTTAGTCGCTGAGTAAAATTGAGGCACATCGCTCGCCTCAACCCATTTGTCCCGGCCAAAAATGTCCTGCGGGACATTCATCCTTTTGTCCTCAAAATGCAACCAGGCGCTGCATACAATGCAAGGAAGGTACATTCTCCTCTCACGCGTCTCGTAGGAAGGCATGCAGGCCTTGCTCTCGCTGTGGTGATGACAAATATGAAATACGCCCATGTACTCCAACTTCAAATGTGGTATGCAGGAAATGCAGACAGTGCCCTCCTGGATCTGAAGTAGAGAAGTCCTGTGAAGGAAAGAAAGACACTGTTTGCAAGAAGTGCAATACTCTTGATTCTGGCAGAAAATGCAAAAACAGAGGACTTAAAAGGACACCAGGTACTAAATTCAGTAGGCATGTTTCGTTGGGTTCTCCCGTTAAAACAGAACTAGCAAAATCAAGGCTGTGCTCAAAGCAAATTTTAAAAGATGGCCGGTGCTCTGAACATGTGAAATCAAGGGTGCTCAATATATGATTTGTAGGAGGAAAATAAGAGTTTCATGGTCGACCGGGAACAAAAGTTAGGCGCCAGCGACCCCTGGGTCCTGCTAGAGCACAATCTTGAAAATGAGACTCTCAAAATAACTAAGTACCCTTTTTAAGGCCATTTGACCCTAATGAAAACCTTTCTGGGACGACCAACACTGCCTAACTTTGTCCTTTAGCAGATATTTCTCACTCTGAGGGACGCAAAATATGGAATAAAGATCAACAAGCTAAAGATGCTTCTCTTGTTGAAGTTCAGATTAAAAAACCTTGGTTCAGTGGTAGTGGCCAACCCACGCATCATGTGAAACCTTCGCCAGGAATACACGCGCTTCGATCAACGTCCTCAAACGGTCGTACGCCATCTATAGTGTCCTTCACATCCCGTCACGTGATTAGCATTACTTCGTTTGTCAAAGGCTCCACAAAGGACGTACCCTCCAAAGAGACATTAATCGAACCATCCCCTGATGTGCAGGCGACAAAGTATTCACCCACTACCAGCCCATCTACAAATAGCGGGGAATCTGACTTGAAGTACGCACGTGTCATACACATACGACGCGACCAGCCGAAACTTCCAATGCATACGCGTCGAAATGCCGAGCATAGCGGTACAAGAAAAGCATCAACATTTCCAGCGTTTCAGTTATCAAGCATGTCCTTTAAAGACGTCGATACTGGGACAGTGTTTAGTGTGCCATATATCCGAGTAGTACCTGAAGTTTCCACGACATTATCTCCTGAGCATAGTATGTCTACATGTATTTTATAACCCTCTCCCCCCTCCCCCTTCCCCTACTTGTACAGAGTGATTACCGCGCCAACATTACTGTTACATTGCTGCTAATGTTTGGTAAATAGCAAATCATAGGATTTGCTGATACACTTTGACGCATTTCCTGCTGAAAAGGGTTACTCTCTCGTTCAGCCTTAACGGAGAAGTGGCAGTCAGCTGCTTATTTATCTTTAATCACAAGTAAGATATTATAGTTTCACAGGGGTTTTAGGTAGGTATGGAAAGTCATGACGAAGTTTTCAAGCGTTTTTGCCTGACTTTTGAGTCCAACAAAGTAGTGGGGATTTTGTCTTCAGTGAAGCACAACGGGATTTGACTAGTAAGTAGAATGGCGAAAGTGCCATTTTAATTATTGTCTCAAACAGATTCGGGATTTGTCAGCCTGTCCGTACACCATTGTTAAACTTCGAGAGGGTACCGTGAGTGGGCCCTGGGACTCATACCACCTGTCTTGTTTACGGAACCCAATTCCTTTTCTTGACTTATAGCAACCTGATTATTAGTTCTTTCCTTACCTCGTTAGCGAAGGTGAAGAGACCTCTCCCGGAAAGTCAGGAAGTAAGAGGTTCTAACAACAGATTACCGTTGTATTTGGCCGTTGGTGCAGTAGCGATTTTAGTTATCGGCATCTTCCTAGGATTCACACGACATAAACTTGGTAAAGGTAAGACACCTTCCGTTTTTTTTTTTTTTACACATGATAGTTTGCCCCCGGCTTTCAGAATATGGAACGTCTGAAATCGGAAACACATGATGACGTTGCAGCAAACTTACTAGCTAAACCATTTTCAAGTCACTAATTATTGTCGCATGACCTAATAAGGCTATCTTTAGTTCAGAACATAAATTATTAAATCAGTTTTCACAAGATGGACCACCCCGTTTGTTTTAGATGAATTTGAGAGGAAGTTTATGCCTTTGTTTCCTTTCTGTTATGGACTGTAAGGAAACATCACCTCAGCAGAAATCTTCATTGCGTAAAAGCAGATCAATTGAGTTGAATTTAATACTCAAATACAAGTCGATCGGACCAAAGGGATCCGCCCAATACTCCAGATTACCTTAAAGCTTTATCAACAAAGGTTTGGCGGCTTCTTAAGACGTTTTCATATGTTCCATAGGACCCCTCTTCAGCTATAAATCTGAAATCAGACAAAGGCGTCCTTGTTGTCCCGGATCATCCAACTGTTGCCATAGTGACTCCTTATCAAGCGTCGCAGAAGCACATACAGATCAGGTAGCGGTTTCATCTTAACTGAAGTTAATTTAGTTGATTAAGCATGCAGTGTCCAAATTAGAAACTGTAGGTTTATATGACTGTTATACTGTCTGATTGTTGTTTGGGCGTGCTACGAGTCACTGTAGGTTGACAGAGCGACAATACAAGATACACTTGTGCTAGCGGCGAAAAGGCCCTTGCATCGACGATCTTTGTTGTCAATCTTTGTCAAAAGGGTCTTTCGTGACAGTCGTACCAAAAATCGGGTTATCCGAAAACGTTACAAAGAGAGATGGAATTAGCAAAAACAAAGTTTACATTTCGGTCAGTCTGTTTGATCTGAGATTTACAGGAACACAAGTCCAAACGAACTATAAAGCAGGTGAAAAAAAGTTTAAGTGCTTCAATAAGATCTCTTTCAAGTAAAATTCCTGATCAGTTTGCGACTTAAGTTGAAGCTTCTGTTGAAAAATATCGTCTCAGTATTTATCGCGTTTTTCTTGCCAACTGACACCAACTTTTCGAGTCGGTTTTCATTTTCTTTGGTGTATTTAAAATCGTTCATTTTTCTTCAAGAAAGTTCAGTTTCCATTCTAAACCAGTTAGACGATTTTGCATAAGACAAGTACTCGCTAGAAAATAGCCTTCGCTTCGTATTTCTTTTTTAGTTTGTAGTCGCCATCTTTGATTTTGGGAGCAGAGGCGGAAAATTGGGAATACTAGAAAGTCTTGAAAACGTCTCCCTGTTCCCTACCTTTCTGTCCTTCCTCCAACCGGCTGGCTCTACAGACTAGACGTGTTTACACTGTACATGTAATGATTGAAATTCAATTGATTTAATGTCTTCACAGAATGATAGCAGACCTTCTGCGACTGTACGTGTAAAAGATTTTAGTGAAGGTGAACTATCCTCTGAGCCAACCCAACTCACACATGATCTGGAAGTAGATGGTCATCGTACAGTTTTCGACTCGTTTCCCGTAATAAGAGGACTGGACGACAGCTCAGGGTACTATGCAAACTTACCTTATGAAAATGTTAGCATTTAGTATTCTCGTGGTGTGAAATCCGGGTGCAGGACCGGATTAATCATGTAGTCAATCGTTTCAAGAGTAGGTTACGTTCTTCAAGTAGGAGAGCAAGGGAATTGGGTTGGAGAGAGGGGAGTGGGGGTGGGGGTGGGGGTTTAAAGAGGCAGTAAGAGAGCCAATCTGCTTTACGAATGTTAATTAATTTTACCCATGTGGAGCCTCAAAGCCTCAATTTAAATGCCCAACAGCTAACCTGAGTATACCTTTTCCTTCCTATGGATCACTGGCATTTAATAGATACAACAAACGCCGTTTTTGTCTACTGTTGTCACCTCACGACTTCAAACGAACGCAATTCTTGTTGTTGTTGTTGTTGTTGTTTCTCTCCCGGGGCGTTCCTCAGTCCCGTCCCCCAGCCACGTTGTCGCTCTCTGGTAGTAGCCAACTCGAAAGCTTGGCTCCTTTGGCTGCTATACACTCTTTTTCCTTTGTTATGTTTAATTCAATGTATAGTTAGCTCTGTTTCTGCTTCTTTTTTTATTCTTTTTTATTGTTGTTGTATTGTAATTGAATAAGTGTGAAAAAATGAACTTGAACAAGCAGAGTGCAATTTTAACTTAAGATGTCATTCCCTAGACCCTATCCCCAATACCTCACACGAGCTGAAGCTACATTTGACAGTTCCGGCGGAAAGTTAACAGCTGAAGACTCCAACGTGACTATCAACGTGGAAAGCGGGGCAGTTCCTAATGGTGTTTCCCAGCAATTTTATTTTGGTGTGGTCTACGATGATACTTTGCTGTTGCGTGATATCCCGGAAAGGCCCGAAAGGTCGCTCATCTCTCCCGTGATTAAGTGTGGCCCCGACGACATGGACCTGTTAAAGCCAGTAGAGATCATTCTACCACACTGCTTGTACATGGACGAAGTCAAAAAGTCGTGGGTTAGTGTCTATAGATGTCGACAGTTCTCTGAAAAAGGTGCGTTTTTCCTTCAGAATAGATCCTCTCATGGCCGCCATATTTCTGTACAAAGCAATGAAACGGTGGCCAATTTTGTGCATAAAAACAAATCCCGTGGGAATTGAACTCCTCTCCACGCTGGACACGAAAATACCAGAAGTAACCATTTTGGTCTTTTTTCTTTAACTTAACGCCGCGGCGTTGGTGGAGAGGGAGACTTGTAGGCGTTTGAAAACACCTTTGGCTTTATCACCATTTTTACATGAGCTGGTTATTTACACTTGTAAAGGCTTCTGTCAGTGGAAAGGAAAAGAAACGTTTCCAGAGTACGATCTTGTGTTTACCGCTATTGATTTGATTTTATTTTAATATATTTTCATTGACCTCCTCCGTTTATTCATGAACGCATCTATGAAAGTTTTTTAAATATGCGGTTTAGTCATGATTCTTTTTTCGCCATGTTTAATTTTTTAAAAGGTCCTATGAACTGGGAGAGAGTACCTTCAGAAAGAGAGAAAACCTGTCATTCCAAGGCTTGGTTTACAGTTAAAAAGGATACGATTCATATTAAAACCAAGACGTTTTCATTCTGGAGCGTCTTCTGCTGCGGCGGCCCTAAAAGGAAAAGAGCAACGGTTTTTGTGAGCAAACCAAATCCAGGGCGAAACTTGCTGCACCTCCGTTTTTATATCTACAGCGACAACGAAGATTCTAGAAAGGTATGAACTGGAGTGATAGTAAGAAGTGTTTATCATATGCGGGGAAAAACCACCCTGGATAGTGTGGAGACCCTAATAACAGCCCTAAATTCCGCTTAAATCGAGATGGACTGTACCAAAAACGTACGGAACGGAACGGACTGCAAGGAGGTAGGATTAGCGAGGTAGGATGAGTGACCTCAAATCCTTCTTTCGACTTCTTTTCCTTCCGTGTAGCATTAAGTAGCTTTAAATACCCGTAAAACGGAGCACTGTTGGAGAGAGCTCATGGTCGGCCTCAGGTTTGTTTGTCAGATGACTATTTCGAGCTACCGACGTAGTATAACCTGTTTTTTTTGTTTTTGCAAGAGGCGCCAGCTAATCCTCGCCTGCGTATAGCAGAGGTCGAAAAGGGTTGGGGAGAAGGAAGGGAAAAGGGGAGAGGATTGGGGAGAGAAGGAAGAGTGACTTCCCTTTTCCCTTTCGCGCTTCTCCTATTTTAACAAATGGGACTAATTCTCTAATTAAAGCGGAAAAAAATTAAAATTAAAATAGTTATTAAAATGCGGCCCCTGCCTCCATTTTTTGCAGAACCTTTTCACTAGGACGAAATATGCCCCAAAATTTGTGGGCTGACCGCGCAAATGGTAAACCGTCTCCGGTATTTATTCTATTGTGTCCAGACTTTACTTTTGACAGGGCAGTTTTTGTCAAACAGTCACAATTATTGCTGTATAAAAACGAAATAGATCACGATTCAAGATTGTTGAATCTTGCATTTTTGTATTGCAATAATAAGCATCCAGCTTACAGAGCAAAATGTTTAAACGTTAATTCTTGAAATCTCTAAGTTGATTGGTACATCGGACGACAGAAACTCCGAAACACTTCCATAATTGCCTTATGACACTTCAAGCTGCCTGCAAATGATGCAGAAAGGGGAAGAAATTACTTCCCTGATTTAAAGATAACATATCCAGTATGCAAGTTTTCAGTTTCGATGCTCGTTTACTTTGAATACAGAGAATGGAGAGAAAAGAGAGGGAGAAGTTTCCTGATTCAAAGCCATCAATTGAAAAACCTTTCAAGATGTACAATGATACCAATGACATCACCGTCTGGCTTAGACCAGAAGAACTTGCTAAGAAAGGCTGGGAACTGGATCAGACTAACGCTACACAGGTAAAACCGGCATACTAAGCAGTTTTCACTGATTGCAGGTAAAAGATTAGTAAAAGATTTAAAGTTTGATTATAGTGGGATGTGGTCATAGCTTATCCAGATAGTTTACACTCACTCCACTCTAATAATTCTGATCAAATAGTCCAAATAGAACGTAACAGGGTTAAAAAACGCAACTGACAGCAGGTATTTACAAGCGTGGCCGAGATTCGAACTCGGGGCTAGCAACAACAAATCCAGCAAGTGGCCAGAGTTGGACTCGAACCCGGAACCGCCGGATTGCAAGTCCGACGCGCTGACCACTCGTCCACGCTGGCTCCACAGGAAAGCAAACGTGCTTTGCAAGCTTTTGGATTTGAATTCACATTTAGCACCAACACTGGATAACCTTAACTCCGTTGATAGAACAACCCGCATCATGCGTATTTGACACATGTCACAACTGTACAGAAATGGCCACCTACAAATCCTGACAATATATGAGAAAAGGGTAAATCCGCGATTGTCAAGGAGATTTAACCACCCCAGTTTATGACTCCTGTTCAAGGTAGTTAGTCCTAAAAAGCATTTCACTTTTGCCTCACTAGACACACTAGCTCTGTGCATCACAACCGAGTATTGGTTTACTCTTGTACTGTTTCCTGCATCTTCTGACCTGGAAGCCAAGCTTGCCGTTAACTTGCATTACTAATCAGTGTTCTAGTATTACCTTCGCTAATGCTCAGAGGGGTTTTTGGTTGCAGAATAGCGTAACCCGCTACGCTGCACAACAAAAACAAATTGTAATAATTATAAAACTATGTGAATGTTTTGTATCCTTTGTCATGTAGACTTACCTCTATGATATGGCTTACAAGAATGGATACCGCACGTATGAATCGTGTAGTTACGCAGTGAATCCCATTAGAGAGAGCCTGGAAGATGTAACTGATTTTTCGTGCAGTTTATATTTCCAGCAAGGAGACAACCCGGAACACTTTATTTACGTAAATCCAGGGATTTCTCTGACCCGGCCACAGGTAAAAGACACTAAGAAACTAAAAGTCCTTCCCAACTTCCCGACGGCAGTCGCATGTGCGCATGCGCGTAGCGCATCTTGCTTTCCAATAATGATTCCATGACGTCTCTTGTAGAAAAACCCTAGCCCATGAAAATACTTCCTGGTAGAAATAGTTTTGCTTGAGCGGTGCATCTTGTGGTAGATGGTGTGTGAGATTACCTATGTAGTGAATGCTGAACGCTGTTTTTTAAAGTTTTACACACCAGTATCAAACGAGTCATTTATTCTCCTGGCAACCAGCGAACTGGCACTACAAGGCGGGTTACGACAGATGAGCTTACCTTTGAACTTATCTGTAACATGTTTTTTATCTAAGTGCAGTTATCTGATTTTTGGCGAACTCTATCCTCTTACCCAAAGTTTATGCCATATTTAACGATGTTCTCTCTGTCTGACGCATCACTACTTTGCAACTCTATTAAACCTCTCACACAAAGACATTTTTCTGCAACATAATCTGCAACGCGCTTTTCGTCGTATTTGGGGCACAAAAGGGGGTCATTGTGTCAGGCGTTCCTAGCGGAGACCTTGGAAATGATGTAATTTCTCTAGAATCGAGGCCCTTAAATTTTCGTTTATTTATACACGCGTATAGCCTGCGACCGCAGACGTATTTCCGGTCGTCGCTAAAACGCGTACTAAATCAATTCAGAAACAAATAAAAAGTATCGACGTCGATGAAGTAGGAAGTAAAGATCCTTTAGCGAGTAAATCCTGTTTCGTGTAGAATTAATCGCCTTCTCATTTCTCGATCTAATCTCCAAGCAAGCGAGACTGACCGCCACTCTAGGAGCGTTCTTGTTAATATTTTTCCATTTAGCACTAAGTTTGAAACACCATTTGAAAGCTAAGAGAATAATTTATTATAGGTAGATTTGGCGGTCAAAAAAATCACCACCAAAATTCAATGCATAATTATATGCCGTAGTTTGATACATTGTCAATATTCATCGCCTTTAAAAATGCAATTCAGTTTCTCTTTCCCTTCTTTGGTTAATATTGGTTTGGAAATTTCATCTGTAGACCTTCAATGGATACCACGTCGAGGGCCCAGGCAGCGGTAATAACAGCTCAGCAAGTGCAGCAGAGAACTTAAGTGACCCACCACAACTAAACAACGAAAGAGAACTTCAGTTCCCTGAATCCTTCCAAGGTGTGTTTATTTTCATTTTCAATCATACTTTCAAAACAAAAAACAGTAAAAACAAAATCAAATGAGCCGAGTTGTTAATAACTACCTGGTCGTCCCTGCCTATTCATTTTGTGCGTTCTGTGAAATCCTGCGAGCTTATTGGCTGTTTAGAGTGCGTTCGTGGCCAATAGCGTGCGATTTCATGCGTTTATGGCTTTCATTCTCTGCTATTCATTTCCCTTTCCTGACCAACTGATAAATTGTACTGAGTGAATCTGACTTAACATTAACTTTTATTTGAATTTTTACTTCTTTCGGTTATTTTCTCTTTCCTAACGTAAGGCGTATTTTAACCTTTTATCCTAGCCTGTTGCTGTCTTTTGCCATTCAGCGCACTGTCAATATTGAAAACATCACAGACTTTAGGGTTGTGCGGATTTACCAGCAGATGGATTAACAAGAACTCTAATCAATTTCTATTCCTTTGATAATAGACGAACCAGTGACAGAAGAAATTTGCCTTAGTATTTATAAGGACATCGGAGCTGACTGGAAGAACGTTTTGCGACATCTGGGGATGAAAGACACAGCTATAAGAAACTTGGACGAGGATTATAAGAACTATAAAGTCGCTGAAAAGTGCTATCAGGGGTTAATAGAATGGCAAAAAGAAAAGGGCCCAGAGGAGGCGAGAACCAAACAACTCTGTGGAGCTCTGCGTGAGGCGAATTGCTTAGAGGCATTGAACACTTTGTTGTCGCGAGGAGGTATGTGATCACCTTACTCATTTCCACTTGTGACCAGGCTCCTAATTTACTAAAGCCTCAGCCAAAGTTAAGATATCTCTCTTAAGTATTGTATTTACAGTCAACTCTCTCGAGGACGGACACTTTTGGGACCGACACCAACAAGTGTCCGTCTTAGAAAGGTGTCCATGTTATACTGAGGTTGTCAAATAAAGGGAGTAAAGAAACGCAGGCACCAACTCTAGGTGTCCGTTTTACCGAGGTCTCCATCTGATAGAGAGTCAAATAAAGGGAGTAAAGAAACGCAGTCACCAACTCTAGGTGTCCGTTTTACCGAGGTGTCCGTCCTATAGAGAGTCAAATAAAGGGAGTAAAGAAAGGCAGGGACCAACTCTAGGTGTCCGTTTTACCGAGGTATCCGTCTTATAGAGAGTCAAATAAAAGGAGTATAGAAGGGCAGGGACCAACTCTAGGTGTCCGTTTTACCGAGGTGTCCGTCTTATAGAGAGTCAAATAAAGGGAGTATAGAAGGGCAGGGACCAACTCTAGGTGTCCGTTTTACCGACGTGTTTGTCTTATAGAGATGTCCGTTAAGAGAGAGTCGACTATAATTGTTACCCACTGTTAAGCGACAATATCTCGTAAATCCGCGACCAAGTGGTCAAAGTTTTACATTGTTTTGTCTTTCTTTTGAGTGAATTATGAGTACAGCTGAGAGTAGTCAAACCGAAATATATCTACGTAGGGCCCTTTTCCCGGCGTAGTATTATAAAATTTGTCTTTACCTAAATTGATGACAAAATGTGCCTGCAAAAACTAAGCAAATTTTTTAACATGAGCTCAACTCACTTAGAGTAAAACTAATTTTAAAAGTTTTCGCGGGTAATCCATTTGCCGCTTATTTCTTGCCCTTAGCTGAAATCCTATCTCCGGATTAATATGGATTTTTTCCTGGAAAAACTTTGAGTCCCCGTTGCAGGAAAGCGGGGCTTTGATAGTCTTTTTGCAAACGTGCTCAAAATTTGTAGGAAATCTCAAAAACGGCTTCCGGCCACAATATTTGCAAGGTAAATTAAAAACTGAAAAGTGCGGTTGAGTCGTTACATCAGTGTTTTTTCTGTATCCGCAGATGGACACAGGTCTGTCCCCCCCATCCAAGAAAGTACCTCCGAGTTAGAGATTCCTAACTGCACTCCGCCGCCGGCCGAGTGACAGGCTTATCATAAACCCGCGAGTACGTTGAGGCATGCGCAGAGCCTGATAGAGAGGAGACCCGGGACTGAATAGTACATAGTTCGGCGTAGGCTCGTCGAGCACTGGCTGTACTCTCGGATCATCTTCGTTTTAACTTAAGATAAGCTTATCGCCAGTTAACTGCAACTTGAAGATTAAAACTGGAGGAATCCTCTGACTGAAACAAGCCATGAGACTATTTCCAAATATTAAGTATGGCCTTGGTTTTAACTGATGTCGTAGAGTTAAAAAATTGGTTTCTTTCAATACCCTTATCAACACTTCCCGCACGCGGTGTTTATTTTCATTCCCGAACTTGACGATCTCTAAAGAGAGGCAGATAGTTTGTTGTAGATTATGTGAATACATGGAGTTATGAAATAGGCATAGTTCAAATTTTTGGACGAAAATGCATCTAAAATACGCCTTTTTGTGCCTACAGACCTGAACAAGTTTATATTTTTGTATTTCATAATCCACATATGCGGGGAATTACTTGGAAAGTACGGCGGAAATAGTTGCTTCTTCATTTACTTGTGCAAATTGCGATGTGGAAATGGTACTTCCTACGGGACAGTTAGACTGAAATTACTGCTGAAATGAGTCCGCTAATGGACATTGTGTAGAGGAAAAGATCGTTTATTTTCAAAATTTATATCACTTCAAGCTCCCTTTACTTATTTATTTTTTTAAAAAAATGGAGATACTTTTTTTAATCAAATTCTATCCCTATTAAGGATTGATTTTGTTTTTTCTTATATTACGAGTTCCTAACCTGTTATAGGCAAAGTAAAATTCTTCCAAATTGCATGTTTCTAAAATAATGTTACTGAGACGCATTGGCATAAACTAAAAAAGTAGAGCTTTTCAACTTTACTTGAATGAAAACTGGTTGATCTTCTCCAGGTTTTAAGGTTTCGATCAGTCCTAAGACTTAGATAACCTGACCTTTGATAATGGGTGATGTATTTTTTAGTTTTAATATATATATTAATACCTGTGATTAAACAATTTTTACCTGAAATTCAAAGGCTGGTAGTGTCCAGCCGAAATATTAATAAATATTATAAGAACATATTTCGCTCAGTTTTTGGCGTGATGTTTCCGCTCAATGTGATTGAACATATACTTAAACAAGTTACAGCTTGTTTCCTCCTCTTGACAACTAAATCTCCGGGACTCTCGGTTTCCGACACTCCCAAACGGGCCTGTCAGCAGGCTTTCAGAAATTGAGTGGCAGTCTTCTTCCATTTGTGTCGAACACTCTGCCCCAATGCCGTGTATCAGAAGAGTAAGATCGAAGAACGTAATGTGTGTGTGGCCAGATTCAACCGCCGCCTGGTTAGCTCAAATGGGAGAGCGCCGGTCTGCCGAGCGGGAGGCCCCGGGTTTAAACTCCGGCCAGACCAACGCTCAGGGTGCTGCCTTTGAAATGACATCTGCAAATGGTTAGACTTTCTAGTCTTCTCGGATAAAGACGATAAACCGTAGGTCCCGTCGCACAGCACTTTCACTGAAAGAACCCACATCATTATTCGAAAAGAGTAGGGGTCGTATACCCCGGTGGTGTGGCCAACCTTTACGGGTTGTAGGACTTGGTAGGGAAGGCACCTCGCATGGGACCTGAGTCCCGTTCGTGCACATTCCCTCTGGACAGGCCTGTGTCCAGAAAAGATGGTAAATAAATATACCCTAAAAGTCAAGGCCAAGGTCTTGCTTCGTTGCTTTGTCATGCGCAAAGCAATAGGTAGCTGAGACCTCAACATTTTTACTGTGGACGGAATACATCTTTTGACCTTGTATGCTTTGTTTTCCCTATTCAGACCTTGTGATGTTCTCTACGGACTTTGCCTTTTATACATAGGCAGGTGGATGCTCGTACATAAGACAAAATTAAAAGAAAAAAACAGTTCTCTGGGTTACCATCACGTAGTCTGAAATGGGAAAACAAAACTTACAAGCCAAAAACGTCTATAGAATAAGTTGTTAGTAGCGGAGCTCCACGCGCGCGCTTCGCGCATGGGCGGAGCCCCACAGCCAGGTAAATCTACTTATCCCAGAAAATTTGGTGATCATGCAACCCTACATTGACCACCGACCGCCCGGCCGCACCTGGTTCTTATAACGCCACTCAGATGCCATCCCATTAGGTCTTCTTGTTGTATAATGGTAAAAACACCAAAAGTAAGACTAGTCAACACTACAGCAATTGGATTTTAATTGGTGCAACGAAGAGATCACGTGTTATCACTAAAAATGGTTGATCATCTTACCGTTGCTGATGAAATACGGTAAGTTAGATTTGTACTGCACTATACACTGAAGTGCTGAAAAATCAATAACTATCAATTTTTACATGGCAAATTAAATTTTTCAATCGACTCCGATAACTCGAACCCTCGCTAACTCCAGCTGTAGCTCGAATTGTTTTTCGTTTTCCGTCAGAGGTCGAGTTACTGTAGTCTCCCACACAGGCGTTTTTAGGGGAGCTCGTTTTTCATGAAATGAGATGAAAAACGAGCTCCCCTAAAAACGCCTGCGTGGGAGGCTAGAGTTACTGAGGTTCTACTGTATTTGAAACTGCGTAAGAAGTCTTTCTTTTTGGGACGATGGGTTTAATATTTAGGGATCAATATGTCCGACTTCACGTTCAACGAGCTTCCTTTTCCCTTCAGTGTTATGATAAAGAGTGACCCTTAATTTGAGTTTAGTGAAGTACGAGTAACCCTATATAAAAGAACAGACAAATTTGCTACACAATTTACGAGGCGTATTTGTTTATTTCATTTGGGACTACCGAGTCTACCATTTTCTAGCAGCCTCGTGAAGCTTACCGCTTTTGGAAGTGATTTCCTACATAATCCTCGTGAACCCCAACGTGCTGATGGTTTGAGCCAGTAAAGTAGTTGCTCCTTCAAATTTGTGCCAAAAAAAATCGCTAACGGTAAATCGACTGGATCTCGTAGTGGAGCTTGCTCTGTGAGTGGTCCAGGCCTCTTGGCGAAGCTTACCCACCCCTACTCCCCCTCCCCCACTCCCCCAGCTCTGCATCTCCCCAAGCTTTGACCGAGTGGAGCTTGGGACCAGGGGAAACCAAGATGGCGCCT